GATTAACACAACTTACTCATTTATTTATCACACACACACACTTACGTAGCTGCAGGTTATTACAATAATCCTGCCAGTGATTTTATCTGTTTACAATTTATCTGTAAATATTCCATAAACCATTTCCATTCTTTTATAAAAAGATTGTTATCTTGATTTCTTATTCTTCCGGTAAGTTTCGCCATGTCTTCCTTTCCTAGGACTTCTTTCCATTTGGGGGGCAAGTAACGTTCTTGTTCAGACAGTTCATAATTCAGTGTATTTGTATTTATTTTTACAGCAGGGAAGGTGGTGGAAAAGAGAGTTAAGGGTGAAATCTTCCTGCTTCAGGTGCCACAATAACTTGGCTGGCTTTGGATACGAGGCACTTCGACTTAACTGGGCATGTGTGTGGCATTTGCTTCTCCACCTCAGAAAATATCTTCCGCCTGCTGAAGGCTATGGAAAGGAGAAATGAGGAAGAGTTCGCAGAGACATCTTGTTACTCCTTGCAGAGACTGAGCTCCACCTCCGTTGTGAGCCCGCTCGCTGGAACTGGAAGCCTGCTGAGGCATGAAAAGGCCTGGCAAAACGGCCTGTCTGGTTTCCACCACCCTGCGGTACCCTCTGCTGAGCCTTGTTACTGGCTAGCACTTCAGCACGTAGCTCAGAGGGGAAACAGCTGACCCTGTCAGGTCTCTGAAAGGGAAGCTGCTCCACAATGCAATGTGACAAAAGCGGGTGGCAGCCGCTAGGATAGCCCAGAGAGCAGTGGCGGTGGTAGTGGCAGCAGCGGCTGCAGCAGCGTAAGTACCAGAGATCAGGAAGTAGGTTGCTTGCAAGCACTGCCCTTGCTGACGAGCCTTTCCTGTATAAACCAGCACTGTATTAAAGAATGGGGAGAGCCTAGGCGAAGCTATATTCCTTCGCCATTCCCCCAGAAAAAGCAGGGTGGTCAGTTACTGCAGGTCAGCTTCCTAAGGAGAATTCAGGGAACGTAAGAAGAGAGATGGTGCTGGAGGAGACTCTTGAGAGTCCCATGGACTGCAAGAAGATCAACCCTATCCATTCTTAAGGAAACCAGCCCTGAGTGCTCACTGGAAGGACAGGTCCTGAAGCTGAGGCTCCAATACTTTGGCCACCTCATGAGAAGAGAAGACTTCCTGGAAAAGACCGTGATGTTGGGAAAGATAGAGGGCACAAGGAGAAGGGGACGACAGAGGACGAGATGGTTGGACAGTGTTCTCGAAGCTACCAGCATGAGTTTGACCAAACTGCGGGAGGCAGTGGAAGACAGAAGTGCCTGGCGTGCTCTGGTCCATGGGGTCACGAAGAGTCGGACACGACTAAACAACAACAACAAGAAGAAGAGAGAGAGAGAGGCCTGCTGGATTGGGCAGTGGCCCATCTAGTCCAGCATCTATTTCTTACAGCAGCAGCCAACTAGATGCCTATGGGAAACCCATAAGCGGAAGCCGAGCTCAGCAGCACTCTCCCCTGCTTGCAACTGTTTTTTAGAGACATATAGCCTCTGGTAGTGGAGTCTCTCCTAGCCCTGCCTGAAAAGGTTGGGGGTTGAGCCTGCAGCTTTCTGTGTGCACAGCAGATGAACTATTGCTGAACTACAGGCCCTGCTCCTGTTATTTAGAGGTATACTGCATGCGAATGCAGATGACCCTGCGCATAAACTGCAGCTCTTGATCAGACCCTAAACGGCTGGACCCCTGCATCAGTTTCTCAGTTTCTGATCCTGTAAATGCAGACCACCAGAGGGCTCAATAAATCCTATTATTTGCTGCCTGCCATGGACAGCAGGAATTGTCAAGCATAAACAGCGGTTAGGCTATGTTCGGTTTGGCACATCACAGCACCCCCATCCATGGTACATCCAACTTTTAAAGTAGCCAAATGTGCAGGCATTCGGAGGTTCTCTCTCCATGTTGCTAAAGTTTCAGCTGCTGATTTCTGCAGTTTGAGATGCAATTTAAGACACAGAAGCTGGTCAGTTGGCAATCTTGGCAATTGATATCATGGACTCTTGTTTTCCGTCACCATTGAGCTACGCTGATTAAGATTTATTCCCCCCTCCCAAACACCTGTGTATTTGTAAGTTGTGGTCAGAGTGTCTGGGAATAAAGGTAAAGAGACCCCTGACCATTAGGTCCAGTCGCGGCCGACTCTGAGGTTGTGGCGCTCATCTCGCTTTATTGGTTGAGGGAGCTGGCATACAGCTTCCGGGTCATGTGGCCAGCATGACTAAGCCGCTTCTGGAGAACCAGAGCAGCGCACGGAAACGCCGTTTACCTTTCCGCCGGAGCGGTACCTATTTATCTACTTGCACTTTGACATGCTTTCGTACTGCTAGGTTGGCAGGAGCAGGGACCGAGCAACGGGAGCTCACCCCATCATGGGGATTCGAACCGCCGGCCTTCTAATTGGCAAGTCCTAGGCTCTGTGGTTTAACCCACAGTGTCACACGTGTATTTGTAAGTTGTGGTCAGATTGCTTGGGAGACCAGCATTCAAATCCCCACTCAGCCAGGAAGCCCACTGGGTGACAACACATACAACACTCACATCATGAACCTGATTAAGACAAAGGTGGGGAACCTTTTTCAACCCACATTACCCTCCAAGTGTAACTGAAAGTGGAGAATCACCACCACCTTCTCCAAACATCCTTGTCCCCAAAGGGGATTTTCACTACTGGGCAATCCAGGGAGGTCTTGTTAAGGAGGGCATGCACCATGGCTTCCTTCAAGGCAGATGGTACTTTCCCTCTTCCTTGGACCCATCCAGTCAGTTCCCTACAGCCAGGCCTAAGGAACGTGTCCAGAGGAGGGCAACCAAAATGGTCAAAGGCCTGGAAACGATGCCTTATGAGGAACGGCTAAGGGAGCTGGGCATGTTTAGCCTGGAGAAGAGGAGGTTAAGGGGTGATATGATAGCCATGTTCAAATATATAAAAGGATGTCACATAGAGGAGGGAGAAAGGTTGTTTTCTGCTGCTCCAGAGAAGCGGACACGGAGCAATGGATCCAAACTACAAGAAAGAAGATTCCACCTAAACATTAGGAAGAACTTCCTGACAGTAAGAGCTGATTGACAGTGGAATTTGCTGCCAAGGAGTGTGGTGGAGTCTCCTTCTTTGGAGGTCTTTAAGCAGAGGCTTGACAGCCATATGTCAGGAGTGCTCTGATGGTGTTTCCTGCTTGGCAGGGGGTTGGACTCGATGGCCCTTGTGGTCTCTTCCAATTCTATGATTCTATGATTCTATGAACCACACTGCTTCAAGCAGCTTATCTGAGAGCCAGTGTGGTGTAGTGGTTAAGAGCGGTAGTCTCATAATCTGGGAAACCGGGTTCGCGTCTCCGCTCCTCCACATGCAGCTGCTGGGTGACCTTGGACCAGTCACACTTCTCTGAAGTCTCTCAGCCCCACTCACCTCACAGAGTGTTTGCTGTGGGGGAGGAAGGGAAAGAAGATTGTGAGGAGGAGAAGAAGAAGAAGAAGAAGAAGAAGAAGAAGAGGAGTTTGGATTTGATATCCCGCCTTTTACTCCCTTTAAGGAGCCTCAAAGCGGCTAACATTCTCCTTTCCCTTCCACTCGGAGACTCCTTAGGGTAGTGATAAAGCGGGATATCTAATCCAAACTCTTCTTCTTCTTCTCCACATCCTCAGGCCACAAGCACTGAAACGGATCCAGCATGGATGGAACAAGGAACAGGCAGTGCTCTGCATGCCTCCATCAGACTTGCTCTAGGCGTGGCATCGAACACTATCCAAACCTGTAGCCTGGGGAAGGGGCATGCAGTTTGGGGAGAATCGCCAAGCATGGGTAGAGAGAACCACACTCATCCCCTGGGCCTGAAATCCTGGTCCTTAAGTGGACTCCTGCTCACGTGAGAAATCTCTTAAGTCCATAAGGCGTTGCACGTTTCTTTCTCTCGTTTTTGCTGCAAGAGACCAAGGTGTTAGCCGGTTGCATAAACTGGTGGTAAGACAGGGCTACAACCAAATTACCTGAAATCCAATCTTTGTATTGTTGTTTTTTACGGTAATAATCAGTGCTTTTTTCTATATAAAAAAATGTTTAGGGGTACTCTCATTTTGACTTGAGAAAATCACCATTTTATAGTTCAAATTGGAAAATAAATAAATACAGTAAATAGGACAGAAGTACAAAGATTCAAGACACGTTTAGGGGTATGCGTCCCCCCCAGAAAAAAAAGCACTGGTAATAATATACACCAGAGTGCAGAAACCGATATTCTTCTTGGCAAAGCATTACTGGGTATTAATAATATTGTTTGTTGTTGTTTAGTTGTTTAGTCGTGTCCGACTCTTCGTGACCCCATGGACCAGAGCACGCCAGGCACTCCTGTCTTCCACTGCCTCCTGCAGTTTGGTCAAACTCATGCTGGTAGCTTTGAGAACACTGTCCAACCACCTCGTTCTCTGTCGTCCCCTTCTCCTTGTGCCCTCCATCTTTCCCAACATCAGGGTCTTTTCCAGGGAGTCTTCTCTTCTCATGAGGTGGCCAAAGTCTTGGAGCCTCAGCTTCAGGATCTGTCCTTCCAGTGAGCACTCAGGGCTGATTTCCTTCAGAGTGGATAGGTTTGATCTTCTTGCAGCCCATGGGACTCTCAAGAGTCTCCTCCAGCACCATAATTCAAAAGCATCAATTCTTCGGCGAGCAGCCTTCTTTATGGTCCAGCTCTCACTTCCATACATCACTCAATATTGTTAGTAATATCAATAATAACTGATCCACGTGCACGCGAGCGGCCATCCTGCAGTCTCTTTTCGCTTTGGGCGCGCGCGCGCGACAGCAAACACACACAAAAAACCCCCCCGCCGCTGCCACCAAAGTTCCACGCGCAGCCATTGGCTCGCAGCCCCGCAATTCCCAGAGCCGGAGTCCGGCCCCGCCTACATAGCCCCGCCTACGGACACGCCCCCTCACATCTCCTCCTCCTGAAGCCCCGCCCTTCCGCTTCTTCCTTTTCTTCCCCTGGAAGAGGCAGAGAGGGAGGGAGGGGGGTGTTTTCGCGCTCTCTTCGGGCCAATAGGGAAGGGGTATCCTTTCCGGGCGGCCGGTGGTGGTGTTGGTGTTCGCTCTCGTGTCGCGCTGTAATGACGGCATCGCTCTCCTTTCCCGGAAGCGGAAGGCGGTTGGGATGGAGAAGGCGCTGGCGCTGCAGGGGCGGCGAGTCCGGGGCTCAGGCCCGTGAGTGCGGGGCGGGGATGGCAGGAGCCCCGGGCGACCCCACCTCCGCCCTTCAGGGGCCCGGTGCCGGGGAGCGCGCTTTTGCGGAGCTGCTGCTGGAGTTCTCGAGGGCGCAGTACCGGGCCCGGGATGGAGGGGGCGGTAGCGGGGGAGGCGGCGGCGGCGGCGGAGGAGGAGGCACCTCTGCAGGTGGAGGCAGCGGCAGCGGCAGCGGCGGGGCCGGCAGCAGCGCCAAGGTGAGCCTGAGGGCTGGGCTGGGCCTGCCTCGTTCAGCGCCGCTCTGCACGGCCCTTGCCTTAAACTGTCCCCCCAGGTTGCTACTGATCCCTCTCCTCTGAGAAGTGCATGACTGGCACAAAAACAAAAACAAAAAAACCTCCCACTGGTGAACAGTTTCTTCCAGCTTGGAGATGCCTTTTCATTATTATTCCCCACCGACCATCAAAGGCATAAGCAGGACGGCAGCCGGACATTCCTCTGTCGTGCCTGCAACCCAGACGCAGCTGTTGTTTTGTTTTATTATTTGTACCCAGCCCACCACACTGGGTTTTATACTCTTGCCTTTCCTCCACCCAGTGGGTTCAAGGCACTCGCTTACAGATAAAAATAAGTACTGCTAAAAGCATTGGGGGGAAACCACAACAGTTAAGCACTGGCAGAAAGAAAGCTAAAAATTCTGAGAAGTGTTTTTGTGTTGCATTTTAATTGCCTTCCAGAGAGGAGGCCGTATTAGCAGCAAAAGAGGGCATATTTATAAAGATGTGTCAAATCCATTACGGCGTAAGCTTCTGTTGCGCTACAGTCCACTCTGTCTGATACGTGAAGTGTTACCTGTAGTTGGGTCAATTTGTAATTTACTGTGAACCAATTTTGGAGCCAAGCTTTGGCTGAAAAGAGTGGATAGGTGAAACAACATCTGTTCTCTGCAGCGTGAAATCCCTGTCCATTAAAAAAGATCCCTATTAATACTGCAAAGCTCCTCCCGTATTTTAGTGCAGTTGTTTTAAAACGAATCCTTATATGGGTATTTTCTGGGTTTCTTGTATGGTGCTTCATTGCAAAATAAGCCATGGGAAAACAGATTAGGAAAGGAAGATGGGGTGGAGAGAGAAGGTACTGTGTTGCATGAAGTTATAACTTCCCTAACACAAGTAGACAATCCTAGCATCCCTGGTTGCTCCATGTCTATACTCCCAAGTGCACAATCGGATTCTGCATGGCCTTTGTGGGTTGGATGTGCTTCATTGGTGCACCTTGTCCTCGTTTATAGAGTAACCTAATGCTCACGTGGTGAACATTGTGAGTCTTGTGTTTCCTCTGTCCAAAGGTTGCCAGATAACCAGAATTCTAATGATAAGCATTTTAAACGCTGCAAGTCCATGGGATAGATGCCAGCTATATAGAGGGTCTCATTATCGGATTTTTGGGGCAGCAAAGATTTCCTTAAGATCAAATGTTTTGCTCCATACTTGCATTTATTTAACCCATATATACAGTGTTTGTACAATGTACCAGGCCTTTGGTTTGGATCACAGTACAGACAACTCCCCACTTGTGCACAGTCAGCACATGTGCGGCTGCTGACATGCGTGCCATTAGGAGGTGGGGCAGGGGCAGAACGGACTGGAAGGGGCTTGCCTTGCTGATGTGCACGGCGGCCGAGAACGTTACCCCCATGTATAAATAACAATAATTCTGTAATAACTGTTGGTTTGTTCTTTGACTTGACTAGATAGAGCGCATTGAGAAATGCTGCCTTGAGTTGTTCGGCAAGGACTACTGCTTCAGCGTGATCCACAATGGGAATGGTGAAATCTGCAGCCATTACCCCCGCCTGATTGTCTTCTTGGAATATGAGAGCACAGATCAAGAGAGGCACACGTAAGTCGTGACTGCTTTCGGGAGGACTGTGTCTTACCCAAATTAACCTGAGCACGTTTGTGACCTGCAGAGTGCGTCACTGTTTTTTTGGGAGATGTACTACAGTACTAGCAAGTTACTAATCAGTCTTTTCGTTCCATTTACTTGGCTCTAAAATTGGCTGTTCACATAAATGTGCACAAGCCCTGGTGTTTTTTCTTATGAATGAGAGGCTACTGTGGTGTGTGAGTTAAGTAGCAACCAGTGAATATAAAAAACCCTGCTGGATTAGACCCATCTAGTTTGACATCCTGTTATCACAGTCGCTAACCAGATGCTTGTGGAAAGCCTGCAAGGCAGGACCTGATTATAACAACACTCTCCCCTCTTGTGGTTTCCAGAAAATGGTACTGCCTCCGACAGTGGAGGCAGAACATAGGCATGAGAGCTGGTAGCTTTTGATAGCCTTATCCTCTGTGAATTTGTCTAATTCTCTTTTAAACTTCCATGCTGGTGCAACAAGATGGCCTAGATTGGTGGTGTTGCCATCACAAGTGACGTTGGGGCTGGCTCAGGATTCAGCAGATCCTACAATGGGCCCTCCTGATGCTGTTTCAGGGGTTTCCGCTGATGAGAATGCCACTGTAGGTAACTTCCATATACCTGCTGTTCAGGCAGTGCATTGAGGTGCCCCTTGCTAGTGGGATTCCTGTACCCCCGCAGCGTTGGGCAGAGGGACACATCTGTGCTATTCAAATCCTCTGCAGCACAGTGCATCAGTGGCTTGAATTGTTCTGCCTCTTAGATACATGTTGCATGTCATGGGATCCATGCAGTGATAGCCGAGTAGAAATTCAAGCATATGTCAGATCTGCACAGTGGGATGGAGAAGGGTGGGGTGGACTTCCTCTTTGGTTTTCACTTTTTTCACTGCTGTGCTTTGAAACACTTTAGAGTTGCTTCATACAGAACTCAATTCCCATGCAGAACTTGAATCTGCATGCAGATTTTGTCGTATGTTGCATGTTCCTTGATAAATTTACCACTATTTTTTTTATAATTGTGAGCTCTGTAAGCTTGTTTATAATCCTTTTTCTTGCAGTGAGGCCTAACTGCACTTCTTCTTCTTGTTGTTGTTTAGTCATTTAATCGTGTCCGACTCTTCGTGACCCCATGGACCAAAGCACGCCAGGCACTCCTGTCTTCCAATTCCTCCCACAGTTTGGTCAAACTCATGTTTGTAGCTTCGAGAACACTGTCCAACCATCTCGTCCTCTGTTGTCCCCATCTCCTTGTGCCCTCCATCTTTCCCAACATCAGGGTCTTTTCCAGGGAGTTTTCTCTTCTCATGAGGTGGCCAAAGTATTGGAGCCTCAGCTTCAGGATCTGTCCTTTCAGTGAGCACTCAGGGCTGATTTCCTTAAGAATGGATAGGTTTGATCTTCTTGCAGTCCATGGGACTCTCCAGAGTCTCCTCCAGCACCATAATTCAAAAGCATTAATTCTTCGGCGATCAGCCTTCTATATGGTTCAGCTCTCACTTCCATACATCACTACTGGGAAAACCATAGCTTTAACTATATGGACCTTTGTCGGCAAGGTGATGTCTCTGCTTTTTTAACTGCGCTTACCCTCTAACAACCCTCAGTGTAGCCATAACCATGAGGCAGGTTGCTGATATTTCCAAGGTACGTTGATATCGCTAGATGTCACAGACCACCTCTCCCCAGATAAACCAACCCGGACTTTGCAATCATCATCCCAGGCCCTTCTCTTTGCGTGCCTCTTCTATGTGAGGTCCAGAAGGTGGCAACATAGGAATGGGCCTTTTCTGCAGTGGCTCCCCGTCTGTGGAATGCTCACCCCAGGGAGGTTCACATGGCGCCTTCATTATACACTTTTAGGCACTAGGCAAAAACGTTCACCTTTAACCATGCCTTTGGCTGACAGATATCCAATGTTCTTTCAAAATGGGTGGGTAGGAGTTATTGTTTTGTTATTTGTCTTGTTTAGTTTTTGGTCTGTTATTATGTACTTGGTGGTTTTATTCTGTATTTTAAAGTATCTTTATTCTGTGAACCTCCCTGAGATCTTTGGATGAAGGGCGGTATACAAATTCAGTAAACAAAAACAACGATGATGAGGTATCCAGGAGATATGCACTTGTTCCTTCATAGGGAGTTCATCCCCATCCAGAAGCCCTGCCCTGAAGTGTCAAACGCCATCAATATAGGTGGACTTCTCTTTTTCCAACTTTAATGGCTAAGCAAGCTGCAGTTAGCAAAGTTATTACCATGTGCAAATTTGACTCATGCACATCAATGCTTAGCTGTGCTGCTTCTTAATGTGCCCACCAGCTGCAGGGTGTACCCATGTGATGTTTTTCATGCCTGAGTAGCTTTCGTTGCCCTTTTGGTTCCTCTTAAGTTTTTTTCACTTCAACTTTCTTGCTGCTTGGAAAACCAAAACAATGACTTGGATGTAAGCTGTATAGTTTGATAATACTGTCTAGATCAGAAGGTAGAAAGTGGCTTCTGACCCTGAAGATGGAATCTGAGGATTTTGCAAAAGCAGTTGAAAAAAATCCGAGTTTCGTTTCAGTCCCCTCATATCCGTAGTGAGAACTCAGAAAGATGTGGCGAGTTGCAAAATTCAGTGAGTTGGAAAGGAGGTCTGTCTTGTCCAGGAGTTGACAAAAGTATTGGTTCTGGGACTGAATCAATGCACCATCTTGTCCCTTCAGCTACCAAACCTTTGCCTGCTCTTTCTGAGGTTGCACTGAGAGAGGAGAGGTGGAGACTGCAGCAGCGTCAATTGAATGACGCTTCGTTTTTATTCGAACTTCCCATTGGAGATTTAATTCAAGTTTGGATTGGTGTTTCATGAGGTTGCCAAACCATGATGCATCCTGCCTGGTTAACCAAACCACTAAAACACGCTGCTCTGCAAGTTTTCGGGGAGGGAATACTACTTTCCTGTATTGCAGCTTTGTGCTTCGCTTCTCCTCCTCCTGTGTTACACACCTCACCTGCTTTGCCCCAACACCATCTCCAGTATCATAAAGGAGCTAACATGTTTCCCAGCATTGCTTATTGCGCTCCATTTGCCCTTGTCTGTTTGACAGCTAAGGGCGCAGAGCTTACTAACGGTGAAGTGGCTTTTCCAGAAAATTATTGTTGGAAGATCTTCCTATGCATTAGATACTTTTTCTCTATATATGCTAGAGTTGTGCTTGAGAATCTCTAGCCCACGGGCCCAATTAGTCCTGCCAGACTTCCGAGGCTGGCCTGCCAAGCCGTTTTTGGCAGGCCGAGCTCCGTAGGGAATATGGCAAAATGCTGTTGATATGATCTTCAGACATTAGCATTTTCACCCACAGCATTGAGTTCTTGACACGTTTCCAGGGCTTAGATCAGTGCAACCGTGGAGCTCTTTGTTGCCTGATATCTCTCGGGGCCATTCTTGCACTTGGTGGTTGCTTGTTTTCTGTATAGTGCAGTATCTGCCCTCTTTGGTTTGAGTCTTGGAGCCCTTTCCCCCCACTTTGCAGTCATAAAACATTAAGGCCTTTTACACGAGAGGAGCCTAGTGATGATGATAGGCCACTGGGCACTACAGCTCCCACTTCTTGCCCCTCTGGTCTAGTTAGGTGTCCAGGGTCAGTTTGTCCTCCACTCAAATCCCACCTCCTCCTAGTATGCAAGACGCAACTTTAGAACAAAAAGTGGCTGATGGAAATTACCAGGACAGTGACTGACCTCTGCTCGAAGGATTTGTGCAAGATTCTGTACTGCGTAGGGAACCAGCCACGCTGCCTCCTGTCGGAATGAACAAGCTTTCAACCTACAAAAACATTACTTACGTGGTGCAATAGGAAAGTAACCAAGTATGAGCTGTGCAATGTAAGGGTGGTGTGGCGTTGTGTGCCCCCCCATGTGTATACCCATTTCCTCCTGAAGGGTGCATCATTCTGAATCTGTTCAATTCCGTCTTTGAGACTGGAAAAGGATTTCCCTTCCAAGTTCATGAACGCCCATGAAGAGGGATTTGCTTCCCTGCTGTGGCTCGCTTGAAACGTTTGGTATCATTTGATATAAACTCAGGATCTACGAAGCGCCTCCTGGGTGCTTGTGGGATACTGAGACAGCATGCACAGTTTGACCTGTGCAGAGACAATTCCATGGAAGTCAGCCCTGTTTGGAATGATTTTGGTCCTTCCACAACTTTTTAAGCAACCACTTTGCAATAGGTAGGCCCCCCAGTCACTAAAGTGCATTATGTTCCTGGTGTGCCGGCTTCAAGTCATCTCATTTGCTGCCCACAACTAGGATGAGTAAACTTCCGCTTTTCTTCTGAGTGTTGACAAGCTGACAGCTGGCACTGGAAAACATGAGCAGACCTCTGGCTTTACTCCTGAGGAACTGCATCTATGCCTTCCTTGAACCCAGAGGCGTTCAAGATGTGTGAAAGAAAAAGTCAGCTGTCCACTCATAAGTTTTTTATAATATACATTTTTATTAGTTTTCACATATATTTGCCCACTCCTAAGTTGACTACTTCAGTGTCCTGTGTTTCTGTGTTAATATATTGAAAGTTGTTTTCAGCTTATTTTTATGTTTTGAAAAGTGCCCAGTAAATGCAGTTAGCAATTGTAATGGTGACATGCTTGCTTACTTTGCCAAGCCTTTATTAGGCATTACAAATATAGGCCATCATAAAACATCCATATATATAACTTTTAAAATATATAAAATAAACAGCCATCTAAAAATATGTAATAATGATGATTTTCATTGGACTTTCTTCCTGTTGAATAGTGCCATTCACCGCTCTGAGATATACTATTGATAAAAAACTCAGCCACCCTTGCAGTTACTTCCGGGTTAATGTCAGAGAGATAAAATCTGATATTTTCATTGTGCCGTGATGTTAGACTACTAAAAAAAGGGGATAACGTGTTTGCGTAGCTGGTTGTACAAGGAACAGTAGAAAAGAATATGTTCTACTGTGTCTGGCACATTCAAAAAACATTTGCAATGTCTATTGTTTCTGGGGATGTTTAAATATCTGCCCTTGACAAAAGCTGAGGGGAAAAGGTTCAGTCAGGCTAACATAAAGGCCCTGCGTTGGATTGGAATTATCAATTTTGAAATATAAGCAACCCTGTTACCTGTTGTATTTAAACCATAAAACTTGGGGGGAGCAAATTTTATTTATAGTTGACTCAATGTTTTGTTTTCCAATGTCCCTTAATCTGATTGGAAGATGATGATGATGATAATTTATTATTTATACCCCGCCCACCTGGCTGGGTTTCCCCAGCCACTCTGGGCGGCTTCCAACAGAATATTAAAATACAATAACCTATTAAACATTAAAAGCTTCCCTAAACAGGGCTGCCTTCAGATGTCTTCTAAAAGTCTGGTAGTTGTTTTTCTCTTTGACATTTGGTGCGAGGGTGTTCCACAGGGCGGGTGTCACTACTGAGAAGGCCCTCTGCCTGGTTCCCTGTAACTTGGCTTCTCACAGTGAGGAAACCGCCAGAAGGCCCTTGGAGCTGGACCTCAGTGTCCGGGCAGAAAGATGGGTGTGGAGACGCTCCTTCAGGTATACTGGACCGAGACCGTTTATATTGCTCACTTGAATTATACAAGTGTTCCAAGTCAATACCAATAGATCTGATTTTGCTATGTAAGTGTTGGAACCATCTGGATTTATAAGAGTTTTTAAGTAAGTCAGAAAGCAGACTTGAAGGCTGGCAACGGAAATGGCAACACAACCAGTATTTTATAGTGCTTGCCCGCACCCAGTATTCCATCGTGTGTATACCTAGTTCTGCACACATAATTTCATACTTGATTGAACTTGGGAGCCCCAGGATACATCTCAAGAAACCTGAGTGTATCTTATCTAAATCACTATTATATGCTTGTATTCATATTGGGGTCCCAAAAAGTAGCTGGGACAACACTTTCGCTTGAAAAAAATTGAATCGCAGCTGGTATAAATCGGTTACCTTTCTGAAAATAAAAGCGAACTGCTACTGAGAGGTACACTTGGCCTGTTTTATAGCACTTCTGCGATGGTTTGACCAACCTGAGGTGCTCTGGAATAAAATTCTGAGATACCTGTACATCTTTACTTGCTGGATTTCTTGCCCTCTTGTTTTCCATTTCTCTAATTTCCGGAAGTTAGAGAAGACCAGAATGTTTTGTCTTCCCATCATTTATTGAGAGCTTATTGGTTTCACAACAGGAAATCAGGGAGAGTAAAAGATGTTGCAGACCTCTCCTCATCAGTGATAATGCCGCATCATCCGCATGCCGAAACAGTGGGACCGGGTTTTGATTGATTGGCGGGGGGGCACCTGAATCTATTTTTTGAATGTGCTCTGGAAGATCTGATAAAAACGAATTAACAAGAAAAGGGGCAAGAATACACCCTTGTTTCTGACATGCGTAATCTGGCCAGTTATAGTTAACCGCTCTGTGTACTGAAGACAGGAGGACCAGCGGAATATGGAATAGGTTGCACAGCAAATCAAAACTACAGTATTACCTTGGGTTACAGACGCTTCAGGTTACATACGCTTCAGGTTACAGACTCCGCTAACCCAGAAATAGTACCTCGGGTTAAGAACTTTGCTTCAGGATTGTTAGAATTCCTGCTCCATGATTGCAGTCATGGGATTTTTGTCTTTCACATGACGGTATATGTTTTGACTTCACAGAGTGGGAAGTGACGGAGACAGGATGTTTGTGTTACTGTGTTCAGTGACGTGGGACTATTGTCCTTTGTTTGCCCCCCCCCTTTGCTGTCTGATGCTCGAGAAAGAGGGAGCCATGTTGCAGTGCTCCGTGTGTGTTTATATGTAAATAAAGTAGATTAGCCAAAATGCTGAGTTGCTGAGGCCTGTCATGCGCATGATACGCAAACTCTGCAGATCCCTAAGTGTGCCGGTGTCGGTTGGCATTGGTTGCTATGATGTTCGGGTGGAAGAAAGCTTATGAAGCTCCCGAATGATCGACAAGGAGGGGGGGAACATGCCAGTTGGGGCATGTGTCTCTGCCAGGGTCCTACTCGAGTGTAGGCTGAACTCCTGACAAGGATGAGAACAAAAATCGCGCGGCGGCAGCAGGAGGCCCCATTAGCTAAAGCAGTACCTCAGGTTAAGAACAGTTTCAGGTTAAGAACGGACCTCCAGAACGCATTAAGTTCTTAAATCGAGGTACCACTATACAGCTGCCACTTCTAATTTACACTCAATTCCGGGTTTTAAATGCATGGTGTGTGCCTTCTCCTTCTGTGTTTACAGCAACCCTGTGAGGCGGGTAAGGATGAAGGCGTTTGTGAATGACATGTGGTCACTCAGAGGGAATTTGGACCTACATCTCCTTGGCCTTAAGCGTCGCATCCTAGCCAGTGTGCCATACTGGCTGCTGCTCGTCCTTCCATTTTCCTGTGAGCAGCTCTTAAGGGTTTATGTCAAAAACTGCCCAGTTCCTCTTCCGACGCCAGTGAGGGATTACTAGCTTGTTCAGATACTTTGCGCACGCCAGCAAGCTGTTGGCCAACGAAGGCTTGCAAGGTTCTCTGCAAGCAGAACATGAGTGCTCGTTTTGTGGTGGGGGAGGCAGAAGGCTCCTTTAAAAGCACTCCCTTCTTCCCCATCCCAAATACCTGAGAACTCATTCAGCCCTTCATTCTGTGACCAAATCATACAGTCCGTTCCCTCCTTGCTTGGGAAATTCTACTGCTGCAATCCAGACTCCACCCTACTTACATTTGCAGATTACTTAGCTGGCAGAAGAACTGAATTATCCCAGCTGCTAGTGGGCTGGGCGATGTGTGTGTGTGTGTGTGTGTGTGAGAGAGAGAGAGAGAGAGAGAGAGAATATCTATCGCTGATAAATATCTTGGAGGGACCGAACAGCTCATGTAGAGCCAGAGAGCCGGATCTGTAGAGCAGAGACTCATGAAACAGCAGAGCAAATGAACTGCAATTCCGTTGGCAACTATTATTTTTTTTAAGAGTTCCTGTTTTAAATGAGGAAGGGCTGAGGGGAAAAGGAATAACAACCCTGCCCAATGATGCATTCTTGCACAAATTAGAATTAGCTCCTTTCCTCAAAACCTACCTTCCTCCTTCCCAGAAAGCAAAAGCAGACATGGCCAGGGCGATTGCTTGGAAAACAGGGTAAGGATAGGAACATAGGAAGCTGTCTTTGTGCCAGTACTTCAGAGAGCTTTGCGGCTACTGAGCAGGCCCTTGCCACTCTTAGCTTCATAAGTAACATAGGAAACTGTCCTGGACAGAGTCAGGCCATTGATCCATTTTGCTCAGCTTTGTCTATACCAGAGGTTGCCAAATAACTAAATACAGCGGTACCTCTGGTTACATACTTAATTCGTTCCGGAGGTCCGTTCTTAACCTGAAACTGTTCTTAACCTGAGGTTCCACTTTAGTTAATGGGGCCTGCTGCTGCCGCTGTGCAATTTCTGTTCTCATCCTGAGGTAAGCTTCTTTACCTGAGGTACTATTTCTGGGTTAGCGTAGTCTGTAACCTGAAGCGTCTGTAACCTGAGGTACCACTGTACTGCGGACCCCCTTGTTTTTCGAAAGCCAAGCCGTGGACCCCCTCCTTTGTGAAAATTTTGATACCTGTCTGATACTTTTGGTTATGTGAATGGTGTTGCGGGACCCCCTGGGTGGGTTACATGGATCCCCAGAGGGTCCATGGACCACCAATTGGGAACCACTGGTCTACACTGGCTGGCAATGACTCTCCGGGACGTCAGACAGGGCTCTCGCTTAGCCCTACCTGAAGATGCTGGGGTTGAACCAGGGACCATCTGCACTGAGCTATGACTCTTCTGCAGCTCTGCAGCTGGATCCCCGTCATCCCAGACCATTTGCCATGCTCTCTGAAGGGCTAATAATAATAATAATTTATTATTTATACCCCGCCCATCTGGCTGTGCTTCCCCAGCCACTCTGGGCGGCTTCCAACAGAATATTAAAATACAATAACCTATTAAACATTACAAGCTTCCCTAAACAGGGCTGCCTTCAGATGTCTTCTAAAGGTCTGGTAGTTGTTGTTCTCTTTGACATCTGGTGGGAGGGCGTTCCACAGGGCGGGCGCCACTACCGAGAAGGCCCTCTGCCTGGTTCCCTGTAACTTGGCTTCTCGCAGGGAGGGAACCGCCAGAAGGCCCTTGGCGCTGGACCTCAGTGTCCGGGCAGAACGATGGGGGTGGAGACGCTCCTTCAAGGGTTCCCCACCTCTGATCTGTCCCTCTGTTTTGAACAGGATGGATAAAATAAATGATCGCCGGGGGAGGGGGGAATCAGATTCTTTTAAAATTTATATCAGATTTTTAAAATAAAATGCTTTTGGAGGAAAAATCTTTCTAAAGATAATTTTCTATTTAAGTTACATTATGGTCCAAAGACTATTCATCAGGAAATAAGGATTTGTTTTCAGTTTTTCATGTGTGCTAAAACTCAGTCTAAGTGTGTTTTGTTTTTAAATTGTTTAACCACACCAGTTAACAAACATGGATACATATGCTATAATGCTACTGCTTTAGTTAAATAAATTGTTTAAATTCTTATTAAGGAAATGATAATTTTTCTCCTTCCGATAAAGTACGACAGAAAAGTACAGTTGTCCAAGTATAAACAGTTATTAAACCTCACAATAATTTTGTAATTATCTGTCTATGTATTTCTAATAGTATAACCAGAGCAGTAATTTTTGATGTAACTGTAAAAACTACTCTGAAAATTTATTATTCCAAAAATGAAACCTTCATCTGGTTGTAAATATTAAGATTATACCAGCAAGAATGAGTCTTTCTGTAAAAAAATAATGATTTAAATCAAGTCTTACTGACTAGTGACTTAAATTGTGATTTAAATTGATTGGATTTAAATCAAATCCACCCTGGTGTTGAGCATTCTACTGTTCCTTTGCACATACATGCCCCATGTGTTCAGGGAATCGGCCACCATTGCCCTCTTTGCCCGTCCAGCTGAATGGGGCAGGGCGGTGGTGGTTCTGTGAACCCCCTTAGAGGAGTTACTGCTTTGCCCCTTACACCTTAATGGCAGGGGGTGCTGTAGCAGCAGCAGCAGCAGCAACAGCAGCTACGTGACCAATAAAGCAGACTGTTTTAGGGGCTGTATGTGTGAACTGCACAGGGTAATAGAATATTCTATGGGACTTTAAGCTGGCGGTACTTGCTTCCTCGCTCATCCTTAAAAGAGTTTAAAAAAAAAAAAACACAACTGGAAATGTTGTACTTTATGTATTTTTCATAAGTAGGGGTCTGGGTTGCCATAGCAACCCCTTTGGCTTACAGAGGCTTTTAAGAGGGCTTGGGAACTTTAATGGAGTTGGCATAAAATCATTGCGCTTTGGGCACGGTTCTCGGCTGGGCACCGGCTCCTGCCTGGCATAACCGCAGCGTTCTCCTGTGTGTCGGAGGGAACTGCAGCCGCGAGTTCAAAAGCGTCCAGTTCCCTGGCACCAATGGGTGGCCGGATGTGTGTTCCTGGCACCCTCTGGCTGGGCAGGTGGCAGGGCTTTTCTCCTGTCCCCGAGGTTGGCACCAAGGTGCCCAAACGGCAGCTGTGCCGTGCAAAATGTTCCGTGCATCGTCTTCTCCTCCTCCTCCTTTTTTACTAACGCTACGCCGAGAAAGGCACTTGCTCACCCCTAATAAGCAAGAGCTACAGTTCAGGGATCGTATGTAATGGGGTCATATTATACAACTCATTGGCTGCTGGTGCAAAATAGAAGGATTATTTCCAGGCGCGATTCAAAGTCCTGGTTATTTCGTTTTGGGAAGCCCCAAAGCAGCTTGGGATCAGGGCACTTGAAGGAGGATGGGGCAGTTACCTTGGATGACAACCAACTGAGATGGCTTTGAAAGAGGATCATCAGACAAAGTCATGGAGGATAAGACTAGCAGTGGCTGGTAGCCACTGTGGTTGTGCTCTTCCTCCATGTTCAGGGGCAGCAAAACGTCTGCATACCAGTTGCTGGAAAACCTGCTTTGATCCTTAATATTGTCAACTTCCCCCATCCCTCTAAAAACAAGAACAATTCTCATATTGTTACGTCCCTTATTATATGCACACAGGCTCCGGGTTTCCGAAAGTGCCAAGCACCAATTATAAGCATATGTTATAATGCGTAAAATATGTTATAACACTGGAGAAAAATACATACAGTGGTACCTCGGGTTACATATGCTTCAGGTTACAGACTGCTAATCCAGAAATAGTACCTCTGGTTAAGAACTTTGCTTCAAGATGAGAACAGAAATCATGGTGCGGCGGCAGCAAGAGGCCCCATTAGCTAAAGTGGTGCTTCAGGTTAAGAACAGTTTCAGGTTCAGAACGGACCTCCGGAACGAATTAAGTACTTAACCCAAGGTACCACTGTATGTGTTATTAGCATATACATAAAATTATATGATGCAGAAATAACGTACCAATTGCGGCTCGTCACTTTTGCATTGCTGTTTCAAAAAAAAAAAGCCAAACTGTATGCAAAATTAGATGAAAAAAAATAATCTTGCACAATACATATAACATGCTGCTGCTTCTTCTTTTTTGCAAAAACAGCAATGCAAAAGGGGCTTAAAATCAGGCGTCTGATGCAGGAGGTGGTCCAGTGTCAGGAAAGCAACACACCTGATATTTCTAGTATTTGGTCTAACTTGTAGATGAGTTCCTCTCCCCACCCCACCCCGGCATTTTTTTGGGGTAGCAAAACATTGAGAGGTGGATTGTTAAAGGTGATCGTTTCAAGGAAGACTTTGCCAGTCTTGTGCCCTCTAGACATTTTGGACTACAAGTCTCAAACATCTGGAGGGCACCAGGTTGGCAAAGGAGCTATCTGGAATATTGTGGAGTTGCAGTGTATCTGTCAGAAAGCTTCGTTTTGCCGCTGTGAGGCATTCGAGCGAACCAGAGTAGCTCTTGAGAGACAAGTTTATTGGAGAGTGCTTGGCACTAAGGCGAAGCTTTGAGCCAGATGTTGTACCAGGGAACCTCATCCAATGCAGTGTCTCAGTGATGGAAGGGGTGTGTGTGGTTTGGAGTGGATCACAGCTTAATTTGTGGCGCTTCATATATCCCAGTTGCTTACCCAGGCTGAACCTTTGAATTAAATACAGAGGGACCAGGAGCCAACTTAAGTCTCATTAAGGTAGCCAGATCTTTTGATCTGATTACTGGAATAAATTTGAAACCGTCAAGTGCTAATTAGCATCCCTTGGGAACTGGCTGCAGTTGACCCTACCTCTCACATGCTCCTTCCCCAGACCTTGGGAGAGTCTCTCAATCAAGCCACTGTTTCTCCAATGTCTCTCAAGCATCGTGTAGTCAGCAAAGCCTTTCCAGGGCAAAGCTACCTTATTTCTCCTCAACTGCTTCTCTTTCACTCTTCTTTTCATCTCCCATCTTTGAATTCATTTAGCAAATACACTCCTCTCTGTGGGGGGAAAGACATTTTTCGCCCTTGTGTTCTCTTATTCAGGCTATATTCAGGTGATCACGCCACAGCTTATTACTCACCATCTGACTATATGTGCTGCTCCTTTCCTCCTTGGTGTGCCAGAATTAAACCTGGAATTCTTCAACTAACCACAGTTTCCCATTTCATCTGGACCAGGAAATGACGGTTATCAGATTGGAACAAGCCAGGATCTTAAACCTCAGGCCTAAATAGGTTTAACATCCTGGCTTGTGAAAGTTTTCACTGAAATGGGAAACTAGGCTTAATTTGAAGACTTACTGTCTTATTGTGGTGATTTTGGGGTGGGGAAGAAGTGATATGAGGCTGGAGCAGTTAGGCAAAAGGTTTAGGCATATCTCTGTTTATGAAGCCAAGATATGATGATCCAGAGGTGGCCAATTGGTGCCTATTAAATGCTGGATTTGTTTTTATCCAGAAATAAAGCAGAGGGTACTCAGACCAAAGTGGAAATAATAAGTGGCATGGAGGTGTGTTAGATCCCTTCCCAGGATTTTTGGTAATCCCCTGATCCTGCCTCGTCCCCCCTCCCCATTAAATACCCACTTTGTTGAGAAGGGATCCAGGCTCACTCATTTTCCATTCTTGGGCAATGTGCTTGAGCACATGGACACATCTCGGCTCCAGTTGTTGCTGGATTGTCAAAAAAGATGGCATTCAAGGTCTGGTTGTGGGGCAGACGACTTTGGTAGATCCATATTGGGAAGGCGCAGTATGTCCTAGTTGGTTCTGCTGGACCTCTTGGAAGCTTTCAGTACTATTTACCATTTATTCTAGACCACCTGACTGGGGTGGAATATTTTTTTCATGGTGGCTCCAGTACTTCTTTGAGGGACAGTTCAAGAATGTGGCTCTGGGAGGCTTCTAGGATGTCCTCCCATCTCGTCTCCCCTGCTGTTCAACATCTACATGAAAACACCGAGAGATGTCATCCAGGGATTTGGAGTTTAGTCTCACCAGTATGCTCATGACACCCTGTATCTCCTTCATCCAACTCCAAGGAATCCATTATCAGTTCTGAATCGGTGTCTGATATTAGTGGTGGTGAACAAATTGAAACCTGATCATTCTAGACAGTGGAGATCTGTGTTTAGGTCTCTCCTTGGCGATGACCACCAGCCTTGTAGCCACTGCCATCTCTCTGCTTACTTACGTATGCTATGCTGGTGGGGAGAGCAGGGTTAAAATTTCCTTCTATTTGTTAGTTAATCTGAGTCTGGATCTAGGATCTGTTAAATTTGTGGCCACTGAGCCTTTTAAACAAGAAGACAGTGAAAGGTGAGGTGCACATCCTTGGTGGCAGTGGAGTTAACAAAACCAAGCCTTCGGTTAGTGGAAGTCTCCCCCTCCCATCATTCCCCCTGAGCTGTTGGCTTCAAAACAAGACGACAGAAGCTACCAGGCTTTACACAGAATGTATGCCAAGATGAGATTTTGCAGTCACTCGTAGCCTGAGAAGCACATCCAGGCAACACCTGTCCCCTCCAATCTGCAGTTGGTGCCTGTGCAGGTAATGGGCTGTTTTGCCTCCAATAGATTTGAGAGCACCGTCCAAGTTGGCAAGTTGCAAGACCTCATCCACCGCAGTAAAATGGCCAGGTGTAGAGGGCGGTTTGTCTGCCCCGTCATCCTCTACAAGGGCAAGGTAAAGCTCTCTCTGTCTCTGTCTCTGTCTCTGTGTCTTGTGACTTTCATGGTTTTCTCATGTGAATGTCTCATTGTAGCTTTTGCACGATTTACTGGAGGGTGCCTTCAGCCATGAGCAGAAGGGTCTAGAAAGCGGGTGCAACAATCTCTTGACAACCTTTCTTCGATGCTCCCAAGTCAAGCGGGCATACACCTGTGCAGACTGAGGCCGGGCTGGCGCCTTTGATAAGCTGCTCCATAACTTGCAGATTTGTTTCAGCTCTGCTACCGATAGGTGAACTTAAAGAGGATCCTGCGGGGACCAGCCTAATCCCGTTCATTAACGGTTTGAGGGAGAGACGGTTCAAAGAGCATGTTAATGAAGCGCACAAGGCTGATATTAGTTAAAAAGGAATTGCAAATAGTGGTGCAAAGTAGAATCATGGGGAAATGTAGCTTAGCAGAGGGTTGGGAAGTAATTAAGCCTGACCTGTGAGCCATGCAGACCTCCATCTGGAAGGCGCAGTGCAGACCACGAGTGCAAAGCCAGACTCTCTTGAATTGGGAATGGGAAAAGGCTGGGAGAGGAGGAGGGGGGTCCATTGCTTCTCTGTGCTTTGATGGTCATTTGTTGCATCTCTCTCTTTCCTCAGCATATATGCCGATCGGCCACCCTGGCGGGGTGGGGGGAACTTTATGGGCGCACAGGATACAACTACATTTTCTCAGGTAAGGGAGGTGTAGGTTTGGTAATAGTTGCCATGTGTTACCTCTGTTTTATGACGCTAGTTGGGGGAGCATCCTTGAAAACTGGTGTGAGCAGCAGGCTTGAGCTGCCATTGAGGACAGTGGCTTAGTTCAAAAAGGAAACCAAACTCATGTTCCCTAGAAAGCCAAAGCTGGCAAGTTCTGCAAGGAGAGAAAGATGCACAGGGTACTGTCAGGTGGTGGTAACCATTTGTGGCCTTATCTTGTGGGTCCGCAAGCTCCTCCGTAAGCTTCCTGTTTCAGTATTGGTGTCTGCTCCCAAGGGCATCTTTGTTGCATGTCTTCAATGATGAAGCAATTGCGGGAATCCCTGGTTGCGCAGGAGAACTGTGACCAGGGTGGCTTTTCTCGTTCTTCAGACACTGCTGCATAGATTCTGCATTTCAGAAACGAAGCAAAACCTCTGGGCCAAGGGAGCTACCCTGTTGCACAAAGAAAATCTGATTTCCAACTTTCAAGTTAGGCAAAATATGACATTTAGACAGTTGTCCTCTTAATTATGGGGACACGGATGGTGCTGTGGGTTAAACCACAGAGCCTAGGACTTGCCGATCAGAAGGTCGGCGGTTCGAATCCCTGCGACGGGGTGAGCTCCCGTTGCTCAGCCCCTGCTCCTGCCCACCCAGCAGTTCGAAAGCACGTCAAAGTGCAAGTAGATAAATAGGTACCGCTCTGGCGGGAAGGTAAACGGCGTTTCCGTGCGCTGCTCTGGTTCGCCAGAAGCGGCTTAGTCATGCTGGCCACATGACCTGGAAGCTGTACGCCAGCTCCCTTGGCCAATAAAGCGAGATGAGCGGCGCAACCCCAGAGTCGGTCCCGACTGGACCTAATGGTCAGGGGTCCCTTTACCTTTACCTCTTAATTATGGGGAGCTGCACTCAATGCTAAGACTCCCCTCCTCTATTTTCTGATTGCCCGTACACCTTCAGGAGGTCATTGCAGCATTAAGGTCTTTAACATGGGTGGGGAACCTCTGGCCATATTTGGTCCAGCACAGGTCCCAATCTGACTGGTGAGGCTGTTTCCCCCAAACCACACCCAGCTGCTCCATAGCTGACATCACATATGAGGAGTCAGGTGTAGGGCAGGTACAGGTGCAACTGGATAGGCTGTGTGACAGACTTCCTTGTGGGGCAGCCTGATCACACAGCCTATCACTGCAGAGAGCTGCATTGAAGTCCCCACCCATCAGCTAAATGGGTGGTGAGGTCATGCCTGTTGTGATTGGCTGTGTGCCCCAATTGTGCTGATGGCCAGTGACTGCAGTCCTGCTTTCTGCAAAGGATCCGCTGCATGACTCAGTTTCCTGAAGGCATCTCTGTTGCATTGCTGATCTCTGCAGAAAGCGGCTGAGCCAGAGCCCTGTCCCTGGTGTCTGGGAAGCGTTGAGCAGGACGCTTGAGCAGGTGAGCTGGACAGGCCACATGTCAATCATCTGACATCATTGTGATGTCAGGTGGTTGTCAGGTAGGCTGTCCCATGGGGTGGAGGCAGATAAGGATCTGGTCCACCGGGCCAAAAAAGTTCCCCAATCCTGTTTTTTGTTTTGTTTCTTTAAAGAAAGAATTGAAACTGTTAGTGTTAGTGCATGCATCAAATTTTTCACCTAGACTAAATGAACAGTCTTGATTTATTGCCAGCATCACTTGCTTTACCATGCAGGAAGCAGGCACACGTTCCTTATCCACTCGATAAGTTTCATGTCAAAAAACACTTTTAATATAATATTTAATGTTATGCATAGCACTGAAAAGTAAAAAGATAGGTGTTGTGTCAAATATACCTGGGTGGTCCAGGAGAATAAACTAGCGTGGGACTCTGATCTCTTCAGAGCCATGAAGTCATTGAGTGCCAGTATGGTGTAATCTGTGTCATCTTAGCTGCTGTATCTCAGCCTAGCCTACCTCGCAGGGTCATTTTCTTTTTTTTCTTTTTTTCTTTTTTAAATGATATTTATTAAAGTTTCACAAAGATACATGAAAATACAGAATAAAGAAAAAGTATAAAGTTTTAAGATATAACAAAAACAGTAAAAAATAAGAAAAGAAAAAAACGTACAAAATAAAACAGTTAAAAACACAATAAAGTTCCATAACCTATCTTCCTTACTCTTATTTCCCCGGACCTCCTCATACCTCCCAGGGTCATTTTCAGGGTCTACATCACCTTGGAGCAATTTCCCAACCCTCCGCAATTCCCCATCAATGAAACGAGGGGTGGGACTGAAGGCAAAAGCTCTGTAATAAAGCTGGTCCCGTTAGTAGTATCCTTCCAGTTTGTGAGGCGGCGAGCGAGTCGCTTATGTGGGACGAGCCTGATAATTTGATAGGACTCGTTCATCATCACAAATGGCATCTTACATTATTGGAACACGCAGGAAGTCCAAAACCATGCTTTGTGGGAGAAGTGCTGAGATTCCTATGCCAGCTGATCCAATCTGTTTAGGGCAGAGGTAGCTGTGGCTACTAATATGCTGAACTTCTCTCGGTGTCTTCTCTGCAGGGGGCACAGACGATGCCTGGGCAGATACAGAGGATATGTCAGAAGAGGACTCTGCTTTCAGGTCTGTTTGACCCAACCACTTCCTACAAATATGTCAGACAACCTTTTGACTCCTTTTCCTACATGGATCTGCTTTATGCTGCCATGGCAGGGAGGAAATGTAAGAGGGACCTTTCCTGCCACCATGGAGCTGCAGTAACAGAAAAACTTGCACTTCCATAATTTCATCTCTCCCAAGGCAGGCAGGTACTTGGCTGTTGTGGGTCACAAAGCAATGGCTGGTGTTCTGTGAGAACAGGCCAGTCCAATGATGCTTTTTCTGGACTGCAGTAGAGTTCATGGGGGGAAGTAAGGATCGTATGAGAGGTGGACTGAGAGCAAGTCCCACACACTTGCTGCCAATATTGTTTTTTTAATTCCATGAACCTATAGCCTGCTGTACTATATTAAGGCACTTGGAAGTGCTTCACAGTAGAATTTAAAACAAAACTGGAGAACAACTCATAAAAAGCAGTCCTAAAATCTCAGCATAGAAATATCAATAATAAAATACTTTCAGACTTCGGCGAGATCAAAAGAACAGTTTGAAGCAAAACTTTAAAAACCCATTGGCAGAATGGGCTCCATTGTTAATGCATAGCTTGCAGTTTTAAGATTATTCCTTCTGGTAATTTTAGGCCAATTAAAATCCTCTCTCAAGGACTTGGTTGTTTGCCACTCACAGGGCAGTGTTGGACGTGTGTGACTTCTAAATTTGATTGTTTAACTGGTTTGGCTTAGCTTCCTCCCCTCCCGAAGTTAATTCTGGAGGCCTTAATTCTGGAAGTTGTTGGGGACCTCTTTGGAGTTCTCAGGAACCCCTACAGAACCACCCCCAGAATATGGGGTGAGGTCAGGACACCTAAATCAATGTACGTTTGCATAGTAGATGTGCTCCCTTACAAGAACCTCCAGAGATTTGGATAAAAAATGTAACCCGTTTTCCTAAAGAGGTTCTTCAGATGCTTTTACTACTGAGCTGGGGCACCATCCATCAGGGAAGTTCTCCTGCAAAAGCCACGCTGAAATCAACGGGTCTTGCACAGGAGAATCGCCCGGCTTACCATGTCCTTGGTCTTGGCCATTGTAGAGTATTAGGACTGCTGTGTGAAGCGTTTTGTGTTGGCCTGTAGGACTTGCTTATGCCTCGATTCTGCTAATCTGAGCCTTCCGCATTTCCTCCTCCGGGCGGAAAACCTCATCCCCTTGTCCTATATTTCAGAAATGCAGACTCGCAGCTGTTCGACAAGGTCCGAGGTCATGACATCAAGCTCTTGAGGTACCTGTCGGTTGCGTACATCTGTGACTTGATGGTGGAGAACAAGAAAGTGAAGTTTGGCTTGAAGTAAGTACGGGTGCCATTTGTGTGTTGTGCGTCCCAATTGGCTGCCGGCAAATTTTGAGAAGCACTGCAGGTGAAGGATGCTCCTGAGAGCAGGTGTAGGACAGCGGTCAGATTTAGATCAGGGATACTCCACCATGGTTCTCACTGTTGCCTAAAGCTTCCTGAGTAACTAACCGTGAGCAGGTCACTATCACTCGGCCTCAGCTGCCTTCAAGGGGGTATTGCGAGGATAAAAGGCAGAAGAGTAGAGTTTGGACGGGGAAGTTATAGCACTCCAGATATTGAACTGCAACTCCCATCATCCCTGACTATTGGCCATGCTGGCTGGGGCTGATGGGAGTTGGAGTTCAGTAGCATACCAAGGTTTCCCCATCCCTGCTGCAGAGAAAAGGGTGGGATAAAAATATATTGAAATGAGTTTAAAAAATTTAAAAAGTAAAGGAAGCCAAGTTATTGCTGCCATCTGGATATAGCAACCAGGTTTCATTTTCAGCAAACGTTCCTAGAGTCGTCCTCTCTCTTTTGACTTCTCTTCTCCTGCCCTGCTGGAAAGAGCCCCCAAATGGAGGAATGTGCCGAGTGCCTCTCTGTGTTTTTGGCCTAGGTTTGTTTTTCCTCTAGCGTAGAGCATCCTGAAGTGTGGCGGCAGATAGTTGTTCTGCACATAATGCAGAATGCTAGGTAGCAGCACTTCGGAATGCAAATGGGTGAGGAAGTTAAAATTATTATTTTTTATGGTCCCATACATTAAAATGCTCTTTGCGTGTAGCAAAATAGAGATGTCAGGGAGAAGACTACACTGAACTTTTCTCTTGCGAGTTTGCTCGCTATGTGCAGGAATAATGTTTTATAGTGCATTGATCAGCTCAAAGTCTCTGCCATAAAATGCTTGCTTAATTAGGCAGGGTGCTTTTGTTGTTGTTGTTGCAGGGAGCTTTTCCAGGTCTTGGCAGGATGCCTGCCACTTGGTAGCCATGAGCTTAAAAAACTTGGCTTGCTTCATAAATGAAATTGGTTTGTGGCATTCTGCATTCAGCGTGATGCCATTTCTAATTCCCCACCCCAGACTCATCAAAATGAAAAACAAACAAGCTTCTGTTGGAGAGTAGGCGTGAAGGGTAATCCAGCCAGGTACTTCTTTGTAATCTTCAAGAAAAGGAAAAGAAAAAGAATTCCAGATGGGATAATTTAAGCACAAAGACTAGCTCATGCCTTAATTGGAAAGAGATCCTGAATGTGCAGTTATTCTCTGTAAACTTTGTTGGGGGAAAGCTGAGATTATTCGGGGTGGGGGCGGGGAGCAGCAAGGGAAATTGGGCTGACTTTGTTGAGGTTGGCCCACAATTGCCACGCCACGCCAGCCAGCTTCACACACATGTAGTGCGTTTCTCTGTTTTCCTTCCTTAGCGTGACGTCTTCCGAGAAGGTGGATAAAGCACAGCGCTATGCAGACTTCACCCTCCTCTCCATCCCGTACCCAGGTAGGAAGGAAGCGTTCTGAGGGACGAGCAGCAATTCCTCACAGCTGTCTAGTGCAGCCTTCCTTAGCCTGGTTCCTTCCAGATGTTTTGGCCTACAACTCTCAACAGCCCCAGCCAGTGCAGTGCAGTACAGTACAGTGGTACCTCGGGTTACAAACACCTTGGGTTACAAACACCTTGGGTTACAAACACTTCGGGTTACAGACTTCGCTAACCCGGAAGTAGTACCTCAGGTTAAGAACTTTACCTCAGGATGAGAATAGAAATTGCGCGCCAGCGGGAGGCCCCAGTAGCTAAAGTGGTACCTCAGGTTAAGAACGGTTTCAGGTTAAGAACGGCCCTCCGGAACGAATTAAGTACGTAACCAGAGGTACCCTGGGGGCTGATGGGAGTTGTGGTTCAAAACACCCTGAGGACCATTAGGTTGGGGAAAGCTTTCATACTGGGAAGAGGGCAGAATGGCTATGAGTTTCTCCCACAGTAAAATAGGAGCACCTCCAATATCCAAGGAGACAAAACTCTTAAGGGGTGCAGAATAAAACCACCTCTTTCATTTACAAAATTGTTCTACTTTCTTTATCGCACCCAACATATTTCAAGAATTGCACGGTCTCTTATCAGAGTCCCTGCTTGTCTCGTGATGGAGGAGTTCCTTTGTCTTTTGGGAGAAAACTCTGGAAATATAAGGCTCCTCAGTCAGAGTCTAGCAGTCTCTGCCCATGGCTTTTAGACCGGGTCTGTGTTGCCCTTCCATGCTCTCACTCCCACAAACCCCCACGGGAACATAGCCAGTAGCACATCAAAAGTGGATGTTGCTGCAAATGGATGTCACATGCCGGGATAATGGGTGACTGCAGAAAGGATGCGTCCTTGAATTTGGCATCGCCGCTCACCCGCCATGCTGGAATTCGGGCTTTCCCCTCCCTGCTATTTCCAAGCCTGGGATTCTGCTGCTAGGAAACAGCGAGGAAACTCACGGCAAGCAGGTGCTGACCTGGAAACTCTGCAAAGTCTTGAAATGCTGTGGGATGTTCCTCGAGAGGCATTACGTGGGGGGAATGAGCACATGCTTAGGTGCTCGACATCTTCTAATGGATGGGAGACCCACACTGGGAGTGTTCCAATTAAGGTCGCATCAAGCCATGGGTGAATTGTCACCACCAGAACATGGCTCTGTAATTGCCAAGGTTTTTTTTTTATATTAAAGTTTGTGAAGGCTTCTCAAACCAATCTAGGAAGTGCCTTTGTGTGTGTGTGTACATACTTATATATACGAGAATCCATTTTGAATTCAAGCAGCATGATGCTCTAATCGCAGCTGGCCCAAACCTTGTATGACCATTATGCTTCATATAGCCTAGCTTAAGGTCACATCCGCTCCAAACATTTAAAGCACTATTAAACCACTTTCAGCAGCCCTGGAGGATCTCGGGCACTGCAGTTTGTTCAAGAGTGCCGGGAACTGTAACCCTGCAAAGTTAGCACCCTTAGGAACCTACAGTTTGTCAGGATATCCACTCGACCAAGCTGATAAAGCTCATTTTCTTCCCCCAAGTCCTTCAGAATCGCCTCCCGACGTGTTTAACCACCTGAGCCTTTGATAAGGCTCCAGGGCACGTTCCATTCAACAGAGTTTCCAGCACAGGAAAGAGACGAGAGGTTTGGGCTACATGGTTAAAGAGTTTTATTTCTTAACCATGCAGACGGAAAACACATCCTCTCTCTATGAAAGCAGAGAGCAACTGAACAAAGGAAACAGGAAACCAGTAACGTCACATCCGTCTCTAGTCTCCCGTGAGACTTCCAATAGCCTGGACTGTCTCTGGAATGTAAACAGAGTCCTGTGACTCCAAGCAGCTGCTCAGTGGCAAAACAGAAACTAACACAGTTCCCAGGGTTATTTGGAGGAAGACATGACTGTTAAAGTGGGAAATAATTCTTTAAATGTATGGCCTGGATGGAGAGGAACTACACTCTCATTCTGAGAGAATGTTTTAAAAATCGGCCAGCCAGTGTGGTGTTGTGGTTAAAAACCCGCGTTCAGATGCCCACTGGTCATGACACTCACTGGGTGAGCTTGGGCCCAGTCATTACCTCTCAGCCTAAGCTACCTGAACCCACCTCACAGGGTGGTTGTGGGAATTAAATGGAGAGGAGAACCCTGTACACCGCCTTCAGCTCCTTGGGAGAAAAAGGTGGGGCATAAGTCAAACAAACAAACAAATCTGTGTCTCTGAAGAAGCGTGCATGCACACGAAAGCTCATGCCAATAACAAACTTAGTTGGTCTCTAAGGTGCTACTGGAGGGACGCAGGTGGCACTGTGGGTTAAACCACAGAGCCTAGGGCTTGCCAATCAGAAGGTCGGCGGTTCGAATCCCCACGACGGGGTGAGCTCCCATTGCTCGATCCCTGCTCCAACCTAGCAGTTCGAAAGCACGTCAAAGTGCAAGTAGATAAATAGGTACCGCTCTGGCGGGAAGGTAAACGGTGTTTCTGTGTGCTGCTCTGGTTCTCCAGAAGCGGCTTAGTCATGCTGGCCACATGACCCAGAAGCTGTACACCGGCTCCCTCGGCCAGTAAAGCGAGATGAGCGCCGCAACCCCAGAGTCGGCCACGACTGGACCTAATGGTCAGGGGTCCCTTTACCTTTAAAGTGCTACTGGAAGGAATTTATAAATTTATTACGATGATGATTATTAAAAATAGACACCCGGTCCTTCTTCCCAAAGGAACCCGGGGACATTTTCATATGGCTACGTGCAAATAACCCCTGAGCATGCATATCGCTTTGCAGGCATGTTGTGGAATAAAACTGTTCAGGAGCAAACACTTTAAAACATGGTTTGAAGAACCCGTGTGTCGCGAACTGTGTTCCCCGCCCTGTGGCCTCTTCTTCACTGCCAGCTATTCCAAGCGAGGGGATTTCAGGCTTCTCCCCTGCCAGCAAACACCATTTCAAGAGTCTCTTCCTTTTCCAAACCAGCTTTGGGGGTTGGGGAAGCGGGTAGCTGAAAGCCATGTGCCGATGCATGAAATGCACTCGCTGGGGCAGAGTTTGAGAGCGCGGTCCCATGGCTGGTTTCAGCTTCTGGCAACAAGCCTTGCCTGCTGCCTGGTGAGGGCTGCCTGTCCCTGCTTCCTTGCTTGCCACTGAGCCTCCTGTGACCCCTTGGTGCCGGGCTGGTGGTGGTGATGACAGTGGTTTGCAGCCTGGTTGCTGCAGACCAGGCTGACTGCTTGTCTGACCTCTTGTGACCCAGCAACCAGCTCTAGCCCATAACACACTGTTTGTCCTGGACTCTTGATTCTGGAGAAGAGACACAGAGTGTATCCTCCCTCTATCTCAGAAGGGGCTGAGTGGCAGGGTGGATAAAAAATCAATGGTTTTTAAAAATAAAAAAATGGATTATTAAAATTTAAATCAGATTTTAATTATTTAAATTGGGTTTTTAAAATAAAATGATTCGGGAGGAAAAATCTTTTTTAAGGATAGTTTTCTGTTTAGGTTACATTATAGTTCAAAGGCTATTTATCAGAAAATAAGGATTTGTTTTAAGTTTTTCATGTGTGCTAAAACCGAGTCTGTTTAAAAAAAAAAAAAAAGTTTAACCACACCTGTTAACAAACGTGGATGCATATGCTATAATTTATTGCTTTAGTTAAATAAATTGTTTAAATTGTTATTAAGAAAATGATTGTTTTTCTCCTTCCAATAAAGTACAGCAGAAAAGTTGTCCAAATATAAACAGTTAACTTATTAAACCTCACAATCATTTAATCATTATGTGTCTGTGTGTTTCTAATAGTACAACCAAATCAGTAATTTTTGATATAACTGTAAAAACTAACTCTGAAAATTTATTATTACAAAAATGAAACCTTCATCTGGTTGTAAATATTAAGATTATACCAGCAAGAATTAGTCTTTCTGTAAAAAAAATGATTTAAATCAAGTCTTACTGACTAGTGATTTAAGTCGGGATTTAAATCGATTTGATTTAAATCGAATCCACCTTGCTGAGTGGGAAGTCAGGTCTGGATACTACCCTGTGCACGTTCATTCACGGATTCCCTCTCACCCTCCTTTTTCTCTTCACGCAGGCTGTGAATTTTTCAAGGAGTACAAAGAGCGGGGCTACCGGGCGGAAGGGCTCGTTTTTAACTGGAAGCAGGTACGGGGGCAGGCCGTGAAGCAGAGTTACCACAAAGCTGTTCCAAGATAAACTTTTTCAAGGCTCTTGGTTTTTGCCGATGGCCCAAGCTGTTTGCGAACCAACTCTGGGGGCAGAGACCTGGCCTTTGTTTCTTCGTAGTCACCGGAATCTTTTCACAGGCTTAATTTTGCAACAGAGTCCATGTTCCCAGTGCTAGGACTCAATCCTGGAATGTGAAACAAGTGGGGTTTACGGCCAGCCGGCTGTGTCCTTTCCCAGACTCCTCTGTTTCCTTTTTCTGTCTGCGCTTTTCCACTTCTGAGGGCCCCAAACACTTGATTTCTCTGGCCACTGAGCACTGGGTTCTTTTGGGGTCTCCTTTTTGGGAGTGGGGCTCAGTTTTTTACGCAGGGTTCCCCCTCCCCGCAAGCCCTCTTGTGTGTTGATAGTTATGCTTTGGCATGACTATCAACACACAACTATTACAACTATTAAGGATTGTAACTTGGCAAAGGAGTTTTCCATTAGTATGTACAAGTAGGGGTCACTGCAACATTGACTTGTTTCTCTTCAGGTTTCCATCTTCCCTATTCCATCCCTTCTTTCCTTGGGTCCTCTGCTCAACAAGCAGATAATTCAACAGATGACCATATTTTTCGCTCTATAGGACGCACCCGACCATAGGACACACCTAGTTTTAGAGGGGGAGAACAAGAAAAAAAAAATCTCTCCCTCTCTGCGCAGCGCCCCTTCAGCAAAGCGGCAGGAGAAACGGGGCCCCTTCCATTTCTCCTCCCGCTTCGCTGAAGGGGTGCTGCGCAGAGAGGGAAAGCTGAGCAGCGCCTCTCCAGCGAAGTGAAGCCAGGAGAGCAAGAGGGATCGGTTTGCACTGATCCCTCTTGCTCTCCAGGCATCAGCGGCTATCCCTGAAGCCAGGAGAGTCTTCCTCTCCTGGCTTCAGCGAAAGCAACCCGCTGTGCTCCGGAGGCTTCCAGCGGCTATCCCTGAAGCCTGGAGAGCGAGAGGGGTCGGTGCACGCCGACCCCTCTCGTTCTCCAGGCTTCAGCGAAAGCAACACGAAGCCTCCGGATCGTGGCAGGAGCGCTCCCGCTGCGCTTTAGAGGCTTCACGTTGCTTTCGCTAAAGCTATGGAGCCTGCATTCGCTGCATAAGACGCACACACTTTCCCCCTTAATTTTTGGAGGGGAAAAAGTGCATCATATAGAGCGAAAAATACGGTAATCAGCATTCTGTGCCTGTTGAATATGCTCAGTGGGCTGTTTTGTTCCCCTTTTTCTTAAAAATAAAATGGTGAGGGGTAATCCATTTGACTGTGTTTCTATGTCCTCCTGTTAGCCATTCCAGTGTGTTCGCCCCCTTCTAGTTATCCCCTCCCACCTCAACATTCCACGCTACTTGAGCTATTAAGGGATTATTGGGGTTTTTAGGATTTTCCTTGCTGGTTTTGTGCGTCCGTTTTGGCTACACAAACCTGAGAAGGCTCAGATTAGTGTACAGGTTGCCCCTGAGCAGTTAAAAGGATTCATTTTGTTTACCAGGGAATGGGGTGGAAGGAGCTGTCGGGTCAGAGGGCGGTGTTCTGGGGCAGATGAACCTTGGTGCTATTTTCCTGAAAGTCAGAGAGTGTCTGTTTAGGTGTTGGCCGGTCTTGGCAGCACCGTCACAGACAGCCCCACCTTCGCACTTACAGCCACAAGAGGGCCTAGAATCTGCAGCAGTTTTGGGAGTTGCTGCTTCTGTCCTTCCCCTTCCCCACAGCTGCTCAGACTCTCCTCTCTGAGAAATCCTTTTGAAAGCATTCAGCCAAGAGGCTTGTTCCTCCCATAGAAAAGGACGCCACAGTAACGCGCTTCACAACGGGGAGACGTAACTCAGGTGGAATACGGTTGCTGTGAAATCTAGCAGGCGTGCAATGCCACACTCCACGGTGTCTTCTTCAGCACTTATGAACCGCCGTAAATCAGGATTCGGAGCTCAGGAGGAAGGCTTTGAAAGCCACTTAATTGTAGAGAGACGGGGCCATTCATTTAGGTAGGGATTGCCAGCTTCTGTATTCCAGGCAGCCAGTGATGTTTCACTCCCAGGCTGGTCTTGGGAGGGGCAGAAGGGCGTATTTTGCTGCACAAACTGGCTTTTTCAGAGATGTGTGGAGCTGAGAGGAACCTTGGGGGTCGTCTCATTCATATATGGGTGTGTGGGTGTGGGTGGGTGTATATATATATATATATATATATACACACACACACACACACACACACACACACCGTATTTTTCGCTCTATAAGACACACCAGACCACAAGACGCACCTAGTTTTTGGAGGAGGAAAACAAGAAAAAAAATATTCTGAATCTCAGAAGCCAGAACAGCAAGAGGGATTGCTGCGCAGTGAAAGCAGCAATCCCTCTTGCTGTTCTGGCTTCTGGGATAGCTGCGCAGCCTGCATTTGCTCCATAAGACGCACACACATTTCCCCTTACTTTTTAGGAGGGAAAAAATGAGTCTTATAGAGCAAAAAATACGGTGTGCATATATAGATAGATAGATAGATAGATAGTCTGTTGAAGGAAAAGCTAGACACTTCCTAAGCCAGCCTCTGTCTCACTGTCAAACAGCTTTTACCAGGAGGAAGCTTCTAGCACTTAGCCGAAATCTCCTTCCCTGCAGACTCTACCCATTTGTTCTAGCCCTGCTCTCTGGAGCAATGGGAAAACAAGTTTGCACTGTCTTTTGGGGACTGAGCATGCTCAGCGGACACAGAATGCTGACTGGGGCAGAGACCCAGAAAAAGACAGAATGAAATAGAAAAGATGGAAGCCTGAAGCTTCTACCCTTCAGATATTTGAAGACGAACATGTCTCCCCTTAATCTTTGCTCCTCCAGGCTAAACATACCCAGATATTTCAAATGTTTCTTATAAGACCTTGTTTCGAGACATCCTGGTCTCCCTACTCTGGGCATGCTTCAGTTTGTCAGTGCCCAGAACAGGATAGATTACTGCCGATGATTAGCCAGAATAGTGCAGTACAGAGCAGAACTCCTGCTTCTCATGATCAGAGCACTATATGTCTATTAATGCACAAGTAGTGCAGGCGCCATAATAAAGCCTGTGTCATCTAGTCATTGGGGCTTCTCAGGAACGAAACACATGTTGTTAGGCTTGGCACTGTACACTTAAAAATGTTTCCTGCATGTAAACAAACGAGGGACAGGAAGGCTATGTTAACGTGTGGAATATTTTTTTAAATCTGAAAACACTGCCTTCGTATATGTGGAACCGAGTTGAACGTTTGACCCTACCTCATTTTAAATTTGGTAGGACTGTCAAAACGGGATGGGGGGGGGGGAACTGGCCGTTCCCAATTTAGGCGATGAGAAAATTCAGTGCCTGGAAAAGTCGTTGAGATGCATAGAGATGTCATTGGGGGAAATGGCTTACAGTGACAACTGGCGTGAGACAGCCAGCATAGTGTATTGACTGTAACGTCATACTAGGACTGGGAAGACCTGAGTTCAAATCCTACCCAGGTATGAATCTTCAGGAGGTACCTGGAGCCACCCACTGTCTCTCAACCTCACCTTATCTTAACAGGGTTTTTCTGAAGATAAAATGGGAAGTCCCGTTTGTATCAGACAAGAGATATAAATGAAATAAGTAAATAATACACCAGGATACAACTAAGGCTGCAAGTGGCCTTGGGAGCAAACTCCCCCTGAATTCATAGGGACCTAATCATGAGCAAATCTGCATGGGCTTGGGCTGAAAGTCTTGGACCCAAAGCTAAGCTTTAGATGAGAGGAATAGAGGAGTAAAATACACAGACCTGTTTGTAGTACAGGATTTCTAGTACAGTGGTACCTCAGGTTACATACGCTTCAGGTTACATACACTTCAGGTTGCAGACTTCGCTAACCCAGAAATAGTGCTTCAGGTTAAGAACTTTGCTTCAGGATGATAATAGAAATCGGGCTCCGGTGGCACAGTAGCAGCAGGAGGCCCCATTAGCTAAAGTGGTGCTTCAAGTTAAGAACAGTTTCAGGTTAAGTACGGACCTCCGGAATGAATTAAGTACTTAACCTGAGGTACCACTGCACTTCCTTCATCACATCATTCTACCCCTGATGGACCTTGTGCCACTTTCTTTGCAGGATTATGTTGATGCTCCTCTCAGCATCCCAGTCTCTCTCACCGAGCGGTTGAACATTGATTGGAGCGAGTATCAGGTAAGATGGCAGGTCGCAAGGACCAAGTTTCCCCCTGACCCCTGGATGGTAGACGGGGCATAATGTCTTACACCGTAACCAGTGTTTCTCAAACTTGGACCCCCAGCTATGTTGGACTACAGCTCCCATCATCCCTGACCACTGGTCCTGCTAGCTAGGGATGATTGGATTTGAGTCTAGCAACAGCTGGGGACCCAAGTTTGAGGAATACTACCATAAACTCATGAGGATGTTTGGTATGGCTAATGTTCTACATTTGTGTTGATGTGATTCTCTCTCCTGTTTACTGAAAGCTGCTTAATTCAGTTTATTTCTAGTATTTTATACAAAGTTGTACGGATTCTTTTTTTGCTACTGGTGTTAACGATGAACACTAGTAACGTCTTTGAATTGCAATTGTCGTTCATGTGATACGTTGAGAACCATTTTGGGCACAATTTTGTGGGAAGGTTCTACAGAAATCAACAAAGAAATGATGCTCCAGTAATTGTTCCACATAAGAGTTTCCAGAGGCGATCTGTGGACTCCTGGGGGGAAAAGTTGGTGATGGTGGTAAACAGTATGCACATTTAAAAAGTGCTTTTATGGTCTGTATCTGAGTTGAGCCCCCGCCCCCAATAACCTTATGAGCCTACCATCAGAATTTCACCTTACCCACTTTTTCTCTCTGGAGCTGAGAGCAGTTTAATTCTTGGTTCTCGGGCAGCCTCCCCCCCAGGTAGCTAGCCCTGCTTGGCTTCCTTCAGTTGCAAAATTTCATTGTGTCCTTTCTAGCCATTTTCTGAGCCGATTGGGGTAGGAACAGCAGTGAGTCCACTTAAGAAGGAGCCCTGCTGGACCAGAGAGAGGCTACTTCCAGTGTAGCACTCTGTTTGCAATAGTGAACCACCAGTAAACTACACACAAAGCACAAAGGGAATAGCTCTTCTCTTGACATGTCCCAAGCCCATGGTATTCAGAGGTACGCAGGTGTACTCTTTCAAGCCGGGATGAACATTTCCGGGGTAAATTTGCAGCCTACTTTTCTGACAAGCAGTTTATATCCAAAGTGCTTACAGTACTTCTTAAAAATGTATGAATGGCATGTAATAATAATAACATAGCTGTCAGCTTTTCCCTTTTCTTGCGAGGAATCTTATTCTTTTTTCTTTTTCCTTTCTCCTCCTGTGATGAGGCTGCATTTTAATATTTTAATGTTTCAATATTTTAATTGTTGTATTTTAATCTTGTTTTTAAGTTATATTCATTCAACTTGTTTTTATTATTGCTTGTTAGCCGCCCTGAGCCCGGCCTTGGCTGGGGAGGGCGGGGTATAAATAAAAATTATTATTATTATTGTTATTTGGAATAAGGGAATTTCCCTTAAAAACAGGGGGAAGTTGACAGCTATGAATATAATAATAATAATAATAATAATAGCGTTAAAACAATTTATGTGTTACCTTTAATTTTGAGAAGAAAGGCCAAGGCACTTCTCAAACAAACAAAAGCCGACAGCAGAAAAACCGGTACAAAACGGGACTCTAAATCAGGAATGTATAAATAACGCCGTTAAAAAGTTTCAAGTGCCTCGAAACACAAAGCGGAGCCTCTTTAATTGCAAAACACGGCGAAAACATGCTCACAATGGGAGGGCATGTTATCAGAGAGCAGCAATCCATTAAAAGCCTGCATAGATAAGTGGTTTTTTTCAATTCCCTTGTGTGGATTAAGCTGAAGCCATTCCGTGTATGTATATAACGGGTGTGTAGGTCAGCGGGGGAGGTGCACTTGAGAAGCTTTCTCAGATGTGGCCCAAAACCTGGGTGCGTGTGGAGAGGAAACGGTTCTGCTCCACCTAAATAGATGGAGATCTGGCATGACCCCATCCTATCATCTGGACAGCATTGGGAGAATGCTTTCCTGAGCAATCCTGTGCTAGTGAGTAGTTTGTTAGACTATACAGCAGGGCAGTCTGGGCCGTGGGTTGCATGTGACCCACAAGGCTCATTTTGGCAGCCCTCGGCAACATTCAAGAAAAAATAAATCTTAAAGCCTTAAAAAGATATATTTTTTGTGTGTCAGGTGTGGTTAACGAAAGTGCGTACGCCTGTGTATTAGCTTTGTTTTATAATTAAATCTATTATTTGTGTATTTAATATTAATTTAAATAGATTAATTGTGCTTATTAAATAATATTAAACATACTGTGAACGCTTTAATGTTGCGATGTGGAAATTGAATTGAAGTGTGTGGCAGCTTCTGTGTCGAAGTATAGTACTCTTTCAGCCCGCTTGGTATGAAAGGTTGGACCGCTCTGTTATGGAGCAATAAATGTGCCTGAATAGTTCTGATGCCATTCTGCCCTGCCTTCTGGGAAACAGGCTTGAGAAAACTTTTTGGAGGATCCTGTCTGTCTGTCTCTTACTCTCTCACAAACACAATTTCTGCATGTGCTGTCCTGAAACAGGCTTGAAGTACCAGGGCATTTTTGTTGCTGACTTACAGACACAGCCCAGAATAACTAAGGAGATAGTACAAGAATACTTGGCTAGTTTAGATGTATTCAAGTCTCCAGGGCCAGATGAACTGCATCCAAGAGTATTAAAAGAACTGGCAGATGTGATCTCAGAACCACTGGCAGTCATCTTTGAGAATTCCTGGAGAACAGGCGAAGTCCCGGCAGACTGGAGGAGGGCAAATGTTGTCCCTATTTTCAAAAAGGGGAAAAGAGAGGACCCAAATAATTACCGCCCAGTCAGTCTGACATCAATACCAGGGAAGATTCTGGAGCAGATCATTAAGCAAACAGTCTGTGAGCACCTAGAAAGGAATGCTGTGATCACCAATAGTCAGCATGGATTTCTGAAAAATAAGTCATGTCAGACTAACCTGATCTCATTTTTTGACAGAATTATAAGCCTGGTAGATGAAGGGAACGCAGTGGATGTAACCTACCTTGATTTCAGCAAGGCATTTGACAAGGTGCCCCATGATATTCTTGTAAAGAAGCTGGTAAAATGCGGTCTTGACTATGCTACCACTCAGTGGATTTGTAACTGGCTGACTGACCGAACCCAAAGGGTGCTCATCCATGGTTCCTCTTCATCCTGGAGAAGAGTGACTAGTGGGGTGCCACAGGGTTCTGTCTTGGGCCCGGTCTTATTCAACATCTTTATCAACGACTTGGATGATGGACTCAAGGGCATCCTGATCAAATTTGCAGATGACACCAAACTGGGAGGGTGGCTAACACCCCAGAGGACAGGATCACATTTCAAAACGACCTTGACAGATTAGAGAACTGGGCAAAAACAAACAAGATGAATTTTAACAGGGAGAAATGTAAAGTATTGCACTTGGGCAAAAAAATGAGAGGCACAAATACAAGATGGGGACACCTGGCTTGAGAGCAGTACATGTGTATGGATCTTGGATTCTTGGTTGACCACAAACTTGACATGAGCCAACAGTGTGACGCGGCAGCTAAAAAGCCAATGCAATTCTGGGCTGCATCAATAGGAGTATAGCATCTAGATCAAGGGAAGTAATAGTGCCACTGTATTCTGCTCTGGTCAGACCTCACCTGGAGTACTGTGTCCAGTTCTGGGCACCACAGTTCAAGAAGAACACTGACAAACTGGAACGTGTCCAGAGGAGGGCAACCAAAATGGTCAAAGGCCTGGAAACGATGCCTTATGAGGAACGGCTAAGGGAGCTGGGCATGTTTAGCCTGGAGAAGAGGAGGTTAAGGGGTGATATGATAGCCATGTTCAAATATATAAAAGGATGTCACATAGAGGAGGGAGAAAGGTTGTTTTCTGCTGCTCCAGAGAAGCGGACACGGAGCAATGGATCCAAACTACAAGAAAGAAGATTCCACCTAAACATTAGGAAGAACTTCCTGACTGTAAGAGCTGTTTGACAGTGGAATTTGCTGCCAAGGAGTGTGGTGGAGTCTCCTTCTTTGGAGGTCTTTAAGCAGAGGCTTGACAACCATATGTCAGGAGTGCTCTGATGGTGTTTCCTGCTTGGCAGGGGGTTGGACTCGATGGCCCTTGTGGTCTCTTCCAACTCTATGGTTCTACGATTCTACACCCTTTTGCCTGTCTTCGAAGATCTCATTCCACATTCCCTCCCATGCCTAAACAAAGTACAGTGGTACCTCAGGTTACATACGCTTCAGGTTACATACACTTCAGGTTACAGACTCTGCTAACCCAGAAATATTACCTCAGGTTAAGAACTTTGCTTCAGGATGAGAACAGAAATCGTGCTCCGGCGGTGCAGTGACAGTGGGAGGCCCCATTAGCTAAAGTAGTGCTTCAGGTTCAGAACAGTTTCGGGTTAAGAACGGACCTCCGGAATGAATTAAGTACTTAACCCGAGGTACCACTGTATTTCTCACCAGCCCTTTCCCCCCCTTTCCCTTTGACACACACAGCATTTAAGGTTGGAATCAAGGTTTCCTTTATTTCTGTCCTAGTCCTTTCTTTTGAAGCAGGACTTCCCTGCTTAGCCTTAAAGCCTTTTCAAGATAAGTGCTTCTGCCCAAAGACACATGCTAAAGCAGGTGTGAGCGTCGCCATTTCCCAGAACAGGAACAGCATGCGTCTTCTATGAAGCAAAACCAGGGAGGGCCTGGAACTGACTAGGCCGCCACAAGACTAGGTGGACTGTGTCCCTCACCTCTTGTGGGTGACTTCCTTAAAAATAACATTCGCTGTAACATTCAACACATGCAGGGTACTGTGCTGAAAATCTGCTGACAACAAAGCAATGGCCTGTAGCGTTCTGCTGGTGCCCTGCAATTTCACCTCAATTCTGCCAAGCGTGGCTTGCCGTTAATTGCATTTTTGAGCACATCCTTGCCGGCGAGAGCTTCGCGGCGGAATGTCAGTCATTTTCTTTTGATTCCTCGGCAGCCAGTTGGCGCTGGCAACTTGGTGCGTGAGAGGAGATAACCCACCTGTTCCTGTGGCAGGTTTGGCCTTCAGACCCCACCCACCAGCCTAAGATACTCTGGATTGGCAGCTGCAGGTTGTTAAAAACAAAATGAAACCCTGCTATGCAGAACGTGAATTTGTTTAGAGCTGAATCATGGAGAAGATGAGAGAGAATTTGTGGGAAATGAATGGCCAAGTATATAGATGGCAAGTCATATGTCTTATGTGGCGCTCTAGGGTGACTGCTGGGAAATCATTTGTTATAGGCCTCATTTTTCTAGAGCACTGATCAGTGCTTTGCAGCTTCCACCATTCAAATTCCCCACAGCACCCCTAAAATAGTATTGCTCTGGGGGAATTGTGGGAAACTTCTCCCCCTATTATTTTTTTTTTTGACAAAGTAATAATCATAAATAAATAAGAATAAAAATGTGCACCCCACCACCGAGACCATTCCATTGTAACTATCCAACCTCCCAAAATTTCAGCATGAATTCTGCAAACGCCTTCCTAATAATAATAATTTATTATTTATACCCCGCCCATCTGCCTGAGTTTTCCTAGCCACTCTGGGCGGCTTCCAATCAAGTGTTAAAAACAATACAGCATTAAATATTAAAAACTTCTCTAAACAGGGCTGCCTTCAGGTGTCTTTTAAAAAGAAGATAGCTGCTTATTTCCTTCACATCTGAAGGGAGGGCGTTCCACAGGGCGGGCGCCACTACCAAGAAGGCCCTCTGTCTGGTTCCCTGTAACCTCACTTCTCGCAATGAGGGAACCGCCAGAAGGCCCTCGGTGCTGGATCTCAGTGAACGATGGGGGTGGAGACGCTCCTTCAGGTATATAGGTATATCTCCTCAAAATCATTTCTCCTGCGTATTCCCCATCTTACCTTAATGGCACATGTTAATTTATCATTAAAGGCTGGAATTGTGGGTAACTTAATGGCAGAAGTTGCCCGAGTCTGATCAGAGTGCTACAGATGCCAATTGCCAGTGCCTGTATTATTGCTATTGCTATTTATTAAGATTTATAATACCGCCTTTCATCACAAGATCTCAGGGCAGTTCACAATTAAGCCCAAGGAAGCCTATTAGTGCAAGAGGCACTTTTGCTTAAAGGCTTGGTCAAACCTGAAGCAGTAGCACAACGGGGGCCTATATTAGTGGGGCAAGGAAGCAGGCTGTAAACAGATTTCTGCCTTAGGTACCTTGTTGGAGCAAATGTGCTGCCCCCCCCTTTTTGCCGTAGCCATGAGCGCTGTTGTTATCATCCATTTAATTTATAAGCTGCTTCCCAAAGTGATTTGCAATAGAACAAAAGCCTGTATAAGTAAGTTTCTTATAGAAAAACAGTTTATAGCAACAGCACATACATAAAATCAATTCAGGTGCGGTACAGAGACCAAGTGAGATAAAGATCTCCGTTTAGAAGGCGGCAGTCATACCTTGGTTGGCGAACGCCTTGCAAGACAAACGTTCCGGCTCCCAAACGCCGCAAACCCGAAAGTGAGTGCTCCGGTTTGCAAACGTTTTTCAGAAGCCAAACGTCTGACGCTGCTTCCGCGGCTTCTGATTGAGTGCAGTAAGCTCCTGCAGCCAATCAGAAGCTGTGCCTTGGTTGTTGAACGTTTTCAGAAGTCAAATGGACTTCCGGATCAGATTCCGTCCGACAACCAAGGTACGGCTGTATTTGAAAAAGGAGGAATGTCTTTAGCAGGCGCTGAAAAGACAGCACAGAAGGTGCCAGTCTTACAAAGTGTGATGCAACTTGGGTGAGAGCGGATGCCCTTCCCAGTCTTTGACCAGAGCAGCCATTCTGCATTCCCAAAGTTTGATGGATCCCTGTTGTGTTTGTCTTCTAGCTCTCTCGAGTCACCTCATAATAATAAATGGGGTGGGGAAGACAAACACTGCCTGGTAAACATCTGTGGGGGCTTGAAGACTCCTCTCCCTCCTGACTTGCTGTCCCTGGGATCTTGTCGAGCCAATCCCATGCCAGTTGCCAAAAGTGGGTTAGGACTCTGCAGGCAGCTCGGTGGGGTCATTCCGAGACCAGCACAATGTGAAATTTCTGGCCCAGCCACCCCAATTACTGGGGGAGGATTCTGTTCCTAGGAGGGTAGCGGTTTTCCCTTCCCCTGCCCATTCCCAGGCCCTCCTGTTACTCACACACTGTATCTGTTTTCCACTGTGAAGCGCTCATGGATTGAGCTTCCCCATTTTGGGTGGGGGTGCACTTTCTGAAGTGGGTCGGGACGCAGCAGGGCGTTCATAGACTCTAATCAATGTTTCAGAACGCGCTCCGCCGCTGGGCTGTAACAGTTCTTTACTTTAGGGGGTCCTGGACGCACTCTGTGATTCTGTAGGAACCAAATTCTCCTGAACAATTGAGTAATGAGTCAGGAATTAGAGCTCTGTTTCCTTCTCCTCCCACTGCATTCTGAAGTTTCCTTCCAAATTTCTTTTTGGGTAAAACAGTTACGCAAGCGTTCCATGCTTTGCTTCAGATCCAAACGTCACAACTAAGAAACTTAACTGATGTTGCAGCTGGACCAAGAGTTGCAGTGTTGTGCGGCAAAGTAGAATCTACTAAGTAGATTATCGAACTTGCAGGATAAGTCCCTGCTCAGATATAGGATCATCGAGTCAGAAGGGACCCTGAGGATCATCTCGTCCAGCTCCCTTGCACTGCAGGAAGATTCAGCTGTCCCATATGGGGATCGAACCCGCAACCTTGGCATCATCAGTACCACACTCTAACCAGCTGAGCTATCCAGGCTTGGGCACATCGCTGTACTTCAGCCCAGCTTAATACAACCTTAAATACAAAATCCGCTACCGCCACTACTTAACTCTTTGATTACTTTTCTCTGCTTCCCTTTTCTTGAACGTACTTAAGCCCAGCCTCCCTCCACCCTGGGGCTCTCCAAATGGTGTTGGACTCCAGTTCCCATCATCCCTCACTTTTTGGCCGTGTTGACTAGAGCCGATGGGAGCTCTAATCTGAAATATTTTTAGGGTTACAGTCATGCAAGCCTGACTAAAGTTGCAAAATGCAGGGCTCTACGTGGTTTTGGACAAGGTAAAGGGTGGTGCAGCGTATTCTTTTAGAGGGAGCATAGGGAAGACAAGCCAGTAGTGATGTATGGAAGTGAGAGCTGGACCATAAAGAAGGCTGATCGCCGAAGAATTGATGCTTTTGAATTATGGTGCTAGAGGAGACTCTTGAGAGTCCCATGGACTGCAAGAAGATCAAACCTCTCCATTCTTAAGGAAATCAGCCCTGAGTGCTCACTGGAAGGACAGATGCTGAAGCTGAAGCTCCAATACTTTGGCCACCTCATGAGAAGAGAAGACTCCCTGGAAAAGACCCTGATGTTGGGAAAGATAGAGGGCACAAGGAGAAGGGGACGACAGAGGACAAGATGGTTGGACAGTGTTCTTGAAGCTACCAGCATGAGTTTGACCAAACTGCGGGAGGCAGTGGAAGATAGGAGTGCCTGGCATGCTTTGGTCCATGGGGTCACGAAGAATCGGACACGACTAAACAACAAAGGGAAGACAAGAGAAAGCCTGCTTGTGTACCTTCTAGTTCCTGAGCCTCCTGCAGAAACCAGTTGGCTTCACTACCACAGAGACCAGAAACATCATTCTTTCAAAATGAAAACCCTTTTCTAGGTCTTGCAGATCCATGTGCCCATCAGAGCCTCTGCCTTGCCCCAAAGTAGCCTTTCCCTCCTTACCGTTTGTGTTGTGACCTAGAGAGCGTTCAGCCCTCTTTCCCTTGTGATCCCACAGATGAAGATGGTGGTTGTCAATCTCGTTTGAGGTACTCGGCAAGTGGAGAGGCTTAGGAGTCTGCCCCTAAGAACAGAGGGCTTAAGATGCACGTCCTCCAACAATGCAGGATGGCTCTATGAGAGCCGCTGCAGAGACATGGTTTCCTTCAAATTAAAGGCGGCTCTGGGCAGATGAAAATGATGGACTATATGGAATTGGCGGAAATGACTGGCAGAATCCGAGACCAGGGAGAAGAGTCGGTGGAAGAAGATTGGAAGAAATTTAAAGATTACTTACAGAAATATTGCAAAATTAATGAATGTTAGAATGATGACGGATTGAAGTTAAGCAGTTTCTAGAGGTAATGGTATAAAAGAATATGGAAAAATTGTTTTTTAATATCTAAAAATTTAATGTTATAATATATCAAGATTAAAGATCAGGATTAAAAAGGAGGGAAAGGAATTGCTGGACTAACAAATTGAATTAGAATACAAAAAAGGGAGGTATGAGGAGGTCCGGGAAACAAGTAAATGTAAAAGAAGCGATGAAAAGATGGAATTGTTTTTAACTGTTTTTTCTTTTTTGTACTTTGTATTTTGTATTTTTCCTTTTTATTGTTAATTTTCTTATTAATGTGATCTTTTTCTTTTGAAAGTTTAATAAATATTATTTTTAAAAAAACAACAAATTAAAGGCGGCTCTGCTTTCTTCCACTTCTTGCTTGCATGCCAGTCCTCCCTAACTTGCCTCTTCGTGGGGGAACAAAATGTAGAAACGAAGCAGGTAATAAAATGCAGGTTAAGTGTTTCAGGTAACGAGTGTTGAGCAGGATTGCAAAGATGCTCCAATATGCATCACTTTATCTGTTCTCTTTTTCTCTCTCCCCTCTCTTTCTCATCTATTGCCCTCCCCTCCTCTGAAGAGCTGGGACCTGGTGCAACAGACACAGAACTACCTGAAGCTCCTGATCTCCATTATTAATGGTGACGGTGAGGTTTTCTTCTTGTTATGGAGAAGGTGGGAAATGGGGGAGGGTACCTTTTGGGGGTGGCTTATTTGACTACTTTAGAACACTATGGGGGGGGGGGTGAGAGAGAGAGTGTTTTGAAGAAAACTCCATGGCAAAGAAACCTCATGGCTAAAAGCAAGGGACTTGAGGGTTGGGCTTCTAGACTTAAATACAGTGGTACCTCGGGTTACAGACGCTTCAGGTTACAGACTCTGCTAACCCAGAAATAGTACCTCGGGTTAAGACCTTTGCTTCAGGATGAGAACAGAAATCATGCGCTGGCAGCAGGAGGCCCCATTAGCTAAAGTGGTGCTTCAGGTTAAGAACAGTTTTAGGTTAAGAACAGACCTCCGGAACAAATTAAGTACGTAACCAGAGGTACCACTGTATTGGCATCCCCTTCAATAATCTGAGCTGAGCTGCAGAGTGCTGCTCCCTATGCATTTGACCTTATGAAGGGCCTGTTGCCTCTGGTCTCCTTTGCACAGTGCACCCTGCATGTCTCCCAAGAAAGCTCTCGTGAAACTTCTGTGGCTGAGACTTTTGGACGCAGCCATTCCATATACCCTGCTTTTCAGAGGCCTCTCATTTTGCTTCGCTCGGTGAGCTTTGAGGCTCTTGTTGTGAGCTCTGCCCCTGTAGCCGACTTGCCTCCCGATCTGCCCCCTCTGATTCGCTCATCGGGGCTGAATATAAAAAGGTAAAGGGACCCCTGACCATTAGGTCCAGTCGTGGCTGACTCTGGGGTTGCGGCGCTCATCTCGCTTTATTGGCCGAGGGAGCCGGCGTACAGCTTCCGGGTCATGTGGCCAGCATGACTAAGCCGCTTCTGGCAAACCAGAGCAGCCCACGGAAATGCCGTTTACCTTCCTGCCGGAGCGGTACCTATTTATCTACTTGCACTTTGATGTGCTTTCGAACTGCTAGATTGGCAGGAGCTGGGACCGAGCAATGGGAGCTCACCCCATCGCGGGGATTCGAACCGCTGACCTTCTGATCGGCAAGTCCTAGGCTCTGTGGTTTAACCCAAAGCGCCACCCGTGTCCCTGGGGCTGAATATACAGGGCAGTTATTTGGCTGGATTTTACTCATAGTGGACCCATTTAAATCCACAGGCCTAACTCAGTAATTTTCAGTGGGTGCTTCTGTTGTTTCCTTTCTCCCGTCCCCCAGGCTTCATATAGTCCCTTGTTGCCTGCCTTGCGGAGCCTGTCCCTGGAGTACCCTGTGCCTTGTGCATCTGGCCTGGCATATGCCACCGCATCTCCTGGGGGGCTAGCGGAGCCCTCTGTGCCCCGGGGGGCTTTTCATCCTGAATGCCATGCAAGTAACACAGCCTTTTCCCCTCCCGCCTTTTGCTTTGCCTTCCTGCTGGCTCAGCACAGATGACAGTGGGCTCCTGATACACTGTATATCCGGCTGGGACAGGACGCCTCTCTTCATCTCCCTCCTGCGCCTCTCCCTGTGGGCTGTGAGTACCAATGGGCATGTTTCCGCAGACGAGGCAGTCGCCAAGGGGTGCAGCCGGGAAGGGGGCGGGTTGGGTGGAGAGGGAACGGTCGCTTTTCTTTCGTAGCTTGATTGGCAACAGGGGGACCTCTGTGGTTCTTGCGGCGATGCTTCCCCCCACTTTCTTCTTCAAATGCACGAATCTGTTAGTAGAAAACACAATGTTCGGCATGCTAAATTACACGGGGCACCTTTTGCATTGCTGGTACAGTTGGAAGAGGCAGCAACTTTCAGAACTGAGGACACCTTGCCCCACTATTCGACTGGGGAAGAAGGTGGGGGTTTGTGGAACAATTAGGGCTGCCTTTGGGGACAGAGAGGGCCGGAGGATATGGGACAACTTGAGTTGCACCGAATTAAAATCTTGCACTCCTTGTCTGCTAGAGCCTCCATACAGAGCTAATTCCAGAGGGGCAGGGAAGGAAGTGAGGTCAAACATTTGCTGGTACCTCCAGACTGGCAAAGGAATCACTGCCAGGGGCAGAGCAAGAAGGCTTGGTTTATTTTCAGGTGAAGGGGCCCCCGCCGTGGACCCCCGAAATCCTTCAACTTAATATTCTCTCCCATTTTGGTTTCTAGGCTCTGTATAGCTGAAACTTTTACTCCTCCCTTCCCTGTGACCTTAGAGGCCAGAGTCACACACTCTCTCTCTTAACAAAAACTGAATTCCTTGATGTCCTCTGATCCACATCCCTTATTGTTCCTTACCGTTTCTTGTTCCGCAGCAGGAGCAAATTGTGTTCGCTCAAGCAAAAGTGCATCGAGCCTATTGCATTTGCATAATTTTCATTTGCTGATAAAACTGGGATGTCGGGAAATGCAGGGAAAAAATCTCTGGAATGAGAGGCGACAGGAAGGGCGGAGAAGCAGCAAAAAAAAGGGGGGGTGCCTCTTCAGAACTGTGGGTGTCAAATTTGTCCCATGGTGTTTGTAGAAGGTCACAGCTTTTTTTTCTCCTATAACACTGAGGACGAGAAGCTTGCTTTTCGAAAACGGCTTTCAATCTGGAGCTCCCCCATGTATAGATTGCATATGACGTAGCTTTGGAGAGAATTGCTGGCATAGCTTCATTGCATTGACAAGAAACCATTTCTCAGTCATAGGAACACAGCGCTTTGGCTTATAACCTGTTTGGGTCTCTCTTCCACACAGCTGCAGGGGGAAATGCAGGGCAGCTGAATGTCATTTGTGATGCATTGTCAGTTTTTCATTCCTTAGGATGGGCTGATCCATGCATCCCTGGAACCTGCAGAGATCCTTTATCTGACCGTGGCCTATGACTGGTTCCTCTTTGGGTAAGCATCCTGCCTTGGCCAAAACCAGGGAGGGAACAGTAGGACCAGCTGCAGATTGGATTAATGCAGTTTCCCCTAACTCATTTGAATTTGAGGGTGGGGGCTCCCTACGCCGCACCAGCCATTTGTTTTGCAGGTGAGCGTATAGAGACCCTCGCACACAGTTGCACCTGTGCTCCCAGCCTACAGCTGTGAGTGATAATCTGTGTACTGGGGCACTGATCATAGAAGGGCATCTCTGATTTCCCAAGACCATGCAGATAGAAGCTTAACTTTTTATTATTTATTTATTTATTTATTTATTATACCCCACCCATCTGGCTGGGCTTCCCCAGCCACTCTGGGCGGCTTCCAAAAAAAAACCCAAACTAAAATACCGTAATACAACTTAAAGCTGCCATTGAAGGCTCTGTCCTTCCCAGATTAGCTGGTGATTATGCGACCAGCAAATCCAGCATTGGCAAATAGGAACCTGTTTGCCAGGAGACCTTCAGTCCAACCTACTTCACAGCTGGCAGGAGAAGGAAAGCTCCAAGCTAAGCCTGTCTCAAGATCCTCCCCTCTTGTGTGAATTCTGGTCATAGTCTGAAGAAACATTGGGTGGGCAATGGAGAAACAGACTTCCAGCCTCTGTTTCCTTGCTTGCTCTTGAGTTTGAACGCTACTCGGTTTCCCTCTTTCTCTTGCAGGCACATGCTAGTGGATCGACTCAGCAAAGGGGAAGAGGTGAGTGTCGCGGGGGGGGGGGCGTCAAAAGAGTGGCAGTGATGTCAGCGTCCCATGGCGGACTCCACCCTGGCAAGGGAGGGGGTGGGGTGAGGCAACAGTAGCCAGAGGTGTGCAGGTATTATCTGCACCCGAAATTTTAGCAGGATAAGCTTTAAAATTTGCATCCTGTGCCACGGGAAGCCAAACAGCTTCCCATAATGGCCCAGAGCAGAAACCTCCAGCAAGCCTGTAGGCAGGAGACGTCGAACGGTGCAGCGATCAGCGTGTTTCAGTTTAGAGAAAAAAGGCAAGTAAATTAGACATGATAGCACTATGGAGAAAGTGGATAGAGGGTTTTTCTCCTTCTGTAATGTAGAGAAAGTGGATAAAAGCTTTTCGCCCTCTCGCATAATCAGTCGAAGGCAGAATTCGCCCCTGAAGCTGGATGGTGGCGATTCAGCGCAGAAAATAAAGGAAGCACTGCTTTGCCCTGTGCCTTAGTTAAACTGGGGGTTGGACCACCCCAAGATTTAACAATGTCTCCCCACTTGGATGGCTCTGAAAAAGGAGTGTTGGGCAAACCAGTGGTGGATAAGGTTGGGTCGTAATGAGTACTGGTTGCTAGAGATCACAAACGGGAAAATGCTCGTGGCATTCATGTTTTGCTTATGGGCTTCCCACAGGTTTCTGGTTGGTAGGATGCTTGACTGAAATTTGGCTGCATTGGCCACTGAGTGTAAGCGTGGCTGCCTAATCGTCCTTGATTGGGTCTTCCTCTTCAAATAAAACCCCTGCGCCATGATTTGTTCTTTTAAAATTCCGAGATGCCAAAGTGATTTGTAACTCTGTGGGTTCCTAGACCCTCCGGTCATCTTGGCTTGGGCATGTGCAACACCTTTCCATAGCCATGTCTCCTCTTTCATAATGTCAGCTCTGTGTGTTTGTGTTGTTTTGCCTTCTCACAAGCAGCGCCCAGGCCTGGCCAGCAGGAGACCCCTGGAAAAGTGTTGGCTTATGAGGGGGTCTTGCTAGGCTTGTGTGGTGGTGGACAGCCCCCTTCCTGCAGAGATGAGGAAGGCGTACAGTATGACAGCTGTCATTTACCAAGTGCTGTCGCCCCTTGCTCTCTCTTACGCTTTCTCCTCTCTCTCTCTCTCTCTCTCTTTCGGTTCCAGATTTTCTTTTTCTGCTTCGATTTTCTGAAGCACATCACCTCCGAGGAGTTCTCGGCTGCTAAGCCGCCAAGGTAAGGAGAGCCCACAGTAGGAGCTTCCTTCTACCAAAGGCAGCCTAAAAGAACGGAGAATCTTGTTAGCGCACGCTCTTTCTACTGGGAGATGGGAGACCCAGGTGCCTTGGCCCAATTTGCTTTAATTTATTCTGCAGTGAAAACGGGGCCACATCACTTTCTCTGAAGAGGTTTGGGCTGCAAAGTCCTACATAAGAAAAAAAAAGTGGCCGTGAGTTTGGTCGGCGCATGGGGTGGGTCAACGGGCGAGAGGGCCTCTCGCCTTGCACCGGTTGCTGTTGAAACAGCACTGCAGCTGTGGCAGTAGCATCACACCCCTTGAAGATGGTCCAGAAGCAGCAAGCAGTGCAGAATTTGGCAGCCAGGTGCCACAAAGCGGAATTGTGTCACCGATCCTTAAAGAGCTGCCCTGGCTGCCTGTTTTTTACTGGGCACTATTTAAGGTGTTTACCATAGAGCCCTATACAGCAGGGGACCCAAGTCCATTGCATGCCAGCCTATGCCTTAGGGTCTGAAAGGAGATAACCTGCTTGCAGTTTCATCCACAGTTGTGGTTTGCTGTGTGACAGGACAGCGCAGGGCCTTCTTTCTCTGTTAACGGCCCCTGGGATGTGGAGCTCTCTCCCACTAGAGAGAACAGGTGTCCCCCAGATTACCGTATTTTTTTGCTCTATAAGACTCACTTTTTCCCTCCTAAAAAGTAAGGGGAAATGTGTGTGCGTCTTATGGAGCGAATGCAGGCTGCACAGCTATCCCAGAAGCCAGAACAGTAAGAGGGATTGCTGCTTTCGCTGCGCAGCGATCCCTCTTCTTGTTCTGGCTTCTGAGATTCAGAAATTTTTTTTTCTTGTTTTCCTCCTCCAAAAACTAGGTGCGTCTTATGGTCTGGTGTGTCTTACAGAGCGAAAAATACGGTACCTGGTTTTTTGGATTTTAAATGAAAGACTCTCCCCCCCGAAATGGCTGGTTTTAAGAATTGTTGTCTTCGGCTCTAAGATTGCTTGTTTTTTGTTTTTTAAAAAATGAATGGTATGGATAGCGTTCAGCGTTCTGTCTCCAAATGGTGGCTAGCAAGAGACTTCTGGGCAGAGCCCAGTCAGGACAAACTCCTATTGTTTACCGGCCCAACTATGAGGCAGGGTGAGGCTGCCACCTCAGGCGGCAGAGGCCCCCAACGCCACGCTGGCAGTGGAGAAACAGCACCAGCGCCAGTTTCCAGTGAGCTCTCACAAGACCTTGCCAAAATCTCGCAAGTTCTTGTGGAGATCACTTTCCCCTTGTATTTGTATTTTTTAAAGCCAATTACTTCCAAAAATTGCTTTCTTCTGTGGCAGGGCTAAATTCCCTCCTGGTCAGTAGTTGTTTAACCAGTCAAGACCTGGAGAAATACTGTTTCCAAGTCCGTTTTCCATTGGTGGTTCAGCGGCATCTGATGACTTGTCATGTTTTGTCTCTCCCCGCCCTAGAAGGAAGAGCCTGCCACCCGGATTTACTTTGGAAGAAATCTGTATGCTGAGTGAGTGTCTCTTGCCGCCTCCTAACCAGTCCCCCCTCTAGCCTCAACTGGGTCTGCTTTGTGATGGCGAGTGGGACAGCAAGGTTTCGCTCACTAGGGGAATTTGGGGAAAGCCTTTGAGAGCCATAGCTCATCGCAGTTTCACAGGAAGGTGGCCAGGCCACTGGATTCAGATTCCAGAAAAGATCGGTGTCTCTACAACTGCAACGGAAATCTACTCCAGCTGCTGATTGAAAATGAGGATAACAAATGGGGCCTGCAACAAAATGTTGCAGTGTAGAGCATTCCCCACTTCCGGGGTATCTCCCCCTTCTCCCTGCCCCTCACCAGTTTTCTATTTCCTCGCAAACAGTCAACCAGCCCCCCCCCTGAGCACGCTCAGTCATCACTGGGCTGCTTGGAGTTCCTTCCCATTTCAAGTTTCCCCCTCCATAAAGATTTTTGTACTAATGTAATGCCGTCCTGTTAGCAAAAAGATTTCTGTTAGTGCAGTGGAACTTTCCCGCTTTCCCTGCATGCCCTCTTTCCTCCCCAAATCTGCTCCCGAGGGACCCCCAGAACATTTTTCTTTTTGGGGGGGGACCACATGGGGAGAAATTAGATTCCACAAACGTTGCACATGGGATGACTTTGCTGGATACAACCATGCTTGTTACATAAGGGCCTATGGGATAAATCCTTAAAACCGCTGAGGGACAAGTGTGTGTTCTGAGATAACCAGACAACTGTAATTGGTGTGCATGTGCTGCCACAGAATGTGGCAATAATTCGATTTCCTGAGAACTTATCACCCTGATCAAAGCACATATACTCAAACTGCCCAGTCCTCTTAGATTGGAAGACCCAAGAGTATGTGTGCAGTTCCTGCTGAAATTTCAGGATCTAGAGAGGTGGCAGAGTCAGGCCGCATCTACCCTAGGTGTTTAAAGTGGTATTGTATCACTTTATAAACAGTCATGGCTTCTCTCTGGGAGCTGTAAGGGGAGCCCTATTTCCCCTCAGCGAAATACAGCTCTCAGAGTAACCTCAGAAGAGGGATTGATTGTTAAACCACTGTGGGAATTGCAGCTCCTAACAGCTCTCATGACCCTCAGCAAAGTACAGTTCACAGGATTTTTAAAGAAAAGCCACGACTGTTTCAAGCGGTCTGGTACTGTGTAGATGCTGCATAAGATTTCCAGTGATGGTGGCGGGAACTGACTTTCCTGCATAAGTCCTCCTTCCCCTTGACACTCCCAGCAGCAGTTTTTCAAGATACGCAAAATCAAAGCAGTCATGCAGATGTGCTTAATATGCCTAATCCACTGGGCTGCAGCATTTTCTGGTCAGAGAACTTGGCACTAAATTCTGTGCCCAGAGTATATACATGTCCCCGGTTCTTACGGGGGGGAAAATCTCCCATCACGGGTGAAAAACGTAAGATGCTGTTCCCTCCCATTTTGCAGGTGGGGAGCTGTGCTTGGAAAGGTGGGGGGTTTCCCCAGGGAACCCTAGCAAGTTTGTCGCTGGGCTGAGATCCAGGTCTGAGTCCTCAATGCTCTCAGATGGGGCTTTGCTGATGGGGGACAAAGGCCTGCTTGCTTTTGACTAGGATTGTAAAAGACTGCCTGTTTATCTTTAAAAAGAAAAGCTCCGGTGCCCCAAGAGGATATAGCAGCTGTGACTCCTGCCTCACTATTGGCCCATTTATGACTTAATAATAATAATAATAATAGTAATAATAAATTTTATTTATATCCCGCCCTCCCCAGCCGAAGCCGGGCTCAGGGCTCAGGACTTGTAACCCATGCAGTGGGTAGGAGAGGAGAGTGGGCAAATTGGGTCTGCGTCTTCTTAGCCCAGAGTAATGAACCTGTGGTCCTTCAGATGTCGGACTACAACTCCCATCAGCCCCCTCTTTGGGGAGAGGCTGTGGCTCAGTGGCAGAGCACATGTTCAACCCCTGGCAGGCACCAGGCAGTTCCCTATGGTCCCGATTCCTGGCTTTGCTGCCCTGGAGCTGCTACGCATTTGGGAGTTTGGTAGCATCTGGCATGGCCGCAGCTTCCCCACCTTTTCCTTGCCCCTCCTGAGCTCTTAAATAAACAGGTGCTGCCTCTGAACGAGAGCCTGGCAACTCTTGCGCTCACCACTGCAGGTGGTAATGCTCAGCCTTGTGACAGATCACTGAACTGTCATCTTTGCTAATAATTAAAACAAAAAACAAAAAAACAACAACCGCCCCTCTTAAGTTCTGCCATGCTTTTCTCAGCTGCAGCTTGGAAACGGTTTGGCTGTTTCTGAGAAGTGCAGGATTGGAGCTACATATATGCCGTGGAAAGAAGAGCCAAGTTCCGTGGTCGGTGTAAATAAGCAACTGAATAAACAGCTCACGCTCTTCTCATTATGGAAATGTCTGCTGATACCTTTTGCACCCATCTCTGGTTATGATGTGGGACGCCCAAGTCCCATTTCTGACCACATGGAACCACATTACAGTGGTACCTCGGGTTACAGACACTTCAGGTTACAGACTCCGCCAACCCAGAAATAGTACCTCAGGTTAAGAACTTTGCTTCAGGATGAAAACAGAAATCGCACTGCGGCGGTGCAGCAGCAGCGGGAGGCCCCATTAACCTAAAGTGGTACCTCAGGTTAAGAACAGTTTCAGGTTAAGAACGGACCTCCAGAATGAATTAAGTTATTAACCCGAGGTACCACTGTACAGTGGTGCCTCGCAAGACGAAATTAATTCGTTCCGCAAGTCTCTTCGTCTTGCGAGTTTTTCGTCTTGCGATGCACGGTTTCCCATAGGAATGCATTGAAAATCAATTAATGCGTTCCTAGGGAAACCGCCTTCAGACCAGGTCCGGGGACAGTCTGTCCCCGGACCTCTTCTGAAGGCTGGGGGGCAAGGGCTTTTCTTCCCACCCCCAGCATTTTAAAAAACCCCGGGACAGCGGAGGACTTCTCCGCTGTCCGGGCGATCTTAAAATGCTGGCGGGCGGCATTTTAAAATCACCCGGGACAGCGGAGGACTTCTCCGCTGTCCGGGGCAATTTAAAGCCCCTGGGAAGGCAGGCAGGGGGACAAAGACTTTGCCCCCGCCAGCCTTCAAAAGAGGTCCTGGACCTCTTCTGAAGGCGGGCGGGGGCGAAAGTCTTGCTCCCCGCCTTCAAAAGCCCTCCGGGACAGGCAGGCAGGGGGAGCAAAGACTTCGCCCCCGCCCACCTTCAGAAGGTCTTCCCTCCCCCCGCCCGGCCCGGAGCACCGTTCCGAGCCGGGCGGCGGCGGGAGGTGTTCCCTCCCCGCCCGGCTCGGAGCACCGTTCCGAGCCGGGCAGAGGCGGGAGGTCTTCCCTCCCCACCGCCCGGCTCGGAGCACCGTTCCCGAGCCGGGCAGAGGCGGGAGGTCTTCCCTCCCCCGCCCGGCTCGGAGCACCGTTCCCGAGCCGGGCGGCGGCGGCAGGTGTTCCCTCCCCCCGCCCGGCTCGGAGCACCGTTCCGAGCCGGGCGGCGGCGGCAGGTGTTCCCTCCCCCCGCCCGGCCGGAGGAGCCTTCCGAAGCCCCGCGGCGGCGGGAGGGGGTGTCCCCGCCCCCCCGCCAGGCTTCGGAGGGGGTCCGAGGACAGTGGGGAAGACGCGCTGCGCTTGCCCCCGGTCCCTGAGATTCCCTATGGGCTGTCGTCTTGCGAAGCAAGCCCATAGGGAAATTCGTTTTGCGAAGCGCCTCCAAAACGGAAAACCCTTTCGTCTAGCGGGTTTTCCGTCTTGCGAGGCGTTCGTCTTGCGGGGTACCACTGTATAACATTTCCTCACCTTCCCACACCCTTAAAAAAAAATACGCCAGTTTTGAAATCTCATCAGGCAGTGAAGCTTGTTTTCTTAACTTTAAAAAAACAAAAAACCTTTTGCACCCGATAATCTTATGCTTCTTCAGCATAACTGCAGAATGTACATGCAATCTCATGTGATACCTGTTTGCATAGAGTTCATAAACAAGCTCCTGTTCTTTTTGCAAGACTACAGTTAGACTTGTATGGACTGTACTGAAAAACTTAATCCAAAATATGCCTCCGAACCTCCTGCCTATCACATAGGAGCTATTTATTATGAGTAAGCAAACAGATGTTTCTCCTTCTGATTAAAGCTGTTAATAATAATAAATTTTATTTATACCCCGCCCTCCCTGGCCAGAGCCAGGCTCAGGGTGGCTAACAACAGTGAAATTACAGTAAAAACATAATGGGGGGGGGCACAATTTAAAATACAGGTTAAAATGCAATTTAAAATGCAGCCTCATCAAAACCATAAGGGGAGGGAAACATAAGGGTCAGACTGAGTCCGAACCGAAGGCCAGGCAGAACAGCTCTGTCTTGCAGGCCCTTCAGAAAGATGTCAAGTCCCGCAGGGCCCTAGTCTCTTGTGACAGAGCGTTCCACCAATTTGAGGCCAGTACTGAAAAGGCCCTGGTCCTAGTTACGACCAATCTAACCACCTTGTGACCTGGGACCTCCAAAATGTTGTCATTTGTGGACCTTAAGGTCCTCCGCGGGGCATACCAGGAGAGGTGGTCCCGCAGGTATGTGGGTCCTAGACCGCAAATGTTAAAACGAACTGTTGTGTGAGTTCATGTGTGGTGGAGATCTCTGTGTGAGGTTTGTTTGTGAGGATGCTGGGTTTGCTACTTTATAGAAGAAAGGTAGTCCGACGTTGCTTTCTTTGTGTTCCAGAGCAGAGGGACCGGGGCAGCCCTACTAGTCTCAGCAGCGACTTCTCTCTCGTGATGGAGAACTCACCTGGGGCTGCAGGGAGCTTCACCTACGAAGCAGTGGAGCTGATGCCAGCAGGGTCCCAAACACAGGCTGCTTGGTAAGACCGTGTGTGTGTGTGTGTATGCATGTGCCTTCAACCATGGGGCAGGTGTATGTGGGGCGGCAGGTGCATGGCTTTAGTAAACATGTGCCACAAAAGCAGTCCGTTACAATAGCTTAGACAGGGGCTAAGGTAGCAGAATCTACATCCAGGCCTCTCACCCTTCCCAATTTTTGAAGCAGTGACCCCGATGGTACCTTGAGCCAACCTCACCCTCGGTGTGTTGCTGGTCTGGCTGAGGTTCCAACACATCTCACACTACATCCAGGTGCAAAATTAGGCATGCACATAAACCCAGTATTATTGCAGAGGCCCTGAGGAACCCCTTCATTTGGCAGAGGGCACCTGTCAAATCAGAAATAGCCTGTCTAGTACCCCATACACACATAGTGCATTCCTCTCACCTCACTGGTTCCTCTCCCAGTACTGAATTAGAAAGCCTCTGGGACATTATACAGTGGTACCCCCAGGTTAAGTACTTAATAGGTTCCGGAAGTCCGTTCTTAACCTGAAGCAGACTTTCCCATTGAAAGTAATGGAAAGTGGATTGATCCGTTCCAGGTGATGAAAAGCACCCCCTAAAACAGCAATTTAAGACGAATTTTACTCTTTCGCGAGACCATTGATCCATAAAATGAAGGCAGTAATCCATGTACTGTACTATAAAATAAATAAGACAGTATTTTAGGTGAAAAAAAATAACATTTATTTCTTTCCTTACATGCACTCATTGGCTTGGCTCCTGGCATTCGCAGAGGCCTCAGAGAGCTCCCATGGCTGGAGCCCAGTCGCGGAGCCTCTGCAGGCCCTGCGGACGTCGGGGCTTGGCTCCCGGCCTCTGCAGGCCCCGCGGATGTTGGGACTTGGTTCCCGGCATTCTCAGAGGCCTCTGAGAGCTCCGTAGGCCCCGCGGGTGTCTGGGTTTGCCTCCAGGCAGCGGCGAGGTCTCCGAGAGCTCGGACAACTTACTTCCGGGTTAAAATCGTTCGTAAGTTGAAGTGTTCATAACCCGAGGTACCACTGTACAGTTATAGAGTTGGAAGGGTTGCCCAGGTGTCATCCATTCCAACCGCCTGCGATGCAAGAATCTCCTCGAAAGCATCCATGACAGATAGTAACCCTCTCACTTATAACTAGGAATGTTCTTCAGCCCGGGCACAGGGGGCCCTTCCAAGCCAAGGGGCGGGAGGCAGGCAGGCAGGCAGGAGTGACCCAATGGATATAGGGTTCTACCTCCTGTCCCCCATCTTGACTGCACAAAATCCACCGCCTAGGGCTAAAGTTGGCCATCCTACATGCCACTCTGTGATCTGCTGGTAGTAGGGCTCCCTTCTGGGAAACTGGAGAGCCACTGCCTGTCACTGGAGACGATGCTGAGCTGGGTGGTCCAGATGATTAAGCAGATGGACTAAATGATTAGGAATAAGGCAGCTTCCTCTGTAGAAAAGGCTCTCAAATCCAGGGGGGAAGCCAGCCAACCAATTTCGTCCAAGCATGACATACCACTTGGCCCTAGGATAGGCGGATCCTTGACAGTGAAGGTCGTTCCACGAGGGGGGGGGGAGCTTGTTCTTCCCTCCCCTCCGTTGGCCTGGACCTTGAAGTCTATGCGGGAGAGGAGCTAGCGGGAGAAGAGGAGAAGCTCTCCCACATGACGGGAGGGTAGGGAGCCAAAGGCTGGGGATTTCGGAGCCTTGCCCGCGGGCCTGCCCTGCTCAGTTTAATTTTTCTTTCTCCTCCCCAAGCACGTGTGCTAATGATATTTTACAGTGCAATTATTCTGAGCTAAATCTGGGCTGTGCTGAGAGGCAGCTGGAAATCCTCTGGGCAACAGCGAACCCTCAGCTTGCTGTTGCATGCCTGGCTTCTTGGAGTGCAGGAGAGAGAGCGAGAGAGAGAGAGAGAGCTGTTCAGAGCATGGGCAGCCCTCGAAATGGTGGCCCTGCCAAGTCTGCTCAGCACCCCAGTCAAATTGCAGGCGGCACACAGTAGCTGACAGTGAAAACCTTGCAGGGAAAGAAGGGCTGGCAGATGATTCTGCAGGAACTGGAAGCTGTTCTGGGTCGCCTGAGTTGTGCGCAGGGCTGTCTGGAATTCTGAGCTGAAAGGCAGATTCTGTTGCCAGAGGACTTCTTTGTGTGCGCACACCGTCTCTGTATTTCTCAATTTACAGCATGTGCAAGGATAATCCCGGTCCCGTGAGGGCTGTTGTATGTGTTGGAAGGGAAATTTGGAGGAGTGTCAGGGGGAACCAGCTGGGGAACCCCCCAAGAGAAGAAGGCTCAGAGCCAGGGGATTGGTGGTGGGACGACGACGAGTGGCCAGAGGGAGAAGAGGGAGCAGACTTAGGAGGAGGAGGCGTCGGAAACTGAAGAGGCAACAGGGGTTAGTGAGCAGGAGGAAGCTAGGACAGAGAGCAGTCCTGGTTCAGAAGCTGGAGAGGAGGGAGGCCAGGAGAGAGAGGAGGCCGGCTGCAGAAGAATACAGGGAGTCTCCTCCTGCTGCTGCAACCAGCTCCCCCTCCCTCCTGGTCTCCCAGAACACACAAAGAAATGAAAAGAGCAGAGGAGAGATTGGTTGTGCACAGGCGCAGTCTCCGATTGCTTGGCAAAAACCCTGGAGAGGGGGAGACTTAGGCAGCCGTGGAAAGGCAGGGACTTTGAGTCCTTGCAACTGCCTCATTGGGGCAAGACCTACGGGGAAGAGTTGCAGGGATCACTTGGCCTGCGCTGTTTTGGTTTCTTTGAGTTAAAGAGTTAACTTCATTGACATCGTGGGTTTTTATCACTGACCTACACCTGACTCCGGGACGCGGGTGGCACTGTGAGTTAAACCACAGAGCCTAGAACTTGCTGATCAGAAGGTTGCGGTTCAAATCCCCACGACGGGGTGAGCTCCCGTTGCTTGGTCCCTGCTCCTGCCAACCTAGCAGTTCGAAAGCACGTCAAAGTGCAAGTAGATAAATAGGTACCGCTCCAGCGGGAAGGTAAACGGCGTTTCCGTGCGCTGCTCTGGTTTGCCAGAAGCGGCTTAGTCATGCTGGCCACATGACCTGGAAGCTGTACGCCAGCTCCCTCGGCCAATAAAGCGAGATGAGCACCACAACCCAGAGTTGGCCACAACCGGACCTAATGATCAGGGGTCCCTCTACCCTTACCTTTACACCTGACTCCAGCTGCTGACAAGGAGGAAGTTGGTACTCAGCCCAGGAATCGTAGAGTTGAAAGGGACCTTGGCTTATTCGGTCTCCTCTGACCCGGGACCTGCCTTTAACCCAGATGTGCATTTGGGAAAAGGCCCATGGCTCCTTTGGGTCACTGTCTCCAACATGGTTCCTTCCAGGTGTTGGGACTACAAGTCCCACCATCCCTTGCAGCAGCATTGGCCATGCTGGCTTGGAACTCAACATCATCTGGAGGGTGCCACCAGGTTGGAGAAGTTTGGCATAAGACATCGGCCGTGTAGGCGGTTTGGCGCAAACCATGGTACTCTCTGTCTCCACAATCAGAGGCACCAGCCCTCCTGGATGTCAGTTGCTGGAAACCACAGGATGCGGGGAGAGTGCCTTTGTGCTTGCATCCTGCTTGCAGGTTTCCTACAGGCTGGCCACTGCGAGAACAGGATGCTGGGCTAGATGGCCGGATCCTGCAGGGCTCTTCTTGCCTGCAAGGGAGAAAATCGAATCTCTTCCATGCAAGGAAACCCATTTTTAGCTGCCAGTTCTGGGCCTCTCTCTTTCCCCCCGCGTGCTCCCTACCCCCCTCACAAAAGCTGGGACGGTTGCAGAAGCTGCGGGGAGCCCTGTCCTGTTTTTAAAAGCCTCTCTCTTTTTTTAATTGCCTCTCTTCTCTGCCTGCCTGCTTGAGTGCCTGTGGCTGTGTTATTAGGCACTTCATTAAGTCGCAGCCTTGTGCCCGCGCACAATGCAGCAATCACAAGGCAAGGGAGCGCATAAAGGCTCTCGAAAGCCTGGCCCCGCTGCCTTGCCGCTCTGGAGAGTGAGTCGCCGAGGGTCTTGCGAGGAAATCCTGGGGTTTCAGGAGAGCCCTTATTAACGTGCGCAGCAAGGGGTAATAAGCCAGGCCTCTGATAATCGCTCAGCAGGCAGCGAGGGAAACAGAAAGCATTGGGGCAGCAGCAGGGAGAGGGAACGGCTGTGGAAGGTTCAGGTCTCCCAGCTGCTAAGGGCTGGCTTGCACCAAACCTCCCCTTGAACACGAGCAGCCCTATAGCTCTTCCAGGGCTATGTGTGTCTGCAATTGAGAGGGGTGGTTTTTTAATTATTATTTGTGCAAATCTGGCCATAGCTAAAGGCAGCCTGCAGGTCTTCCTGTGATCCCAGCAGCTGGGGAGAAGGTGCCGCTGTGCAATGGCTGCAGCCCACCTTCCGGATTCACCTAAATGCTATCCTGCTTAATCCTAGCAACGTCTACATTAGACATAGGAAACCCTTTGTGAATGCACCCTTTGGAGCAAAGAATTCCTGGCACCTCTCCGTGGCAGTGGGAAGATGGCTCCCAAGGCTGCATGGTAACACCTGGGAAAGCAGAATGAGATGGAAGAGAGAGCAAATTTGTCACAATTCTGCTCTTAACCCTGTGTCTGTCCCCCTCCCCCCCCCATCTTTTTTCACTGCTGAGAATCAGTTCTGCAAAGATTAGTATTTGCTGCGTGCTCTTTAGCTTGCTTCCAAAATGTAGCCTGTCCTCAGAATTTCAGTACAGTGGTACCTCGGGTTACAGACACTTCAGGTTACAGACGCTTCAGGTTACAGACTCTGCTAACTCAGAAATAGTACCTTAGGTTAAGAACTTTGCTTCAGGATGAGAACAGAAATTGCGCGGCAGCAGCAGGAGGCCCCATTAGCTAAAGTGGTACCTCAGGCTAAGAACAGTTTCAGGTTAAGAACGGACCTCCGGAACGAATTAAGTTCTTAACCCGAGGTACCACTGTATTTTTGTAAGGGCTTGAATGATAGAAGGTGAGGGAACGATGAATATGAAAGCCCAGAATACAAAGGGAGGAGGGGGAAAGGTTAAAGGTTAAAGTCCTGGTGTTTTTAGGTCGTGCGGGTGATAAACATCATGGAAATGTTCAGAGAGCAGAAATGGCACCTGTCACTCAGTGCAAGCTTATCCCAGTCAAGTTTGGGTCTATCTCGCCCTTCTCAGCGCAGGATCCAAGCTTTGCTTCACAATAGCAGGTGCTTGGAAATCAAAAGAGTGAATCTCCATAGCAGCAGCAGCAGCAGCAGCAGCAGCAAAGCCCCATTGTCTTGGGAACCTGAATTAAGAACTGCAGAATAGGCAGCTGCTGGAAGTGCTTGGGGTCTGGCCCCGAGAGAGCTGCTGTAGTAGCAGAGAGACTCAGAGCAGGGGAGGTGAGCTGGAAAGTTTCCTGGTTCAGATCTTGCCCCAGCCATAAACTCGCTGTGCTGACTTTAGGCTTATCATTGTTCTCTTGGGCGTAGCCTTCCCATCTGCGAAATGGGAATAATAGCGACTTTATAGGCTGCAGAGCACTATGTAAATGCCCTCTTCATCAGTCTTTCACCTGACGGCTAAAAATCTTCTAATAAGGCTTTTAGGGTATGAATAGCTTTCAGCTCCTGTTCTGATTGTGATTTGCTGTGTCGCTGGAGGGTGATTGTCCCTTTGTATTCTGGGCTTTCTATATTTTTTTTACGACAGTGTAACTCCAAAAGTTCAGTAGATTAACCTATTGTTAGCTACCGTGAGCCATTTCTAACAGAGAGGTGGAATAGAAGTGTGTGTGTGTGTGTGTGTGTGTGTGTGTGTGTGTGTGTGTGTGTATAATCTCTTTTTCTTGCTGTATAGATTATTATTTTTTTTTAAAAAGAAAAAAGATGCACAATTATGGGAATGGGTGACCCCTCCCCGGCTGCTGTTCTCTTTGGAAAGGATTCTGAGCTCCAGTTAATGGTCTGAGCATTTTGAGAGTCCGGTGGGGTACCTTATAAACCTTTGGCCTGACCTCCCAGGAAGCCTTTTTGGTGGAGAGGGAGTGGAGCAGTTAGGAGGCAAGGAGGAACCTGCCTTGAGGCGGCCTAGACTTCCTCACTTGGCTTGGCACTCGCAGCCCAAGAATGTGCATTTCCTTATTTTTTCTGTACTACTATTTTTATTTTATTTTTTTGCAGGAGGAAAAACTGTGCCTCCTCCCCACAGACAGTCCTGTGGGGTCGGCCGCAACCGTCCGAGGAACGGCTGCCCGTGCAGGGCGTGCTCGAAGCCAAGTCGTCCAGCTCCTCCTCTTCCAACCACTCGGAGAACTTCTCACGGCTGGGCAGCAGTCCTCTGGAAGTGCCCAAAGCCAGGTGAGAGAGGGAGTGAGGCTTGCATCACTTTGGAGAGCGGGGGGTTGGGGCAGGTTGGCAAGCTGTGCAAGGCAAGGGCGATGTTCTGCAGGAAAAGCGATGGTGGCAGCATTCAAGCAGCTGCACACGAAGGAAACCCTCCTTTCCCCCTTCTAGAAAAACCAGGCGTTAGGAAGGAATCGATCATGCAAATGTACACAAATTTCCTTCTCAGGCGGCTGTTTGGGAACTTTTCGCCAAGTGCCGCCGCAAGGAAAAAGCACCCGCTGCCCTTCCCCTTGCGGTAAAAATATAATTAAAGTGGCAATTTGCTGCTCTTTAGTTCCACCCGGATTCTGCCACCTGAGATGTCTGCTCCTGCTGCCTCAGTTCTGGGCCCGGTGCCGACTTAGCAGAATGAGGAGAGGAAGAAAAGCACTGAGTTTGGGGGATGGCAGCCCTTTGAGGCTGGAGGGGGTCGAGAAACTTCACTGGGTTGTACTGGCTGCACAAGAAGCAGTACAGTGGTACCTCGGGTTACAGACGCTTCAGGTTACAGATGCTTCAGGTTGCAGACTCCGCTAACCCAGAAATAGTACCTCGGGTTAAGAACTTTACCTCAGGATGAGAACAGAAATTGCGTGGCTGTGGCGCAGCGGCAGCGGAAGGCCCCATTAGCTAAGGTGGTGCCTCAGGTTAAGAACAGTTTCAGGTTAAGAACAGACCTCCGGAACAAATTAAGTTCTTAACCAGAGGTACCACTGTACTAGGTTAAGCCAGATATCCCTAAAAATTCCTGCTTAGCCCTTTTACAGCTTTAGGGATTTCCCACTGCCCACAGTTTTCAGTTTGTCCATGAGCTCTAGAATTTTTAATTCTGAAAAAAGGGAGTGGGTTGACATTTTTGGTGATGCCAGAAGCTCTGCTTCCAGGCTTCAGATCATGCGTGTGGTCCAGCTAATCCAGAGACACCTAGCAAAGTGTCCTGTTTATGTCTGTTTGTAAAGCACCCAGAGGCACGTTCTCTGCACCTTGCTTTGGAATGCTAGAGGACTGTGTTAAAACGTAGGCATGGCTAGCAGGGGGCTGTGCCCATGAATGCTGGAATTGGGGGCTTGGGGAAGAAGGTGCCACGCCATCTGTGGGCAAGAGAAGTTGGGCCGCCTGAAGGAAGCTTTCGGTATCATGCAGGTATGGCTCGATGGAATATTATTGAACAACTGCTCCAAATTCGACTCAGTAAATTGTGTCTCTCTTCTTCCTCTCCTGCGGTGTTGAACAAACCCGTCGTAAAGATTTGTTTTAAGTGCTTGAGCACGTTTGGGTGGGTAAGGAGTCTGGGAAGAAGGCAACAATTGGTTAGTGCCACGTGAAATCCTTTCGGGACCAGGATCTGCCGTGTTTTAGGAACTACATGGTCTCGCTGTTGCTCTGTTGAACTTGAAAAGATGTGCAGGTTACCAGTCGCCTTATGCTGGAGATGTGGTCGGCGTTATGTCAGATTTAGTTGTATTTCGAGGAAATGCAAACGAAAAGATTTTGGGGGGCTAAATTGCAAGGGAAATCGATCAAATTGTCTTTATGAGTCAACGATGGGCGCCGTGATATTTTCTTTTAAAGTACATACTTCCAACGAAAGAGGGTGAATTTGGTGGTGCATTCGTTAGCCTCGATGTATGTATTAATAGCAAAATATTGGGGGGAAACTGCAGATCCCGTCAGTGAATGGGGAAAAGCAGTGTGCTTATTTTAAACATATGAAAGACTCTCTCTTGAGGCTTGAAGCCCTGGAGTGTTGCTTCCAACCCTTAAGCCAACCAGAGGCCTCTTGAGTCATTAACCAGGCAAGTCTTGAACTATCTGAAGTGCTTTTCTAAAAATGTCAGGGTATTGATTGCAATAAGAAACTAAAACTGGCTGGAATCAAATGCAGTTCTTGTCAAGGAACATGAGTTTGGAAAGGCAGAGAGATGAAAAGCATAGAAGATTTAAGAACTATAGGTCTGAACCAAAAAAGATGACACACACACCCTCAATCTGTAGCAAGGAAGGAATTGGTTATACGAACCGAAAGCGCATAGCAAAGAAAACCACAAAGCTGAAATCTAGATAGCATACAAGTGAGATACTGCTAAATGTTTCAGAGTAGTGTTTCAAATTTCGGGAATGCGCTCTGCCCGCTTTCTCCCCTACCCCACCCTCGGCTGCAGCCAGAGTTGCTTTAGAGCTGTCTGTTGTTCTGTCCATTGGTGTAAGAGGAGACTTCACTCGTGCCCCTTCCATTTGAAGAGGAAAGTCGCTTGTGCCCGCAGGCAGGTAATATCTTTTCGCGATGGCTCCCAATTCAGGAAATTAATGTACTTACAGAAATTTATCTCAAACTATCGTTGGCAGCACTGTAAAGCCTCCCCCCCCCCCTTAATTCAGGTGTGCGGCTGGCTGATCTTCCTCCAGCACCGTTCACGCTTTGTCACTTGTGCAATTGTCTGACTTGGAGATTTTTACCCTTAGGTCTAATTGTATGTTGTATTTCAAGTGAGATGGTGCCGCCAAACCTTGCCCTCCCATATCCACCCTGCCTTGGAGACGATACCTTGGTTTTGTATCTTCCCTGAACAAAATAAAAGAATTCCTTCCAGTAGCACCTTAGAGACCAGCTAAGTTTGTTCTGGTATGAGCTTTCGTGTGCATGCACACTTGGTATCTGAAGAAGTGTGCATGCACACGAAAGCTCATACCAAGAACAAACTTAGCTGGTCTCTAAGGTGCTGTTGTTGTTAAGTCATTTAGTCGTGCCCGACTCTTCGTGACCCCATGGACCAGAGCATGCCAGGCACTCCTGTCTTCCACTGCCTCCCGCAGTTTGGCCAGACTCATATTGGTAGCTTTGAGAACACTGTCCAACCATCTCGTCCTTAGTCGTCCCCTTCTCCTTGTGCCCTCCATCTTTCCCAACATCAGGGTCTTTTCCAGGGAGTCTTCTCTTCTCATGAGGTGGCCAAAGTATTGGAGCCTCAGCTTCACGATCTGTCCTTCCAGTGAGCACTCAGGCCTGATTTCTTTCAGAATGGATACGTTTGATCTTCTTGCAGTCCATGGGACTCTCAAGAGTCTCCTCCAGCACCATAATTCAAAAGCATCAATTCTTCGGCGATCAGCCTTCTTTATGGTCCAGCTCTCACTTCCATACATCACTACTGAGAAAACCATGGCTTTAACTATACGGACCTTTGTTGGCAAAGTGATGTCTCTGCTTTTTAAGATCCCCTTCATGGATCACTGCCTTGCCGTGGTGAAGGGGCTTGAATAACTCAGAGAAGCTATGAGCTATGCCGTGCAGGGCCAACCAAGATGGACAGGTCATAGTGGAGAGTTTTGACCAAACGTGATCCACCTGGAGCAGGAACCAGCAAGCCACTCCAGTATCCCTGCCAAGAAAACTCCATGGACAAAGGCAACAGGTATATAAAGGTGCTCCTGGAAGGAATTCTTTTATTTTGTTTCGACTACGGCAGACCAACATGGCTGCCTACCTGTAACTATCTTCCCTGAGTACAGGATGGTATCGTTTCCCCCTGCCATCCTGTCCGTTGTGTAGCCTGGCTGTTGCATTTGTTCCCTCTGCATATTTTAAATTGGGGTGGTATTTGCAGAGGCTGCTCTTTTGCCAGCATCGTAGTTTGGGCCGTGCACTCCATCTCCTCTCGAGACAGGCAGATCCCAACAACAACTAAGGCTACAACTGCCAGGGAATAAACCTGGGGCCCCCTCTGCATGCAAAACTTGCACTGTGTCTCTGAGCTGTGGTCTCCTCCTCCTTCTCCTTTTGCTCTGGAAAAGACATGTTCCAGTGTCTTCTGCTTTGGGGGCTGCTTGCCAGGGAGGACCCAGCCCCCTTCTCCCATAGGGTGATGACATTGTTATGTGTGTGTGTGTTTGGCGTTACAAGGGTCTTATCCTGGGAGCGTGTGGCTCCTCAGGCCCAGCAGCTCTGCCGTTGCAGATTTATTTTGGGGAGAGCTGCGGGCAAGGTAGCCACGCAGGCGGCTTTCGCTCTTGAAAGTTCCATGGCGGCACTTGGGGGCCCTGCCACGCTGGCAGGCTCAGCTGTGCCCCTCGTATATCTCGGCTGAGGGGCCGGCACAGAGCCTTGCCAACCTGGAGGAAGGAGATGGCTGCGCGTGGCTTTCAGATCTTCTGGACCCGTGGCCATGGCAACAAAGCACTTAGCGTTTGCCGCAGCGGAGGAAGCGGGGCATTCCGGTGGGCCAGCAGCTACTACAATAGGTAACTTAATTGGCTACCTGCCACTTCCTGAGCGCACTGACAGGCAGGAGGCAAGCAGGGCAAGTCACGCTGAGGCCGCTGGGAGTAGGAGGAGGGCGTGAGAGGAGCGCAGCGCATGCTAGCTTGGGAGAAGGAAGGAAAGCTGGGGGGGGGGGTTGTTTCTCTTCCCCTCCCTTCCTCAAGAGGGGAGCCTGCCAGTGCCTGGGCAAACTGGCAGGCCAGGCAGAAGGAAACCCCCGCGGTTGTCTGTCTCCGCAGACTGGATCAGGAAAGCTTAATTGAAGCCAAATAGGCATATTGGTAGTTAAGCTGGCAAGCGCATGCATCCCTGCACTCCCGATTGCCTGAAGCTGTGACTGAGCGGAAGGAAAGGGCATCGCTCAGTATTGCCCTGTGGGGGTTTGTCTGCTTTCTTAACAACAGGGCCGAGGAAGCTTCAGACGCCTGGAGGATCCGATCAGGCCTTTCCCACCTGTCCCGTGCGAGTGCAGCCAAGGAGCTTGCCTGCTAAACCACCCGTTTGAGCGACCGCCCCCTGTCGTCTCAATCTAATCAGCACGTGCCCCATTAACAAACGAAATGCGCCACAGCAATGTATTTACTGGCCTGTGCCACATTTTAATGGGGGAAGCTGTATGTCTGTTGTCGTCCCCCACTTCCCCCCACATGGATACTTATCTCTGTTGTGTTAATATTGCACATGACGGCAGCTAATCTCAAAACGTTCTGCAGAAAAGCTGGGGTAGTCTGGGAACGTGAGGAAAGAATCTTGGGAGCTTCAGGCAAACGCTTGAAGGCAGGATTGCACCTTCTTGCACCTTCTTATTACGATCGGCTAGGCTGTGCAAAATGGGCCCTGGGGTGCAGAGTCTATTCCACTGTTGCCGTTTGCCTTGGAAGCAAAGTGGGGCCCCCTCCGCTGCGGAAGCGTTCCTGGGTGTCCGCAGGCGGCGGGATTAACACCGTGTAAGATGCGCGCAGGACAGTAATGTGGCTTAGCAAACTGGCTAAGCCGCGCCTGAATGCGTTTTTGCTAAACCCATTAAACAAAGCTGGCACAATGCGCTCAGATCCGCCGAGGAGCTCTGGGTCTGGAGACAGCTTTGTCGAAATGCGTAAAGCACAGCGGCAACTGCTCCCGGCCGGCAAGCAAGCATGGGAAGAGGCGTCGGGGTGGGGTTGGAGCTTCCCACAGAGCTCCGAGATGCTGTGGTTTCTGTACTTCCTTGCTTCCAATGCAATTCTGGGCTGCATCAATAGGAGTATAGCATCTAGATCAAGGGAAGTAATAGTGCCACTGTATTCTGCTCTGGTCAGACCTCACCTGGAGTACTGTGTCCAGTTCTGGGCACCACAGTTCAAGAAGGACACTGACAAACTGGAACGTGTCCAGAGGAGGGCAACCAAAATGGTCAAAGGCCTGGAAACGATGCCTTATGAGGAACGGCTAAGGGAGCTGGGCATGTTTAGCCTGGAGAAGAGGAGGTTAAGGGGTGATATGATAGCCATGTTCAAATATATAAAAGGATGTCACATAGAGGAGGGAGAAAGGTTGTTTTCTGCTGCTCCAGAGAAGCGGACACGGAGCAATGGATCCAAACTACAAGAAAGAAGATTCCACCTAAACATTAGGAAGAACTTCCTGACAGTAAGAGCTGTTTGACAGTGGAATTTGCTGCCAAGGAGTGTGGTGGAGTCTCCTTCTTTGGAGGTCTTTAAGCAGAGGCTTGACAACCATATGTCAGGAGTGCTCTGATGGTGTTTCCTGCTTGGCAGGGGGTTGGACTCGATGGCCCTTGTGGTCTCTTCCAACTCTATGATTCTATGATTCCCTTGTATGTGTGCGAGGCGGTTCTTTAGCCACGGAACTTGCAGCTGAATGATACCAGGGAATGAGGGAGCTAGTCCTCTAGGTCTGCCTTTTGGCAGCTTAACCCGGCCTCTGTTCCCGTGCATCTATTTCACAGAGTTAACTAGACCGTTGGAAGGTTCGGGACACCTGAAAACAAGAGCTTCTTTATGCAGCGCATAGTTAACCTGTGGAACTCCCTCCCACCAGAGGCAGCGATGGGCCCCCAACTGGGGTGGCTTTCAAAGAGGATTAGACTCATTCAGGGAGGAGAGGGCTGTCGAGGGCTGCTGGCTGTGCTCTGTTTCCGCAGTTGGAGGCAGCCGTGCTTGCTGGAAACCACAGAAGGAGTTCTTGTGCTTGGATCCTACTTCCTGGTTTCCCTCGGGCATCTGATTGGCCACTGTGAGAACAGGACGCTGGACTGGATGGGCCATTGGTCTTGCCCAGGGGTCAGCAAGCTTTTTCAGCAGGGGGCCGGTCCACTGTCCCTCAGACCTTGTGGGGGGCCAGACTATATTTTTTGGGGGGGGGGGAATGAACGAATTCCTATGCCCCACAAATAACCCAGAGATGCATTTTAAATAAACATTCTACTCGTGTAAAAACATGCCAATTCCCAGACTGTCCGCGGGCCGGATTTAGAAGGCCGGATCTGGCCCCCGGGCCTTAGTTTGCCTACCCATGGTCTGGCTCCACAGGCTCTTGAGTTCTTCTATCCCAGCACTTCTCTATGATCAGGGGAAGCCCATGATGTCATCCCGATGATCTGCTGGTTTCCAGTGCTTGAGGTTGTGGAGGAAGCTGCTGCTGCTGTGTGCTGTGAGCAAATACCCTTCTCCTTGCACGCAAGCGTCCTGGCTCTTGGCCTTAATGGCCCTGTAATTATTACCCTGGGTCAGGCCGGTAAATGCTCTAATGTGACAGCAAACAGGCATGGCTGAAGCAGAGCGCTGCCGGCTGCCAAGTGCGTCGCTCACTTGCCGGCTGTGCTTCTGGGCCCTGCACAAAGATCTCCTGCCATCCAGCTGCTGTTAATAGAGTAATTATTAGCTTTCTGGTCTTTATGGTTAAATATTTATGTCCTGGGAGCGCTCCTTAACGCCATGTCTGCTTTTTGCAGGCAGCTGATTAAAGCAGGCAGGCGCAAACAGGCAACCGCCGGCCCAAAGGTGGCGGCATTCGGTGGGGAAAGCGCTGTACTAAGCAAGTGAGCTAAGGTTCTGTGCCTGGACGATCCAGATTTCCCCACCACTACCACCACCAAAGGGACGCAGGTGGCACTGTGGGTTAAACCACAGCGCCTAGGGCTTGCCGATCAGAAGGTCGGCGGTTCGAATCCCCGTGACGGAGTGAGCTCCTGTTGCTCGGTCCCTGCTCCTGCCAAACTAGCAGTTCGAAAGCACATCAAAGTGCAAGTAGATAAATAGGTACCGCTCCGGCGGGAAGGTAAACGGCGTTTCTGTGCACTGCTCTGGTTCGCCAGAAGCGGCTTAGTCATGCTGGCCACATAACCCGGAAGCTGTACACCGGCTTCCTCGGCCAATGAAGCGAGATGAGCGCCGCAACCCCAGAGTCGGCCACGACTGGACCTAATGGTCAGGGGTCCCTTTACCTTTACCTTTACCACCACCAAGGAAAGCTGGAATTTGCAGTCTGTACAACTGCATGGAGGACTGTGTGAATTGCACCAAGGGGATTTTTTTTGCAAATTTATTTGGCTTATTTTTAATGCAGAATTTAATTCCGTGTTTGTACTGTAAACCACCCTGCGATCCTCAGATGAAGGGCAGCACATAAAGTTAATACATAACAACAATAATTTAAAAATCTGCTAGGAGCTGGGGTTGCACAGGGCAAACCACTGAGAACCTCAGAGGGAGCTTTTGAGTTTATAAATTTTGGGCAGTGTTGCTTGCCCACTTTTTTCCAAGTGCACTTTTGCCAGTCCTAAGAATTTAGTCGTCCCCCCCCCCCCAATGAAAGCGGAGATTCTTTGGAAATGTAAATCTGCCCCTGTTGCCACATTCTCCTTTTCTGCATTGGGGGTAGTATTATGGTATGGATATGCATATAGCTGAGGCTGCTGGTTATATTGGCTGCTTCTACATTGGAAGCTGATCTAAGGAAGAGAACAGGAGAGTGACTAACAAGCTCATTACTGTAAAGAGGTCCACCGGCAGGGCAATGAGAATCTTTCAATAGCAAGGATCGAATTGGTGCGTAAATTTTCCCCAACCTGGTGCCCTCTGGCCATTGTTGGACTACAGATCCCAGCAGGGACGCAGGTGGCGCTGTGATCTAAACCACTGAGCCTCTTGGGCTTGCTGATCAGAAGGTCAGCGGTTCGAATCCCCACGATGGGGTGAGCTCCCGTTCTTCTGTCCCAGCTCCTGCCAACCTTGCAGTTCGAAAGTACACTAGTGTGAGTAGATAAATAGGTACTGCTGCAGCAGGAAGGTAAACGGCATTTCCGTGTGCTCTGGCTTCCATCACAGTGTCCCGTTGCACCAGAAGCAGTTTAGTCCTGCTGGCCACATGACCCAGATACCTGTCTGTGGACAAACGCTGGCTCCCTTGGCCTGAAAGCGAGATGAGCACCACAACCCCATAGTTGCCTTTGACTGGACTTAACCGTCCAGGGGTCCTTTACCTTTACCTTTTTTAACAGATCCCAGCACCCACAATGAACATGCTCAGTAGTGAGGGAGTTGCAGACCAACAACCCCTGGAGGGTACCAGGCTGGGGGAAGCTGCTTTAAGCTATGGGGCTGGCCTCAAGCCAGGGCTCAACTCTGGAAGAGAAGGCCCAAGCTGTGAAGCATGAAGTTTAGAGCTTGTGAACATCCCTTGTGGGGTGAAATCCTGGAAAGCTGCTGCCATGGAGTGTAGACAGAACTGCGCTTCTTAGGAACCCTCTCCCTGAGAGCTTGCTGAGCTGCTGCCAGTTGTTGTTGTAGTTTAGTTGTTTATTCGTGTTCGACCCTTTGTGACCCCCTGGACCAGAGCACGCCAGGCACTCCTGTCTTCCACTGCCTCCCGCAGTTTGGTCAAACTCATGCTGGTAGCTTCGAGAACACTGTCCAACCATCTCGTCCTCTATCATCCCCTTCTCCTTGTGCCCTCCATCTTTCCCAACATCAGGGTCTTTTCCAGGGAGTCTTCTCTTCTCATGAGGTGGCCAAAGTATTGCAGCCTCAGCTTCATGATCTGTTGTATTTCAAATGAGATGGTGCCGCCAAACCTTGCCCTCCCATATCCACCCTGCCTTGGAGACGATACCTTGGTTTTGTATCTTCCCTGAACAAAATAAAAGAATTCCTTCCAGTAGCACCTTATAGACCAGCTAAGTTTGTTCTTGGTATGAGCTTTCGTGTGCATGCACACTTGGTATCTGAAGAAGTGTGCATGCACACGAAAGCTCATACCAATAACAAACTTAGCTGGTCTCTAAGGTGCTGTTGTTGTTTAGTCATTTAGTCGTGTCCGACTCTTTGTGACCCCATGGACCAGAGCACGCCAGGCACTTCTGTCTTCCACTGCCTCCCGCAGTTTGGTCAAACTCATGTTGGTAGCTTCAAGAACACTGTCCAACCATCTCGTCCTTAGTCGTCCCCTTCTCCTTGTGCCCTCCATCTTTCCCAACATCAGGGTCTTTTCCAGGGAGTCTTCTCTTCTCATGAGGTGGCCAAAGTATTGGAGCCTCAGCTTCACGATCTGTCCTTCCAATGAGCACTCAGGGCTGATTTCTTTCAGAATGGATACGTTTGATCTTCTTGCAGTCCATGGGACTGTCAAGAGTCTCCTCCAGCACCATAATTCAAAAGCATCCATTCTTCGGTGATCAGCCTTCTTTATGGTCCAGCTCTCACTTCCATACATCACTACTGGGAAAACCATAGCTTTTACTATACGGACCTTTGTTGGCAAGGTCATGTCTCTACTTTTTAAGATGCTGTCTAGGTTTGTCATTGCTTCTCTCCCAAGAAGCAGGCGTCTTTTAATTTCGTGGCTGCTGTCACCATCTGCAGTGATCACGGAGCCCAAGAAAGTAAAATCTCTCACTGCCTCCATTTCTTCCCCTTCTATTTGCCAGGAGGTGATGGGACTAGCGGCCATGATCTCTGCTGCCAGTTAGAGCAGCCAATATAGGGTAGAGAGGGGTAAGGCATAGTCATAGCATCACATGCAGAGCTGATTCAAAAATTAAGCCCAAACTGAACCCTGCGCCAAAGCCAGAATTCCATTCTTAGGCCACCACAGGTTGGTGGTATTTGTGGATTTTAGGTTCTCTCCCACCCCCGTTCCTAGCTGGCTTGAGTGACGGATGTGAAGAAAGAGAAGCCAGAGCTGTCAGAAACCTATATAGCTCTTCCTGGGAGGGAAGGGTGGTGCAGTGGAGAGGAGTGACCTAATTAAACGAAGCCCTTTCTCCGGAGCTGGAGCTTGAAAGAATCTGGGCTGCTCGAAGACCCAGCAGATCTGAACGTTCTTCCTGCTAGAGGAATGGACAGCAGCAAGACTCTCCCTGTCTGTTTTGCCTCGCCTTTATCCTGCTTTTTCTTCCAAGGGGCTGACTTCCAAGGAAGCTGCCTTATACAGAGTCAGACAGAGGCCCATCTAGTTATTGTCCACATGGACAGCTCTCCAGGGTTTCAGATGCAAGATATTCCCAGCCCAACCCATTTACTGGGGAGGTCCCGGTAAATATTTCTCGGCTTGGTGGATTTCTGGAGTTTGGTCCCCTGTGCTTTCTACCTGTGCTGTTAACAAAGCATCGCCGACTCTGCTTTTTATATATAATTTTTATTAGATTTTCTGTTTTACAATTTAAAGTACTCATTTTAACATCCTTAAAATCTCAGTGACTTCCCTTCTTCTCTTTCCATGGTTCATTTTACATAGCTCACATCCCTGCATCTTTTACAAAACCTAAACCATTCAGTATTCCATTACTGCATCCATCGAAATTTATTTACACTGTTGAATTTATCTTAATGCTGCCAGTGTTTTCATGTCTACACAGGTTTTCCCCCATAGAGTCAATAAACATTTTCCAATCTTCTCTAAACGTATGTTCTTCTTGTTCTCTTATTCTATATGTTAAGTCTGCAAGCTGAGCATCTTCTGCCAGCTTAAGTTGACATTCTTCTTTGGTTGGGACATTGCTCGTTTTCCATTTTTGGGCTAACGAAACACAGGCCGCAGTAAGGTAAAGGTAAAGGGACCCCTGACCATTAGGTCCAGTTGTGGCCGACTCTGGGGTTGCGGCGCTCATCTCGCTTTATTGGCCGAGGGAGCCGGTGTACAGCTACCGGGTCATGTGGCCAGCATGACTGGTGAACCAGAGCAGCGCACGGAAACGCCATTTACCTTCCCGCCAGAGTATTCATCTACTTTCACTTTGACTGCTTTTGACCTGCTAGGTTGGCAGGAGCTGGGGCCGAGCAACAGGAACTCACCCTGATGTGGGGATTCGAACCCCCGACCTTCTGATCGACAAGTCCTAGGCTCTGTGGTTTAACCCACAGCGCTACCTGTGTCATAAAAACCTTTTTTGACACCTGGGAATTTCAATCTGAATTATCGCCAATTATCTCTGGTTTTGGAGGGGAAAGTACGTTTAAACTTTTTCAATTCATTATGGATTATTTCCCAACACCCCTTTACCCTTTTACAAGTCTGCCACATGTGAAAGAACATTCCCTCCACCTCTCTGTATCTCCAGCACTTACCTGATTCAGTCGCCACCCCTGTTCTGATTCAGCATCAAAGTAGTTGAGTTCTACTTGACTCCATCACCCCAGGAAAAGGCAGCGAGTTTTCACCTGTGTGAGTAAGAGAGCATGGGTGAATCAGGGAAGCAGAGGCGTCTGGGAAGGTTTGCGTATGGGATGCCACCTGGTTACACAAGAAGATTTCAAGGGCAGTAGGAGCAAACAAGTCATCCTGTTTCCTGAGCTCAGGGATAGCCAACATGTTCCGATCCAATTGCTCTTGGACTCCAGCTCCCATGAGCCCCAGCCAATGCGGCCAAGGATAATGGGAGTTGGAGTCCAGCCAGAACATCCAGGGGTGCAACACCGGCCGCATTGGCCACTCCTGCTTTAGTTAACAGAAACACTAGCAGAAATACCATAATTCTGACACAGCTCGTGAGGTTGACTGTAGAGGTCAGCAAACTTTTTCAGCGGGGGGCTGGTCCACTGTCCGTCAGACATTGTGGGGGGGCGGACTATATTTTTGGGGGGAGGGAATGAACGAATTCCTATGCCCCACAAATAACCCAGAGATGCATTTTAAATAAAAGGGCACATTCTACTCATGTAGAAACACGTTGATTCCCAGACTGTCCGCAGGCCAGATTTAGAAGGCGATTGGGCCTGATCCGGCCCTCGGGCCTTAGTTTGCCTACCCATGCTGTAGAGCCACAGCAGCACATACATTTCAGAGAGACGGCACTACTTACTAAAACAATTTTTTTGAAAAAGATTTTGCCACCACTTGGGTCCCTGGTATTAAAAGGTTCTTATTGCCCTGCCAGTGGGCCTCTTTGCAGTTAATTGGCTTGTTAGTCCCTCTGCTGTTCTCTTCCTTAGATCAGCTGTACTCGAGCACATCACTGAGGTCTTTTTTGTCCAGCATGAGTCTGGAGTAGAAAGGGAAGATGAATCCATGGTTTGAAGTGCTGGCTAGTCTTGCCATCTCGCCTCCCACCCCTCCCTTTATTGTTGTTCTCCTGGCTTTCTGCTTTGTCCAAAGATCATAAGCCAAATTAATCCTCTGTATCGGTGCTCTAGTGTCTGTTCTTGGCGGAAGACTGGACTTGAAACTCTAATAAGGTCGTGTGGGATGAAGGCTGGAGAGCTCTGCTTGCCAGGGTGAAAGGATTAGAGCTGGAGAGTTTCCAGAACATTCTCCCCAGCAGAAGAGGATGAGTTACTCTTCAGATAGATAAAGCTACTTTTGTGTTGACAACGCCATTGGCGTTGTCTGCTGCAAGCTTCCCCAACCTGGTGCCCTCTAGCTGATGTCAGACTACAATTCCCATTGGCCCTCTGGGTTCTAAAGCATCTGGGAAGGGTACCTCATAGGTTGTCCTGGTCTACCGCGATGGGCAGTGGCTTTCCAGTGTCTTGGATAGAAGTAGCTCCTCCTGAACTTGTGTCATGGGCTGGCTGGATACAGAGGCACCAGCTGGAGAACCCTCAGGGATAGAAGGCTCAGAGCTAGGCGATTGCTGGTGGGATGATGCGTGGTTAGAGGGAGGAAGCGTTGGAGGAAGGGCGTAGTGATCAAGAGGAGTCTGGGGCAGAGAGCAGTCCAGAATCGGAAGCAGAAGTAGAGGCTGGAGAGGAGGGGGCCAAGAGGCAGAAGAGGAGGCCTCATTGGGGTCAAGACCTCCTGGGAACAGTTGCTGGGTTCACTAGGCCTCCTGCGCTGTTTTGGTTTCTTTGAATAAAGATATTGCTAACCTGCTCCTGACTCCAGCTCCCGACACCCTGCCGTTTGCAGTCCTTCAACCTGAGACCTCCTTCATGCAAGCCATGCAAGAAGGGCCTTTCACACACAAAATGTTTCAGGCACTCTGGCATGCTGGCATCCGAGGGATTTAATATTCTTCACAGAGCTTGATTCTAGGCTCTGCTGGTGCTGCTCACAACTCTTCACAACTGTTTCATCCTCTGCTTCCAGAAAATGTCACTGGTTCCTGCCTCTTTTCCTTCCTTCCTTCCTTCCTTCCTTCCTTCCTTCCTTCCTTCCTTTATCTCTCTCTCTGTCTCTCTGTCTCTCATAGTTTGTCATAAACAAAATATCTCTCCTAAAATCTCCAGATTTAGGGAGGTTCTCTCTGCATTTAAAATGTAACTTATTCAGTGACCCAACGTGACTACAGCACTATGCTTGCATCAGTCATGTCAGTCATGTACACTTGGAAAAATTGTTTAGTTTTCACAGTGGAAGTTTGCGGGAACTGGGCTTTTGTGCAGCTTTGAAGAAAGAGGTAGCAAGAGAGCAAGGCGGGGGGGGGGGCATTTATTTCAAGGAGTAGGGCACAGAAACTAATGGGCACCCTGCCCAAATCCCTTTTTTCCTCAAATCTTCTCTGATGCGCTGAGGGGCTGGAAACTTGCTTTTTAAAAAACGGAAGCAGAAAATGGACTCTAAATCAACCAGTAGAGTCTATCATCTGGACCCCACAGGTGGCTGAAATTGCAGAGTTATTGGGTAAACCCTTGGCTTTGAATCCTTTCTGGCTGTGTCTGCAAACTTCGGGGCTGGCGCTGTGCTTCTGTGGCCATTCCAGATCTCTCTCTATTATTTCTGGCTTCCCTCTTCCCCTTCTGCTTTGCTGACCAAGCAACCGGCGTTTCTCTCCTTCCTGCACTCGGCTCTTGGCAGCTGGCTTCCTACCGATTTCCAATCCCTGGTCCGGCCGCTTCATTGGCGAGCTGAGTTGCGTGAGCTTTGCCAGAGTATACAAGAAGGCCAGACTCCCCAAATCTCTGGAAACATGATCCACCCAGAGCAGTATGTGTTGAGGTTAATTTAGACCCGAGGCCAAGAGTTCCTGAGTCACATTCTCTCTACCCGACATTATAATAAGTCTTGCTGCCACTGCTGCTCTGCCTTGAGCCTCCTGCTTTCACCGCACTAAGACAATCTTCTGCGCCTCACATTCTCTTGTTACAGGGCAATTCCTCTTTGCTAGAACAGTCTTTCCTTCCAGCTAGCCCTGTGTAAAGTCTCTCTACCTTCTGCACTCCACTGCGGAGATCCGTGTCTTCTCATCTTTGTCCCTCCGCAGCCCCTTATCTCCACATTCACAATGTTAATGTACTAGCAGTCATGAAGAATATTCTTTTTTCTCCCCTTTCTTGGCCATTTGCTCTAAGCCCTTTCTTCTGTTCACACGAAGGCTTTAATAGAAGAATATAGATTTTTATGTATTGTAAAGCGCCCCGTGATCCTCGGATGAAGCGTGGTATGGAAATTATATAACAAAGAATTAAAAAACAATAGAATTGTAGAGTTTGAAGGGACTCAAAAGGGTCGTCTAGTCCAGGCACGTCCAACTCCCAAGAGACTGTGATCTACTCCCAGTATAAAAAAAAACTGGCAGTGATACAGTGGTACCTCTGGTTACATATGCTTCAGGTTACATATGTTTCAGGTTACAGACTCCACTGACCCAGAAATAGTACCTCAGGTTAAGAACTTTGCTTCAGAATGTGAACAGAAATCGTGTTCCGGCAGCGGCAGCAGGAGGCCCCGTTAGCTAAAGTGGTGCTTCAGGTTAAGAACAGTTTCAGGTTAAGAACGGACCTCCAGAACGAATGAAGTACTTAACCTGAGGTACCACTGTATACCCATTGTCATTGCCAAGATTGTTGAGCTGTTTTTAGGGGAGAGTGACCAGAAATGTTGAACTTCTTTTGGGAAGGATGACCCAGAGTTGTTGAGCTTTTTGGGGGGGGAGTGCCCAGAGTTGTTTACCATTTGGGGGGGGATCGGTAAAGAGCACAACAGCGATCACTTAAAATAATACCGCAATCGACCTGTTGGACATGCCTGGTCTAGTGCAACCCCCTGCAATGCAGGAATAGCAGCTTAGAAACGCCGACAGATGGGCCCAGCCATGTTGCCCTCCAGACATCCATCGTCAAAAGTGGGGAAATGATGGCTGTGACCGCAATGAAGGAAGTCTCTGTGGGAGTTGCTTCAAGGAATCACCAATGCTTGATCCTAACAGATACAGCGGTACCTCGGGTTACATACGCTTCAGGTTACAGACTCCGCTAACCCAGAAATAGTGCTTCAGGTTAAGAACTTTGATTCAGGATGAGAACAGAAATCGCGCTCCGGCGGCACGGCGGCAGCAGGAGGCCCCATTAGCTAAAGTGGTGCTTCAGGTTAAGTACAGTTTCAGGTGAAGTACGGACCTCCGGAACGAATTAGGTACTTAACCCGAGGTACCGCTGTAAATCTCTTCCTTTGCCCCCACCCCTTTCACTTTCCTTGTACTACTAATCCCCCTGCTTCTCCTTGCTTCCGCATCCTTGTAAGCGAAACTTGCCGGCCGCCTCCCTTTTCAAGTCCTGTCCTGCTTTTTGGAACTCTTGCTATAAACAGCTTCAAAGCTAAGAGCCAGTAGGCGTCTGGGTATTCGTCCTTTTCTCCACCCCCACCCAAAAAAAAACCTATTTGCTTCAGAATGCTATGAGCGCACCTGTGGATCCCTCTGCAGCAAGACAGCCGGGGATTGCAATGAAGGAGTCCGTTTTGTCTTTATTTCTGACGCGTTTCTCTGTTGGGAATCCGCTTCGCCGCCAAAGTTGTCGGGAGAAGGGAAAGAGGAGCCAGCGAGTCTCTTTGCTTGGCTTGGAACGGGAGCCGCCAGCAGTTGATTGACGGCCACCGTCTAGTCAGGGTGGCTGTCTAGAACTTCCACGTTCAGAGTATTTTGTACGTCCCTGGGCACCAGAAGGAGGAGGGAATGATTGTCTTCATGTCCTGCTTCTGATTGGCTACTGTGGGAAGAGTGATACAGTGGTACCTTGGGTTACAGACTCTTCAGGTTACAGACTCCGCTAACCCAGAAATAGTACCTCGGGTTAAGAACCTTGCTTCAGGATGAGAACAGCAATCGTGCAGCGGTGGCGCGGCGGCAGCGGGAGGCCCCATTAGCTAAAGTGGTGCTTCAGGTTAAGAACAGTTTCAGGTTAAGAACAGACCTCCGGAACGAATTAAGTACGTAACCAGAGGTACCACTGTACTGGCATAGTTGATGCTTTGGCATGACCCAGCACAGCTGCTCTTAATCTTTCCTAAACTCATGAGAGACGGCATTATCCCACAACCCTTGCACAAGCCTAGACGGTTGGTCATGAAAACTGAGATTTGCTTTCTTTAAAAAATGCTGGATTGTAAGATGCTTTGGAGACTTTGTGGTTTAAAAAGACAGGGTGTAAATAAATTTAAGGTGTGGAAGAGCAATCCTCTTTCGGCAAGGGCCCAGTGACCTATTGTGCCCAGTCGGTTGATGAGCCCGTTCTTGCAAGAAATGGGAAAGCAAATCCCTTTTTGTTCGCCTTTCCTTGTTTTCCAAGGTAGCAGTGAGTTTTGGGGACAGAGAGAGGGGTGGTGATTGGACTGCGCCAAAAGTGGAAGTCTGTTTTGCCCTACAGCATTGTGCCTTTCTCCCCCAAACTGGAAATCTGGATTATTCCCCGTACATTGAAATGACCTTTTCAGGTAAGAGGGGGCCTAACGTTTCTGCTAAATGCCAGCAGCTGCTGGTGCTCCGATTGAAAGCGGTTTGCCTTTAAAATAAAAATAAAGGGCTTCCTTGTGAGCTGGGCTTGCCGCCTCGCAGCTGATGCTTCTCTGCTCCCATCGGATTCATTTCTTCCAAATCGGCCAGCTTGTCGTATTGCTTAACGCTTAGCGCTGCGTGTCACTCCTGAGCCTCCAGCTAAGCATTCTGGGACCATGGAGGAAGGACGTGGCCAGGGGCTGCAAGGCTTGCCTTTGGAAGGAGGACGAGAACGGGACTGCTGCACGGTTCCTGCTCTGCAATCCGCTGGGGATCTCCTCTCTGTCTTTCCGCTCTGCTGCCCTCTGGGCCGCTTTCTTCGATTAAGTGCTACTGCTGCTTTCTTGCTTTCTACCAACTCACGGCCCTTGTGGTCCCACGCTGCCTCTCACCTTCCAGGAAAAGAAAACCGGGGATGTCGTGTCAGGATCTGAGCACTCCACTGGCTGGAAGGGCCGGGGGACAAAGTTCCTCCCGGAAGCACAAATCTCATAGGAAGCTTAGGAAGTTGCTTCGTACTGAGTCAGATCCCCCATCCATCCTTCTTGGTACTTCCTGCACTGACCAGCAGCAGCTCTCCAAGGTTTCAGGCGGGGGTCTCTCCCAGCCCCCCCTCCCGGAGATGCCGTTGGGGATCGAACCAGGGACCTTCGGCATGCAAATAGGATGCTCTGCCACCCTTCCCTCTTGCGTCGCTCCATGCCCTCTGCAAACTTCCATTGGGCCCCAGCTGGCCTGCATGACGACCGCACCTTTGGGAACAGCGTCGGGGGTTTTGGTCTCTCTTGGCAAGATGGTTCTTGGCTTTTGCAGCTCCTGCATGACATTAACTGCTGGTTTGCCCGCCACAGCGATTCAGCGCTTTCGCCCTCCTTAACAAGCTCGGCATCTTCTTCCTTCTCGCTTTAGAAAGGAGCCGTTTGAGGCCTGCCGTAAGCCGTACACCCTCAATGCCATTCTTGAGATTATGATGCCAGTGTAAGGCAGGAGACCAACGAGGGCTTGAGCAAAAGGGACGTTCTGCTGAACAAAGCCATTGACTTGCATCGTCTCCTCTTTCTCTTTCTTTCTCTCTTTCTCTCCCTCTCTCTGCCCCAGATCTGCAGACCATTCTCTGCCTGGATCCTCCATCTCTACAGACTTTGGCAGCTGGCAGATGGTAACGGGGAATGGCAGTATACAGGAGCAAGCAGACTCCTCCCTCCCTTGCAGCTTCCCGGATGAGCTCCCTAACAGTTCCCTGTAAGTGTGCTGAGAACGACGCGTTGGGAGGGGCTGCTCTGTGCATAATAACCCAATGCCTCTGGTTCGGACTTCCGGCATCCTGAAACGATAGTCACCGGCCTGGGCAAGGCCTCTCTCCCAGAAGACCCACAAGGACCATTACTGATTTGATCGTACCAGGCTAGCTAGGTCCAGCGGTCTAACTCAGTGTGACAGTTCCTTATAGGCCTTCTCGCTAGCGAGAACATGCTGGTGGCTGGCGGTGCAAGCTGACTCTTCCCACCCAAACACCCCCAGAGCGCATGGGATGCAGATATGTTTTTCACAACGCACAGGGATGTCTGCGAACTTTCCCCTTTGCAGCCATCACAGGTACTTCCACGCAGATGCATGTCTCGTCTTGATATCAGTCCTGTTGCTAAAAGGCAAATGCTCCATAGATGTGAGCTGGGCCCCTCCGAGGAAGCACAACCAGTTCTGAATCTTGATTTCAATGTGCTCTCTCGTCGGGCTGGTCCTTTTCCTTTCTCGTCCTCTTCAGCAGCGCAGCTCATGGAGCTGTGGAACTTGGCCTTCTTTGATTCAATTCGTTTATGCAGAGGTTTTCAAGACAACTTTTGCGCATTGTTGTTTTTCCCCACTCAGCCGAACCTTTCGTTTTCCATGGAGTTCCTTTATCTTGCAACTTTTATTTACCAGGCGGAGACCATGGCACTGTCATTTGATCCCTCTTTCTTCTGCTCCAACAGTCCAATCCTAGGAGTTCCTGCCAAGGGGCTACTGTTGCATCCACTGAACCAAGGACAGATCAGAGTGGTCAACAGCCTCTTCATTTTCTCTTCCTCATTTCAGAAGTTTTCATTTTAATAACGATAATCTTGTAATTTGTGCCCCGCCCATCTGACTGGGTTGCTATGTGGATTGGAGAGATTCACTGCTTTTGCAGTTCTGTGGGGCCGGCCCTATATTCATGGCACCTGTTGCCCTACAAATACTCATGTCTAGCTGTGTCCCTCAAAGTTTGTTAGGACTTGAACTCATTGATCACACCAGAACTCATTGATAGACCTTGTCCTCTTCCTTGCTGGCGTCTTGTGGCTTCTTTGGTCAGTGGTCTATAACCATTTATGTTAGTTTCACATTCAGACCAGTGCCAGCTGAATCCTTGGTGGTCTTGCTATAAGAGGACTCTGCTCGCATTGCCCCTCGATAGCCTCTCTCTCATTTGCCCCTAGCCCTTCTCACCAGGCGCGGGCAGAACCTCGCACCACGAAGTTGCTCAGTTTAAAATGCCACACTAACGGCAGCACCCTTGGCCCAATAGTTCCCTGGGGTATTGGCGCTTCTCCTCCTAGCGTTGGAGCGAGGATGGTCTGCTGTACAGCTGGCAATAGAGTAGAAGGTTTGAGACATATTTGGAATGGGACTTTGGCTGAAGCAGTGTCTCAGTGAACTATCCTTTGCTGCCAAGGAGTGTGGTGGAGTCTCCTTCTTTGGAGGTCTTTAAGCAGAGGCTTGACAACCATATGTCAGGAGTGCTCTGATGGTGTTTCCTGCTTGGCAGGGGGTTGGACTCGATGGCCCTTGTGGTCTCTTCCAACTCTATGATTCTATGATTCTATCCTGGAAGCACAGAAACGAGAAGAAGAAAGCTTAGTGAGCAGTAGTCCTGTTGGTTTAGTATGGATTCATTACTTCCAGAAAAGCTAAGTCAGTAAGTTGGCCAGGGCCACAGTGTAGGTCTGTAGATAAAAGACATTATACCTCCAGCAGATGGCTGTTGTTGAGTAGAACTGATCTGGCTTCTAGCACTGAAACCTGGATGGAATTGACCTCTCAGCTACATCCACCCAAGTACTCAATTCAGCGCCAGCAAGGACTAGGGAGATGGTGTTGCCATGATCTACGAGAATTGCATCTCTCTCTCTCTCTCTCTCTCTCTCTCTCTCTCTCTCTCTCTCTCTCTCCAGGCTTCCTGTCTGGGTTGCAGTACTCTTGAGTATTGAGTTCTCTTGAGTATCCTTGTGTTGCACAATCAGGGCAGACTAGGGATTGTGCTGTTAATAATAATAATAATAATAATAATAATAATAATAATAAATTTATTATTTGTACCCCGCCCATCTGGCTGGGTTTCCCCAGCTACTCTGGGCGGCTTCCAACAGAGATTAAAAATACATTAAAATGTCACACATTAAAAACTACCCAACCTGCTGCCCATGGGGAAAGACTGGTTAAGAGCCAGGCTCAGTCCAGACAATATGGAGGCGCTGCGGGCAAGCGGTCCATCTGTCCAAGGAAATGGCTAAAATAGCGTTCCACCTGAAGGTTTGCAGCTTAGGGTTTGTCTTGCCCGATCTTCCTCGCTTGCGGCACAAGTTGCTTCTGTGGTATAGAGTGCCTTTTAGCGACTTAGCCTGGCGAACCACTTGTGGCCCACCCTATCTGGACAGGAAGAAACCTAGCCTTGCTTGCTTTTGACAGACCTCAAGGGTAGACGGCTGTAATGTGCGCTATACATGGGGCTGCCTTTGAAAACTGTTGTGAAACTGCAATTAAGACAGAAAGCGGATGCGGCCGTTGGATTACTCCCTGCGACTGGATGTTGTGGTTGTATTGTACCTGTCAGTGTCGGCTGCTGTGGCTTCCACATTGTTTCCAGGCACATTTCAAAGTGCCTTTCACAGCTTAGAACCGAGGTTACTTGAAGGTCTGCCTGCCTCTATATGTACCTACCCATACATTAAGTTCTTCAGTGGAGAGCCTCCTAAGGGTGCCATCACGGTTCGAGGTGAAGCAAGTTCCTTGGGGTGAAACACTCCACAGAGGTTTCCTGTTTGTTTCTTGCTTTCTTGCCCTTTTTCTCATCGGGCAAAACCTCTTTTAGCTCCCCAGAGTTTTTCTGTTTTAATCCTGCTGACTCTGTTGCACTGCTTGGTATAATGGCGCGTTTTGGCTTTTATATTTACATTTTAAGTGTGTTCTTTCGGTGAACTGCTGTGGGAATAATTGAAGGGCAGTTTTTTGTTTTTTGTTTTAGTGCTTCAAATAAATGAGTTGCATAGGAGGATGACAATAGTGGTACTTTTTAAGTTTGTTCCAGGTTGCATGTGTTCCCTCCCTCCCCCCCCCCAAGAATACAGAAATGGAGTGCAATAGCAGGCAGGATCTGCACAAGGAGGAGGTGCAAGGTGTTAGTCTGCTAAGTTTCACTCAGAGTAGGCCTACTGAAATTAATGGGCTTACCTTGGTCAGTGTGGTCATTAATTTCAATGGGACAATCGAATAGGGCTTGTGAGGTGAATCCCGTCCAATGGGTCGAAACTTAATTGAATAACACCCATAGTATATATCAGGCATTTCCAACTGGTCGATTGTGATCTACCTATTAATCGCTGAGTGTCCCTGATTGATCCTGGTCGGTCGTGTGATCCTGATGGATCACCCAAGGAAAAATAAAAGCTCAATAACTCTGGTCAGTTCTATCCAAAAAAAGCTCAACAACTCTGGCCAATCCAATGGGTAGATCACTGCCAGTTTATTTATAGTGGGAGTAGATCGCAGTCTCTTGGAAGTTGGACGCGCCTGGTATATATACATTGAGACTTAACAGAAATCATACAGGATACTTCCAGTGTTTTGCTTTAAAAACCACATATTAATAAATGCTCATAATTTTTCATTATAAGTGCAGGCCTAGCGCTCACAAACAAAAAATTGAATCTTAGCCTTTAAAAAAAAAAATTATTCTAAAAGATATCAGTTCAGCCCTTACTGCGACATCCCACAATTTATCCATTCATTTATATCTGGTAATTTCCAGTATTTAGAATGGATTATCACAGCAGGTGCTGTCATACAGCTAGTCAGTTCACGATGTTCTTTTTGTATTAGATCTTAAGTTTAAACGAGCAAGTAAAGGAGTCCAATATCTTATCCGTTAAAAGCTTTCATTTTCTTCTGGTATTTAGTGTGAGGGCATGTTCACCGCATGTGGCAGAAGCCCCTTTGTTTTTTGTTCTTTTAAACACTTACAACAACAGATATTGCAAATGCTTATTTTATTTTCCATGCCATCTTATAGTGGCACAGGGGGAAATTATTTCTGTTCGATAAGCTACAGCCCTCCAGTAGTTAGAGACTTGTACCCACTTCTCCATGTGCAGCGGACTAAATTATGCTAAGTATTTTGAAATACGTTTGACTTGCGTTAGGTAGGCAAGATTCAACTTTTCCCTGCGCGGAACTCTTGACTGGAGCGTTTTTGTTTAAGTAATGACCTATTTTGACTCATGAGCTTCCCAAAAGGCAGGCATATATATGGGTGAGACTTGCAGGGGTGCAAAATCAGCGAGTGATGGTTAACCCTGACCTGCCTGCCCAGTTCTCCCCTGCAAAATGCCCCATAGGCCATGCCTTGGCTTCTAGCTAGATGCCCAAACCAGCTTGGTGGAGAAACTGCCCATAGTGGAGCACATTTGCAGAGAAGAATTGGCAGACGTGGGGTTACTCTTGCCTCCTGCAGACCCAGGAACGGGAGCATGCATGTGCTCCCAGATTGTGTAGGGGTGTGTGTGTGTGTGTGTTGTTTTGAAGATAACAGATGCCTCTGGTGTGAGCGAATTCCTTTAGAGGACATGGAAACCTCACCCTGAGCCATATCCTGGGGTTCTTCCTCTCCCACCGCTGCCATGTCTGCACAGAGGCAGCCTGCTTCTGTCCCTCCTTTTTCCCCCCTTCCCAGCCTCCCCCCACTTCCATGTCTTTGGTAGCTTTTCAGGCTGCCAGGATCTGAATTCTCCTACAGCTGGGCAAATGGCCACAGCCTGGGCCTTGCAACGAAGGAAGCACAGCTGCTGCGTTCCGAGTGGCAAGGAATTTTTAAAGGAGCCGGAGCTGTATCTCTGAAGGAAGTCGCATGGGGGCGGCGGGGGAGACAGCTTTCCTACGCGCTTAATCCAGGCCTCTTTCTCCGGCTGACCCGTAATTGGAATTATGTAGGCCAGTCTGTAATGAGGTCGGTGTGGGTTTTGTCCATTGAGAATCCTGCCTTTATGAGGAGTCGGGGGAGGGAGATTCTCCTATAAGCAGGCGTGGCTAACCTGTGGCTCACCAGATGTTGCTGAACTACAGCTCCCATCATCCCTGCCCGTTGGCCATGCAGGCTGGGGCTGATGGGAGATGGAGTTCAACACTGCCTGGAGCCTGTAGGTTAGTCACGCCTGCTCTACAGCTTCAGACACATTGCAGCCCTTTGACTTCTCCTAGAATTGGGGTGGATGGGAAGAATCATGCAAGTGCGTTCTGCTCATGGTGGCCACAGTCAAATGCAGTGTGTGTTTTTATTTTTGATGTTATTGTTGCATTAAGGGACGTGGGTGGCGCTGTGGGTTAAACCACTGAGCCTAGGGCTTGCCAATCAGAAGGTCAGCGGTTCGAATCCCTGCAACGGGGTGAGCTCTTGTTGCTCTGTCCCTGCTCCTGCCAACCTAGCAGTTCGAAAGCACATCAAAGTGCAAGTAGATAAATAGGTACCACTCCAGCGGGAAGGTAAACGGTGTTTCCGTGCGCTGCTCTGGTTCGCCAGAAGCGGCTTAGCCATGCTGGCTACAAGACCCGGAAGCTGTACACCGGCTCCCTCGGCCAATAAAGCAAGATGAGCGCTGAAACCCCAGAGTCGGCCACGACTGGACCTAATGGTCAGGGGTCACTTTACCTTTACCCTTAACCTATTACTGGTGAATTCTGCTGCCTGTGTGTGTTTCTTTGGGCTCAGCAACATGAGAGCTGCGCTTAAGGCAGTCCACTGCTCTGCTATTTTTTGCCCATGCCCTGGAGTCGCTGTTCTCAGGCATGGAGCCAGGGTGACGACTATTTTTACACCAGGCGTGGTCTATGTACACAAAATCTGTCTGAGACGGGTGCTCTCTCCCACCGCTTAGTCATGCTGGCCACATGACCCGGAAGCTGTATGCCGGCTCCCTCGGCCAATAAAGCGAGATGAGCGCCGCAACCCCAGAGTCGGTCACGACTGGACCTAACGGTCAGGGGTCCCTTTACCTTTATTTGTTGCATTTATATCCCCCCTTTCTCTCCAAGGAGCTCGAGGTGGCACACATGGTTTTCCCCCTCCTCATCTAATCCCCCACAACAACCCTGTGAGGTAGATTAGGCTGAGAGGCAGTGACTGGCCTCCAAGGCCACCCACTGAGCATCATGGCAGAGTGGGGATTTGAACCCTGGTCTCCCAGGTCCTAGTCTGACACACTACCCACTATGCCACACTGGCTCCCTTGTTGGTGAGAAGGGGTATCTATGTACATGCACCTACACAGCACCAGGAGCAGATCAAGGAAGCCGGAAACTAAGAAACACCGAGCACAAAGCTAGATATGTGTACGGTTTTCTTTCAAGTCTCCTGCAACCCGTCTTCAATAGATGCTTTTGAGTTCCAGGAAATGCATTTTCATGGCAGCCCTTAGCTTAAATCTGGGAGATATTACGAATGAGCTTAATGACTTCCTGCAGCAGAAGGAAGAAAAAGAGTAAGTGAAGCTAGCTTACAACTCCTGCAAGCCAGTCTCCCCTACAAGGAAATGGGGGGTTCTAAAAGCCGACCCTCTCTGCAAGCCCTGTGGGCTTGTTTCCAAATACCTAGCAAGGAGCTGCTTCTGCTACAGACTTTTCTCCCCTGCCCGCCCCATCCAGTCTGGAGAGCTGCAGTGTCACTAAACGGGTAATTTCACTGAGGAAGCAGCATGTGGCCAAAGCCAGGGCTTATGCCAAAGTCTTGTGTAATCTCCTGATAGCGCTGTTTGTGCCTTGGGAGTTCCTTGGGGGAGGAGCCGCTAGCTTATTTGTAGTGGGGCAAATAAGCAGGGATCTCTCCTTCCTCACCGAGCCGCGTGTGTAGGTTTTCAGAGCTTGGAATTAGGTGGGTTATAATGAGGTGGTGGGGAGAAGAGCGCAAGTTCCTTCTCTCCCTGCAGTTGTTCTAGTTTGCCCAGCCTCTCACACATTCCCTGGCCTGGGCGAGCCCTGCTGCAACATGCAAACTCTGCCGTTTTGTATTAGGAGGGGAGAAGGGGAGATGGTAGAGTGGGGTGCATAGCTTGAAGGCCATGAGCCCATGTGGGAGCCATACCCTAAGCAGGGGGTGGGGAACCTGCAGACTACACCTCCCATCAACTTCAGGCCAAGGACCCATTTAAATAATAATTACTCTGAGATTCTTGGGGGGTCCACATTTGGCGGTGAATCTGACGAGGCTTCCTGGATCAAACCAAACCTGCGTCTAATCCCGGGTTCGGGTTCTGTCAGGAGCCTTCCAGGTGGAACCGCAGGAGAGGGGCAGGAACATCCCTGGATGTGAAGAGGAGGAAGCCTGATGTTTCAAGGGAAGCCAAGGACAAACCCCTGCAGCCCGTTCCTACACATGCTTCTTCAGAATCTAGGGTACACAGCCCTGCGCCCACTTAACCTGGGAGTAAGTCCCATGGAATTCAGTGGGGCTCTTTTCTTAGCCAGAAAGATAGCCTTGGGGCCAGATTCAGCTGCTTGGTTCCATTAGCAGAAGAAGCCAAGCCCAAGACTCCTCTGCTGGTGCAATGGTGCAATTTCCTCTCCTCTCCTCCCCTGGATACGGAGGGTCAGGAGGACTCCCAGAATAGCATGTCAGGGAAGGAAAGACAGAGGGGTCATTCCAGCAGACAAGCAGATATGTTTGCACTGGCGGAACCATCTCCTTCGCACTGTGTCAAATTCCATTGTTCAACGGGGTTTAAACTCCCAGAGGAAATACAGATAGGATCGAAGCTTTTGCTGTAGCTCTCTGCTTCAGATCCTGCGATCCACCAGCCCCTTTGGGACTGGTGCGGAAGTTTTCTTTGCAAACTTCCCAATCCCACTTAGTACTGGACCTTTAAAAAGCATTTGGAGGAAGACTCAACAAACTTGTGCTTCCTTGCTGCGGTTTCTGAGTCTCTCGCCCCTATTCTGGCAAAACAGCAACATTTCTCTGCTTTTGCGCAGTTTCATCTTCAAATATGCATTCCCTTCTTTGACTAGTCCTGTGACATGGAGTTCCATGGGCTAGTCGTGGGGCCGCCGGAAAGGCCCTTTCCCCTTTCTGCCACACTCTTCCAAACTGTTCACTCGGCGAGCCAGGCGGGCTGAATAGACCGGCTGCCTCTCTCCCTGGGCTCTTGTGTTTTTTTGTATTATTATTTTTCTTTCTAATCCAAGCCTTTCCGCCATGTCCCCTCGCTGCTCTTTCCGGACTCGAAGCTGGTGGCAGTGGGTGGCTTTCTCCTGCTTTCCATTCAAATTGACGGTGCCAGTTCCTAAGCCGGTGAAAACACTGGGGAGATGAAAGGGAATGCTTGATGGGCAGGTTTGTGCCGTGCCCTTGGGATGACCTTTTTTAAAGGGATGTCTTATTCTCTTTGAGAGAAAATGGTGAGAGAGAGAGAGAAAGTGTGTGTGTGTGTGTTTGAGAGAGAGAGAGATGCATGTATGCACGACGACAAAGATTGTTTTTCTTAAGACATCTCTGAACAGATGCCTTTGAACAGTAATCTCCCTTTGCGCAGCTCTCATCTGGAATGTCTTGTTTGCTTCTCTCTCTCTCCTCCCCCCCCCCCCGCCACCCTGGCTTCCTCCCCACCGTACCATAGATCAGATGGAGAGGAGGCTGGTCACAGGGGGACGCCTTGCCCTACTCTACAGGATGCATCGCTCTCTTGCACCTCTTTTTCACAGAACGGGAGGGTGGGGAGTGGCAGTGATGTGGGGGGGTGGAGAGAATAGCTTCCTGCTAGCAGGCATAGCCAGAAGCTCTTGGTTTCTACTCTCCCCCAGCTCCCTTTCTCTCCATCTCTGGAGATTACACTCTCAACTTGGACCCTGTGGAAGGAGGGGGAAGGAGGTGGGAGTTGGAGGAGGAGGAGGAAGAGAAGTGGACGAGGAGGAGGCCAGCAAGCGTCGGGGTAATGGAGCCGGAGGAGCGTTACTAATACAGAAGCTCTTGGCCAGAAGGCTTTATCCCAAAAGCACTTTGAGGAACGGCTGGCAGAATGCAGCGCACAGTTCCTTCTCCATCTCGCTCTCTCTCCTCCCTGCAGTGGGCTTTAGGGATGGGGAGGGAAGCGTAGAAGATAAAGTTCAAGGAGAGAAGGTGGAGATCATGGCCTTTTTCTTTGCTCGAATGTTGGCTTTGAGGTTCCTCCTCAGCGCAGCAGCAGGAGACGGCAAGTGGGGCGGGCGCTCTAATTGGGGCTGGTGCAGCAAGCCGAGAGGGGGGAGGAGCAGGAATTCTTTTCGGCGGAATAATGATCTGGCCCTATGGGCGGTGGAGATGGAGGTGTGGGTTCTGGCATTCCAGAGAGTTTGGCCTTCGTGGCTTCCTGAGCCTCTCCCATGGCTGTGATTCTCCCCACCTACCCAGACAAACAAACACAAAAATTCTGGGCCCTAACTATAACCGCTCGGCCAGTTTCCCCTCGTTGCCTCTCCTTTTGCCTTCTCCTCACTCTCCAGCCAAGGCGGCCCAGAAATTCTTCGGTGCAAAGGCAACTGAGCATAGGAATCTGCCTTACACGATCAGACGCAGCTCAGTATTGCTGACACGGAATGGCAGCACCTCTCCAGGGCTACAGGCAGGGCTCTTCCCCAGTCCTACCTGGAGATGCTGGGGATTTAACTTGAATTCTTCTGCACGCAGAGCGGGGGCTCTCCTGCTGAGCTTTGCCCCTTCCCCAAACCGGCGTGGAGTGCCAGAGTTCAGGCAGCCCCAGAAGCAGCTGCCTTGAGCAGACGCTGCTTCTGTTCTGTTCTGAAGCCCTGTCAGGGACCGGGGGAGTGTTTGCCTCTGATTTGGAAGGCCCTGAGCAGCTTTCTGCCGCAGCCGACCGGGTTCCGGGACTCGTGCTTCGCTTACAGTCTCCTCGCTCGCATGGCGAGATGCAGGCGGCGAAAAGGTGCAGAAGCTTGCTGCGTCGGAGCCAGTGGGCGTCTGTTTTCCTTTCCCCCTCCGTGCCACCGGAGGAAAGGGAAGCCAGCTGGCTTTGAAGTGTCAATCACTCCCGGAGCTGTGCGAAATGAAGTCGCGCATTTCACCGGCATCTTGAGAGAGCTGGTAGCCAAAAGGCCGAGCTGTGAAGTATGAAGTTTAGAATTTGTGAACTTCCCCCGTGGAGGAAGGCCTGTAGCTCAGCGGTAGGACATCTGCTTTGCATGCAGAAGGTCCCAGGATCAATCCCTGCGGTCTCTAGGTAGGGCTAGGAAGAGGTTCCCCATCTGAAATCCTGGAGAGCCACTGCTATGGAGTGCAGACGATGTTGAGCTAGGCAGACAAGTGGTCCAGCTATTGTTTTAAGGCAGCTTCCTGTATTGCCAAAGAAAAGGATTGGCCTGGAGGGGCTGGTAGAAAAGGTTGCTTAGCGTTCCTCCCTGCCTCGCAGGAATAACTCCTTGGGACCAAATCCTAGCTGGTTCTCGCAAGTTTCAAATCTGGCTTCTGCTGTGAACTGGGCAATCCACTCTCCCCACCCGTCTGCAATATAGGACACTGACACACTTCTGCAGAAGATACAGATTTCATAGAGTTGTAGAAATGGAAGGGACCCCACTGGACAGCCAGCCCTGCAGTGCAGGAATCTCCACTAAAGCATCCATGAGAGATGGATGCTAGCCAATGGGATTTTAAGGGGAGCCCTTTGAACAGTTCCAAAAATTGCTGTTTCCTTCCTTGTCCTTACAGCCTGGTGACGCTGACGGAGAGGGAGACCCGGCTGGAGGACGTGCGCTCGGCGTTTCTGGCGGCCTATAACAGCACGGTGGGCCTGAAGCCTGTGATGCCCAGCCCATCGGGAGCCATCGGTGGCCTTCTGGAGCAGTTTGCCCGTGGCGTTGGACTAAGAGGAAGCAGCGTTCTTTGAGACCCCTCCCACCACTACCAACAACGACAATGCTGCCCTGTCTGGGTTGCTTTCTAGTCCGGAAGGTGAAGGAACCTCATAAGCCATGAGAGCCCAGTTGCCAGCTTCTGGCTTGGGCCAGAGCATCAGGCCACGCTCTCCTCTGTACGCTACCTGACTGCCAGCCCTTCTGGGTCCATCACTGACTGACTGACTGACTGGTCACAGCTTTCAGCTGCCTTGGGCTGGGCTGGTTTCCACTAGAATGATGAGCTGCGGGGAGCGGTTCTCCCTCCCCCCCCCCCAACTCATACAGGATCTGGCTAGCTCTGACAAATCACCACAGTAAAATGTGTCAAACACCCCGTCTTCTGGTTCTGTCTTTGTGTGCTTGATTTCTTTTTGCGTTAGGCTGTGAGCTCTGCACAAAGCCTTTAGACAGGCGAGGCTTGTACTTCTCGCCACCCCAGGCAACCTAGAGCTGAGGAGGAGGAGTCCAACCACATCTGGAAGGCTGCTGGGTCCCCCGCCCTTTACGTAGAGGCCTGGTTCCCAAAGTGGGAGGAGCCTTTAAGGGAGGTTGAATCTACACATCCCACTCTGCTCCATCGGATCTTGGGCAAAACTCCCGCAGCCCTCGTTGGGCCGTGAGCTTAAAATTAAGGTTCTTGTCCTCCATCGATCTGAATCGAGCTTCTGCATTCTTCCTGTTTGCATAATTCTGTACCTTTTCATTTTTTTGCTGGACACGCGCTCGTTTGTCATCTGAAGGAGCTCCATGCCAGCCCAGTCTAGCTGACTTTTGAGGTGTCTCAGCAGACAGTGCCCAGGCAAACTTCCCACCAATGCTCCTTTATTTAAACGAAATCAGATTGTCAGGAAGCAAGTTCTCTCTTCACCCTTACTCTGCTTTAGAAGTGCAGGCAAGGGCAGCCATGGACTCGACTTTAGACGTTGGTGACCTCTCCTCACTAGGCTTTGCCTTTGCTTCCGAGTGCTGTGTGCCAGCAAATGGGTGGAGCCAAAGCCCTGAAGGTGCAACTCGCGAGGGATGGGTGATTTGTACTGCAACAAGCACATACATGCACACCTCTCCATCCAGGATACAAAGAGCTGCCATTATAGTCCCAGGAACCCATCCCTCTCCATCAAAAGCATTGAGGAACTAAGACGTAACTCTGGGGAAATTGCAAAGGCTGCTGGGTGGGTCACATTGGAGGTCGCATTCTGCAAATTGCCCACCCCTGGACTGGATGATCCATGGGTGTCTTCCAGTAGGCATGGGTGGTGCAGGATATTTGGTGTTTCTCCACTAAAGCATACCAATGTTTTCCTTCCACTATTCTTAGGAATCTTCTTTATGCTGCATCAAACCATCAGCCCAGGGCTCATCAATGCACTTGCACCTGTTCTCTATCTCTCAGTCCTCTTTCTTCTCTTACTGTTGCTGATACAGTTTTCCCAAAACTTGTGGTAGGGTTGGATGGGCCAAAATTGCAAACTGTGTGTTTTTACTGGGGGGGGGGGGAGAAAATACTTCCAAAACAACGTTGCTTTCCCCGGTAATCTACTTGTAAGCAGGACTGGCTGAGCTTATTTCTGTCCTATGGGTGAGGGTGGAAGTGCTCAAAAGAACGAGAAATCAACTTGTAGGACTGCCTGCCTCTCCCAGCAATCTAAGAAAGCTTCAGAAAAGGGTGGATAAATAAAATGGGGGGATATAATGTTGCCTTTCCTATGTTTGGCTGGGGCTCCCGTCTTGAAACCTGCAATAACGAAGCTAGGGGACGTATTAACACCTTTGAGCACTGTAGCGCCCCCCAATCCACCCCACAAGCCCTTCAAACAAACTCTGGATCTTGGCTGTATCAGGCTTCGGATTTCAATCAGTTTGTACACCCTGGAAATTAACCCCTCTGAACTCAGTGAAACTTGGCTCCTGAGTAAACCAGAATGGGGAAATGCGATGTTTTGCACCCCATTGCCAGACCGGTTCCGCGAAAAGGTGCCTCCGCTCCGCCTAGAAAAAAACATCAACTCACTCCGATTAGCCTGGAGCTGCGCAACCTCTCTCCAGCTTGGTCGCAGAGGCGAACAAGTTTCAACTTCCCCTTATACAATCGTTCTCGTATTTTTATTTTAACTTTTTTTTTTTTTTTGCGGGGCTCACGCCTGATGGTGCCCCAATCCCCGCCACCCCCTCGCGGCGCTGGGCGAGCGCTTCAAGGCAGGACCCGGGGTCGCGCCGCTCCTCCGCCTTCCTCTCCCGGTCTATAAATAGCCCAACCCACGCATCGGAACAGCGGCGGAGCTTTCAAACTGGCCCGCTTTACTGAGAGCCGGGGAACCGGGAGAGAGAGAGATCCAGAGAGATCTATCCCGGTCCCATCTCCTCTCTGGGCGGAGCCGCAAGAAAAAGGGCGCCGAGGGAGGGTGCGAGGGGCGACCCGCTGAAAGGCCGACCAAGAAGCGAGGATCGCCTTGGACGGCCCTGCGCGCCTTTGGAAAGGCAGCCGCGGTCGGGTTGGATTTCAGGACCTCGGACAGCTCCCCGCGCCTCTCCGACGGGCGCCGGCGCCTGAGCGCGAAGGGCGCCCCCTGGGGGCGGGCAAAGGCGGGAAGCAGGAAGGGCGGGAGAGTGGGGAGCCCGCCCTGCCCTACAGCGGTCCCTCCCCACCCCACCCCCCAACATACACACGTGCTGCCACCTGGAGCGGGAGCGGACGCGGCTAGACGGAGCGAGCCAGAGCGGCGATCGAAGGAGCTTCCTGCGCTCCGGTGCTTCCGGCTGCCCGCCCCATGGAGCGCGCCCCGCTTCGCCCCTAGCGCGACTGGAGCCCGGCGGGGATGGCGTCTCCCGGAGATCTGGAGTCCGCGCCCTCCAGGGTGCCGGCCACCAAGGTGGAACTCACCGTCTCTTGCAGGTGAGAGGGGTGGGCGGCGGGGAAGGCAGGCAGGGAGGGAGGAAGCGCCCCCGAAAATCCGCTCCTCTCGCCCCGTTATTACACCCCGCGTGTGGATCGGGTGCATCGCTTCTCGTCTCAGGGCTTACAGTACTTCGGGGAGGGAAACCTGACGGAGAGAGAAACGCCTCCCCGCTCGCGAGCCCTGCAGGATGCGCGTGGATTTGTCCTGATGTAAACAGTGCCCGGGAAGCGCCCGGGGTGGGCGCACGCTTGTGCAAAAAAGTGCATCACGATTGTCCAACAGTGTGTGAGGGGGTGGGGGGTAACTAGGAGCCTAGCGTGCAAGTCATGTTGCTATACAATTTGTACATCTCACGAGCCCAGTGAATTGGTGCCTCGGAGAGGTGTGGGTGTGTGTACAGTTTTGTGCGTGCCACCCTGGGCACAGCGAGGGCGCATGAATTTGTGTGTATATATGTGTGCATGCCGTAGTCAAGTGTTACGCATGTCATTTACCTGTGTGTGTGTGTGTATGTGTGTGTGCATGTGACGCTTAGGCTCAGCATGTGTGGTTCTCTCTGTTTGCAGCCTTCACAGATTTTCCCCCGCTGTATGTGCTCTTTCAGGTCAGCAATCCTGTTCCATTCACATCTTGCAGTGAGCGTGGAGGTGCCCATACGCATTTGGTACATTCAGCATGTCAGCAGCCGGCGTGTGTTTGTATCACCCTTGGAGTGTGCTTTTCAAACATGATGTTCTTGCTCCTTCCTTTGCAAGATCGTTCGTGTTTCGCGTTGGTGCTTGAATGGACCCAATCTCCATATAAGTTTAAATGGCATCTAAATGTGCGTAGCACCCGCTTTGCACTGGTGTCATTGTGTAAGTGCAGTGTGCTTGAATCACAGGTTTGGAAGACGCCTGGAGTTTCTGTTGGGTCCAGCTGCTTTCCCTAACAAAATACCTGGAAAGGGAGGGTATTCATTACTGGACAATTACTCACCTTTTAGGACTTCTTAATCACCTTATTATTATTTTTCCCCTGGCTAGTTTGTTTCTGGTTAAGCTTAGCTTGATATTACCACGTACAGGTTCCTCAAAACTCATCCTCACAGCAAAACTCTGGATTTGGTCACAACATGAAATCCAGTACTTTGGGCAGAATCCCAACATCCTCTTAGCAAAAAAAGCAGGTTTCTAGTCCTTGTGAAAGATGTGCAAAGCTGTTGCTGGTTGCTCCTAGTATACTAGGTGGGGCTTCTGATGGTCTGGAGATAAGAGTTTGTTCCTCCTTAAAGCTCTGCTGGTCAAGAAGATAGCAGTGGAGTTCACCCCTGGCACTCTGCTCTTAAATATCTAATTCTCTTTTCTCCCTTCATTTTAAATTTCTGTTTCCCTTACCCTTATTTCGATACCCAACACAGAAACTCCAAACCACAAATTTGGGCCGAAAACATGTTCAGAGAGATTCAAGCTTACTTATTAATCATGCTTGTTTTGGGTAAGCTTGCCCGATTTATTCTGATGATCGGAATGCAAGTTTTGCTTCTGGTCGCAGAATTTGAAACCTGTGTAATAAATACAGTGCTGTATTTTAGACCTATGGAGTGTATGCAGATAAGGTATCTGGGAAACATGCTTCCTCCTCCCTCCCTTTCTTGTGGGCAGAGTGTTGGGAGGATGGGTGCGAGGGTAGCTAGAAGGGTGGAGGGGAACCTGGGCTGCAGGGAGAAGGCCTGCGCACCGCAGCAATGCCTGTAAGCCAATCAATCCAAGCCCCTGGAGGCTGTGTTTAAAAATAGACCTGAATGGACAGAGAAAATAAGCCTTCCTCCTGTCAGGCAGAGGAGAGTGGTTACCACAGGCAATAAGCATCACCCACTTGGAGAAGAGCAGAAATCTATGTCCCACGGTGAACAGAAGGGATGTCTCTCTCCGCAGCGAGACACTGGGCTGTGTTGCTGAGAAAGACGCCAAGTCTGCTCGGGGGCCAAGGCATGAAGCTGAGGGTGCCGTGCCAAGGAGGGTAGCTCCTCCGAAATCCGAGCCGTGCTGGTGGAATGGAGCCTCCATGTTCAGCAGCAGTAGGCTGCTGAGCCCAGTAGTGATGTATGGAAGTGAGAGCTGGACCACAAAGAAGGCTGATCGCCGAAGAATTGATGCTTTTGAATTATGGTGCTGGAGGAGACTCTTGACAGTCCCATGGACTGCAAGAAGATCAAACCTCTCCATTCTGAAGGAAATCAGCCCTGAGTGCTCACTGGAAGGACAGATCGTGAAGCTGAGGCTCCAATACTTTGGCCACTTCATGAGAAGAGAAGACTCCCTGGAAAAGACCCTGATGTTGGGAAAGATGGAGGGCACAAGGAGAAGGGGACGACAGAGGACGAGATGGCTGGACAGTATTCTCAATGCTACCAGCATGAGTTTGACCAAACTGCGGGAGGCGGTGGAAGAAAGGAGTGCCTGGTGTGCTCTAGTCCATGGGGTCATGAAGAGTCGGACATGACTAAACGACTAAACAACAACAGGCTGCTGAGCCCCAGAGGCTGGAGACAAAGTACAGATATGGGCTCTTGTCTTCATGCCCTGCTGACATCCAGGTGGTCGCAGAACGCAGGACTTTACAGGCTTTTCAATCCATCTAGCCAGGCTCCTTTAACACAAAACCAGAAAGTCCACGGGGAAAAAATGTCTTTAAATGGTCCCCCCGCCTGTTCCGTGGCTCAGTCTTGCTACCTGTGACTACAGGGCTGGGGATGGTGTGGCTCTCCAACAGTTGATGGACGATAACACTCATCCTTCCCTGCCCTTTGGCTTTGCTGCAAGTCGAATCTCAACAACTCCTGGAGGGCTACAGTTCCCCCACACTGATCTGATCTGTTGCCCTCAAAATATGTTTTTCTTCGTGGTTCATTTGTGATGCTTGGGAGTTTGCATGCACCTTCCTTCTTCCTCCCCACTGCCCCTTTCAGATTTCACCAGTTTTGGGTCAACGTGCCTCTTCCTAGTTATTGATTCGTGAAGCTTCAGGTGTGCTGTGCCACAATCAGCACCACATTCTACCCAGCTGAGCCTGGACTTTTGCCTCAGCCCTGGGAAGCAGTTAATGAAAAAGTCTGCTCACAAGAGCCAGTGTGGTGTAGTGGTTAAGAGCAGTGGACTCGTAATCTGGTGAACCGGGTTCGCGTCTCCGCTCCTCCACATGCAGCTGCTGGGTGACCTTGGGCCAGTCACACTTCTGTGAAGTCTCTCAGCCCCACTCACCTCACAGAGTGTTTGTTGTGGGGGAGGAAGGGAAAGGAGAATGTTAGCTGCTTTGAGACTCCCTAGGGTAGTGATAAAGCGGGATATCAAATCCAAACTCTTCTTCTTCATCATCTTCACCTCCTCCTACCTATCATATGTTTTTCTGTCGTGGTCAGAAGCACCAGGGGTGTAAATGGACCCCTCCATGTCCAAGGCAAAACCTCTGTCTGTGGCTCTCACCAAATTCTCTTCCCTTAGGACTTCCTGCACAGGATGGAGTTATTTGGTCCTGACTGTAGGAGTTGTGGGTGGGTGTGGACCATGGCAGAATGCCAATTGGATCAGGTCTCACAGAGCGGTTGAACTACACAGGAAGGCAGGAAGCTGCTCTGTGATCCAGTATGTTTCCAAGCACAATTCAAAGTGTTGGTGTTGACATTTAAAGCCCTAAATGGCCTCGGTCCTGTATACCTGAAGGAGCGTCTCCACCCTCATCGTTCTGCCCGGATGCTGAGGTCCGGCTCCAAGGGCCTTCTGGCGGTTCCCTCACTGCGAGAAGCAAAGCTACAGGCAACCAGGCAGAGGGCCTTCTCGGTAGTGGCGCCCACCCTGTGGAACGCCCTCCCACCAGATGTCAAAGAGATAAACAACTACCTGACATTTAGAAGACATCTGAAGGCAGCCCTCTTCAGGGAAGTTTTTAATGTATTTTTAATCTTTGTTGGAAGCCGCCCAGAGTGGCTGGGGAGGCCCAGCCAGATGGGCGGGGTACTAATAAATTATAATAATAATAATAATAATAATAATAATAATTATTATTATTATTATTATTATTATTATTATCATCATCCACCCAGCTCAGTATCTCCTACACTGGCAGGCAGTAGCTCCTCCATCGTTTCAGGAAGGAGGAATGGGGTGGAACTGGGCACTTTTTTCCTGCATGGAAAACAGATTCTCTTCCACCAAACTACAGCCCTAATCTGGCTTCTGTGGGTTTTTCTGTTTCGTTTTGTGAAGACCTAGAACTGTAGAGTTGGAAGGGACCCCAAGTGGCATCTAGTCCAACCCCCTGTAATGCAGGAATATTTTGGGACTTGAACCCACAACCCTGAGATTAAGAGCCTCGTGATCCACCGACTGAGCCATCCCAGCTGAAGCTCATACATGAGCTATTGTGCTTTTCAGGCTAGGAACTGTGAGGTCTGGGCTCAAATGCTGCCAGCACACTTCCAGACCCTTCTGGAGAGAGGGGTCTTTTCCTATCACCTGCTATTGCCTGGTATTTATTTATTTTTTAACACTGAGATCCTGCCTTTCCTCCAAGAAGCTCAGTGTGGTGTGTCTGGTTCTATTGCTCCCCATTTTATCCCCAATAGAAGTCGATACAAGGGGAGGGGGAATTAATATGAGTGATAACTGAGGTTCCTACAATGATTTGTGAGATTTTCCAGAAGGAGAGCCAAAAATGAGAAAAATTGAAGAGATTAAAGAATATACAGTGGAACCTCGGGTTACATACACTTCAGGTTACAGACTCCGCTAACCCAGAAATCGTACCTCGGGTTAAGAACTTTGCTTCAGGATGAGAACAGAAATCGCGTGGCAGCGGCGCGGCAGCAGCAGGAGGCCCCTAAAGTGGTGTTTCAGGTTAAGAACGGACCTCCAGAATGAATTAAGTTCTTAACCTGAGGTACCACTATACATTGGACTGGCTAAACCAGGCATAGGCAAACTCCGGCCCTCCAGATGTTTGGGACTACAATTCCCATCATCCCTGACCATTGGTCCTGTTAGCTAGGAATGATGGGAATTGTAGTCCCAAAACATCTGGAGGGCCAAGTTTGGCCATGCCTGGGCAAAATTATCATCAGGCTGAGAAAGTGTTCCTGACCCAAAGTCACCCAGTGAGCTTCATGAATGAGTGAGGATTTGAACCCAGGTCTTCCAAGCCCATATGCAACACTCTAAAGCACTACACCATGCTAACTAAGGATGCCAGGGCCTGAAGCTGGGAAGACCAGTGGGGCGAGGGGGGTTGCAAGACAGTGGGGCTTTGGGAATTTTTTTCAGGGCAGGAGCAATTGCCTCCTGTGCTGGGGCACCAGGCTAATTGATGGCCTCCTGCCCTGGAAAGTGCATGAGGTGATAACAAGGCTTTCAAGTTGGTAGGTAGGTTGGTAGGTTGGTTGGTCTTCCATCCAGAAGAAGATGGAAACTTGTTTCCTTTTCTTTGGTGGCATCCCTGAGTCATGTACTGTTGTTGTTTGTTGTGCAGCTTACCTGCATTGTCGGATATTTCTTGTGGGTTTGGCAGTTAATATGAGTTCCTACCCCTAGGAATGTATCACAGCACTACTGCCTGGGACCTTCTGCATGGAACCCTTGAATTTATTTATTTTATTGATCTCATTTTTTGGTAGGCATCCAATGGATGAACGAATAGGGTTCGAATGATTTTTTTTAAAAAATGACAAGATCAGCCAAAAATACAAAAATTCAAAGCAGTTCCAAAACAATTGTACAATGAAAGGAAGCTGAAGACAACATACACTAAGCAGCAAATGATGCAAACTTTAAAAATTCAGAGTGCAAAGCAGACGTGTTATGTAAAACACATGAGCTCTGCCACTGAGAGCTATGGTCCCTCCATTTCAACCAAAGCAGAAATTGCAACTGGGCATCAGAGGAGCATACACAGGATACAGAGAACTGTGTAAAATGAAAGGGAAACCAGTCCGTTACGATGCCAAGGAGGCAATAAAAGGTTTATTCAAAATTAAAATTAAAATTAAAAATTTATAGTTTGGTTTTATGTTGCAGTTCTCTCCTCCTGCCCACTTGTAGGTTATTAAACTATTGAGTTAGACACACTATTAATTGCAACCATTTAGGACAGACTCCTTCCCTGGGGGCTCTTTCCTTTGCAGAATTGACACAGAGGTAGACGGAGGCAGCCGCTTAAACGTCACCAAAAAGAAGAGCGCAGGATTGGACACGGACCTGCATAAGATGCGGCTGGTAACTTTACCCGCAGGTGCAAATTCAGAAATAATGACTATGATTCAAATTGGGAGTACGATACGTCTCGCAGAAGCCGGCAGGGCGACTTGTCTGCTGCCGGGTGCTGCTGCAGATGGTCAGCTTCAAATCCCCAAGCCCTTGCTCCCCCTTCAAGGGATCGTTCTCTTTGAAAGAAAGAAAGAAAGAAAGAAAGAAAGAAAGAAAGAAAGAAAGAAAGATGGATATCTGGACTGGATAGCTCTTTTTTAAAAATGTATTTAATCCATTTTTCGATACAAACATCAACCGCAAAAGGCACACACAACAAAAACCATAATAACAGTAAGGACACAATTTGACAATTCAGATTTGGATACACTGATATACCTATGACTACACCTTTTTTAACAATATTGTCCCACCTCTCTCTCCTCCCTCTACTTCCCACCACTTATCGCTTAAATATTAATTCCAGATTTCTTCATATTTATCCATTATTATTTTGCGTCAACGTGCAACTCATTTGTATGTAGCTAATCTGTCCATATTATCAATCCATGTGCTTAATGGAATGTTTTTGCGGCTCTTCCAAGTCATCAAAACAAGGTTTTTTTTGCTTCTAATAGCTCCGGATAGCTCTTGAAACAGAGGACTCTTTCAAATCGAGGGCTGGCCCCTGTAAAGTAGGGCACATAGAATTGTAGACTTGGAAGGGACCTTGAGGCTCATCTAGTCCAGTGTTTCCCAAACTTGGGTCTCCAACTCTTTTTGGACTACAGTTCCCATCATCCCTGACCACTGGTCCTGCTAGCTAAGGATGTTGGGAGTTGTAGTCCAAAACCACCTGGAGACCTGAGTTTGGGAAACACTGATCTAGTCCGACTCCCTGCAATACAGGAATATGTTGCTACCCCATATGGGGATCAAACCTGCGACCTTGGTGTTATCAGCACCGTGCTCTAGCCAACTGAGCTACCCAGTTGTTAGTAGCCAAGTAGAAACCTACCACATATTCCTTCTAGGACAAGCTTCCCGAACTTGCCCTCCAGCTGTTGTGGACTGCATCATCCTCAGCCATCATCCCTGACCATTGACTCATGGGCGCTGGAGTCTCACAACATTTGGAGGATCGCAGATTAGGAAAGGCTGTTGTAAGATCCCTGAAAGTACAGTGGTAGCCCGGCTTAAGAAGTAACCCAAACTTGACTGGGATAACCTTGCATTGAGTGACAAGTGCCATTTCTGCATTCCGAACATTTCCATGACACTTATCACCTAAAAACCTCAGGACTTTAACCTCTTCCCCCTCCTCATATTTATCGTCCCCTCACCTTCTATCATTCAAGCTCTTCCAAAAATACAGTGGTACCTCGGGTTAAGAACTTAATTTGTTCTGGAGTTCCGTTCTTAACCTGAAACTGTTCTTAACCTGAGGTACCACTTTAGCTAATGGGGCCTCCTGCTGCCGCCGCGCGATTTCTGTTCTCATCCTGAAGCAAAGTTCTTAACCCGAGGTACTATTTCTGGGTTAGCAGAGTCTGTAACCTGAAGCGTCTGTAACCTGAAGCGTCTGTAACCTGAGGTACAATGCCTCCAAATTTCAGCCACTTGCCATTTTCCGTCTTCTTCCTCTGTGAGCAAAAAGGAGGTGGAACATCACATATTCCCAAAAATCTATTGGTTTTTGTTTCGTTTTGTTTTTTGCCACTGGGTTGTTGTTTTTTGTCCTAATGAACGTAAAGTGTTAGGGTGAAAAATGTCCTGGCTGGGTTGGAATGAGGGGAATCGAACAAAAGCTGGTCTGGAAAACCAGACGGCATGATGTATAGCTCAGTCGGCAGAAGCATGAGACTGTTAATCTCAGGGTTGTGGGTTCGAGTCCCACGTTGGACAAAAGGTTCCTGCATTGCAGGGGGTTGGACTAGATGACCCTTCTGGTCCCTTCCAACTCTACGATTCTGTAATTCTACAATTAGGGCCATGGCTCAGCGGTACAGCATCTCCGTTAGGACTCAGAGAGAGAGAGAGCCCTGGCTGAAGCCCCAGAGAAACACCTCCCATCAGACAATACTCAGCTATATGGACCAACGGTGTGTTCCTATACAGTAGCATTTGACTTGGGGTGGTAAAACCACCTGTGCTGAGTTAGTTTTGTTGTTACATTGTGGCTGTGCTGGACAGCTATGCTGAAGACAACCTTGGCTTGTCGACGACTGCTGTGCCTCAGGTATTGGACCTGCCCTGTGCAGAAAGGTGTACTGTCATCAAAAGGTTCTTATTTGATTCTGTAATAGCAACATATGTAAAAAAGGAAAAGAGCCTGATTTCTGCCTGGCGCAGCCCATAATGAGAGAATTTGTGTTTCTGCTTCGTTTAGCAGCAGACGAAACTCCTTTGACAGCCCCGTGTCTACAGGCAGAAGTTGTTTTGGGGAAAGCGCCCGTAGATTAACTTGATCTGGGCTGCTGTTAAGGAGCACACAGGGGCCAGGGAAGGCAGACAGGGTGGCCACGAAGCAGGCTTGAGTTGCACGTAATCGGATTGGAAGCGATGCTTGCAATCTCCAGGGGATTCTCCCTTTCCTTGCTTCCTGCTACCCACCCTCTGTATCTTGGGCCCAAAGTGCAGAATGCTGTAGAAGGAAAAACAGCAGCAGCAGCACAGAGGCAGAGCAGCAAGAAAGCGAAATCCAGCAAAGAGGCTGATGTCACAAATTATTATGATCACTTTATTTATTATCATTTTGATTTATTAACCACCTTTCGCCATAAGGTCCCAGGGCGGGTCGCAGCAGTTTTTGCAGCGCAAGCTTCCTTAAACCCTCTGAAAGCTTATTCCACAATAAGCTCGCTAGTCCTTTTTTGCAGGCAGGATTCAAACGCGCACCGAGAAATTTAGGTCTGTGCAACTAAAGTGAATTATAGCACCCGGTCACCCAAGCACAAGAAAAGCACTTAAAGCAACAGCAACAGCAACCAGACTGTTTGCCGTTTAGAAAGTGACTGGAAGTCCGCTGAAAAGTGTGGAACGAACTAATTAATTAAGGAGGCGAGAGGTGTAAATCCCCGGGATGAATGCAGAATGAATATTCGCCGTCATGTAACTTCCCCGCATACCAATTGGAACAAATACTCAGTAAAGACCGGATTTAACCTCTGTGGATGTTTTGTACAAGCAAATAAGGAAGAATGACAACCTGGAGGAGCCTTTAAGGGGATGCAACTCTCCAGTTATTTCAATGGAGGAGGCCCTCATTTTGTGCAGGGCTTCTTTAGACCAAAATAGACACGATACTAGGTTATCGGAAGTTTTAGTCTCTTGCAGGGATAAGGAAGGAGTGCTGTGCCACATTAACAAATTTGTTGAGGCATCGTAAGTTTTTATGGATCGCGCTCTGTTTCATCAGCTGCATGTAGCATTATACGGTGTTGTGCGGTGTTGTAAACAGTGAGGTCAGGAGGGAAAGACATGCAGGAAAGTACTGACTGTGATCATCGGATCATTAGCAGTGACCATTGACACCCCCACAAAAGATACACAGATGTCGTAGCATTGGAAAGCCAATTATAGGCAACTCCCGCTTTGACAGGACTTAACCATCCAGGGGTCCTTTAAATTTACCTTTACATTCTGAAGCTCCGTGCATTTAAGTGAAATCACGTATACTGGGAACAGCGTTGAAAAAGCTTCCAAACACCCTCCAAACTGCTTTCTCAAACTCCAACTCTCCATAGACCTCAACGGCCAGTGCAAAGGCTACTAAGGACTGCACTTGCAAAGAATTGCTAGAGACTGTTTTTGCACTTCTGGATTTATGGTGATGGTCGTGTGCATGTTCATATGTGCCTTGAATGTGCATAAATAGGGAGTTGCCTGCAGTACATTTTTTTTTTATTAATCATCTGTTGTGCCAATTCAGACCACAGACGACAGCACTGAACCTCTTTGATGAAGAGCGATCAGTTTCCCTCTTCTATACAACCCCTAAAGATGTAGGAGCGCTGTCCACCCCCCCCGGTGTGGACCACCAGGGGTGCATCTCCCCAGAGAAGGGGTGAACTGCGTGCAGCTTGCAAGGCATGAACTACAACTCCCATGATCCATGATGGTTGGCCATGCTGGCTGGGGTGAACTGCCCAGCCACATTTGCAGGGCGAGGGGTCACAAGTTTCTCTCTCTTTTTTTTTTTAAATGATATTTATTGAGAATTTTAAGATTACCAAGAAAAAAGAAGGAAAAAACAAGAGAAAGAGAAAAAGAGAGAGAAAAAGTGGATAAAAGTAACAATTAAACAATACAAATCAGTAAAAACCAAAGTCAAAAAGAAAAAACAAAACACACAATACATCAAAAGCAAAAAGCAAAAATAAACAAAAAAATTAAAAACAGATCCAATATTCCCAGATCCTTAACTGTCATTACCTTATTTCATCGACCTCCTCACACCTCCCTTTTTTGTATTCTAGTTGTTAATTATCTCAGCAAATCCTTTCCATATTTCATAATATTCTATCATTAAATTAACTTAATCTATTTTAACCTTATCTTACCATAAAAAACCCTAAAACTTAAAACTTAAATCTTATTTATACCAAATTCTCTTAACCATAACATATTCTTACATAATTCTTTTTAACATTTCTGCTAAAGCCAAATAATTTCATTCCAACATTTTTCTAATACTCATTAATTTTACGAAACTTTTCTAAATGAATTTTTAAAACTTTCTTCCAATCTTCATCCATCGTCTCTTCTTCCTGGTCTCGGGTTTTGTCAGTCCTTTCGGGTCACAAGTTTCTCAACCCTTCCCTTGAGTAAAGAACACAGGAGTGGTTCCTCTCACACAGCCCTGGCTCTTGGCTTTACCCAGGAAGGGCTAAAAATGCTTCCTGTTCAGGCTGGGCCTTTGCCTGGGGTGCGAGAGATGTCCTTCCCCAACTCACCCACCGAGTTTCACCTGATGGCTACCTATTGCCTAGCTATGAGAAAAAGACGAATCAAGCACAATGCATTTAAAGCAATATCATGCCACTTTAAACAGTCATGGCCTCCCGCAAAGAATCCTGGGGCGTGTAGTTTGTTAAGTAGGTTAAGAGGCCCCTATTCCCCTCCCAGAGCCACAATTCCCAGAATCCCCTGGGTAAAAAAAAGAAAAGGTAAAGGACTCCTGGACGGTTAAGTCCAGTCAAAGGCGACTATGGGGTTGCGGCGCTCATCTCACTTTCAGACTGAGGGAGCTGGTGTTTGTCCACAGACAGCTTTCCAGGTCATGTGGCCAGCAGGACTAAACCGCTTCTGGCACAACAGGACCGTTTCCCTTCCCACCGCAGTGGTACCTATTTATCTACTTGCACTGGTATGCTTTCAAACTGCTGGGTTGGCAGGAGCTGGGATAGAGCAATGGGAATTCACCCCATCGCGGGGATTCAAACCGCCGACCTTCCGATTGGCAAGTCCAAGAGGCTCAGTGGTTTAGACCACAGCGCCACCTGCTCCCAGTAATTCCCTGGGAAGAGGGATTGACTGCTAAGCCACCCTAGTGCAGATGGTGCCTCCCACAGCTGCCCCGCTGGAATGATTGAAATGAATGGGGGCTGCTGCTCAGGGTGGGGAGCCTGCGCTAGCCCAGCGTTGATAACCAGCTTCCTTGGGCTGTTCTTCCGTGGGAGACCAAAGCATCTGCCCTAACGCTCCGTAACAGCATGCCAATTTAGTACACGTTGGGGGCTGAGGGGGGGAGACGAATGTTGCCCTGAGAGCAGGCCGGACGCACTCAGCATCGAAAGCCTCCGACTTCTGTTCCATGGAAACCTCAGATCTGTACTCAGAATGAATTATGCAACTCGGGTACATCTGCATATATCCAGTTTGGCTACATAATTCATTCGGTTTCTAAGATTAACAGTTTCAAAGAATGGGAAAGTGTTCGGCAAGGGCAGGGGTGGCAGAGAGAGCAAGGAGATGAGAGGATCGCTCGTGGGGGAAAGACATGAAAGAGAGATGTACTCCCTGCCCCACTGCGATTGTTTTGGCCTCGCTGCCCCCACCCCCCACACATCTGGTTTGTCAAACTGCACCACACCACAGCCAAGGATTTCCAAGCTTTTCTAGCTCACCAGGATGGCTAAAAAAATATATATGAATGAGTCTCCAAGTCTTTCTAATCAACCATAAGGGCTAGAAACTTGCTTTTTAAAAAAAAAAAATGAGTTACCAATCTTTTCTAACCAAGATGCACTAGCATCTTGCTTCTTCTTCTTCTTTTTTTAAAATGAAAGAGTTCACAAGCTCCGTATTAAATCTGTGTACAGTAAGCCCACAACTTACACAGGAGTTACGTTCCGGGGATCATGCCTAAAGCAAAAATCACATATAATCACTTTGGGTTCAATGGTGGGTGGGATTACCAAAGCCTTTCCCCCCCCCCTTTCCTGCCCCCGTATTATTTCTTTATGGGATGCGGGTGGTGCTGTGGTCTAAGCCACTGAGCCTCTTGGGCTTGCCAAGTGGAAGGTTGACGGTTCGAATCCACACGATGGGGTGAGCTTCCATTGCTCTGTCCCAGCTCCTGCTAACCTAGCAAAACAAGGAGGGGGAGCATGACCAATTCTGCTGACCCACAGACAGGGAAACCAGTCAATCCAGGAAAATGATAACTTCTGTTTGGCTTGAACATTCCTATTTGTCCATCACCTCAGAGATTGGAGTGGGCTATGCATAATTACCTAAAATTCTGCCATTTGACCTCTACAATCGCTTGGTTTGTATTGATTGTATTGACTTCTGTAGGGGGGCAGCTGTCCCCTGCCCTCCCCTCTTGACTACATCCATGTCCTAAGACCCCTGCACATGTTCAAACTAATCTTCCTTCTTGACTAGAAACTTAAGGAAGCTTTGCTTATATTATTTTCAGGGGGGATATTAAAAACCCCCTGAATAATTACAATAATGAAGAAGATAATCGATTAGCTGGAAGCTTGCCAATCATAGGGAGTTGCCTTCGATTGGGACAGGCCACTTGTCCATCTAGCTCAGTCAATATTGCGAACACTGGCTGGCAGCAGCAGCCTCCCGAATGGTATACTTCTGTGACCAAGGGAGAGATTTAAATTTCAGTTGCTTATTCAAGTTGTTTGCAGAGTTCTGGGCTGAATACAGAACTGCTAGGTTTTCTCACCCAGTTGGAGTCAGATCTGTGACAATAGCCTGGCAATCGTGACTGTTAATTGTACTTAAACCTCAGTTGAAGTGTCCTAGCAACAGAGGGGAAAGGATTCTGCTCCAATAAGGGCACAAGGTCTCGCCATGAGGGGGGCCTGTAAGTAGACTCACCTTGCCCCCTCATCTTCCTTGTTTTCATTCTCAGGTCTACTGCTTAGAAATTCTTCCCCGAGGATTTTCTTGGGGGCAGAGAGGGCTGTGAATTGGCTCTTTCCTCCTCTCTCCAGCACGAAGCTGCGACTGACTACAGATTTGATTGCCTCTTTTAATGATCTTAATTCAGATGCATTAATAAAGCTAACAACACAAGAGAAGGGAAGCGGCTGAGAATGGTCAAGGTGACTTTGCTGTCGGGGGAAACGGAAGGGAAGGGAACAAATCCTAGGCTTATAACTTTGATCCTTAAGCCCTGCCTGCACCATTGCATATTTGAAGCCGTATTATGAACAGTCGCGGCTTCCCCCAAAGAATCCTGGGAGCTGTAGTTTGGTTAGGGTGCTGAGAATTCTTGGGAGACCCCTCGTCTCCTCACAGAACTACGATTCCCAGAGTCCCTTGCAGAGAATTGAGAGGAATAAGGGTCTCTTAGCAACTCTCTGCACCCTTAACATGCCACATTTCCCATGATTCCTTGCGGGGGAGCCATGATTGTTTAAAGTGGTATGATACTGTTTTAGAAGCATAGTGTGGATGGGACCTCTCTTTCTCTCTCTCTCTCTCTCTCTCTCACACACACACACACACACACACACCACTTCACTTCACTTCACTTTCCGGCCTTTCTCTATTTCCAAACTCACATTCTTATCTTTCTTTCTACCCCTTTGCTTATCAATCTCCCCAGGAACCTGTTGGACATGGATACTTTCTCCAAGTCTGATCCTGGTAAGTGTGCTAAGTTGTCGATATTTGGTGAGGAGGTGGGGGGCGGCGGTATGTCACTGTCCTTGGTGGGAGGTGACGAATCTGGTCAAAAAGCCCAAAGAAGATTTGCCAAGTAGGTTGGCTGCTATAATACCATCTGCTTCACCACCTGGGCAGCACAGAGGGACAGGAAGATCTTCTGGTCCACCTCAAAGCGCTACTGAAGCGAAGTCAAATAATGGCAGTGCTTACAAAACAATTAAAACATTTGCAATAAAATCTTACTTGTTTATCGCACTACGAGAAAGGAGAAAATTGGCTTGAACCTTAGAAATGGCCGCCATGAGGGCGGAAGGGGCACTGCCCCACCAACCTTCAGCCTGCCCTCAACCAACCCCACCTGCCTGCTTTCATATTCACAGCCAATCAGGGGGCGGCTGTGCTCTGGCTCCCCCTACTGGTGGCCTCCCTGCCTTCCGCCCAACCAGCCCCCACTGGTCCCCAGTGACCAATAGATGCTGCCCAATTAAATCTCGCCGTGGCTGAAAATGAATTCTAACGCCTTCACATCTGTCGTGGAGCTTTTTCCTAATATAGCTAATGGGGGAAACCTCGTTCTCATCAGAATTAATCCTCCTCCGACGGACAATGGGTAGACAGGCAGACAGCTCATTATGCCTGCAAGCCAGGAACATTTCTCATGCCGTGAGGTTCGCCCCCATTGCTTAAATGCCAACTTCTCGTCTCATAGCCTGCTTTTCCTCCCGTCTCTTGTCTACAAGAGATGAGGCTGCAGTCTTTCATGGCACTCACCTGGGAACGGGTTCCATGGAACTCAGTGGGGATTACTCCTGAGTAGACATATAGCAGAGGTGTCCTATAAAATAGGAAACCTTTCTTATTACTTGAAGCCACTGGTTAGAGTCCTACCCTCCGGAGCAGGAGAAAACAAGCACGCTCCATCTTCCATCTGACAGCCCTTGAGATGTTTGAAGATGGCTATCACCTCTCCTCTTAGTCTCCTCTTTTCCAGGCTAAACATACCCAGCTCCTTCAACTGTTCCTCACAAGGCTTGGTTTCCAGACCCTCCCTTGATCATCTTGATCGCCCTCCTCTGCACATGGTCCAGCTTGTCAATATCCTTCTTAAATTGTGGTACCAGAACTGGACGCAGTCTTCCAAGTGTGGTCTGACCAAGGCAGAATAGAGTGGTACTAATATTTCCCTTGATCTGGACACTAAACTTCTGTTGATGTAGCCTAGAATAGCATTAGCCTTTTCTGCCATTGCATCACACTGTTGACTCATATTAAGCCTGTGGTCCACCAAGACCCCTGGGACCTTTTCACATGTACTACTAGTAAGCTTTGGGACGCGGGTGGCACTGTGGGTTAAACCACAGAGCCTAGGATTTGCCGATCAGAAGGTCGGTGGTTCGAATCCCTGCGACGGGGTGAGCTTCCGTTGCTCGGTCCCTGCTCCTGCCAGGGAAAGCACGTCAAAGTGCAAGTAGATAAATAGGTACCACTCTGGCGGGAAGGTAAACGGCGTTTCCGCGCGCTGACCTGGTTTTGCCAGGAGTGGCTTAGTCATGTTGGCCAAATGACCTGGAAGCTGTACGCCGGCTCCCTCGGCCAATAAAGCGAGATGAGTGCCGCAACCCCAGAGTCGGCCACGACTGGACCTAATGGTCAGGGGTCCCTTTACTTACTAGTAAGCCAGGCATCCCTCATCTTATATTTGTGCTGCTGGTTCTTTCTGCCTTAGCGCAGAGCCTTACATTTGCCCCATGGAGACCTTGGAGTCCTAACCTAGGACGTCCTAGGTTCAGATGTTATGCCGCTGAGCTAAGAGGCCTACCCCTTTGGGTTTCTAGTGTAAATAGATGGTAGCCCTGGAGGAATTTTATGCTCCATCCCGTAGACAAGCACTCAATGTGAAGGGCGTTTTACAAAACAGAGGAGGACAGCTGCCTGCCCTGAGGAGCTGGCATGCTATAATTTAAAAGTGGGGAGGCAAGAGAGAAAGGGGAGAGAAATGGAGGCAGGGGGGAAGTTGCCATTTATTTCAGTTGCACAAACAGAGGGCTCAGCACCTAGGACTTGCCAATCAGAAGGTCGGCGGTTCGAATCCCCGCGACAGGGTGAGCTCCCGTTGCTCAGTCCCTGCTCCTGCCAACCTAGCAGTTCGAAAGCACATCAAAGTGCAAGTAGATAAATAGGTACCGCTCCGGCGGGAAGGTAAACGGCGTTTCTGTGCGCTGCTCTGGTTCGCCAGAAGCGGCTTAGTCATGCTGGCCACATGACCCAGAAGCTGTACACCGGCTCCCTCGGCCAATAAAGCGAGATGAGCGCCGCAACCCCAGAGTCGGCCACGACTGGACCTAATGGTCAGGGGTCCCTTTACCTTTTACCAACATGTAGCCTAGGTTTCCTTGAACTGAGTCAGGCTTAGTTCTGGGACACAATGTAGAAACATATCCTGAAGAAATGTGAGAAGTAGCTCAATGGAAAGATGGGAGGAAGCAAGTGTGAAGCCGCAGTTTGTTTAACGTGGTCTGTGGAATTATCCAGCTGTAGAGACCAGCTCATGTACCTGCTTGTACGGCAACAGCGGCCTACATAATCTCTCAGCAGATTTGAGGCCCCAGAGACTGGATTCAGACATACACAGACACATACACACAGAGAGAGAGGCTGTCTCAGAGGAGACATTCTGGTGAACGTCTAAAAGGGGCATCCAATTACAGAGAGTCTCTCTCTGCTGGTGGCTGAACCACAGAAAGCCCAGGTGTCCCTTTTAAGTGGGATCAGCCTCATAATGACTGCGAGGCGAGCAGAGACTTTTTGCAAGGGCTTCTTTCGAAGGGCACTTCCAGAACCGTCACGTGGGATTCAGTCACATGGCAGCGGATTCAGGCTGTGCGGTTAGTTGACTGGGTCGCCTTGCAAAACAAAGCCGCTTCCTCAAAATGGCGGACTTTTTTTTTTTGCGATAAGGAGTGTGACGGGAAAATGCACTGGGAAAGTGTGCTGTGAAGCTCACTTTGCCACAACATCATCTAACCTCCCTGCAAGCAAATCAGAAACGAATGCTCAGTAAACAGGTCACCTAGAAACGCCCAATATTTTAAAACATTAGGGGTTCAAGGAGGGATGACTCCATTGTGGAGTCGCTACAGTTGTGGTGAAGTTAACAACACTGACATATATCTAAAAATGACTTTTTAAATAGACTCCTTTTTTAAAAAGATGGCTTCTAGTTAATTACATGGGGAGGAATAACCTATTCAGTAGCTAGAATGTGAATTTTCTGATTCACTGTGTGGACAATGTGTTCCTGAAATGACCTAGTTACATTTTATTTTATCAGCTGTTGTACATGAATATAAAATCAACAATGCTTACATAAAATCCTTTCTACGAACGTGTGCCTTCTTAATGATCTTCATAAGCCGCTCTGGGAGCCTTTTTGGCTGAAGACCGAGTTTAAAAGGCTTTAATGTTTTTTATTGTAAATATTCTTGCTAAATATTTGGCTGCTTAACTTTGAATCAACGTGAAATAATCAGTCTGCCTGGTTTTTTTTTTAACTCCCCTCATTTGGTGCCTCTTTTGTTTTCAACTTGGCCATCTCACTTCCTCCCTAGCCAGCTATATGGCCCTGTGACCTCCCATGTCTCACAGCCCTTGAAGAGGTTTACTCCCAGCCAAAATGCCCATTCCTTCACAACAGCTATATTGATTGTAAACATTCCGTGACCTCAGGATGTTTGTGAACGTCCCATTGCATCAACAGCGAGGGAACTCCTTTTGGCCTGTGAACCAGATCCACTTGTGGGCTACATTTGGCAAGTGGGCTGGGCTGCCCACTTGGCAATCGCCTGCTGCAGTAAAACGTTCAGTGAATCCAGCCCCTAGACATAGCGGTGCAGCTTGCATTAAACACAGCTTCAGTTTGGTGCCAAAGGCAAGTCGCGCTGGCAAAGGCAAGCCGCTCTGCTGTGGTCAGATACACTAGGGAGCTCCTCTTTGCAGGAGTTCCTGGCTGGATCGGATGTTTGCTAAAAGCAGCGCTGCTTTTAGCAGACTTCCGATGCCGTCGGAAGCTCCCAAGTGCATCTGATCCCAGCAGAGAGGTTTGCCAAGTTTAATTTTATTTATTTATTTCATAAAAGGTATGCCCTGCTTGATTGCAAACACACACACACACACACACACACACACACACACACCCCATGCCTTAGAGCATCAAATGCCAGCTGCGCTCGCAAAGGACTGGCCTGGAATGTACTCTTTAGTCTCCTGATTCTTCCTTTGCAGGTGAGTGGCAGGTGCGTGTGGCCGGGAGGAAACAGCCCCAGGGACCTCTGACAGGCTTCTTTGGGCCTGGAGGCCAGAGGTTCCCTGTGACTGCATCACATCATTGCAGCCTGAGCATGTCAATGTGGAACATAGCATAACATTCACTGAAATAAAACAGCTTTTCCCAGACGCAGGCTGGGGTACATGGCAATCTTCCTGTTGTCCAGACTGACAGGTGGCCCTGCCATTATCTAAAGCGAAGTGGCCGCGTCAGATGCCGGGTTGTTCCTAGCCAGCCCTGCAAAAACCTCAGGCACAATAGAGAATGTTGCTTGTGGCCAGTACTGAAGTAAGTTTACACTACCATTCCAGAAAGTGATGGACTGTTTCCTTTGCTGGAGGTTTCCAAACAGACGTTGGATCTGTCAGGGATTCTCTAGCTGTGATTCCACCACAGCAGAACTACATGGCCCGTGGGATCCCTTCCATCTCTACAGTTCTAGGATTCTGTTATTCTGTGTATATGGACCAGGAGAAGGCCCCATCTTGTCTTTTGCCTCGGGAAGCCAGTTTTGCAACCATAAAACCATTGACTTGGCAGGAACCTTGAGGTCCTCCAGTTCAACTACAACCCCATAGTAGTGCTGTTTTAAGGTTTTTGTACAGTGGCATTTGATAACCATGGAAACTTGACAAAATCTACCTGATATGTTCCATTTGTTGGTGATGCAGTCATGTAAAGATTGACTTGATACATAACATGAATACAGATGTTTTGGTCCCAGATAACTGATTGGAAAATATTGCAGATGTGGTCTGGATCCAAGGAGAGTCTTGTTAGGCTATTTTAAAAAGCTGGATTCGGAGCAGGAAGCTGAATACATTTGCTATCCATTAATGTCTGCAAAAATCTAAAAGTCTGACATTCAGCAGGAATTGAGATAGCTTAAGTTATACACTGAGGCTGATACCCAGCTAAGATGCTCATTTACAAAAGTCAGTTGATTTCAATGGGTTTACTCTGCATACGACTAATATCAGATATAACTCCGAGAAATTCTGTTGATCAGTGATCTGGCATTTAAAACTGTCCTTTTAAAAGTTCAGAAATGGCAAAACCATTCAGAGAAGATGGGTATGATAGCGTTCAGCATTTGAGCTGAAATATTAATCTCGCTGAATTTAATTGTGTTGACATATTGGATCAGGTGATGGTAATGGATTGCCCAAGATGGATAAACGTTAAGGCAGGATATGGCACTGTAATATTAAATCTTTGCCTTGATATTAATTGTGATTGCTATACATATAATATTTATCGTATGATTCATTAGGCCGCTTTTGTCATAACCCATGTGTAGTTTTGATACATTTCCCAATAAAGCAATGGTGACAAGATGCGTAGACACATTATTAAAAGAATGCTGTCACTGCTTTGTCTAATTCATGATATCGCAGAGCAGTTTCGGGCTAAATTGCAAAAGCAGCTCATGGAGAGTTTGCTTCGCCTGATCTTAAATGCCAATCTCATTGTTTAGGAAATCTCTGTGATGAAGGTGCAAGCTAGGACTGTCAACAGATTAAAAGATATTGTAGCTGATGGATGATCAATAACATATAAACAGACATCACAGCAGGTTCTGCTCCTGCAGTAGAAACCTGGCTTCCTCTCAACATCACAAATTAAAGGAGAGTTGCACAACGGACTAGTAACTCAAAGGCTGCCTTGTCCATCACTCTTCCTCCTTGCCTCATGCTTCAAACAGGCTGCTGACATTTTTTTTAAAATGCCATGCACACCTTTACCTAGCCACAGTTAATGCTTGCCTTGCTGTTGTTTTTAGTTACTGAAACTATTTTAAAAGAACTGCAAACTGCTTCAGAAAGAGAGGGTTTGTGACGTCACCAGTGCCAGCCAGTTAGTACTCAGTACAGTGGTACCTTGGTTCTCAAACTTAATCTGTTCCGGAAGTCCGTTCCAAAACCAAAGTGTTCTAAAACCAATGCGTAATGCAAAATGGATTAATACGTTCCAGACTTTTAAAAACAACCACTAAAACAGCAATATAACATGAATTTTACTATCTAATGAGACCATTGATCCATAAAATGAAGGCAATAAACAATGTACTGTAGTCAGGCAATCAATCAATCAATCAATCAATCAATCAATCGGTAGCTGAACTGGGTTCCACACAGTCACAAAAACAAAACAAAAAGAGCCGCAAAAACAGACAGACCTCAGCGTAACACTCAAAACGGAAGTGTGGCACTCAAAAGGGAAGCATAAGACTCAAGATGGAGCATGTTCAGCTTCCAAAAAAAGTTTGCAAACCGGAACACTTACTTCCGGGCTTGCAGTGTTTGGGTTCCAAGTTGTTTGAGAACCAAGGTACCACTGTACTCAGGGAACATAGGAAAAGTTGCTGTATCCCAGGTCAGACTATCCGGTGACAGGCAGCATCTCTCTTGAGTGTCTTTTCCGGGCTCACTTGCAAATGCTAGGGAGTGAATCTGAGAGCTTTGCATGTGGCCAAGTCAAATCTGCCACTGAGCTACGACAGGGATGTTGGAGCATTAAAACTCCAATATTGCCTAGTATTGTATTTGCAGCTGGCACCCATTGTCTGTTCTTAATTTAGCTTATAAAACAAAAAACCTTCTGCAGAACAATGGGAAATTATTATTAATTAATTTACATATAGCTTAATGCCACGACAGGCATCTAAGCCGTTTACAAATATAAAAAAAACAACTTACACTGGCACTAAAATATAAACATCCATCATTAAAATACATAATGAAACATAATAATACTTACAACAAACCTAGCAATTGTGCAATTAAAACTTAAGCTGCGTGCCTGCCAGCTATTTAAAGCGCATTCCTTCCCAAATAGAATCCTGGGGACCGCAACACACCTACAATTCCCAGCACCCTTAACAAACTACAGTTCCTGTGACTCTTTGAAGGGAAGGTGTGCTTTAAATATAGGGTGCCTACAAAACCTTTGGCTGCAAAAGGTGCCTTGGGAGGGAAACACAAGTGCATGTGTAAAAAATGCAATTGTACGGAATAAGATTTCTTTTTCTGCTCTGAATGTGTTCTTCTGACATCTCTCCTTGCAGTTGTGATTCTTTACATCCAAGGAACTGCGGACAAGGAATGGAGAGAGGTGAGCAGCCGCAGGCACACACACACACACACACACACACACACACACACACCCTTCTGCTTCCAACGCACCTGTTACACCAGCACAGACCCTCATTGGTCAAACCTGCTGGGAGGTCAGCCAATGAGCTGCCTGCTGCCTTGTTTAGGGAAGCTTTTAATGTTTGATGTATTACAGTATTTTAATTTTTTTTTTGGAAGCCGCCCAGAATGGCTGGGGAGGCCCAGCCAGATGGGCGGGGTATAAATAATAAATTATTATAATATTATTATTATTCCCTTCCTCTGTCAGGTCCAATCCACATGGTCACCATCAGCTGTACTTGGCAGGTACTAGGGTTGTATCCAGGAGATATGAACTCTGACTCTGAAGTCCCCCTGGGCTGTGGGTGGCGTGGCGGATGCGGTCTGTGCTTGCCGCTAGATTTATTTTAGAGTCTAGACTTGATGGGTCTTACATCCCCCCGCCCTCTTTGGAATGAAAACGTCTCACTTGCTTCAAAATGTGGTAGCTGGTAGCCCAGCCCTGCTGAGTTTCTCACCCTGGGGCCTGGTCCTCCAACCCAAATCCTGCCCAGGAAACAACCACTGGGTATAGCTTCCTTGGCACTCGGGGGCAAATTGCTCCCCAGCAGCTGCCGCTTCCACCAAACCTTGACTTTTTGTGGAGGGACAGCTTTGCTTTGGCCAGAGGCATGTGGCTCTTCTAGGCTGGGGTGGGAAACCTGTTGGCCTCTAGATCACTGGTGAGTCAGGACCCATCATTGGGTCATGTATAGACCAAAGTTAGTGAAGTGTAGGCGGGCTCCCACGAGGCTAGACACAGTGATAACAACAAGAACCTTTATTGAACTATGTAACTGGGAAAGAGAGGCAAAACAATGGCTTATATACATTTCTGAAAGCCTGGGCCACTCCCACTCCCAACGTGATTGGCTGTCTAAACTTCCAAACTGCGAATCACGACTCAGAGTTCAAGGGCCAGTGGCAGAGGCCCAAATCCTGAAATGTTCTGTGATTGGACAACATGTATCGAATCAGGAGCTCAGAATCCTTAGTCCAGACTGAAGCTCAGACCACTGAATACATAACAGTTGGGGTTTGGCAGCAGGACCGTCACCATACAAATGTATGTTTAGAAAAATAAGCAGTGGGCCCAAATGGGTGTTTGGGTTAAAGGCAGTTCCCGGATCTGAAAACGAAAGACTGTTTCTATTCCTGGACTACAACTCCCATCATCCCTGACCATTGGTCATGCTGGCTGGGACCGACCAACACCACCTGGCAAGGCCACAGACTCGCCACCCTTGATCTAAGCTATGGATTGGGAGGGTTAGTGAGTCAACAACCCAAGAGCCCTCCCAGCCCTGTCCTCCATGCAAACATACAAGGATTGAGTATACAGTGATACCTCGGGTTAAGTACTTAATTCATTCCGGAGGTCCGTTCTTAACCTGAAACTGTTCTTAACCTGAAGCACCACTTTAGCTAATGGGGCCTCCCGCTGCCACCAGGCCGCCGGAGCACGATTTCTGTTCTCATCCTGAAGCAAAGTTCTTAACCTGAAGCACTATTTCTAGGTTAGCTGAGTCTGTAACCTGAAGCGTATGTAACCTGAAGCGTATGTAACCCGAGGTACCACTGTACACCAAACATGCAAAGTGCATGGCTTCCCCCAAGGAATCCTGGGAACTGCAGCTTACCCCACCACAATGCTACAATTCCCAGCACCTGTAACAAACCGCAGTCTCCAGGATTATTGTCCCCGTCCCCCCCAAGGAGGGTGCTTTAAAGGTGTGGTGTGTTCGCAGTCCATATATGCAACAAGGGGTTGCAACTGCCACCTGTTTAACCTTCTGCATTTCCCCTTCTGTTTTTTCTTACCTCCCTGTCCCAGTTTGGCCGCACGGAGGTGATCGACAACACGCTGAACCCAGAGTTTGTCCGGAAATTTGTGCTTGACTATTACTTTGAGGAGAAGCAGAACCTTCGTTTTGATGTGTGAGTCGCTTCTGGTCCTCTCCCCGACTTTGTGCCCCTGCCCTGACCCCCTTTTCTCTTACCACCCCTCTGCTTGCTTGATTCCTGGTTCTCTTTTCATAGAACCATAGAATGGTGGAGTCGGAAGGGACCTTGGGGGGTCATCTAGTCCAACCCCCCTAAATTAAGACTCGAACCCACAACCCTGAGATTAAGAGGCTCGTTGCCAGGGGCAACGCTGGATCCTTAAAAGACTTTTGGCACAAGCCCAGAACAACTGGCACTCCATCCCTGGCACAGCTGAAACTTTAGGGTCACTTTCAAAGGAAAAGCCATCCTGCAAACTAAACTTTTTTTAAAATTTAGGTTTTAAGAGGGGAGGGAGGAAGGAGATCCGGGGTCCGATGCAAAAGGGTAGGGCTCCAGCTCCCATGGTCCACCTCTGGCCTTCTACATTCCTGTCCCAGATTGCAGTGCTGAGGCCTGCTTTCAAACCCTATTCCAAGCCAGACCTTCAATATGTTCCAGGGCCGGATTTAGGTTTGATGAGGCCCTAAGCGACTGAAGGTAATGGGGCCCTTTATATGTCCACCTGCCCTTTGTCAAAAACAAATTGTCGCTGGTTTTTTGTGTGTTGAATATATGCTATATGGTAATTTATGGACCTAATAGGTATCTAAAGCCATTGGCACATAACAAAATATGTATTTTATCAAAGTAATTGTGGAACTGAAATACAATTAAGTATAATAATAGTGAAATACAATTAAGAAGAAGTATATGAATAGTGAAATAATTATTAAACTCTAACTGTATGTAGGTTTTATTTTATTAGTTTTTTATCTTATATTTTGGAAATGTACATCCAGTTGTTTTTTCCGTTAATTTTTTTTGGGGTCCCCAAGAGAGTGGAGCCCTAAGCTACAGCTTGTTTAGCTTATACGTAAATCCGGCACTGATATGTTCTAACACCAAGGCAGTAATGCACTTTCTCTGTGCTTTTCCCAGCTACAATGTGGACTCCAAGACTAGCAACCTTCCCAAAAGCGTGAGTACATACCTCCCTAAATACGTCTGCAAAGGGGTTTTCTGCAGAGATGGGACCTAGAAAATGCAGTTTGTTGAGGTCCTGGAAAGTCTGTTGCAAGTTGAAGGAAGGGAGGGAGGGAGGGAGGAAGTGCTGTGTTTTCCAAAAAAAGAACACAAAATGTTGGGCAGGAAAATAACCATCTGCCTTGGGCAATGAGCATTAATACCCGGAGAGCCCAGGATATTTTTGAATTGTAGAGCTGGAAGGGCCCACAAGATCCATCTAGTCCAACCCTCTGAAAGTGTAGGAATCTCAATTGAAGCATGGCCATCCAACCTCTGCTTAACAACCTCTAGGGAAGTAGAGTCCATCATCTTCCAAGGGAACTTGTTCCGCTGTCAAGCAGCTGAAATATACTCTGAATCAAGATTAGATTTCATGCTCTTTATTCAGCTCATAGTGGTGAGGAGGAATGGAAGTTCCCCCAGAATGTCTGCTTTATGTACATTATTTACACAATGGGCCCTATGTGATTGGCTAATTCTGGGATTCACCTCTAGGCCAACCAGGTTGCGGATTCACTTCCACCTGGAGCTGGATTGGGTGGCTCCTGTGGACCAATCAGACTGCTGCATTCTGAATCCTGTTGTTCTAGGACCAATCCGACTGCTGCCTTTTGGGTCCTAGTCAACTCAGTACATAACAGCAGCTCTTACAATCAAAAAGTTCCTCCTGATCATAGAACTGTAGATTTGGAACCGCAAGAGTCATCTAGTCCAACCCCTCGCAATACAGGAACCTTCTTGCCCAACATGGGACTCGAACCCACAGCCCCGAGATGAAAAGTCTCGCTCTCTACAACTGAGCTGTCTGTTTAGTCGGGATCACATTTTGTGCCATTTGCTCACACGGCATGATTTACAGTGGGTTTGGGGTCTCTCCAGAACAGATTTTTGGGGATGCTTTGAGCCAAGCCCAAAGTGGAAATTTGGGATAAGGTGGGGGAGCTCTTTGGGGATTCCTGAATAGTAGCAGGGATGGTGCCTCTAACTCCTGTATCTTGAATTTTATTTCCATGCTGCGTTTCCCATTATGACCTGCGTAGAAGGTAAGTTACCTCCGCCCCTTGAAGTGGCCACGCTGCCCTCTGCTGGTGGAGCCGGGTAGAGTGTGGTTGGGCTGGACCAAGCCAGGTTAGCAACATAGGAAATTGCCTTACAACAAGGCAGAGGGTTGCATACTCTCCAACATGCCGCAGAGGAAAATCGGGATGCGCGTCTTTTGGAGACACGCTCCTGCGTGAAACACGTGGCTCGCGAGAGAGCACAGGCCCACAATTTTTTGGGGGGTTGCGATTTTGCGGGAGCCAAAACAGGACGTTCCAGGATCCAGTCTGAAGCTGGGATGGCTTCTGTATTTCTGGGATGTCCTGTGATCGGCCCATTGAACACAGAGCATTGTTGACATGCTGCCTGGCAGCAGCTCTCTGGCATTCCCAGGTGAGAGTCTGTCCCAAGCTCTACCTGGAGACACCAGCAATTGCAAGTGGGACTTTTTGCATGCAGTGCTCTTGCTGCGGCCCTTGCCACGGGTTGGGAGGGGATCAGCGGTGGGAGACAGCACCCGTCTCAGCCAGCTTTTGTGTACCATAGACCACACCTGGTGTAAAAACAGTCACCACCCTGGCTCCATGCCTGAGCACAACGACTCCAGGGCATGGGCAAAAAATAGCATGGGCAAAAAATAGCAGAGCAGTAGACTGCCTTAAGGGACACGGGTAGTGCTGTGGGTTAAACCACAGAGCCTAGGACTTGCTGATCAGAAGGTCGGCAGTTCGAATCCCCGTGACGGGGTGAGCTCTCGTTGCTCAGTCCCTGCTCCTGCCAACCTAGCAGCTCGAAAGCACGTCAAAGTGCAAGTAGATAAATAGGTACCGCTCCAGCAGGAAGGTAAACGGTGTTTCCGTGCGCTGCTCTGGTTTGCTAGAAGCGGCTTAGTCATGCTGGCCACATGATCCGGTAGCTGTATGCCGGCACCCTCGGCCAGTAAAGCAAGATGAGCGCTGCAACCCCAGAGTCGGTCACGACTGGACCTAATGGTCAGGGGTCCCTTTACCTTTAGACTGCCTTAAGCGCAGCTCTCGAGTTGCTGAGCCCAAAGAAACACACACAGGCAGCAGAATTCACCAGCAATAGTTTACTGAGGTTTAAAAGAGCAAAATGGTTGCAAAGTCCAAGTTCTGACAGGATTCCCAGTAAGGTTCAAAAATACTTCTTCAGCTCATGAGAGCTCATCCAGTTACAGAAACAAAAGAGCAGACAGGATAGATAGACTGTACAGAATAGATAGACTGTACAGAAAAGAGATACAGAACTGCTCTGCAGGCAGAAGATACAGACTCACCTCAGAGCAGCAGCCTTGGGTCTCACAAACTCACCTGATAAACAACAGCTTCAGGCTTGTCTGTTTAGAAAGCGTGAGGAAGTTTTGCACCCATAAAACTCACAATCCCTGACATATTCAGAGTTGGGCCATTTTAAGGCCATGTTTAAGACCTTGTGGCGGGCCGGACTATATTTTGGAGGGGGGAAATGAACAAATTCCTATGCCCCACAAATAACGCAGAGATACATTTTAAGTAAAAGCACACATTCTATTGATGTAAAAACACCAGGCAGGCCCCACAAATAACCCAGAGATGCATTTTAAATAAAAGGACACATTCTACTCATGTAAAAAACACACTGATTCTTGGACTGTCCGCGGGCCAGTTTTAGAAGGCGATTGGGCCGGATCTGACCCCCGGGCCTTAGTTTGCCTACCAATGTTCAAGTCCTTGCAATGCAGCTGGGATGAGAGGGTGCTTGGTGATGAGTAGGAAAGTACCTGCTAGATCTCTCAGTTGCCATAGAAAGCTGGCGATGCAAGAGGGCAGAAATGGGCATTAAATTACCAAATTGTTGGCTCTGTAATGAAGTGGGGGGGGGGTGTCTCCCTGCCCATCCTCTCCTCGCCCCGCAAATCATCTGTGATCTCTCTCTTTCTCTCTCTCTCTGCCTGGCAGGGCTTCCTAGGACAGGCCTACATGGCCCTGGGAGAGGTCATCGGCTCCCAAAGGGGTCGCCTGGAGCGGCCCCTCACGTGAGTCACCATCATCATTTATGCTTTTGATTATTTCATAAAACTCATACAGCACTTGATTGGTTTTTTGTTTTTTAAAAAAGCACCTCAAAGCCATTTACAAAAAGATGAAAGGAGATAATTGGGGGGAGGGGGGAATACAACGATACTTTAAAAAAATACAAAAAGTTAAAGTAGTAAAAGAGAATAAAAAATTATTTGAATGCCACCTTTCCATGGTAAATTGTCCTCAAGATCACTCCCTCCCGGCTGGGCAATAATTATTTGGGAAATAATTCACAAAAGTGAGACTTCCCTCCAGAGTGAACGACGGTTTGTTTGCTTCTGGGATGAAGAACCAGAGGTGATTTGTTTTATTTAGTTCATTTTGCCAATATGTCTTTAAAATGGGGGTGGAGAATTTGTGTTGGACTCCAGGTCCCACTAGCCCAGGCCAACATAGCCAATGATGGTCAAGGATAATGGGAGCTGTAGTCTAGCATCGACAGTAACAGGTTCCCCATTTCCTCTTTAAAACATGGAGCTTCCACAATCACGGTTGTCCTTGAACGTGCTCGGGGGGTTTTTATGCCCATTTTAGCTCCGGTTTGTAAACGTTTGATACCCCCAAAGGTAATGAGAAAGAAAATATTAATAAAGGCCTTTCAGTGCTGTAGCTTTCGTTTGTTCAATTCTAAGTGCACGGAGACTTTTCAGCATTCTTCGCCCCCCGGAAAGGGCACCTCTGATTCGCGCGTTTTAATTTTTCTTAAAAGTGAAGTAATTGACGAATCAGTTCAAAGCATCCTCGTTAATTGATTTATTAAGACGTTTAATTGATTGGCAGCCTAGTGAAAAGCAGAATCTAGCTCCCTAGAGGGGCATGCCAGCCAAGTGGACAGAAAGGGATGCTTATTTCAACTCTCCAAACCTGGAGGTACGTTCCCCATTGGCTTGAAACACCTTGCACCGAATGCCTCCTGCTGTAACGCAAAGGCCCCGCCAGAACCACCCGTCTCCCCCCTTTGGGGCTTTTTAGCTAGCAGCAAGGGCAAAATGGAGGCTATCAGGACCTGTCGCTCCTTCCATCACTAATTATTTTTGACAGGGCGTCCTTCTCACCACTGCCTGTCTCCCAAATACACAAAGTCAGAATGGATTGGCCGCTGCCACACCGATTAAAGTCAATTTGCCATGTTGCAAAGGGGGAAACAGGCTTGTCACTGCCACGCTACCCAGCCTCTGCATTGCTCCCATCTCCCTCTATGTCTCCTCCAAGCAAGGGGTCTTGATCCCGCTAATAAGGCTCATGCCAGGGATGGGGGAAGCTACGGCCCTCCAGATTTTTTGGGACTCCTACTCCCAGCAGGTCCAGCTAGATGGTTAGTGGTCAAGGAGGATGGAAGTCAGACTCAAACAACTAGGGATGTGGGGTGGTGGTAATATAAGTGACTTTCCATATCATGCTTCCCAAATGGCAGATTTCAGGTAGGTCCTGGGGGGTTCTTTGTCAATCTAATCTCCCTGAACCGCTTTTGTTTTCTAGTTCAGGGGAACTTTGACTTGAAAGTTCAGAAACACCCATGGTGGGCTCCTTGCTGTTCTGAAGCGATGCATTCTGGGAATTCTCTGGCATTGAGTGCGGAGGAGTTCTTTATCTTGTGTTTTGCCAGCCACACACACAGAAAGTCACTTTATGAGGATTAGTTACATCTTAGCACCTTGTTAAGAGCCTGTTACTCCTTTTAGTTAAGGTGATTACAGAGGGATTAAAATAGGGGAATTAGCAGCAGGGTAAAAGGCTGGGCCAAAAAGAGCTCGCTTTCACTTTGTTGCTGCTTTTCAGGGGTATTTCAGGGATGAGGAACCTGGGGCCCTTTAGACAGGACCAGGCTCCAACTTCCATCAGCCCCAGCCAGCATAGCCATTGGTCAAGGACAATGGGAGTTGTAGTCCAATATCTGGGAGGGCTGCCGGTTCCCCATCCTTCTTGCAGCACCAAAGAAGAGGCAGCCACCTTCTTGGCTGACAAGGCCTTCCACTGGTTGGTGGTTCAGAGTAATATTTGAACTTTCTCTCCTGAGTCCTGCCCAGTTACTCCAGTAACGTCACCACACAAGTGTCAGCAAAGCCAGCACGAATGAGGCCTTTCTGTGTGCAGCCATGGGATGTAGAGTACTTTCAAACTAAACCTGTGTGTGTCTCTTTCTTTCCTTTTAGGGGGGTTCCGGGAAAGAAATGTGGTACAATTGTGCTGTTCGCTGAGGAGCTCAGCAACTGTCGGGTGAGTTGCCTCCCAACGTTGCTGGGAACCGTAGTTTCTGCCTCACCAAGCTACCCTTCCTAGCACCTGTGGCAAACTACAGTTCCCAGAATTCTTTGAGGGGAAAGTCACGTGCTTTAAATGTATGTTGAATGCGGTTTAAATGTATGGCATGCATCTGCACTCATTGAACGCAGCAGGGCTTGCTTCAGAAATGTATAGGATCGCACAAATATGGCAGTGATGCATTTAGATAGATTTTTGAACGCCTGCTACATTTCGGTCAGGGCGAGCCAATTCAGTGCCCTCCAGATGTTGTGGACTACAACTCCCATCATCCCTAATCACTGGCTATGTCGGCTGGCTCCAGCAACATCTGGAGAGCCACAGGTTCCCTGTCTCTGTTTAAAAGGATGCTTCCTTCACTGGGCATAGATGACCAGTGAAGTGGCAGTTGAGGGGAAGGCCTGAGCACAACCCAAAATAAACCCTCTGTGTGGATATAACCTTATTGTTATCCCCAACCGGCGATTTCGCCAACAACTGGTGACTGAGTGGTTCTCTGGGCTCAGGGCCACAGAGTGGGATGAAGTAAGGCAACAACTGTCCAAAAAGGAAACTGGAGTCCAGGATTTTGCAGGCCTCTGATGACTGACCTGCCTCAGATTAGTTGTATCCATCCACCATTTCCCTCCCTCTTGCCCTTAGCCCATGGGTAGGAAAACTAAGGCCCAGGGGCCGGATCCGGCCCAATCGCCTTCTAAATCCGGCCCACAGACTCCCGCGGCCCGGGAATCAGCATGTTTTTACATGAGTAGAATATATCCTTTTATTTAAAATGCATCTCTGGGTTATTTGTGGGGCCTGCCTGGTGTTTTTACATGGGTAGACTGTGTTCTTTTATTTAAAACACATCTCTGGGTTATTTGTGGGGCATAGGAATTCGTTCATATATTTTTTTCAAAATATAGTCCAGCCCCCCACAAGGTCGGAGGGACAGTGGACTGGCCCCCTGCTTTAAAAGTTTGCTGACCCCTGCCTTAGCCCCTTCATATATGCTGACCGCCACTTCAGTACGCTTAAGGTACATCACCTGACGCCTCCTTGATTTCAGGCTATAAAGCTTTCTTTCTGCTTTCCCCCCCTGCCGTATCGGTTTCTTCTACCCACAAACTGTTCACTCTACAAGCACAGCACCCCTTGCACTAAGCTTGTGCTGTTGGCTCTGTCCTCACGCTACAGTAAGCCCACAACTTACACAGCGGTTACCTTCCAGGGATCACACCTAAAGCCGAAACAGGCAGCGACTGTTTTGCACACATCCAACTGATGCGCGACTACTGACACATGGGTCCTTTGGGACCCGGAGGAGGGCACAAAGAGGGCAGAAGGGGGGGGGCTTATGCCCTTTTAAAATGGCACCTCCTATGCCCCTTTTGTGCCTGGCATGCTCTGGTCCATGGGGTCACGAAGAGTTGGACACGACTAAACGACTAAACAACAACAATGCCCCTTTTAAAATCTGGGGGTTTTTTTGAGGAGGGGTTATTGGGTTGTTGCTTTTATTTTGACAATATATCTTGTGGTTTTATATTTTGATTTTGTTCTGTGAACCGACCGCCCTGAGACCTCTGGGTATAGGGCGGTATATAAATTCAATAAAAAATTATTATGTGCCTTGCGCCAACATACACAGGGACCACGAACAAACCCGCCCCCCATGCAGAGTGGTCACCACCTGTATGGTCAAAACACATTAGGTTCAATGGCTGGTGGGATTGCCAAAGTCAGTTCCCTGGAAACCCCAGGAAACTTCCTCCTCCTTGGTCTCAGTGTTGCCCTTGTAAGGAAGAGGACGGCGGAGACAAAATGATAATTCATTAGCCCTGCCTACGATTGGCTGCGGCTGTGCCTCTCATGGGCTCAGGCGCCACCTGCTGTTGTCCTCCTGCCTTACGCTCTGCCAGTCCCATGGGCTATGCATATATTAGTCTTGAGGATGTCCCCACCTCAATCTGATCCAGCTTTTCCCTTCCAGGACATTATCACCATGCAGCTGTGTGCGAACAAGCTGGACAAGAAGGATTTCTTTGGCAAATCCGACCCCTTCCTTGTTTTCTACCGCAGCAACGAGGATGGCACGTACGCAAGAAATACCTGACACCCGCCTTAACTGTAATGTTTGTGGCAGAGCCATTCCTTGATCCAGAACATGAATTCCAGAATGCTCCGGGCTTGCAGTAGGCAGAGGGAGAGGGGAGTTCTGGAAGGAAGAAGGTCTAGCCTGCGTGTAGCTGTTAAGCAAGGAAGGATCTCTAAAATATACCTCCTGCCTAATAAGAGTGGTCTGAGTCCAGGTTCTTATTTCCCAGGACTCTGAACACAACACATGTAGAATTGTAGTGCTGGAAGGAACCCCAAAGGTCATCCAGTCCAACCCCCCTGCAATGCAGCAAACTAAAACATCAGTTTCTGCGCTTTACTCATATTCCATTTGACATTGTGGCTCCATGTGCACTACGTATTTAAAGCAGCATCATACCACTTCAAACAGGGCTTCCCCTCGCCCCAATGAATCCTGGGAACTGTAGTTTGTTAAGGGTGCTGAGAGTTGTCAGGAGACACCCCCCCCATAGTCCTCACAGAGCTACAGTTCCCCAAGTTGTTCAAGAGCCAATCCCTCTTCCCAGTGAACTCTGAGAATTGTGGCTCTGTGAAGGGAAATGGGGGTCTCCTCACAACTCGCAGCACCCTTAGCAAACTACAGTTCCCAGGATTCTCTGGGGGAAGCCGGACGCTTTAGGAGCAAGATGTGGGCAGACGCTCAGGCCATCACCAAAACACATGCTTTTTAATCCGTGTGTAGTAAAAAGGAAAACATTGAGATCTGCAGCTAAACACGATGTGCTGAGGTTTATGGTTTCTGCTTAGATGTAGCTAAAAGTACGGGACCCTCGTGCCCATGAGATGAATCCCTAACGTATCGTACGGCCCGCCCAAGTCATAACCCTTAACCATCCATATTTCCCGCCATGCCTATATTGCCTTTTCGTTTCTGCCGCCATGCCCACAAACACACACAGCAGCGCTTCCTGTTCTCCTGTGCCCATTGCCATGACCCTTTTCCTGCTTCCAGGTTCACCATCTGCCACAAGACGGAGGTCGTGAAGAACAACCTGAATCCCGTGTGGCAGCCATTTTCCATCCCTGTGCGGGCCCTGTGCAATGGGGACTATGACAGGTCAGAGTTTATATACTGTTCTGATAATTGTAAGGTTCTCACACAGACTGCGGGCCGCACTACAAAAAATCTTCCTTCAAAATTGGGAAGTACAGTGGTGCCTCGGTTTTCGAGCGTCTTGGAAGCCGAACATTTCTGTTTTTTCTAACACCAAAAACCCGGAAGTAATTGCTTCCTTTTTCGAACACTTTTCGGAAGTCGAATGACTTCCGCTGTATTTTTTTTAAAAAAAATTCAATTGACTTTGCCGACTAACCTTTGCGCCTCGGCTGTCGAATGTTTCGGAAGTCAAATGGTCTTCCGGAACAGATTATGTTCGATGACCGAAGTACCACTGTATTCCCTGGAAACAATAAGGCACTTTGTTTTAGCACACAGAACAATCCTGAAGCCATCTTGGCTGTCTTAGTGACCCCAAATATTTCCCCTGAGGTAGATGGATGTGCCTTGAGGGGGCGGGGTGGGAAACCCTTTCCCAACCTTTCTTTTCACTTCCAAATCTTTCAAATCCTGTTGAAAGAGCATATTTTGTGTATGAATAGGAGGGGGGTGGGCAGGTCTGTGACAATGGTTTCAGAAACTAGGGTATTTTTAGCTTTTCAAAGGAATGGCCCTGCAATCAGCAACCATTATCAGGTATCTTGACAAACAGGAGAAAAAGCCACACTTCAGAATCTCCACATAGGGATGGCAGAGACCTCAGCCTGTAATTCTAAAGAGAGATTCTGTCCACTACTGTAGACAGTACTAAGCTACATGCAGTATTGCTGGGTTAAGGCAGCAGTCTGTGTTCCTGTGTATGGCATCAGTTCTAGCCCCAAGGGTTGAGTATTTCTGACAAAGGCCCTCACAGAGCACCCAAACAGATCAGAGGTTGTGGGAAAGTGTTTCGCACACACAAGCCCCGCTAGTCGGGGACCTTCTCAGAACCGAAATATTTATTTCAGCCTTGGTTTGTCACTTGCATTCCAGGACGGTGAAGATTGACGTCTTTGACTGGGACCGGGATGGCAGGTGAGGAGGTGGTGGGGTCTGCAAGTCTCTAGAACATTCTCTGGTTCTGTGGGAGAACCAACCTATGGGTCACTTTGAGGATCAGTCACTCAAAAGAGGATATATAAATCACATACATGTGTGATTTTGTAGTGCAGTCCTGTGCACATTTACTTGGAAATATTTTCTTTCTTCTTCTTTGGCGATCACTCGTAGTTGAGTAAGATTGTCTTAACAGTGAGTAACACGGTCTGAACAGTGAGTCCGTAAGTGACTGTGGAGGCCAATTCTGGATCCACACATCCTTCCACAGTGGGGACACAGGTTTCCAGGCGGGATCATGGTGAGAGTTTGCCAAGCGTGCCTTTCCTCTTTCGTCCTGAGTTCGAGCATTTTCAAAGTCCATGACACATTTGGTAAAGGCTGTTCTCCAATTGGAGCACTCGCAGACAAGTGTTTCCCAGTTGTCAGTGTTTATACTGGGTTTTTTTAGATTTGCCTTGAGTCTTTAAACTTCTTTTGTTGACCACCAGCATTACACTTTCTATTTTTAAGTTCGGAATAGAGTCGTTGTTTGGAAGACGGTAATTAGGCATCCGAACAACATGACCAGCCCAACAAAGTTGATGTTGAAGAATCATTTGCCTGGAAATATATCACGTTGAAGTCGCAGGGTTTACTCCTGAGTTACGTGTGTATAGGACTGCAGCTATTTAGGCTTGAATTAGTCTCTGCCAACCCAGTGCCCTCCGGATGTTCAGGGCTATAATTCTCATCAGCCCCACATGCTGGCTGTGGGGTTAAGAGAGTCACAGTCCAGGTTGATGAACTCTGACTTTAATAATGAAAATAAAGAAGCAGGAGAAGAAAAATCCCAAACAACACCATTTTCAAAGTAATCGAGTTGTTCTCTGTTGAACTCAGGCTGGAAGTAGCAAGGAAGACTTGGCCAGGGCTAAGGGAGAACCATCCCAGGACATCTAATGTAGCAAATACGACATTATTAGCAAATAGGCACATAGGCCTAAAAGGTTTACAAGCTAGTGAGGAAAGCACTGTGCGAATAGAATAAAGGAACAGAGCACTTCAGAGCACTAGGGCCAGAAAAGCACAGTTGCCCTAAAGCAACAGAGGGATCTGCCTCTGCGTTAGGGGTCCCTGAGAGCATCCTCTCTGCTCCTGTTTGCAGAAATATTTCTGCTCTTCCCCTTCCCGGCTTCCAAGGCCCTTTCTAAAACATTCGACCTGAAAGTGCTTTCAGCGCTCCCGTTTTGTGCAGTTCTTTACAAAAAATATATATATCACAGCCTCTGTTTTCTTTCTGAATAGGGCCAAGATCCATGCATGAGAAAGGTGGCAGAGTGAACTGTACCACTTCTGGCTGCAGGTGGGAGATACCATTTCTAATGCTCCCCTGAAAGGAACCTGCAGTTTGTGGGGAGAGAGAGAGAGGAGAGAGAGAGGTTTTAGCTCAGCACACTCCCTGCTGTGATTAATTCCCTGCTTGCAGGTTTCTGTTTCTGAATGCAGGAGAGCACTCAGAAACAGTTATCTCCTTCCCCGCCTGCTTTCTGGACTGGTACATTTTACCATCTCAATCTGCTGCAACCTGGAGGGCATTAAGTTGGCCAAAGTTGTTCTGGTGTATATGTAGATCTATGAAGCAGGGCTGCAGAACCAGTGGCCTGCTGCTGCTGCTGCTAAACTACCAGACTTCATCAACCCCAGCCAACATGGCCATTTTGTCTGGGCCTGAGATGGCAACTGAAGTCTAGCAGCCTTTCACAGAATCATAGCACTGGAAAGGGACCACACGGGTCATTTAATCCAACCCCCTGCAGTGCAGGAATCTTGTTGCCCAACACGGGGCTCGAACCCACAACCCTGAGATTCAAGGCTCATAGATATACCATTCTTCTAGAAGAGCAAAGAAGATCTGGTGAGAACTGGAATGGGTGACGTAGCTGAGATTGTCTTGGGGAGTAGGAGCTCGATGCTTGGTGTTCTGGAATTATTATTATTATTACTACTACTACTACTACTACCCATCCTTCAGCCTAAGGTCCAAGGGCACATTTCAGCATTTAAACTCAACACTGAAACACAATATAAAGGTAAAGGGACCCCGTGACCAACACTGGGGTTGCGGCGCTCATCTCGCTTTATTGGCTGAGGGAGCCAGCGTACAGCTTCCGGGTCATGTGGCCAGCATGACTAAGCCGCTTCTGGCGAACCAGAGCAGCGCATGGAAACGCCGTTTACCTTCCTGTCAGAGTGGTACCTATTTATCTACTTGCACTGGCGTGCTTTCAAACTGCTAGGTGGGCAGGAGCTGAGACCGAACAACGGGCGCTCACCCCGTCGCGGGGATTCGAACCACCGACCTTCTGATCAGCAAATCCTAGGCTCTGTGGTTTAACCCACAGCGCCACCCGCGTCCCGAAACACAATATAGAAACAATTTAAAACAACTTTCAGTTGCAGTTTTTAGGTGGCTCCCCAAAATACGCACCTCATGGGTCAAAAGCCAGGGCAAAGAGATGCATATTCAGCAATCACAGGAGAAGCTGTATAATAAAGATGCCAGGATATAGCATCTGTGGGATGGAAGCTCCACCACTTAGGGGCTACTACAGCGAATGCTGCCCATCTTGGCACCCAATAGGACTCCCTCTGCCCATCTTGGCACCCAAGAGGGTCTGTAGGAGAGAAGACAGACTTCCAGGTGTTTGGTGCCCGAGTCATTTTGGGCTTTGCACACTAACCTGAACACCTCGAATGGGATGCTTGAATTGACAGCCAGCGCAGCTGTTTTAACACGGGGGTGCCTTTAAGCAGGTATGCTTAAATAGCTGAGCTCTGACAAAAGTGTAAGACTGCGCTGGAACCAATTGGCTGAACTGCTTCTTCCTCTTTGGCCCAACAGCCATGATTTTATCGGGGAGTTTGCCACAAGCTACAGAGAGCTCTCTCGGGCCCAGAACCAGTTCACCGTCTATGAGGTAAGCTTCTTTCAACTTAAATACTTAACACTGAGCAACGCTAGTTTTTGTGGGTTGTTGTTTTTTTGCATAGCTAGAGTTGTAACTTGAATCAACAGATTGTGTTTCTAGAGTGGAATCCTGTGAATGTACCAGACTTGTAAGAGCTGTGAATGGTGTTGTTGTTGTTATTTTGCAAAAAAACTTCATGTTTCTAGTCCTCATCGGTATGGGGGGAAAGCTCAAAAGAATGAAGGCCATGGTGTGGATTCGGTTTCCACTGTGGACTGTGGACTTTTTCAGACTGTGTACACACTATACCTTTAAAACACACTCTTTCCCTCAAAGAATTCTGGGCACTGTAGTTTGCTAAGGATTGCTGGGAATTGTAACTCTGTGAGGAGTAAACCACAGGGCCCAGAAGGGGGGAAACATACTCTGAATGTGTTTTAAAGGAATAGGTGGTGCGCAGCATTAGTTGCCAGCTTTTGAACTGGCCCATCACTGTCCTTTTAATGGTGATTTGATCCACAACAATTACCGGTAATAGGTGATAAGCTTTGGCCAGGGATCAGCAAACTTTTTCAGCAGGGGGTCGGTCCACTGTCCCCTAGACCTTGTGGGGGGCCGGACTATATTTTTGAGGGGGGAAATGAACGAATTCCTGTGCCCCACAAATAACCCAGAGATGCAGTTTAAATAAAAGGACACATTCTACTCATGTTAAAAATGCGCTGATTTCCGGACCGTCCGCGGGCTGGATTTAGAAGGCAATTGGGCCGGATCCGGCCCCCGGGCCTTAGTTTTCGTACCCATGGCTTTGGCTCTTTCCATGCTGCAATAAGCTTCAGCACTTAATTTCTGCTGATCAGACTGATCAGTTGAAGGCAGAAGAGGGGCCGCAGCTGAGAGTCAGAGCACATACCGTATTTTTCACTCTATAGGACGCACTTTTCCACCTCCAAAAATGAAGGGGAAATGTGTGTGCGTCCTATGGAGCGAATGCAGGCTTTCGTTAAAGCCTGGAGAAATTTTCTTTTCTTTATTTCCCCCCCTAAAAACTAGGTGTGTCCTATGGTCTGGTGCGCCCTATGGAGCGAAAAATATGGTAATTTTCATGCATAAGGCGCCAGGTTTAATCCTTGACAACTACAGCAGGCAATAGGAAAGAACCCTGGAGAGCTGCTGCCATCCAAGTAGACAGTATTGGGCTAGGTTGACAAATAGTCTGACCCGGTATAAAGCACGTTCTTAGGAGCAGACTGGACTGCATTTGGAAGCTGACTTGTATTGAGTCAGACCATTGGTCCATCAATCTAGCTCAATATTGTCTACACTGACTGGCAGCAGCTCTCCAGGGTTAAAGGTGCAGACACTCCCAGCCATGCCTGGAGATGCAGGGAATCAAACCTGGGATGTTCTGTGTACAAAGCAGGTGTTTTACCACTGAGCTCTTAGATGTTTCTTTTCTTTTCTGGCCAGTTGGCAACCCAGTCATTACTCCCCAGCCACTGCTTAATGGTTTCCAATATCTCAAGTCCCATTATTCCTCCCCCGCCCTAACTGTTTTGTATTGAGAACAAACCATGTACATACCCACCCTAGATGATGCCGTCTCAATAAGTATTATTACCACTTTGGGTGATGTTGCACAGTTTGCGCCTGCAGTTTAATAAAATCCAGCATCTCTGATCTGTCAGAGGGAATAAATAATCATCCCGAATCTGCTCACAGCAAACTTCAGCTTGCGGCGTTATGAGAAATAGGGGGAGCATTAGGGGCTGGCGCAGTTGGATCCGGGAGGTGGGATACTGTTAAGTTGTGTGTTCGATCCCATCCTCATCGCCAGTGTTAAGTTGTGGGTGAACATATCAGACGACACAGCGATTCTTCAAACAGCTCTTGATTATTCACAGGCCAGAACAGAACTGAACTGAAGGGTTCAGCCAGCCTGCTTATATAGAGCTCCACTACAATGCAACAGTAACCACTTTCTGTAACTATCCAATCACTGAACGTCACTTTCAATCCCTTATTTGCATATGTGGACCTGAGTGAAAGCTATCTACAGTATCCCTCTGCTGGCCCAGGGTGAAAACCTCAGTACATAACAGATACCAAACAAGATTTCTTTGGGATGCCTTGGCAGGCCGATTCTGCTCATGCTCAGAGTTGCTTTAGATAATATATTTAGCATGCAGCCACGTCGCACGGTATATGCTAAAAAAGTTACCATTGTGTTCAATAATATACAGTCGTACCTTGAAAGTCGAATGGAATCCGTTCTGGAACTCCGTTCGACTTCCAGAATGTTTGGAAACCAAAGTGCGGCTTCTGATTGGCTGCAGGAAGCTCCTGCAGCCAATCGGAAGCTGCGGAAGTCCCACTGGACATCCAGGTTCCAAAGAACATTTGCAAACACTCACTTCCAGGTTTGCAGCATTCAGAAGCCAAAACATCTGAGTACCAAGGTGTTAGGGATCCAAAGTCTGACTGTATATGGATGTGTGAAGGAAAAGAATTTCCCCCACAGCTGCTGCTCCCCACCCCAAAATGCCGCTTGCCCATCCCAATCCCTGGCACTCTCCCAATTTTGTTGGGCTCCATCTCCCATCAGCCCCAGCCAGAATGGTCAGGGATGATGGGAACTGTAGTCCAAAACATCTGGAGGGCACCAGGTTGGGGGAAAGCCATAGCTCAGCTGGCAGAGCATCAGTTTTGAATGCGAAAGGTCCCGGGTTCAATTCTGGCATCTCCAGACAATGGCTGAGAAAGACTTCCCTGGAGAGCAACTGACCGTCAGTGTGCTCTGTTTATTTATTTCCTATCCCACCCTTCCTCTATAAGGAGCTCAAGGGGATCTACACGGTTCCCTTTCTCATTTTATCCTCGCAACAACGCTGTGAGGTAGGTTAGGATGAGAAATGGTAGCCGGCTCAAGCTCACAGGGAGCGTTGTGGCTGAGCGGGGATTCGAACCCTGCTCTCCCAGGTCCAGCACTCTAACCACTGCACCATGCTGGTTCTCAACACTGAACTGCTGTAGATCAGGGGTCAGCAACCTAAGGCCAATGGGCCGGAAGCAGCCCGCGGAGGTCATTGGACGAGCCGTCCCAAACTGAGCTGCGCTAAACCAGCATGTTGCAGCGCGGGGACTTGCTTCCGCGGCATCGGAAATCACGTCTGCGCACGTGCAGACACTGGAAATCACAGGCCCGCGCACTCATGCACGTGCACAATCCTGCCCACAGAGGGATCTCTGTGGGACCGTTCTGGCCCAGGCAAGATAAACCTTGCCGAGCCCTGAACTAGATGGTCGCAGGGTCTGTAAGGCAGCAGCCAAGAAGTGACTAGTGGGGGAGCCAGGCTGGAGTGCGTCTTTCCTTGAATCAGGGCCCCAGCATCTGGAACTATTTCCGCATATAAACTATTTGCAGGCGGCAGCTCTCCGCTTGTGGCGATCTGAAATGGGCAACGGATATATTTGTGGTACCCACTCCGTTACTGAGACAAAAAGTGTTATGTACTGAAGTTCTCACCCTGGGCCAGCAGGGGGATACTGTAGATAGTTATGCAAATAAGGGATCGAAAGTGACGTTCAGTGATTGGATAGTTTTAGAAAATTGTTACAGTTACGTTGTACTGGAGCTCTATATAAGCAGGCTGACTGAAGCCTTCAGTTCAGTTCTGTTCTGGCCTGTGAATAAACAAGAGCTGTTTGAATAATCGCTGTGTTGTCTGATATGTTCACCCACAACGTAACAAAAAGTATGGGCACAGGGGGCATGGAGGAGACCCTTCATGAACTCCACAAGGCCCGCCCCTGACTCTCGCCAGATTTAGCCCAATCATCCTGCCTCATGTAGCATTCTTAAACTGGTAGCTGAGTGGGGCGTCTGCCTGTATTCCTAGGCCTAGTCTGGGGTCACACGGTGTATTTTGCCACACAAACAGAAGAGGGTTGGGATGCTCGAGGAAGCTGCCTGCCGGCCCCCCAGAAGGAAAAACATTACAATCAGTATTGCGCTGCAATTTGGATAATTGCCCTAGACAGGAATTTAAAGCAAAAAACGGTTGTGGCAGAAAAGTGACTGGATCTGAGAGGACGTGCTGGTCTCATCTCTCTCTCTTTTTCTTTTGCTGGCAAACCAGACCCACAGGATCACTTTTGATTTCTAGTAGTGGCTTTGTCTATTAAAAAGGAATGAGCCAAATCCCTTATGATTGATTGCCAGCATGATTTAGAATAATGAAGGTGGATGAAGGATGTCAGGCAGGAAGGGGACTGCCGACTCTGTTGCTAAAGTGTTGGGTCGAATTGTAAATGAGCAGGATCCTTTTTTGTTTTATTTTTTTTTTGGTAGTGAGAGTTACAGCAAAAGTTCTGTAGTTATTCTCCTTGCAAAAGATACAGGATACCAGATGGGATCAGATGCTGCAACAGACACTGCACTCTTCTTACTCTGTTTTCATTATATTTTGAGTGATGTTATTGTTGTTATTCTTAGATTTGGCAATAGCTCTTGGGTAAGCAATAAAGGTTTGATTTGATTTTGAGTTATAGATCGCTTTACATACAAGATCCCCAAAGAGATGTGACGTTCAGAACCTCTCCGGCAACCCGGAAAAACACGTTTGCTTTCCCTTAAGTCAGGCATAGGCAACCTCAGCCCTCCAGGTGTTTTGGGACAACAACTCCCATGATCCCTAGCTAACAGGACCAGTAGTCAGGGATGATGGGAATTTTAGTCCCAAAATATCTGGAGGGCCGAGGTTGCCTATGCCTGCCTTAAGTGAAACTACAAGCAAACCGGGCCATACCCCAGTTGCTTCTATCCCAGATATCTAGTTTGGAACTGATATCCTTCCTTTGGGCCTCATCATCCCCTCTCTCCACCCCTCAAAGAAGCCGTTGCAACACCCATCATCTGTCCTGCTTCTTATAAAGTTTCCTGTTGCTAGACAGGACGAATTTTTGAATAGAAATTATTGAAAAATATTGATCATGGGGACAGATCTTCCTCCTCCTCCTCTTCTTCTTCCTCTTCTTTTCATTTCATTTCATTTCATTTCCATACTACTTTATATTTTTAAGGGGAGAAAATCTCAAAGCAGTTCACAACCTACATTAAAACAACAAATAAAACGATCCAGAATAAAAATAAAACCTTACTGAAGAAAGCCGAATACAAAGTATACATTTAAATACAATTAACATTCATTCAAACATAATTAACAGGAAGCTAAAATATTATCCTAAACTTTTTTTAAAAAAAACACTACTGCAGAACGCACGTTTAGCAGAGCAAAGTTAACAAAAGAATTATCTTAAACATTTCCAAAATAAAGCATCACTAAGTGAAATCAAATATAAAACAGCGTAACTAGCAAAAGAATAAAATATTCTCATAAGCAAAGAACATATCTGCTGCTGTAGCTGCAAATCCTGTCAGTGGTGGTTCATGGTGGGGGCTGTGGACGCTCATGCTATATGAGCTAGGTCTGCACCAAAAGGTAACCAAGAGAGACTCTGTCCTCTTCAGCAGGTTCAGCTTTTGTAGCTGGAGTCAATCAGGACCCTGCGCTCCCAGGTCAGGTGGAAAAAGGGCCGTAAGCCAGGAGCAGGTCTTCCAGGACTCACAGCCAACTTAGATGAGCAGTTATTAAGAACGTAGAAGGCTGCCTTATACAATGGTACAGTCATACCTCTGGTTACAGACGCTTCAGGTTACGGTTTTTCGGGTTATGGACGCACCGAAACCCGGAAGTACCGGAATGGGTTACTTATCGGTTTCCGTGGTCACACATGCACAGAAGTGCTAAATCACACTTTGTGCATGCGCAGAGGCGCTGAATCACAACCCGCGCATGCGCAGGCGCGGCGCTGCGGGTTGCGAACACTGTGGGTTGCAAATGTGCCTTCCACACGGATCACGTTCGCAACCCGAGCGTCCACTGTACCTTTGTTCTCAAACTTAAACCATTCCAGGGGTCCGTTCCAAAACCAAAGTGTTCCAAAACTAAGGCGCTCTTTCCCATAGAAAGTAAGGCAAAATGGATTAATCTGTTCCAGACTTTTCAAAACAACCCCTAAAACAGCCATTTAACATGAATTTTGCTATCTGACGAGACCGTTGATCCATAAAATGAAAGCAATAAACAATGTGCTGCAGTCACACAATCAATCAGTAGCTGAAATGGGTTCCACACAGTCACAAAAACAAAACAAAAAAGCTGCAAAAACACAAAAGAAATAGCAAAAACACAGACCTCAGCGTAACACTCAAAACAGAAGTGTGGCATTCAAAACGGAAGCATAGCACTCAAAACGGAGCACGTTCGGCTTCCAGAAAACATTCTTAATCCAGAACACTTACTTCCGGGTTTGCAGTGTTTGGGTTCCAGGTTGTTTGAATACCAAGGTATTTGAGAACCAAGGTACCACTGTATTTACTTATTCCTGCATTACAGGGGGTTGGACTAAATGACTCTTGGGGTCCCTTCCAACTTTATGATTCTGTGACTGAGGCCCTTGGCCCACAGCGCTCAGAATTGTCTACACTGATTGGCAGTGGCTCTCCAGGGTTTGAGGCAGGGGATCTTCCCATCCCCACCTGAAGGTACCAGGAGAGCCAGTGTGGTGTAGTGGTTAAGAGCGGTAGTCTCGTATTCTGGGGAACTGGGTTTGCGTCTCCGCTCCTCCACATGCAGCTGCTGGGTGACCTTGGGCTAGTCACACTTCTCTGTAGTCTCTCAGCCCCACTCACCCCACAGAGTGTCTGTTGTGGGGGAGGAAGGGAAAGGAGAATGTTAGCCGCTTTGAGACTCCTTAAAGGGAGTGAAAGGCAGGATATCAAATCCAAACTCTTCTTCTTCTCTTCTATTGAACCGGCAGCCTTCTAGATATTGCTGGATAATGTATCGCTATACTGTGTTGTGTTGGGCCGTCATTTGAGCTCTTTTTCCAACTGAAAAGTGGCGGCTCAGCAGCATTGAAGAGCGTGCAAGCAAGCAATGTGCTTGCACAAGCCGGAACAGGTTAGACCAGGGGTCAACAAACTTTTTCAGCAGGGGGCCAGTCCACTGTCCCTCAGACCTTATGGGGGGCCGGACTATATTTTGGGAAGAAAAAAAAAAGAACGAATTCCTATGCCCCACAAATAACCCAGAGATGCATTTTAAAGAAAAGCTGACCCAAAACACCCACCCACCCCATTCACACATGAAAACAAAGACCACCACAGCCAACCACAAATGAATAACCATACCCTAGGCCAACCCCAACCTCTCTCACCACCAAAGGAACACAAGTGAACAGCAAAGAACCTGCACAAGCAACACTGACACCAAACCCTAGATATAGTAAGTAAAATAGAAACATCGCCACCCGATCTCACCCCACCCATCTTTCCCCCACTCCACCTCTTTCCCCCTTTTCTTCCTAATGTCTCAACAAATGGAACTGATTTGTAAAAATGTTACATGGGGGAAAAAATACGAGAGAGAGACATTGCACACACTTTTGTCAATCAAGAAAATCTTTGATAAAATAAATAAATAAAATAAAATAAAAGCACACATTCTACTCATGTAAAAACACCAGGCAGGCCCCACAAATAACCCAGAGATGCATTTTAAATAAAAGGACACATTCTATTCATGTAAAAACACGTCCGCGGGCCAGATTTAGAAGGCGATTGGGCCGGATCCAGTCCCCAGGCCTACTCATGAGTTAGACAGAAATGAAACCAGGGGCAAGACTACAGAATGTCAGTTGGTGATTGCTAGTCTGAAATTACTTCTTATTGCTGCTGTTTATTGAATTTATAACGCTAATGCAGCAGTTCACCCCTGGAAGTGCCGTCCGCTGTCTCTCTCGAGACAGATAGATGCCAACAGTGATTGGCATCCCGCCCTTCCTCCCCACAGATCCCAGGGTGGCAAGCAAATGCACCGTTTAAAAATAAAAATGGAGCAGCAATATTCTGAAACCGCTAAAACACGCTAAAAGCAATTTGCATTTAAAAATATCTAAAAGCCGTTTCAGTTAAAAACATTCTGTCAGAAACTGCACTTATAAACACCATTCTATTCAACGATCATGGGGAAAACAGGAATACTTTCAAGTTCTTCATGCAAGTTAATAATGATGGAGACAGGCACACCTCACTAGGGAGGGCATTCCACAACCGGGGAGCCACCACTAAAAAGGCCCTGTCGCAGTTAATCATCAACCAGGCAGCCCCCAGTGGCAGGACCATCCGCAAGACCTCACCTGGTGATTACAGTGGTACCTCAGGTTACAGACGCTTCAGGTTACAGACGCTTCAGGTTACAGACTCCGCTAACCCAGAAATAGTACCTCGGGTGAAGAACTTTGCTTCAGGATGAGAACAGAAATCGTGCGGCGGTGGCGGGAGGCCCCATTAGACAAAGTGGTACCTCAGGTTAAGATCAGTTTCAGGTTAAGAACAGACCTCCAGAACAAATTAAGTTCTTAACCTGAGATACCACTGTATAGTGTCCAAGATGGTTGATAAAAGATGGATAACTTTTTACTTTGTATAAGGGATTGGATTTGGCTTTCCGGACTGTTTGATTGATCCTTAAAATTCCACAATCTGTGTAGCTGCTCAGTTGAGGTTATGATAATGGCCACAAATATGAAGTATAATGGTTGCAAAGGATACAACTTTGGTGACGGTTGTTGGGAGACAAAATGGTGGCGAGAGAGTTGGCAACAGAGTCACCTTTCCTTGTTCTTCTGTTTCAACCCCAGGTTTCAAATCCTAGGAAGAAATGCAAGAAGAAAAAATACGTTAACTCTGGGACAGTAAGTATGGGGGATGTTATGTTCTTCTCCTATCCCCCCACCTTGAATTTTTAAGCGCCAGCTCCAGTTGCTAAAGGGTTTGGCTTGAACCTGTAAGACGGGGGATAGGAAATCTCATGGCTTTCCAGATGTTGCTGGACTACAACTCCCATCAGTCCTCAACCACTGTGGATCAGGGATGATGGGACTTTGAGTCCATCAACATCTAGAGGAGTGTAGGTACCCTAATCTGCCGCAGAGCATAGATGATATGGTGAACTGGAGTGGGTTGCTAAGATTCCTGTGTTATTTTGGGAGGCGGGACAAAAATTCCTACCTGTACCACCAGCCCTTCCTTCCGGTCACAGGGGAAGCTGATCTGGATCAGGACTACACAGAGTGGGCAGAGGTTTAAAGCCCTCTTTCCCCAGGGTCCAGATCCGCCCCCCCCATCACCAACTTCCTATTTACATTTCCAAAAGCGGTGTACACAGTTGCTCACTGGGTGAACAGTGTCACACGCCATGCATTGAAAACACATCGGTAGAAATTCAGCTCAGCACTATGGCAAATGTTTTGCCAGCGCAAGCTTTTCTGGTTGCCGGATGGAATGATCCCCCCCCTCCTGCCCCGCAGGCTGTTCTGTGGGTTCCCCTGACCTTCCCAAGCCAATTTGGGGGGGGGAGGGGGGAATGCCTCGTTGAGCTGGCAGATACCCTTCTGTGGGTTTCCACTGGCAGGACTCGTGAGTTGAATGCAGTGGGGAGTTTAGACATGGAAGGGCAATCCCACAAATGTTCTGGTGCATTTTCCCTATCACAAATACCCTCAATCTTTTCGGGGGGGAGCAAGCTTGTTGTGCAAGGCCAACCGCAATTCTGCAACCTGAATTTGCCAGCATGTGATCATATCCCACTCCCAAAATAGCAACAGTCTAGAAGCACCTTTAGGCTGCTACAGAATAGAGCCTCCAAGCTGCCTTTCTGACTGCATGCGTTTCACATGTTGTTGTTTTTCTGTCTGTCTCTCTGTTTCCGGTAGGTAACGCTGCTGTCCTTCGCAGTGCAGTCGGAATACACCTTTGTCGACTACATTCGAGGCGGGTGCGTTGGTTGAAAAGCTGGGGTGCCTCCCTAGGGGCCTGAATCTGGAGGGCCAGGGGCTGGCTGCCCTGTTATTGATGGATGGAATGCCCATCTTTCACCCTAAGGTCCCAGGGTGGGTTACAACACTGAAGTGCCACTTTGCAATACGATATTAAGTCCTGAAAGACCTACATTGGCTCCCAGTACGTTTCCAAGCACAATTCAAAGTGTGGGTGCTGACCTTTAAAGCCCTAAAGAGCCTCAGCCCAGTATACCTGAAGGAGCATCTCCACCCCTATCATTTGGCCCGGACACTGAGGTCCAGCTCTGAGGGCCTTCTGGTGGTTCCCTCACTGCAAGAAGTGAGGTTACAAGGAACCAGGCAGAGGGCCTTCTCGGTAGTGGCGCCCACCCTGTGGAACACCCTCCCATCTGATGTCAAGGAAATAAATAACTATCTGACTTTTAGAAGACATCTGAAGGCAGCCCTGTTTAGGGAAGTTTTTAATGTTTGATGTTTTGTCACTTATTATTAATTATTATTATTATTATTCTGTTGGGAGCCACTCAGAGTGGCTGGGGAAACCCAGGCAGATGGGCAGGGTATAAATAATGAAATTATTATTATTATTATTAGTCATTTAAAACAACTTACCATTGCAGAAATATATATCCTAAAAATATATCCAAAAATATCTTCCAAAATTATACACCTCAAGCGTCAAAAGCCAGGGTAAAGAGGTTCGTCTTCAGCATTCTCCGAAAGCTGTACGAAGAAGGTGCAGACACGCTTCTGCGGGGAGTTCCACAGCTTAGGGGCCACCATGGAGAAGGCCCTCTCGCAGGTCACCACTCCCACGCCCAAGCCTCTGATGGTAGGGGAACTACCAGCTAGAGCAACTACCTCTCAGCACCTGAGAAGATCTGTAGGGAAGGAGGCTGTGCTTCAGATATTTGGTCTCTGAGTTGTTTAGAGCTTGAAGCACCAACGCCAGCCTTCACAGCTTCTCAGGTATTACCCCGGAGGAGACTAGAGGAGGGTGGCCTAGGCAGGAAGGCAGAACAAGACAAGAGCATGAAGCATTGAGAGGATGACATGCCTGAGGTCTGGCAGAGACCTTTGAGGTTGGGGCTCTGCCTTTGGGGTACCGGCAAGAGACCGAAGGGTTCTGGTGGGATTAACCTATGAGGAAGAACACAGCTAAGGGTGTTTTGGGGGGCTCACAAGAATGGCAGCATCCATTTCTCTCTCTCCTCCATCCCACCCCTTAGGACACAGCTGAATTTCACCGTCGCCATTGATTTCACCGCCTCCAACGGTGAGTGCAACACAGCCGTGAGTCGCTATGGGAACAGAGGGAGAGTTTAGCTGCCGGTAACCAGGCAGCCGAGGACCCTTGGGCTAAAGGCAGATCTTTAACCTTCCACCTCTGTGGGGTTGCCTGCCCCCGCTCTCAAATGTGGGGCTGTGAGAATCCTCCCGCAAAGAACTTCCACACCAGAATTGGTCTCAGGACAGGGGAAGGGGAGAGAAATGCCATTGTCCCAGTGTCTGAGGAGTCAAGGAAGAGGGGAATTCACCTGTGGGAGAATGAAGTGGAAGTATTAGGCCAAGTATTGGGACGCGGGTGGCGCTGTGTGTTAAACCACAGAGCCTAGGGCTTGCCGATCAAAAGGTCAGTGGTTCGAATCCCCGTGACGGGGTGAGCTCCCATTGCTCGGTCCCTGCTCCTGCCAACCTAGCAGTTCAAAAGCATGTCAAAGTGCAAGTAGATAAATAGGTACCGCTCCAGCAGGAAGGTAAATGGCATTTCCGTGCGCTGCTCTGGTTCGCTAGGAGCGGCTTAGTCATGCTGGCCACATGACCTGGAAACTGTACGCCGTCTCCCTCGGCCAATAAAGCAAGATGAGCACCGCAACCCCAGAGTCGTCCGCGACTGGACCTAATGGTCAGGGGCCCCTTTACCTTATTAGGCCAATCAAGGTGCCATTGAGGAGAAGAAGGAAAGTATGAAGAGCTACCCAATGTTCTGTGAATTCCCAGAGGAGGGAGGGAGCCAAGCCAAGCTAAGATGGCGGAGGGTTGCTGGCTTTTTGACATGGGTTTACGAATGCTGTGTGTACGGCCTGTGGGAAGCCGTGGGGCTGAATTTCTGGGGGAATGGTGTTGTGGGATTCTGGAGGCTGACCAAATGCCTTTTCACAGGGATTCCCTCCCAGCCCACCTCCCTCCATTACATGAGCCCCTACCAGCTCAGCTCCTACGCCATGGCTCTGAAGGCCGTTGGAGAAATCATCCAAGACTATGACAGCGACAAGCTTTTCCCGGCCTACGGCTTCGGAGCCAAAGTCCCGCCGGACGGCAAGGTGTCCCACCAGTTCCCTTTGGTAGGTGGGAAACCCCCCCAGTTGCAATGATGGGAGGGGCCTGCTGTGCGTATGGCCCCAGATTCAATCCCTGGTGTCTCCATTTGCATGCATCTGGAGTAGCAAACATACTGCCAAGTCAGGAAGGGCAAAACTGAGCTGGAGGGATCATTGTCCTGACTTATGAGGCAGTTTTTTGCAAACCTGTGGAGTCGGGTTTTAGGGAAATCTCTGTGGGTCAAACCACAGAGCCTAGGACTTGCTGATCAGAAGGTCAGTGGTTCGAATCCCCGCGACGGGGTGAGCTCCCGTTGTTTGGCCTCAGCTCCTGCCAACAAAGCAGTTCGAAAGCACGTCCAAGTGCAAGCAGATAAATAGGTACGGCTCCGGCGAGAAGGTAAATGGCGTTTCTGTACGCTGCTCTGGTTCTCCAGAAGCGGCTTAGTCATGCTGGCCACATGACCCGGAAGCTGTACGCCGGCTCCCTCGGCCAATAAAGCGAGATGAGCACTGCAACCCCAGAGTTGGCCACGACTGGACTTAATGATCAGGGGTCCCTTTACCTTTACCTTACCTGGATCATTGTATACCCCAGAGGTTCACAAGCTGAGCTCCATGGACCATTAATGGTCAGTGAGCTCTGTTGAGGTGGTTTGTGGAAAGACTTTGGAACAGTCAAGTCATTTGTACCTAGTTTTGTGCTTTCCTTTCCCTCTGACAACGGAGATCAAGACTGTCTTAACCAGAGCCAGATTTACCAGCCTGGGACTCTGGATTTTCATAATATATAGTTTTCCCTTTAAAATATGCTAGTCAAAGAGGCCGTTCTCAGCACAGCTTGGCCCCTGACTTTCCTAATACGGTACTGGTTTTGAGAATGAACCTCCATTATCTCCCAAGATGGATGCCATCAACAACAGCAACAACAATTTTGTATGGATCATTTTGATGTTTTATTTTATATTGTTGAAAACCACTTAGAAGTGTTTGGGTTTTGGTGCTGATTTTTTTCCTCCTTGCTTTTTTTTTGTACATTCAAACAGGATATAAATGTTGTCAAATAATTTCATAAATCAGTGATGGCGGCACCATGGTTAAGTACATGATTTGCCGAGACCTAGGAACTTTGCAGTGGTCCTCCGGAGTGGGGCAGAGAGAGTTAGAGAACTACCATTACATAGACCCCAAAAAGAAATTCAGAGTGTGTAGTCAAGACTTGCTGCTTGCTCTCTGTATTGACACCTGGTGGATTTGTAAGAGTAAGAAGATTCAAGGCTGTTGCCAATAACTACGTTCGCTGCAACACACAACACACTCCGCTTCTGAGCCACTGCAGAAGCCTTTGCCCTGCTGTAAGTAACAGACATGTTACAACTCAACAACAAACCGGCAGGCAGCCTTTGAGGGACGTTGATATCCATCAAACCAGCTTTTTAAGAAACGCACTCTGTATCTCCCTTTGTATTATGATGTGAATTGCCTAACCTGCATCCCATAGTTACCCAACTGTTCACATCCAACTCTTGGCTTTGTTTTTCTTCTCCTTCGCTCCAGTTACTGGTCAGTGTTGCATTCCTTTTCAAGACTAGCACAGATGATGGGATGCAGCGATGAGTTTGTGGCAGAACTCCAGGGCTCAGGCCTCTAACCTGTTTCCAACGCCAAGTTTTATCTCTGGATTGTGCAGAATAAACGCATGTCATAGAATCATAGAATCATAGAGTTGGAAGAGACCACAAGGGCCATCGAGTCCAACTCCCTGCCAAGCAGGAAACATCATCAGAGCACTCCTGACATATGGTTGTCAAGCCTCTGCTTAAAGACCTCCAAAGAAGGAGACTCCACCACACTCCTTGGCAGCAAATTCCACATGTCCCTCTCCACCAAATAAATGAAGCCCCTTACTCACTGTTCTGTGGTTAGTGGGGCAGGTCTTCCAGCTCAGGGTTTGTCTTCCAACAGAGGTCCCTCAATCCCCCTTTCTAAAAGTTTAGTAGTGGTGGAAGGATCCTTAATATTGTTTTGCTCACCGCCTGTTTTCTATGGCTTTTAGTGCTTACAGTATGAAACATGCCACAGGTATCAACAAATGCGTGTGACCGAGCTTCTTTAGCACACCACAAAATCCAGATTGTGGGGAGGGAGGGAAGGAAGCTTAACTTTTTTACACGCACACAAAGTCTCCATTCCTCATGCCTCCTAATACGTCTTAAATGCGCAAGGACAGCCGTAGCTACAGGCGAGCTAGCCGGGTATTTTGCCCTGGGTGAAGCCTCCAGAGGGGCACCATTGAGTCTCCCAGCCTGTGTGTGGCAGGGGCGCCAAACTGGGTCTTTAACCCGGGTGAAAGAAAGCCTAGTTTCACACCTGGCAAGGATTATCTGCTAAGGGTGGAGGGTGGGGGGAATCACACATCCTAAATAGGGAAGTGAGCCCAATTTGCACTGCCTTCAATAAAGCTCACCCCATCCAAACTCTGGAGCTGGGATAGAGGGAAAGCAAGCCTTTGAAATAAGAGTTTTGAATGCCATCCTTTTGATTAGTTCGAAGCTGAAAAGGGGCTCATCCACACCTCCCTTTGCCCTGATGCTCTCTCCTTGGGAAAACCAGCGGTTTGCCATTTGTTCTGATTCAGCGGTAAATAGAGTGTTCTCCGGGGGGGGGGGGGAGCTGCAGGGCAAATGCAAATCCACTCGGACTCGTGCCCAGAAGGCACTTTCTAGGCATGGAACCAGCAGAAGTGTGGAAAAGCTCAGAGTTAGGGTCCAGCATAAGTTCCACCTGCCTGGTCCAATCCTTGCCACTTTCAGGGCTTATGCTGGCATAAGGTCCACTGGTCTCTCTCTCTCTATATATATATATTAGCATATCATTTTCAACAATTATTAAACATACTTTTATATCTTGTACATTTTTTATTTTACTTCCATTAATCACATATGAAAATTTTCCAATCTCTTCACTTAATTTACATTTCTTACTTTCACTATTACATTTAAATATCATAACTAATGTCACTCTTCTTTGCAATGTTTCATATATTTCTCCTTACAAAACTTCGTGTAGTTCTACTAGCATACCATATTTTTCACCCTATAGGGCGCACCGGCCCATAAGGCGCACCAAGTTTTTTTTTGGGGGGGGGGAAATAAAGAAGAAAAATTATTTCCCCCCCCAGGCACGGGGCTGGGGCAGGGGAAGCCCAAGCTTCCCCCGACCCCTGCCCCAGGCTTTGGGTTGCAGGCTGCTATCCGCAAGCCTGGGGAGCCCGCGGGACCTCCCGCCGGGCTCCCAGGGCTTGTGGATAACTTCCTGAAGCCTGGAGAGTGAGAGGGGTCGGTGCTCACTGACCCCTCTCGCTCTCCAGGCTTCAGCGAAAGCCTGCATTCGCCCCATAGGATGCACACACATTTCCCCTTCATTTTTGGAGGGGGAAAAGTGCGTCCTATAGGGCGAAAAATACGGTAATTTGTTGATTACAGTGGCTCTTCAGATAATTCGTATATTTCCTCCAATCTTCTGCAATTCTCTGGTCCCGCAGGTTTCGAATCCTTCTTGTCATTTTATCCAATTCTGCATAGTCCATTAATTTTGTCCGCCATTCTTCTTTCGTCGGTATTTCTTCTTGCTTCCATTTCTGGGCCAAGAATACTCTTGCCGCTGTTGTTGCATATAAAAACAATTTAACAACTTGTCTATTAATATCCTCATTTAAGGTCCACTGGTCTTAGCTCTAGCTAAGCCAGGATTAGGGAGCTACACTGGTATAGCCCGGCAGTGGTAGGAACTGGGTGGCTGAGCCAGATCCTATCTTGCAGATCTCGGCTTTGGATTCACCTGTTACTGGCTGTTGTTGTTGGGGTTATCTTGGCAAAAAATATCCATGTACCTCCCTTCCTATAAGATCTGTGTAGTCCATTAAGAACGGCACTGTTCTTTCCTTAGAATCACAACCCGGACAACCCCAGCTGCGAGGGCATTGAGGGAGTGCTGGAATCTTATTTCCACAGCTTACGCACAGTGCAGCTATACGGACCCACCAACTTTGCGCCAGTCATCAACCAGGTGGCACGGTAAGTGGGCACTGGAAAAGCATCGCATGCCGAACAAGGTCCTGCCCCCCTTCCTCTCGGGAGTCTTGCGTTGGGCTGGGGGCAGAACATCTCTGAGTTGGTCTTTCCAAGACGCAGTTGTTGCAACACCCAGACCCAAGTCACCTCTGCCTTCAAAGGAGCCCAGTCTGGCTCCAGGGCTTGCATGTTGTCAGTGGCACCTTAGGGAACATCCCCCTTTCCCCGGCCGATCCAAGCAGCGTGATTTGAACCAGTGAGGACCAGCGGTAGAGAAAGGTGGAGGAACCACCAACCCGAACCTTCTCGGTAGTGGCGCCCTCCCTGTGGAACACCCTCGCTTCAGATGTCAAGGAGATAAGGAATTACGCAACTCTTAGAAGACATCTGAAGGCAGCCCTGTATCGGGAGGTTTATAACGTTTGATGTTTTTAATTATGTTTTTAGATATGCTGCAAGCCGACCAGAGTGGCTTGGGAAACCCAGCCAGATGGGTGGGGTATAATAATAATAATAATAATAATAATAATAATAATAGAACTTAATTCGTTCTGGAGGTCCATTCTTAACCTGAAACTGTTCTTAATCTGAGCTACCACTTTAGCTAATGAGGCCTCCCACTGCCACTGCGCCGCTGGAGCACGATTTTTGTTCTCATCCTGAAGCAAAGTTCTTAACCCGAGGTCTGGGTTAGCAGAGTCCGTAACCTGAAGCGTCTGTAACCCAAAGTACCACTGTCATAATGATGCCCTCTGTTTCAACTCTCCGGCTGAGAACTCTGTTTGCTTGGTGGGCATAGCTCCATAGTGTAGTGGAAAGCGGTGAAGAAGCAAGGCATGTCTTGGTCCTCTCAACTCTCCCTCTTCCTCAGGTTGGCGGCCCAGGAGACCGACGGGTCCCAATATTACGTCCTGCTCATCATCACGGACGGAGTCATCTCTGACATGCTGCAAACCAAGGAAGCCATTGTCAGCGTGAGTCCAAACTCTCCCTTTCCATGCTGGGAAAGGGGTGGGGAAGAAAGGGAACACCCTCAAGACTTAAAGGGAGGCATGAAAGCTGGTCACCAGCAGCTCCCAATGTCACCTTAAGTGCCTTCTTGAAGAAACCGGTGGTCTCCACCTGCCCTCACCGCCTTCTCGATTGAATTTGCAATAAAGTGGTCAGCACAGGCTTCCTCATTGCCCACCCCCCAAACCCCATAAAAAGGCCTTCTTTACATAAACGATGGTGCGGGCATTAACCACCGGCAGAATGAGGCTGAGAGGTCCCAGCACGGCCCTGCTGTGCTGAGGGGTAAACAGCTTTGCAGCCAAGATACGTAGCAATGTCCACTGTTTTTATGCATGTGTGCATAAAGGTAAAGGTAAAGGAACCCCTGACCATTAGGTCCAATCGTGACCGACTCTGGGGTTGCAGCGCTCATCTCGCTTTATTGGCCAAGGGAGCCGGCGTACAGTTTCCGGGTCATGTGGCCAGCATGACTAAGCCGCTTCTGGCAAATGCAAACCAGAGCAGCACACGGAAACGCCGTCTACCTTCCCGCCGGAGCGGTATCTATTTATCTACTTGCACTTTGATGTGCTTTCGAACTGCTAGGTTGGCAGGAGCAGGGACCGAACAACGGGAGCTCACCCCGTTGCGGGGATTCGAACCGCCGACCTTCTGATTGGCAAGTCCTAGGCTCTGTGGTTTAACCCACAGCGCCACCTGCGTGTGCATACACAGCTGCAAATGTGTGGATTTAGATTAGCCCAGGGCTCCTTGTGGCCTTGATCTGGATCTGCAAGGCTAAACACCATGTGGGCATAGCTGTCAACGTTTCCCTTTTTTAAAGGGAAATTCCCTTATTCCGAATAGGATTTCCCTTTAAAAAAGGGGAAAGTTGACAGCTATGCATGTGGGATGCATCTCAGACAATGCGGTTCTCCCCACAGGCCTCGTCTTTGCCAATGTCTATCATCATCGTGGGAGTAGGGCCGGCTGATTTTCTGGGTAAGTGTTGCCCTGATCCAAGATGTGTGATGGGCCAACGATGAGAATTGGGTTGGGTGGACCTGTACCAACCCGGTCCGACAGGGTGACAGTCGGCGGCTTGCTATGCTTCAGCACTTCGCACAAAGCGGCGAGAGGGCCACCACCGAAGGCCACGCTGCGAGGCCGATGACTAGGCCTCGTGGAGCTGGGTTGCATGCAGGGAAGATGTGCTTTCGTAGGTGCCCTGTACTTGGGCAGCAACCCAAGGAGGATGGCAACGAACCTTAGCAGTAATTCATTCTTGTGTGATCCTCAGCTATGGAAGAGCTGGACGGAGATGAAGTGCGAGTCTCCTCCAGGGGGCGCTATGCTGAGAGAGACATTGTGCAGGTAACTCTTTTCCAGAGAGCATGGATGGATCAGCGATGCCAAAGGGTGGGGGGCTTTTTGGAGGGTGGGGCAGGATCTGGCCAAGCACCTACCCCTTCTATCTCATAGCTGTCAACTGTCCCTTATTTGGTGGGAAAGTCTCTTATCCCAGTGCTGTGTCCAGCTGCTGTCATTATTATTGAGGATGTCCCTTAAATTCCCCGGGTTTCAAAGGAAGCAGCTCCTCTCCCTGCCGGCCAGAGAGGAGGGAGGCTCCAACTGTGTTGCTTGGCTGCGTTGCTCACCCAATAAGGAGTCTAAGAACGACTGGGGGGTGGAGCTTGCATGCCTTGTGCCAATCAAATCGGCTGCATTGCCTGGGGACTCGCCTTTGCTCAGCGCTTCCCAGCGGAGAGGTGACGGTGGTTTTCCTTGCTGCATCCCCTCTGCCGGGTTGCTGCGCTGTGGGAACACTTGAGGCTTCGTTTGGCTGCTGGCTGGGCTTTCTGCCTTTGGCTCAGAGGGGCTCAGAAGTTGAACATACCTGCATTCTGAAAATCTTTTATTTTGGCTGCTGATCCCTTATTTTTGAGGCTGCTGGTCCCTTATTTTCAAATCTGTAAGTTGACAGCTATGTTCTCTCTCTTTCCACCCAGTTTGTGCCATTCCGGGATTACGTGGACCATTCTGGGAACCACGTGTTGAGCATGGCACGCCTGGCAAAGGACGTCCTGGCAGAAATCCCTGAGCAGCTCCTCTCCTACATGAAGACCCGCGACATCAAGCCCCTTTCTGCTAGTCCGCAGTAGCTCCGCCCTCTGCCGTAGCCTGAGCCAATGAGGGCGTTCCGCTCCGGCTGGGACTGAGACGACTCCTACCAATTGGGCAACGTTGGCTGTCCCCAATGGGCTGGGTGGCTGGGACAGCTCTCTCTGTGGGAGGTGGGCCGGGGCGTGACCTCCCTGCCTCGCACAGGTGCCCTCGGAGATGCCAGCACAAAAGCATGAACCCACCCAGAATCTCACAAGGGATGGCACCAGAGTTCACAAACCAGCCCTTGGCAAGGGGCACGATGGACCAGGAAGGGGTTTGGAAGGAAGCCTGCATTTTGCTGAGGGCAGCCAGGGACGATGTTTTTCTTCAGGTTCTCTAAGTAAGGCGCCACTGAGTTCTGTTTCTGCCTGGTTATCGACAATAAACCATCCTTGGTCCCAGGTTCTCTTGCGTGCGTGTGGTGTTGTGGTTGCTGTGTCGATGAGGGATTGTGGAAACCATGCCTTGTGAGGAACGGCTGAGGCAGTTGGGTATGATTAGCCCGGATAAGAGACGACCGAGAGATGATATGATAGCCATCTTCAAATATCTGAAGGGCTGTCAAATGAGAGATCAAGCTCGCTTGTTTTCTGCTGCTCTGGAAGGTAGGACCCGAACCGATGGGTTCAAATGACAAGGAAGGAGATTCCGACTAAATATCAGGAAGAACTTTCTGGCGGCAAGAGCTGTTTGAAAGTGGAACGGACTACCGTATTTTTCGCTCTATAGGACGCACCAGACCATAGGAGGGGGAGAACAGGGGGAAAAATTCTCCCCCTCTCTGCTCAGCACCCCTTTTGCGAAGCGGCAGGAGAAACAGAGCCCCTTCCATTTCTTCTCCCGCTTCGCTGAAGGGGCGCTGCGCAGCTCTCCCTCTCTGCTGAAGCCGGGAGAGTCTTGCTCTCCCGGCTTCAGCAAAAGGAACCCGAAGCCTTCAGAGCGCAGTGTGAGTTCCCGCTGCGCTCCAAAGGCTTCAGGTGGCTATCCCTGAAGCCTGGAGAGCGAGAGGGGTCGGTGCGCACTGACCCCTCTCGCTCTCCAGGCTTCAGCGAAAGCAACGCGAAGCCTCCGGAGCACGGAGGGAGCGCTCCCTCTGCGCTTCGGAAGCTTCGCGTTGCTATCGCTGAAGCCAAGGAGCTTGAATTCACTCCATAGGACACACACACATTTCCCCTTAATTTTTGGAGAGGAAAAAGTGCGTCCTATAGAGCGAAAAATACGGTACCTTGGAAGGTGGCGGACTCTCCTTCGTTGGAGGGTTTTAAAACAGACATTGGGTGGCCATCTGTCAGGGATTCGTTAGCTGTGATTCCTGCACTGCTGGGGGTTGGACTAGATGACCCTCAGGATCCCTTCCAACTTTACACAGTTCTATAATTCTATGATGTTACAGGGTAGTTGTCCCAGAGGGGTGAAACAGCTGTGGGGTTGTGGCTTTCTGCCATCTCAGGCTATGCTTCCCAGTTAAAGACCAGCTCAAGAGGTAGGCCTCTTGCTTATCCCACTTTGGGAACTAGTAAAGTTGCAGGGCTTTTTAAAGATTCAGTTTACTGATAGCAACTCCACCTCAGCCCTGAGTACAAAATGAATTGTTAATCTGTTGAAGCCACCGGGATGTGGGGATTTTGGACAAGAAACTACAGCACTGGCAACAGAGACAAGGAAGGCGAAACTTATTTTCTTCATATTATAGCTTAATTATATTTTCTTCATATTATAGCTTAAGCTAGCATCTAAGTATCCTCCTCACTTAGCAGACCACCCCGTTGCTTCCCTTTTCTATGCTGATGATGCCGTCATCTTATCCAGAACAGCTGCGGATCTAGCAAATGCAGTTAATGCATTTATCGCCTATTGTAAGGCGGAAGCTCTTAATATTAATTATAAAAATCGAAAGTCCTCCACTTCACTCGTTCCCGCAAACTCAAGTTGGAGCCGCTTAAGATCACAGGTGGCTATTTAGAAAAGGTAAAAGCCTTTAAATATCTAGGATTAATATTCACCTATAATCTCTCCTGGACCACCCATCTACAATCTGCCTTTCTCGCTGCAACCACGACCTCTAACGCCATTGTCCGATTTTACCACCAGAAGGGCGGCAAACACCTTCCAGCAGCAATTCAAATATTTAATGCCAAAGTCGTCCCTAAATTATTATATGGATGTGAAGTATGGACTACAGCAATATCAGGTAACCTGGATCGTCCACTTCATATGTTTCTGAGATCTCTTTCCGGCGTCCCGAGATGTGTCTCAGGTGCAGCCCTACGACTCGAGTTCGCCCAGCCTTCAATTGCTAGACGAGCATGGAGCCGAGCCATTTCCTACACCCTCCACCTATTAGCATCGGATGCTCGAATTAGAGGTGGCTTTTCCAATCTGATCCTAAGAGATATTCATAATTCCCTTGAAAACTACAATTAACCTCAAATTCCGCTCTCTTCTCAATTTGAATTGTAAAACTGTTCTTAACTTAGAGTGTATCAGCCCGGTGGCCCTACCCCTAATTAAAAAGAAACTACAGCAACTTGACTTCTCCAACACAGCTTCTGTGCACGAGGACCGTGTTCAGGCCTAGCCCTAGCTATTCCACCCCTGAAGGGATCCCTCTATACTGCTTCACAATTTCTTCGGAGACTAAGCGAAGGGCTTTTACCTGTGCCCGTCTCAACTGTTTTCCTACAGCAGTTCTGTCGGGTCGTTATTCCAGAGTTCCCATCGCAAACAGAACATGCTCCTGTAATGACACGGCCCTGGAGACTATGGAACATGTAATGCTCTTCTGTCCCAACTGGACAGATGAAAGATCTCGGTTTTTAACTCCCTCGTGAATAAGTTCCATCTCCCAATCCAGCCTTGGATAGTGTCCCTCTTTTTGCAGGATTCTGATTGTTGGATTACTGAGATGACAGCTAACTTCCTGCTTAGTGTGATGAAGAGGAAAGCGGCACTAACTTCTTCCTTAACACCACAGATGCAGTCGATACGCCGCACAACCGAACGAAGTTCCAAGTAGCCTTATCGTACAAGGACAATCGAGTTAGGACTAATCTGAGGAGCTGAAGGACCCTTCAACGGTCCTCCTCCAGCCTCAGCAGCTTTTTTTTTTTTTTTTTTCACTTTCTTTAAGTATTCGCCCAGGACGATGTCTACCTCTACCTCCCCACCCCCATTCTATGTTGTTATTTCAATGTATATCATGCTATGGCCACTCGGCTAATGCAATAAATCTACTTTACTATAGCTTAATTCAGAAAAGATCAGAGCTTAGGATAGAAACATATACCAGGCCATGGTAACATTTTAAAAGGCATACAGTTTTCTAGCCATACAGGCACCTGCTTTTCCAAGCCCTTTGAAGCAGAAGCTTCTTCCATGGCCAGAGCCCAGGCCAAATATCCCATTTGCCCAATGACACCTTGAGAACAGCAACTGAATACTGCTGGGTTCTCCTTTTGCAGACTAAGGATATACACACCATACCATGAAAGCACATGAAACGCATATGGCTTTCACACACAAACAACATTGGGAACTATAGTTTGCCCCTCAGCAGTGCTACAATTTCCAGCACCCTTAACAAACCTCGGTTCCTAGGATTCCTTGCAGGGGTGGGGGGGATCCCATGTGCTTGAAATGTTTGGTGTGGCTCTGACCTAAGTTTTAGGACAAATCTTTCATTTCCCTGACAGATGGGGAAACCCTGATATTGTAAGCCTATAAGCTAGGAGCTTCTTTCCACCGATGCAGCAATTCTCCAGCCCCCTAAGACTCCCTCTGCAGACTATCCAGGAGGGATATTTCAGTGCACAGCAGCGGCAGCGGCCCAGACTGGTGAGGTTCAATTGTTTGAAGCCAGCAAGCAGATGGGAAGGGAGTATTCCCGCGGCAGGGCGTTTGGCCTACTTTATCTCTGCTCTCAGGAAGCGAAAGCGCAGCCCAGGGCTGAGCCTGCCTGAATAAAACATGGAACAGCAGAAGCTGGCAGGATGCCTCCGCTCATCTGATCCAGCGGGAGGGCCACCTTTCAAAGGCTTCCCATCATCGCCATCACCCCCCACTCCTCCCACATCCCTGGCTGGGGGTCCACCTTTTGTCTTTGGCCAAGAAGGTGCAGGTAATTTGGGGAGGGCCTCAGTTCCTGGGCAGTTGCTCATGGCAGGCAAGCAGTATGCTTAGCAAACGGCCTTGGCGGTGTGCAAGCCCTTAACTGCGTAGGAAGCAGTGGTGGCAGGTGACCTGATAGGGCGGAAAGCAAGGAGGCCAACAGCAGGGGGCACCGCAGAGCCAATGACAGGCACTGCCAACCAAGGGTGTGTTCACACTACCACTGACCCTGTTAGGTTGTGGGTGAACATATCAGACGACACAGCGATTCTTCAAACAGCTCTTGTTCATTCACAGGCCAGAACAGAACTGAACTGAAGGGTTCAGCCAGCCTGCTTATACAGAGCTCCACTACAACGCAACAGTAACCACTTTCTGTAACTATCCAATCACTGAACGTCACTTTCAATCCCTTATTTGCATATGTGGACCTGAGTGAAAACTATCTACAGTATCCCTCTGCTGGCCCAGGGTGAGGACTTCAGTACATAACAGACCTCACACCCAGTGTGCTGCCACGGCTAGTTTTTCAAGCCACATTCACACGGTGTTTGCCACAGTCCACATCGGTCCTGTACTTTCTTGACAAATACTGTTGTCGGATGTGTGTGTTTTCCCCTCAGACCAGCTTCAATCCAGCTGGAAAATTTAAGCCCCGCTCACTTTGGGCTTCCTCACAATGTGAATGTTTATTTGAGACGGCCCTTGTGCATGCACAGAGGACAGCTTCCTTTGTGCTGTGCATCCCAAACACCTGAAAGCCAGCCTGGTGGGCGTGGTTTGGAGTAAATGGCCAAACAGTGACCCATGCTGGGCCAAATTTGGCCCATGGGCTTGGGGGGGGTCCTACCCTAGGTTGACCCAATGGCCTGACTGTAAAAGGCAGCATCTTATGTTCTAATTACTATAAATAGGAGCTAAGAACAGGCTAGAGTGACAAACAGCTGCCTCTTCTTGTTCTAGAAAAACCTCAATTTGTGGGGAAGGCGGATGATTCACATAGAGAAAGACAGTCTGCTCCTACATTTGCCTGGCATTAGTCACCACCACCAAAATGGCCACTTTCAGTTAGAAACAGGACATTCCGCCTTAGCGTCATTGTGACGAGGGTACCTTGGTTCCATGGCAACTGGTGTAAGCAGAAAACGAAGACCTCTGGGCGAATATAGCAAGTGGCCAAACGCTCAAACACAAATGTTAAGAATGGTCAGCAAGGCTGCTTTTAGGAACTAACAAGGAATTTCTAGAGCTGCCCAGCTACAGCAGCCTAGAAAAGTGTTCCTTAAAGAGATACCCAAGGAGAAAGAGTGTTCATAGATTTCTCCCAGGTCAGTCCTGAGTTCGTCTAGATTTCTGGATTTCCCAAGAAAATAAGTTTGTTTCTCTGCTCTTTTTTGACTCTAGCCATGGTGAAAATTCAGGACAGCCTTTAGGCTGCAATCCTACACATTCACCTTGGAGCAGGTAGCCTTTAACTTGTTGTTGTTTAGTCGTTTAGTTGTATCCGACTCTTCATGACCCCATGGACCAGAGCACGCCAGGCACTCCTGTCTTCCACTGCCTCCCGCAGTTTGGTCAAACTCATGCTGGTAACCTCAAAAACACTATCCAACCATCTCGTCCTCTGTCGCTCCCTTCTCCTTGTGCCCTCCATCTTTCCCAACATCAGGGTCTTTTCCAGGGAGTCTTCTCTTCTCATGAGGTGGCCAAAGTATTGGAGCCTCAGCTTCTGGATCTGTCCTTCCAGTGAGCACTCAGGGCTGATTTTCTTCAGAATGGATGCGTTTGATCTTCTTGCAGTCCATGGGACTCTCAAGAGTCTCCTCCAGCACCATAATTCAAAAGCATCAATTCTTCGGCGATCAGTCTTCTTTATGGTCAGCTCTCACTTCCATACATCACTACTGGGAAAACCATGGCTTTAACTATACGGACCTTTGTTGGCAAGCCTTTAACTAAATAGGACTAACTTCTGAGTAGGCCTTCATAGGATTGTAGTATTAGTATATTTGTAATAAATAATCGGCAATATCTCCTAAATCTTCGCGTATGTAAATAAACAGGGGTGCACAGCTATACACACATAGGCTGGCGGTCGGCTTGTTGTCTAATCTAGGTTGACTGGGCCTCACCTCTTAGCAACTACGACCTGGTTTGCACATAACAGTAAACCCTGGTTTAAATCAACCTTAGTGAGTGAGTCTTACATGTGAATCCAGGCCAGCATCTCAACTATGGTTTATTCATTATGGTTTGTTAAGGAAAATAAGAATCAAATAAATGTAGAATTGGAGGGACCACTAGGATCACCTAATCCAACCCCCTGCAATGCAGAAATCTCTTACCCAACATGGGCTTGAACTCAAAACCCTGGAATTCAGAGTCTCAAGCTCTACCAACTGAGCTATCTCAGAAGCTTGTTGTCGCCTTACTTGATCTCAGCTATGGGTTTATATGTGAACCTGGATTATGTCACACCAGGCAAATATGGTTTTATGCTTCCTGTGACACGGGAGGACAACTCACATTTCAGATTCTCAGGACGGCCCCGTTCCGTGGACATGGTTCCTTAACCATGATCATTCCTAAGAACAGATCCCAGAAGCAAGAACAGTCCTGCAACAACATCAAGAGTGACAAAACAACCGTGGGCTTCCTGCTTGCTAGCTCCCTGAAGCCATCTGGCTGAGCTCTGAAGAAACAGGAAGCTGGAGTAGATGGGCCTTTTGGTCTGATGCAGAGGGCTGTTCTTATGTTCCTACATAATGGAGGCATAAGCATTTGTCAAAAGAATGAGTTGGCCGGTGAAGACGAACTCTAGGGGGAGAGAGCCATCCCTTTGTCAAGCGAAATACTCCCCTCAGAAGAGTATTTTCAGCGACCAATCTCAAGTCCTCAGCCTTTGGGTCAAGATATGCTCGAAATGGTAAATAAACAGCTTGCCTCAGCTCACAGCCTCCACCATGGCTTTATTAAAAAAACATCATGTAATAATTATAGATTCTTTCCTTAAGGTTCTGTGATTAATGGGAGTAATTGACTCACTAAGAGGCCCCTGATGTAACAGCAGGCTCCAAGACTAGGCAGCTCAAATGAAGATCAGGTTGTTTTTCCTACTTTTGCTGACATGGAAATAGGAAGATTATTATTATTATTTTGCAGCACTTGAGTGACGATACAAGATTTTATTACTTTTTTTTTTTCTTAGGAACATAGGAAGCTGCTTTATTCTGAGTCAGGTCACCATTGGTCCAGCAATTACCTACGTGGTTTGGCTCCAGGTCTCCGAGATTTCAGACAGGGGAATGCCAATCACTGAACCTGGAGGCCACTTTTGCCCCCCCCCCCCATGTATACAAAACATGAAATCATCATGTTTTAATCCCCAATTAACACACCGTCAGGAAACAACAACAGACTCTGCTGCAAACAAAATAAGAGCCTACTGGATCAGGCCAATCTTAGCGCAGCATCCTGTTGTCACAGTTGTCACCTAGGTCCCTGTAGGACAGTGTTTCCCAACCTTGGGCCTCCAGCTGTTTTCGAACTACAATTCCCATCATCCCTGACCACTGGTCTTGCTAGCTGAGGATTATGGGAGTTGTAGTCCAAAAACAGCTGGAGGCCCAAGGTTGGGAAATGCTGCTGTAGGAAACCCACAGGATCCAAGCTCAAGAGCCCTCTCCCCTCTTGTGGTTTCCAGCAACTGGCATTCAGACGCATTGCAGCCCAAGACCAATGAGGCAGAGCATAGTCATCATGGCTAGTAGCCATTGATAGCTTCCCGCCCCCGAATTTGTCCATACCTCTCTTAAAGGTAAAGGGACCCCTGACCATTAGGTCCAGTCATGGCCGACTCTGGGGTTGCGGCGCTCATCTCGCTTTATTGGCCAAGGGAGCCGGCGTACAGCTTCCGGGTCATGTGACCAGCATGACTAAGCCACTTCTGGCAAACCAGAGCAGCGCACAGAAACGCCGTTTACCTTCCCGCCGGAGCAGTACTTGCACTTTGACATGCTTTCAAACTGCTAGGTTGGCAGGAGCAGGGACCGAGCAACGAGCGGGGATTCGAACCACCCACCTTCTGATCCTAGGCTCTGTGGTTTAACCCACAGAGCCACCCGCATCCCTCTCTTAGTCACTGCCTCCTGTGGGAGCAGGTCCCGTGGTTCAGTTACGTGCTGCTGAAATGTAAACAAAATACAAACTTTTCCCCAAGGCCAAAGATGCCTCGTGTCAATATCAGTAATTTATGAATAATAATAATAATAATTTATTATTTATACCCCGCCCATCCTGCTGGGTTTCCCCAGCCACTCTGGGTGGCTTCCAACCAAATATTAAAAACAATACAGCATCAGACATTAAAAACTTACCTAAACAGGGCCGCCTTCAGTTGTCTTTTAAAAGTAAAATAGTTGTTTATTGCCTTGACATCTGCTGGAAGGGCGTTCCACAGGGCAGGTGCCACTACCGAGAAGGCCCTCTGCCTGGTTCCCTGTAACCTCACTTCTCACAGCGAGGGAACTGCCAGAAGAAGGCCCTCGGAGCTGGATGATGGGGGTGGAGATGCTCCTTCAGGTATACTGGACTTCAGATACCGTATTTTTCGCCCTATAGGATGCAGTTTTCCCCCTCCAAAAATGAAGGGGAAATGTGTGTGCATCCTATGGGGCGAATGCAGGCTTTGGCTGAAGCCTGGAGCACCGAAGCCTGCGCACCGACCCCTCTCACTCTCCAGGCTTCAGGAAGCTATCCGCAAGCCGTGGGAGAGCTTGCCTGCACCCAGAACTTGGGGCGCGCTGAGCTCAGGGCGCGCACAGCTCTCCCATGGCTTGCGGATAGCAGCCTGTTCTGGGGTCTGGGGTCGGGGGAAGCTCGGGCTTCCCCCGCCCCAGCCCCGCACCTGGGGGGGAAATAATTTTTTTCCTTTATTTCCCCCCCAAAAAACTAGGTGCACCCTATGGGGCGAAAAATACGGTATATTGGACCGAGGCTGTTTAGAGCTTTAAAGGTTAGCACCAACACTTTGAATTGTGCTCGGAAACGTACTGGGAGCCAATGAAGATCCAGTTATATGGTCTTGGCGGCCACTCCCAGTCACCAGCCTAGCTGCCACATTCTGGAAGCAGCCTAAGCAAACAAAAATTATTTATTGGACAGCAGACAGCCCATGAATTTATATGAATTATATGGATTTGTGTAAAAGTGTACAAAAGACATAAAGGAACAAAACTGGGTTTCTTTCTAGTGATTTTTTTACTGGTTAGTTTCTTTGTGGTGTGTTGATTGCCTGACCTTTAAATATTTTGGTGGGACTTTGCAGGGTGTGTTCTGCTTGGTTTAGCCATGTTTTGGCTAGAGACAGTTCTTTATCATTTTAATTAAATTTTCTGTTTTATAATTTAGAATACTCCTTTAAACATTCTTAAAATATCAGTGACTTCCCTTCTTCTCTTTCCTTGGTTCATTTTGCATATCATAAATCCCTGCATATTTTACATAAACTACAGTTCTTACCCGATACGGATAGCTTGGACTAAATGAGCCCAGAATATTTAGAATACCCTCTAACAGAAGTGGCTTTAGAAAGGAGTAGGTATGTTCATGTCCTGCACTGAAGCAGCAAGGCTGAATGACAAGGCCTCATCCAACTCCATGATTCTATAAAGGGGTGGTGCTGTGGGTTAAACCACAGAGCCTAGGACTTGCCGATCAGAAGGTCAGCGGTTCGAATCCCCGCGACAGGGTGAGCTCCCGTTGCTTGGTCCCTGCTCCTGCCAACCTAGCAGTTCGAAAGCACATCAAAGTGCAAGTAGATAAATAGGTACCGCTCCTGCAGGAAGGTAAACGGCGTTTCCGTGCACTGCTCTGGATCGCCAGAAGCGGCTTAGTTATGCTGGCCACGACCCGGAAACTGTACGCCGGCTCCCTCAGCCAATAAAGCGAGATGAGCGCCGCAACCCCAGAGTCGGTCACAACTGGACCTAATGGTCCGGGTTCCCTTTACTGTCGATGACCACTACCCATGAGAATAATAATGTTTCACCTGTGTCGGTTTTTAGACTGCAAGCTCCTCAGGGCAGGGACCTATCCTCATGTAATCCGGCAAGTGAATGGACACCAATACCGCTATATACAGCGCCGGAAATGGAGTATCAGAGGTAAGCTGCCTCTGATTTCAAGATATGAGGGACTAACGCTAGAGGGTTGGCTGGTTTCATCAGCCTCAGTGGTGATGAGAGCGAGCCCTGAGCTCAGTGGACTTTGATGCTAAGCTCCTTCCAGATTCCATGATTATTCACATTTTCTTTATCCCCTGGATTTTGTTCACTCAACAGCTTGAGGCAGAGAAAGATCCCGTGGTTCCTGGCTACCAATTTTTATTTTTATTTTGTTTATTGCATCCTGCATCTCAGAGGAATAATCTTCCACCCTCATTACATCACTTGTGTCAAAGGGTTGTTTCGTTTGAAGTTGCTGTTTTAAATCTCAGATGTGCAGCTTCTTTGGCTTGCGGTCTCTCTCTAGAGAAAGACAAGATTATAATGAAAAGCTGGCATCTGGCAACGGAGGTACATCTGCTACCTTTTCCATCAAGGGGAGGCCCTCTCCCGCTTGAGGCCCTAGCAGCAAATGCACCCAGGGTTAGCTGATGTCACAGCGCCACCTCTCGGCCATTTCACTTTCGGCAGTTGCTTAGGTTTAAAAATCAGAATCTGTTTTTTTATTTTTTAAGGAATATGTGTTCCTGTTTTTATGGGCCTGGGATAGTTGCATTAGAGGCATTAAATTTGCCCCTTAAAAGCTCTTAATTGCCATTTCATGTTCACGGGGATTGAATAGTAGTGAAAGGTCAGCTCACCGCCTCTCCTGGTATGCCCCACAGAGGAACTTAAGGTCCATAAATAGCAAAACCCTAGAGGTCCCGGGCCCTAAGGAAGACAGATTAGCCTCAGCCAGAACCAGGGCCTTTTCAACACTGGCTCCAGCCTGGTGAAATGCTCTGCCTCATGAGACCAGGGCCCTGCAGGATCTGATTTCTTTCCGCAGGGCCTGTAAGACAGAGTTGTTCCGCCTGGCCTTTGGCTTGAAATCAACTTGATCCCCTCCCCCTCTTTCCTTTTTCCTTTTTCTTTCTGTGATGGGACTCCTATTTGGGGACTTTCCTGGCTTTTTTCTGGCCCACGTAGGACCAGTCTGGATAGTTGGCCTTGGTGAAGATTTGACGTTTTCATCCCCAAAAAGTTTTTGATTTGAGTTTCTACTGAAATGAGGCTGCATTTTAATGTTGTATTTTAATCTTGTTTTTAAGTTGTATTTTAATGAATTGTTTATATACCTGGTGTTAGCTGCCCTGGGCCTGGTTGTGGCAGGGGAGGGCGGGGTATAAATAAATTTTATATTATTATTATTATTATTATTATTATTATTATTATTATATACCCAATGGTTCACTACACTCTGGAGGCAAGCGCCTTGTCAGGAGGTCCCCTGCAAAATGTGGGAATGAGGCCTTTAGTGTTGCTGCACAGCAGCCTTTGGAATCCCCTCCTCCTGATTCTTAGGCAGGCCTAGTCTCTGCTATCTTTTCAGCACTTCCACTTTCAAACAGGCTTTCAAGTTGGGAATAGTGGAAGTCTGATTTTACAAACCTTTCAATTAGTTGAAGGGGCTGTCTATCTAAAGTTCCAGAAATTTGTGGAAGAGATGCTAACCACTGCTTGTAAACTGTTAACAACTGGGGGGAAGGGGACAATCTCCTTTGTTAGAAGAACTAAAAAGAAGTATATGAAATAGGTTACTTTGGGGGGGGCCTCCCCCAATACATCACACATACATCACAGGGGGCGGTCTAAAACAGAATCCTGAGTGTGTTGTTTTTCTCCTGTCTGCCATTTACCTGATTGCATTATCTGGGTTTTGGGCACTCTTTTGTTATTATAACTACTTAATTCCTGAATCCAGGTCACAGGTCACAGGCTCACCCTGTTCACACCTTAAATGTGCCCTTATGGCAGGATTTGTGAGCACAGAGACAATGGGGAGATGTCCCATTTCCACCGACCTTGCAGAGAAATATTTGAGGTCATTTTTGGAGAGAGAAAATGGTTTCAGGACTTTTCTATGGGTTTCAGACATGTGGTTTACATATTTGTATGTGTTTGCTTGGTACATTTATGAACATCTATTATATATATCCCCTTCATGGATCACTGTCTTGCTGTGGCGAAGGGGCTTGAAGAACTCAGAGAAGCTATGAACTATGCCGAGCAGGGCACCCAAGATGAACAGGTCATAGTGGAGAGTTTTGACCAAACGTGATCCACCTGGAGTAGGAACTGGCAAGCCACTCCAGTATCCCTGCCAAGAAAACTCCATGGACAAAGGCAACAGGCATATAAAAGTTATGACGCTGGAAGATGAGCCCCTCAGGTCGGAAGGCGTCCAACATGCTACTGGGGAAGAGCGGAGGGCAAGTACAAGTAGATTCAGAGCTGATGAAGCGGCTGGGCCAAAGCCGAAAGGACGCTCAGTTGCGGATATGCCTGGAAGCGAAAGGAAAGTCCAATGCTGTAAAGAAAATATTGCATAGGAACCTGGAATGTAAGAACCATGAACCTTGGTAAGTTGGATGTGGTCAAAAATGAGATGGCAAGAATAAATATTGACATCCTGGGCATCAGTGAACTAAAATGGACGGGACTGGGCGAATTCAGATCGGATGACCATCATATCTACTACTGTGGGCAAGAATCCCGTAAAAGAAATGGAGTGGCCCTCATAGTCAACAAAAGAGTGGCGAAGGCTGTAATGGGATGCAATCTCAAAAATGATAGAATGATCTCAATACGAATCCAAGGCAGACCTTTTAACATCACAGTAATCCAAGTTTATGCACCAACCACTGGTGCTGAAGAAACTAAAATTGACCAGTTCTATGAAGAGTTACAACACCTTATAGAAATGACACCAAATAAGGATGTTCTTCTCATTATAGGGGATTGGAATGCTAAAGTAGGGAGTCAAGAGATAAAAGGAACAACTGGCAAGTTTGGCCTTGGAGATCAAAACGAAGCAGGGCAAAGGCTAATAGAGTTCTGCCAAGAGAACAAGCTGGTCATCACAAACACGCTTTTCCAACAACATAAGAGACGACTCTACACATGGACATCACCAGATGGGCAGCATCGAAATCAGATTGATTATATACTCTGCAGCCAAAGATGGAGAAGCGCTATACAGTCAGCAAAAACAAGACCTGGAGCTGACTGTGGCTCAGATCATCAGCTTCTTATAGCAAAATTCAAGCTTAAACTGAAGAAAGTAGGAAAACCACTGGGCCAGTAAGATACAATCTAAGTCAAATCCCTTATGAATACACAGTGGAAGTGAGGAACAGGTTTAAGGATTTAGATTTGGTGGACAGAGTGCCTGAAGAACTATGGATGGAGGCTCGTAACATTATACAGGAGGCAGCAACTAAAACCATCCCAATGAAAAGGAAATGCAAGAAACAAAGTGGCTGTCCAACGAAGCCTTACAAATAGCGGGGGAGAGAAGGCAAGCAAAATGCGAGGGAGATAGTGAAAGATACAGTGGTGCCTCGCAAGACGAAAAGAATCCGTTCTGGGAGTCTCTTCGTCTAGCGGTTTTTTCGTCTTGCGAAGCAAGCCCATTGACGGGATTAGCGGATTAGCGCTATTAGCGCTATTAGCGGCTTTTAGCGGCTTTTAGCACCTTATCAGCTTATCGGATAAGCAGATAAGCGGCTTAGCAACTTAGAAAAAGAGGGGGAAAAGGAAAAAAAAACCCAGGAACTCGCAAGACATTTTCGTCTTGCGAAGCAAGCCCATAGCAGATTCGTTTTTGCGAGGCACCTCCAAAACGGAAAACTCTTTCGTCTAGCGAGTTTTCCGTCTTGCGAGGCATTCGTCTTGCGGGGCACCACTGTACAGGAAATTGAATGCAGAGTTCCAAAAAATAGCAAGGAGAGACAAGAAGGCCTTCTTAAACGAGCAGTGCAAAGAAATAGAGGAAAGCAACAGAATGGGAAAAACCAGAGATTTGTTCAAGAAAATTGGAGATATGAAAGGAACATTTCGTACAAAGATTACCATAATAAAAGACAAAAGTGGAAAGGACCTAACAGAAGCAGAAGACATCAAGAAGAGGTGGCAAGAATACACAGAGGAATTATACCAGAAAGATATGGATGTCTCGTACACCCCAGGTAGTGTGGTTGCTGACCTTGAGCCAGACATCTTGGAGAGTGAAGTCAAATGGGCCTTAGAAAGCACTGCTAATAACAAGGCCAGTGGAAGTGATGATATTCCAACTGAACTATTTAAAATTTTAAACGATGATGCTGTTAAGGTGCTACACTCAATATGCCAGCAAATTTGGAAAACTCAGCAGTGGCCAGAAGATTGGAGAAGATCAGTCTACATCCCAATCCCAAAGAAGGGCAGTGCCAAAGAATGCTCCAACTACCGCACAATTGCACTCATTTCACACGCTAGCAAGGTTATGCTTAAAATTCTACAAGGCAGGCTTAAGCAGTATGTGGACTGAGAACTCCCAGAAGTGCAAGCTGGATTTCGAAGGGGCAGAGGAACCAGGGACCAAATTGCAAACATGCGCTGGATTATGGAGAAAGCTAGAGAGTTCCAGAAAGACATCTACTTCTGCTTCATTGACTATGCAAAAGCCTTTGACTGTGTCGACCACAGCAAACTATGGCAAGTTCTTAAAGAAATGGGAGTGCCTGATCACCTCATCTGTCTCCTGAGAAATCTCTATGTGGGACAAGAAGCTACAGTTAGAACTGGATATGGAACAACTGACTGGTTCAAAATTGGGAAAGGAGTACGGCAAGGCTGTATATTGTCTCCCTGCTTATTTAATTTATATGCAGAATTCATCATGCGAAAGGCTGGGCTGGATGAATCCCAAGCCGGAATTAAGATCGCCGGAAGAATTATCAACAACCTCAGATATGCAGATGACACAACCTTGATGGCAGAAAGTGAGGCGGAATTAAAGAACCTTTTAATGAGGGTGAAAGAGGAGAGTGCAAAATATGGTCTGAAGCTCAACATCAAAAAAACGAAGATCATGGCCACTGGGCCCATCACCTCCTGGCAAATAGAAGGGGAAGAAATGGAGGCAGTGAGAGATTTTACTTTCTTGGGCTCCATGATCACTGCAGATGGTGACAGCAGTCACGAAATTAAAAGACGCCTGCTCCTTGGGAGAAAGGCGATGGCAAACCTAGACAGCATCTTAAAAAGCAGAGACATCACCTTGCCAACAAAGGTCCGTATAGTTAAAGCCATGGTTTTCCCGGTAGTAATGTATGGAAGTGAGAGCTGGACCATAAAGAAGGCTGATCGCTGAAGAATGGATGCTTTTGAATTATGGTGCTGGAGGAGACTCTTGAGAGTCCCATGGACTGCAAGAAGATCAAACGTATCCATTCTTAAGGAAATTAGCCCTGAGCGCTCACTGGAAGGACAGATCCTGAAGCTGAGGCTCCAATACTTTGGCCACCTCATGAGAAGAGAAGACTCCCTGGAGAAGACCCTGATGTTGGGAAAGATGGAGGGCACAAGGAGAAGGGAGCAACAGAGGACGAGATGGTTGGATAGTGTTTTCGAGGTTACCAGCATGAGTTTGACCAAACTGCGGGAGGCAGTGGAAGACAGGAGTGCCTGGCGTGCCTGGCGTGCTCTGGTCCATGGGGTCACGAAGAGTCGGACACGACTAAACGACTAAACAACAACAACAACATCATCATTATATATATATAAGACCTTAAAATTCTTATAAGACCTATCAGGGATTGTGACTCTCAGGTGGGAAAAGTTTCCCCATGCCTGCTATAAAACTCACTTGGGAAGAATGCTGTGTACCATTTACTCTGCACTGCGTTCACTGCACTCCCACTGCTGGTTTGGGAAGCATACAGCAATAGTCATTTTGAGAAATGTCACATTTTGATGCACCCCCCCCCAAAAAAAACCCAGCTTCCTTCCTTCTCTCGTAAACTGTGGATAGATCCACATTGGAAGATTCAGGCCAGACAAAAGAAAGTACTTATCACACAATGCACAGTGAAACTATGGACCCACAGAATGCAGTGATGGCCACCCATTTGGATGGCTTTAAAAGAGGAATAGATAAATTCATGGAGAGCAGGCTCTCAGTGGCCACGGAAGCGTTTCTGGTACCAGTTGTTGGTAACTGCAGGAAGGGCAAATTTTTTGTGTGCTCAGGTCCTGCTAGCAGGTTTTCACAGGCATCTGGGTGCAGGCCTTTTGTTGAAGGGGCAGGCCTTTTTTATTGGGGGGGGAGAGAACCTTAGTTTGCTATGTATTTTATTGATTTGGGGGCTGCTCCTCTCTGCACCAGGGACGTGGGTGGCGCTGTGGGTTAAACCACAGAGCCTAGGACTTGCCAATCAGAAGGTTGGCAGTTCGAATCCCCGCGACGGGGTGAGCTCCCGTTGTTCGGTCCCAGCTCCTGCCCACCTAGCAGTTTGAAAGCACGCCAGTGCAAGTAGATAAATAGGTACCACTCCGGCGGGAAGGTAAACGGCGTTTCCATGCGCTGCTCTGGTTCGCCAGAAGTGGCTTAGTTATGCTGGCCACATGACCTGGAAGCTGTACGCCGGCTCCCTCGGCCAATAAAATGAGATGAGCACCACAACCCCAGAGTTGGTCACGACTGGACCTAATGGTCAGGGGTCCCTTTAGTTTTACTCTCTGCACCTCCTTGGCTACACCCATGTCTGGGTGGCCACGGTGAGAACAGGATGCTAGACTACATATGGACCGCAGGCCTGATCCAGGAAGCCTTTCTTATGTTCTTATGATCCAGATTAAGAAAAAAAAACGACCTGGCTGCATTTTAAGCTAGCGATAGGGCCTACTTCTGCACACTCTATGAGAACTGAACCTAGGTTCATATGTTGCCTCTGCCAGCACCTTCACAGTGGCGTAGCGTGGGGGGTGCAGGGGGGGCCGGCCGCAACATCTGGGGGTTAGGGTTAGGGGGCGCAAATCCACGGGTTAGGGGGCGCAAATTACTTGCCTTGCCCCGGGTGCTGACAACCCACGCTACGCCACTGCACCTTCATGAATACCAGCGTAACAGTCACCTTTCTTGCAAAGCAGCACTCGGGAACTTCTGGTCTTCCCATGACAGCAGGCTGGGGCAACTGCAGTTCCCTAGATGTTGCTGGATTTCAGCTCCAGCCGGCATGGTCAGTGACGGAAGTTGCAGCCCAGCAACCCCTGTTTCCTTATCCCTGCTCAAAAGCAATGATGGTCAGCACCAGCAATACTATTATTGTCGTCGAAAGCGACATTTGCTATTGTTACACATCCCTGAATGAATGGCCACTACCTAGAAGCTCTTCCAGGCCTCTCGTTTTATAATTTCCCTTTGGAGCCTCAGCAGCACCTCTGCTCTCTTTCCCTGGGGAACGCTGTCAAGAGAGAGAGGGGGCTCCACTCCCCAGCTCCCTACTCTTGCCTGGATGCCTTGGGAGTTGGGGTGGGATGGGGTGGGGGTGTAAGAAAGTCCCAGTCCAAACCCCCGTGGCACGGAAACGGGGCTCCCCCTCCTCCTCCTCCCGGAGCTGGACCGGAGAGGGACCCAGGCGTCCTGAGCGGGAGACCCCCTCAACGCTCCCCCCCCCTCACTCTCGACGACAGCACAGCCTTGACATTGGCGGCAGCAGATTCGCCCACGGCCGCCGGCCTGGAAGTCTGACCTTGCAAATTGGAAGAAGACGGTGGTGGTGGGGAAACGTGTGTGGCGAGGCAGGGGGGGGGAAACTGGGGGGTGGAATCGGCAGGTGCCCCCCACATACACCAACACGAGCCTGGTGGCGAAAGTGCGGTTGCCAAGGAGCGGCTTTACCCAGCGGGGCCTCCCCGCGCAGGAGCTGCTGCTGCCGCTGCCGCCGCCGCCGGAGCCTCCTCCTCCTTCTCCATTGTCCGGGCCGGGCCGGGCTGGGCCCATGGGCCCTGCCGCCACGAGAGCCGCCCAGCAGCCGCCCAGACGCGGGCGGGGGGCCTGAGGCCGAGCGCGGTGAGAGAGCCTGCGGGCGGGGAAGAGGAGGGGAGCGGGGAGCGGCGAGGGGAAGCCGCCCGGCGGGCGGGCGGGCGGCTTTCTCCCGCGGAAACAGCGAGGAAACGGGGGCTGCCGCTGCTTCTGCGTGGGTCTGTGTGCGCCTTGCAAAGGGGGGAGAAGGCGGCGGGCAAAGCTGGCATTTCCTCCGATATCCCCCCCCCACCGCTCCTGCCCCGCCAACCCCCAAGCCTCCTTCTTCTCCTGCCCCACATCCGACCCACACTTCCCCCCCGCACACCTCCGATGCATGCAGGAAGTGCGCGCGCGTGGAAATGAGAGAGAGAGAGAGAGAGAGAGCACGCTCTTGACAGCCCCTCTCCCTCCCATTGCAGGCCCCCCCAAGGGGGATGGGTTTGCTGTGAGCCGCCTTGAGTTCTACGGGCGAAGGGCGGTCTACAAATCCAGCACATCAGAATAATAATAATTATAGGAGCAGCGTTGTTGTCCAGCAACATCTAGGGAGGGCAGCAGCTCTCCCTCTCTTTAGCACCCACTGGGACAATGTGCCCAACAGCAGGGGATGTGGCGTGTGGACTTCTCTGGGTCCCCCCCCCCACCACCACCAGCACTATGAAGATAGAGAGAGAGAACTTGACAGCTGCTTTGCCCAGGTTGCCCCCTCCCATGACAGCTGCTGCCCTGCTGTTGGGGGAGGTGGGGTGGGGTTTGCACGAGTCTGCTCTTTTGCCCTGCCCACCTATGCTGGAAGGTGCCACAAAGGTAAAGAAGGTCCACGGAGCGAAAGGTGGGTAGCCTGATGGCCGCCACCCGTTGCCCTCCTGGTACACCGCAGGGTTACTTGGACAAAGGTGGTGGCATACTGGGTTGGCGTCTTTCTCTGCCTTCTCTGCTACCCACTTATTCTCCTGTGCTCTCTCTGTGGCAGAGGGTGCCTTGGAGATAGGGAAGCTGGTGTGTGATGGGAGCAGCTTCATGGCCACCTGCCCTCCCTCGTTCTTCTCCCATAGTTATCGTTCTCCTTATAGCTGCTGGCACAGCGTGGGATGAGAGAGGTAATGTAAGGTTTGCCGTGTGTAAAGCAGGGTCAAGCCTCTCTATCTGCTTTCCTATCCTTTCTGTGCTAATTCTTCTTCCTTCCTCCAAGCAGAGGATGCCGCAGGTGAGAAAGGCAATGTGGGAGTTATCAGGGCCAAAAGGTGTGGCGGGCTGATTGGCGACCTTCAGTGTTCTCTTTCAGCCCTTTTCTGTTTATTCCTGGTGCTACAACAACAACACATGCACAAACAAACACAGAGTGTACAACTAAAGGGAAAGAGCAGTTGGGGGATATTGTTTTTGTTTGCACATTTTTGTGTTTTTATATTGTAAATTGTGATCCTCGGATGGAGGGCGGTATAGAAATGTAGTAAACAACAACAGGTGCAAAGAGGTGTTGGAGGTTGCACACACAGGCAAAGCTTGGGATTTTCATTCCTAGTACTGTCTGATTCCTGTTGTAGAAAGGAAGTCAATGCAGCTTGAGTTGCCTGACACCTTTCCCATTAATTTTCATTTCCTCTCCAGCTTGGGGACACCATGGCATGACAGAGGCAATGTGTGAGAGACAGCCTGAGCAAGAAGTGGCAAGTGACAGGCACAACTGTGGGTAGCACAACTGTGGGTAGTATTAAGTCGAGGGCCATTCCATGTTGCTAGTCAGACTTTCCTTGTCTTAGTTGTCATTCTCTGCTGCTAGGTAAAGGTAAAGGGACCCCTGACCATTAGGTCCAGTCGTGACCGACTCTGGGGTTGTGGCGCTCATCTCGCTTTATTGGCCAAGGGAGCCAGCGTACAGCTTCTGGGTCATGTGGCCAGCATGACTAAGCCGCTTCTGGTGAAACCAGAGCAGCGCATGGAAACGCTGTTTACCTTCCCGCCGGAGCGGTACCTATTTATCTACTTGCACTTTGACGTGCTTTCGAACTGCTAGGTTGGCAGGAGCAGGGACCGAGCAACAGGAGCTCACCCCGTCGCAAGGATTCGAACTGCCGACCTTCTGATTGGCAAGCCCTAGGCTCTGTGGTTTAACCCGCAGCGCCACCCGCGTCCCTGCAGCTAGTTTACATTAAAAGCCGGGGTGAACAAAAGCCTTCCGCTGGTGCTGAAAAGGAAGAGCATTCTACATTGTGGTGCTTTGCCATCTACCTCACTTCAGAGTGGGCCTTGGAAGGGGGATATGTTCATGGGGAGAAAAAGGTAGCCCTTTAGATACCTGGCTATTCAGAGCTTTAAAGCTGAGAACCAGAAATGGATTGGGGCTGGTTGAGTTGTTTCAGAACTTCTGATACATGTTTCATTCTGCCAGTTGCAGTTAACATTCTAAGCCACTGTACTTCATCCCAGCTGAAATTCCAGAGTAGTCTTCAAGGGCAGTCCAGCATATAACACATTTCAGTAGCCCACATGGGATGTTACCAGAGCCTGGATAACTGTGGCCCAGCTTGTCTCTTATGCAGCTGCGGGGTAGTGGGAGGATACCATGAGTAATTTGGTTAATGCTAATATTCTCAAACTCTTTCCCTTCCCCGCCACTGCCAGACTCCTGCTGCTTTAAAATTTAGTGGTAGCAGCGTGCTTAGCAAAGAACAGAAAATACAAGTGAGAAGGATCCCTGTCTAGAGGGCTTACGGTCTGCCCTGGATGGAGTGGAGAGTGAAGACGGGAACGGATAAAGGGGTAAAAATGGCTTTGAATGTTGCAGGACATCACAGGTGTGAAGGCCACAAAAAACAAAATACGAAGGGAAGGAAACTGGCCCCATGCCTTAGAAATAGAAATGAACACAACAGAGACTTGCTACATGGTTGTGGCTTATTGGTGCAGCCAACTGGTGGTATTTTTGGAGCTGCGTGCCTTACCTTTGCAGTTTACCACGCCAAGCACTGTTAGACGTCCCCTGCCGACAATGCTATATTAGTTGACTCTGTGAGGCTGCAATACAGGGAAGTCAGCCAGCAAGGAAGTGAAGAAGTTCAGGAAAAGCTTTGCTGAAAAAGTGGGCTTTGAGGAGTAATTTGTAGGAGGAACGGAGAACAGCTAGACCAGGGATGAGAACCTCAAGGCTCTCCAAATGTTAGACTACAGCTCCTTTCAGCTGCAGCCAGCATGGCCATCTGTCAGGGGATGATGGGAGTTGTAGTCCGGCAACACCTCGAGGGCCACAGAACCTGTTCTGCTCCATGCACAACCAGCAGAAATTCCTTAGATGGGCAGCATCAGGCAGGGTGAGTAGAATAACATCCCACATCCCTAGTGCCCAGATGGCTGCTGCCCACATTTTTCCTTGCATGATTTGGCAATAACCCAGGAGAAAGAGGACGAGGTGTAATACCTGGTTAGAGAAAAGAAGCAGTACAGTTCTGTGCAAAATTTTGCACAACAGTCTCTGATGTGGTTGTCACGTTCGTGCCAGTCTGCCTCTGGGAATTGGCCTGGTCTCCGTGTGCATTTTGTGCTAGATCAGTCTGGGAGTGGATTAGGTCCTGTTACGATGTGCTAGAAGCCTGTTTGCGAAGCTCCTGGCTCCTCCCGGCACAGGCGTTTTGGGTCGGGAAGGGGGAGCAAACCGTTGGTAGGTATTCAGGTGGCGCGCCAGCCCTGACCTCTCCGCTCTTGGTTCCCCCTTCCCTACAGAGCTAGCAGGCGCCATGGGGGTGGACTTTGACGTGAAGACGTTCTGCCACAACCTGCGGGCCACCAAGCCGCCGTACGAGTGCCCCGTGGACACCTGCCGCAAGATCTACAAGAGCTACAGCGGCATCGAGTACCACCTCTACCACTACGACCATGACAACCCCCCGCCCCCGCAGAGCGCCCCTCTGCGCAAGCACAAGAAGAAGGGCCGGCACGGCCGGGCGGCCAACAAGCAGTCGCCCAGCCCCTCCGAGACCTCGCAGTCGCCGGGCCGAGAGGTCATGACCTACGCCCAAGCCCAGCGCATGGTGGAAGTGGACCTGCACGGCCGCGTGCACCGCATCAGCATCTTCGACAACCTGGACGTGGTGTCCGAGGACGACGAGGCGCCCGAGGAGGTCCCGGAGAACAACAGCAACAAGGAGAACACGGAGACGCCCTCCGTGGCCCCCAAAGCCGGCAAGCATAAGAATAAGGAGAAGCGTAAGGACTCCAACCATCACCACCACAGTGCCTCGGCGGGCAACATGCCCAAGCTCCCAGAGGCCGTGTACCGGGAGCTGGACCAGGACACGCCTGACGCCCCTCCTCGCCCCTCCTCGTATTACAGGTACCACCTGTGGGTTGGGGGCACCCTGTGGAGCTGTGGCTCGGAGGGCTTTGCGGGATCGTGGTTGGGTTTTGATTGCGTCCTATGTAAGCAACTTAAGAGATTCTTCTTATATTATGTGGTATGTTGTTAGCATCCATCGAGAGACAATGGAGTTCGCCTCCTGGGGTGAAGTCAAACCACTGGATTATAGGACTGGGCGATATCTGGTTTTTCAAAATCGTGATATATCACCCCCTAAACATCGTGATATACCGACCTATCACAATGTCTGAAATAAGGATGGAGCTATGTACAGGCATTGTCCGGCTTCACCGTTTCCCCCACATAGTGATTTTTTCACAGCACACACACACACACACACACACACACACACATCTTGATTTGCAATATATTGTGCTAGGTTAAAAAACCTATGGAACCGATATCACGATAGGGACTTCAAACTTGTTTTGGGCAATGTATCGCTGTATCACCCAGCCCTGCTGGAGAATCACAGCGCCTGCTGTGGCTGCGGAGAGTGGTAACTCGTAGCTGCTACCTCCCGTGTTGTTTTTGCTACATTAACAGCACTGAAGTGACCTCCCTGGGGCACCAGCCTGGGCAGTGTGGGGGGAGGTCCTGGGCTGCCCAGCCTCGCTGATCTGGTCCAAAGGAAAGCAGAGCAGTACGTTCGGCACCAGCGTGGCTGCAGGAGTTGCAGGAAGGAGGTGTACAAGGTGCCATCCAACCGCCTTAGGGACCCCACTCAGGATTTGTGTGGGTTTACTCCATGGGTAGGCAAACTAAAGCCCGGGGGCCGGATCCAGCCCAATCGCCTTCTCAGTCCAGCCCGCAGACAGTCCGGCAATCAGAGTGTTTTTACATGAGTAGAATGTGTCCTTTTATTTAAAATGCATCTCTGGGTTATTTGTGGGGCATAGGAATTCATTCATTCCTCCCCCCTTCATAATAGAGTCTGGCCCCCCACAAGGTCTGAGGGACAGTGGACTGGCCCCCTGCTGAAAACGTTTGCTGACCCCTGGTTTACTCCTTAGCCTTTTCTTCTCCTGATGGTATCCTGCAAGGCAGTGGTGGTTTAGGATCAGAGTTTTCCTTCTCCTAGATGGGCTAGGTGCCCCCTTAAGTGGTATAGTAAAGGTAAAGGGTAAAGGGACCCCTGACCATTAGGTCCAGTCGTGGGCGGCTCTGGTGTTGTGGCGCTCATCCCCATCATGGGGATTCGAACTGCCGACCTTCTGATCGGCAAGTCCTAGGCTCTGTGGTTTAACCCACAGCGCCACCCGCATCCCTTCTTAAGTGGTATACAATATTATTAATCATACCATCTCCATCCAAGCTGAGGTTCTCAAATGGGGAGGAGAGCACTTTAAGGAGGTGCTGCTGAGCATTTCTCAGGGGGCCTCTGCACTTCCCTCTCGGAGGGCATCACCTGGCTGAGCCTTGTTGCAGCTTGGAGACCGAGGCAGCCCGTGTCCCTTGGGCAAAGGAAGACTTCTTCCCTTCCTAACAGGAGCGAGGGGTTGCACCTTGGGAGGAGAATCTGGAACAGCAGTATTCCTACCCGGTGGTCACAGAATTCCCTGGCATCAGGGGGCAGGGTAAAAAAAAGTGCTCTTGCCTGGAGAGACGCCTTAACTCCCCAACACCACCTTCCTACCCCTGACTTTTGAGAGGTACATTATGCTGAAGTTGGAAGACTTTGTCTGATTGCAGCAGTGTTTCGTCCAGTCCGGTTCACTCACCTGTAAGTAGTGCGGCGGCTTGCACGAAAGGATTTTCACAGAGTGACGTGATAGGTTTCTCCCCGCACTCCCCAGGTCAAAGAAAAACAAGGGCTTGGATGGCTGTGACCAGAATTCTCAGTGTAGAGGAAGAGGGATGGCATGCAGAGCTCATGCTGGTACTCAGCTAATTCTGCCAGGAAGAGAGCACTGAAGCAGCCAGTCGTGGCTCAGTCAGTAGAGCATGAGACTCTTAATCTTAGGGTTGTGGGTTCGAGGCCCACATTGAGGAAAAGATTCCTGCATTGCAAGGGGCTGGCCTAGATGACCCTCGTGGTCCCTTCCAACCCCAGAATTCTCTACGTAAAATGGTGCAGGTGAACAAATGATAAGTGACTCTAAAGGTGGAACAAACTGGCAACACTTAGTATTAGGCTGCCAGTCAAAATCTGTCCTGTTGTGCTCCTGCTTTCAGGCCTAGGGGTAACAGGTCTCCCTCTGTAGGTCAAAGCAACCAAACCTTAACGTTTTTTAAACAGACTGTGTAGCTTCAGAACTGGGCCAGATGCAGGTCAGCACCATAGCTGTCAACCTTCCCTTTTTTTGCGGGAAGTTCCCTTATTCCAGCACTGTTTCCCATTGCTTCCCGCTGCTATCCCGGATTGTTAGATATCCCGTAGACTGTCCCTGGGACAGGTGAGGCTGCTGATCCCTTATTTTCAAATCTGAAAGTTGACAGCTATGGTCAACACACAAGTTGCAGAGTTAGGCAGTGTAGTTTGTTCTTGATTCGAGAAAACCGCACATAGCTCAGCGACACATCCCGACAGGACTTGCCCCTGCAGAGCAGTTGCCAGGACCGATGGTCAACTTCTTTACCCCATCTAAGTCTCCTCCCTCTGCCAGACCTTTCCCAAGCAACCTCAAACTATGTTGGGGCACCTGCAAAAACTCTTCCGCCCTATGCATCGCCCTGTGTGTCCTTGGAGACAACAAGGGAGAGGAGCTCGTTGCAGCAGGAGAGACAGATTCCTGGGATTCTCTTGCAGCCTCTTGTTCCCTCTGTGCTTCAGCCTCTGAGTCTGAGCTGCTCCCTGTCACAGGCTCTCCTTGCTCACTAAAGCCTGTTGCTTCTTCAGCATCCAACCATTCCTCCCTCCCATTTTCCCTCGGACCTCTCCTCAGTGTGCCACTACTAATCCCCAGGCTCGGAGCCTTCCTCCTCTGGGGCTTCCCTTGTGGGGTGGGTCTCCCAGCTGGTGCCTCCCACTGCTCCTCGTCATCTCGCCATCCCTGACATCTAGCACATAAAGGGCAGGCCTGGGTGGATAGATGCAAGTAACAGCCAACAACCCTATAGTCGCTTTTCTCCGTTGTAAAGGCGCTCAGTCGCTCCTGGTCACCGAGCCGTGTGCTTTTGTTCCTTTCCTTCCCCGCTCGCCCCAGATACATTGAGAAGTCGGCAGAGGAGCTGGACGAGGAGGTCGAGTATGACATGGACGAGGAGGATTACATCTGGCTGGACATTATGAACGAGCGCCGGAAGACGGAGGGCGTGAGCCCCATCCCCCAGGAGATCTTTGAGTACCTGATGGACCGGCTGGAGAAGGAGTCCTACTTTGAGAGCCACAACAAGGGGGACCCCAACGCCTTGGTGGACGAGGACGCCGTCTGCTGCATCTGCAACGACGGCGAGTGCCAGAACAGCAACGTCATCCTCTTCTGCGACATGTGCAACCTGGCCGTACACCAGGAGTGCTACGGCGTCCCCTACATCCCCGAAGGCCAGTGGCTGTGTCGCCGCTGCCTGCAGTCCCCCTCCCGGGCCGTGGACTGCGCCCTGTGCCCCAACAAAGGGGGCGCTTTCAAGCAGACGGACGACGGGCGCTGGGCCCACGTGGTGTGCGCCCTCTGGATCCCGGAGGTGTGCTTCGCCAACACGGTCTTCCTGGAGCCCATCGACAGCATCGAGCACATCCCTCCCGCCCGCTGGAAGCTGACCTGCTACATCTGCAAGCAGCGAGGCTCGGGCGCCTGCATCCAGTGCCACAAGGCCAACTGCTACACCGCCTTCCACGTCACCTGCGCCCAGCAGGCCGGGCTCTACATGAAAATGGAGCCCGTCCGCGAGACGGGGGCCAACGGGACCTCCTTCAGCGTCCGCAAGACGGCCTACTGCGACATCCACACGCCGCCCGGCTCCATGCGGCGCCTGCCTGCCCTCTCGCATAGCGAGGGGGAGGAGGAAGAGGAGGAGGAGGAGGATGGGAAAGGCTGGAGCTCGGAGAAAGTGAAGAAGGCCAAGGCCAAGTCCCGGATTAAGATGAAGAAGGCGAGGAAGATCCTGGCCGAGAAGAGAGCGGCTGCGCCGGTGGTCTCGGTGCCCTGCATTCCTCCCCACAGGTAGGGCACCCTCTCTCCCCACCCCCAAGCTGCTCGTCCCACAACCTTAATAAGATGGAATCATGAAGGGGCGAGGTTGTTGTCTGGGTTACTTGGGGCTTTGCAGGCCGGTCTGTATGGCCCAGGCAAAAAAAAATCCCTGGATTTTTATTATTTTTTATTATTTGTATATTTGCCCTATACAGTGGTGCCCCGCAAGACGAATGCCTCGCAAGACGGAAAACCCGCTAGACGAAAGGGTTTTCCGTTTTGGAGGTGCTTCGCAAAACGAATTTCCTATGTGCTTGCTTCGCAAGACGAAAATGTCTTGCGAGTTCCTGCAGGGTTTTTTCCTTTCCCCCCCTTTTTCCCAAGCCGCTAAACCGCTTAACAGCTGATGCTAAGCCGCTTATCAGCTGATCTTTAAGCCGCTTAACAGCTGATGCTAAGCCGCTTATCAGCTGATCTTTAAGCCGCTTAACAGCTGATGCTAAGCCGCTTATCAGCTGATCGTTAAGCCGCTTATCAGCTGATCTTTAAGCCGGCTAAGCCGCTAATACTGTAGCGCTAAGCCGCTAAACCTCTAATGGGCTTGCTTCGCAAGACGAAAAAACCCGCAAGACGAAGAGACTCGCGGAACGGATTCTTTTCGTCTTGCGAGGCACCACTGTACCTGTAGATCTCAGGGCGGTTCGCTGCATAAAAGTACAATATAAAAAAACACAAAATACATAATAAAGTAAGAACAGGAGCAAACCAGTCATACCCCGCCCATTTAAAGGGGCATCAGATGTCAATTTGGGGCGCCTAATCCAGAGGCCTGCTATGTACAAACTGTCTTGGGCCGCATCCACTTGAGACAAAAACATGTTGGGTGCTTGTGAAAGGGCTGCTTTTTTATTTACTACATTTGCAGTTCATCTACGTTCAAGGTAGCGTTTTAGCCTCTGAATAACCAGTGGGATAATCTCCAGAGAGGCTGGCCTGTCCAAGGTTGCTGTGCAAGCTCCACAGCTGATCAGGGGCTTAAACTGGGCTTTTCTGAGACCCTGCATACATTTCTGGACTCCGGCTCCCATCGTCCCTGACCATTGGCCATGCTGGCTGATGGGAATTGGAGTCCGGCTTTATCTGGAGGGCCACAGATTCCCCATTCGATTCTCAAGCTACTGCGCACGTGTCTCTGCACGAGGGTGCAAGTTATTTTATTTTATTTTATTTTTTACCATCATGGGAGTTATGTTCAGTAAGTTTGCATGTGACTGTTCAAGATTTAATTTTTAAAAATAATTTAATATATATATATATTTCTGCTAAAGGAGAAGCACTTTGGGACTAAGTGGAGAACGGCTACTGCTAATGTTGCCATGGACAAACATTTCAGGAGTTAGGGGCTGTGCTTTTTTTCTGGGGATACTCAAGGGTACCTTATTTTTCTTTTAAAAAATAACACTGTTTAGGGGTGTGTATTTTATCCATTTTACAAAAATTCATATACCGCTCCGCCATCATGAAACCCCTGATCGGATTACTATCAATAAAACAACAATTTAAAAACATTTTAGAAACTGTCTAAAATAATAATTTGTTATTTATACCCCGCCCATCTGGCTGAGTTTCCCCAGCCACTCTGGGCGGCTTCCAACACAATATTAAAATACAGTAATGCCTCAAACATTAAAAGTTTCCCTAAACAGGGCTGCCTTCAGATGTCTTTTAAAGAGAAGATAGCTGCTTATTTCCTTCACATCTGATGGGAGGGCGTTCCACAGGGTGGGCGCCACTACCGAGAAGGCCCTGTGTCTGGTTCCCTGTAACCTCACTTCTTGCAATGAGGGAACCACCAGAAGGCCCTCAGAGCTGGACCTCAGTGTCCGGGCAGAACGATGGGGGTGGAGATGCTCCTTCAGGTATACTGGGCTGAGGCCGTTTAGGGCTTTAAAGGTCAGCACCAACACTTTGAATTGTGCGCGGAAACGGACAGAAGATTGTTTATGGCCAAAGAAACTGTTCACCCAACGGTTTGACGACAAGGTCGGGCAGGACTCCATTCTGTGTTCCCTCGGAACCCCGCTTTTGAATTTGTCTCACCTCTGTGGGCAAAACGGCAAGGCAGCAAATTACACCAGGCTGAACGTTGCTTTCGCTGCATGGTGAAAAATGCTCTCTTGCTGGACGGCGGTTCTGCGATCCTGTCCGTTGGGAGCAGGAAACAAGCCCGGCAGTGGTGGGTGTTTCCTCCACTGTGTGTCACCACATCCCCATGGGGAAAGCCTTCCCCTTGTTGCTTTGCTTGTGGGTTTCTCAAGAGTTACATGGCTGGCTGCGGCTGTTAACAGAACACCGGTCTCGATGGACACCAGTCTGTTTTGCCGACAAGACAAATCTTTAATTTGTCGCTGCATACTTCTTGAGCACCTTTTTCAGTGTACAAAATGCTTTAAAAAATGCAGAATTCCATCCCACCACAGGTAATGAAACCAGCCTTGTAGCAAAGGCAGATTGCCCACAGATCTGTACCTTAAAGTCCTTGGAGGATAAGGCTGTCAGTAGCTACAAATCTTACTGGCTAGATTCTCCCTTCAGGTTCAGAAGCAACACGCTTCTGAGTCCCAGTTGCACCAGCAGCTAAGAAAGCTGTTGCCCTCATGTTCTGCTTTGCAGGCTTCCCGTAAGAGAGCCAAATGTGGTGTCGTGGCTGGGGTGTTTGACTAGGAGCTGGGAGGTAAAGGTAAAGGGACCCCTGACCATTAGGTCCAGTCGTGGCCGACTCTGGGGTTGCAGCGCTCATCTCGCTTTATTGGCCGAGGGAGCCAGCATACAGCTTCCGGGTCATCTGGCCAGCATGACTAAGCCGCTTCTGGCGAACCAGAGCAGCGCATGGAAACGCCGTTTACCTTCCCACTGGAGCGGTACCTATTTATCTACTTGCACTTTGACGTACTTTCGAACTGCTAGGTTCGCAGGAGCAGGGACCGAGCAACGGGAGCTCACCCCGTCACGGGGATTCGAACCGCCGACCTTCTGATCGGCAAGCCCTAGGCTCTGTGGTTTAACCCACAGCGCCACCCGCGTCCCTAGGAGCTGGGAGACCAGGGTTCAAATCCCTACTTGGCCGTGAAGTCCGCTGGGTGGCCTTGGGCCAATCACAGCCTCTCAGCCTAACTTAACTCATAGGGTTGATGCGAGGATAAAATGGGGAGGCAGAGAACACCTGTTCCCCCTTGAGCTCTGTGGAGAGGAAAGGTGAGATATAAATGTCATAATCAATCAATCAATAGAATAACATTACTATTTTCCAGGGCAGGGGCTCCCAGCGGTTCTGTTGCTGCAGCCACCAGCCACTCGTCTTCCTGACTGCAGAGAAGTGCTCTTGTCCCATGCAGGGGCGAAGAGGCAAGTGGCAACTGTGGCTCGGGGTTAAGCAGAGAGACAGTGAATTGGCGGCTTAGGAGAGATTTGAGGCCAGGTCAGATCTAAAAAGTTGTCCATTAAACCTCAATCATCCCAGGTGCATCCTGGTGCTTTAGTTGGCGGTGTGATGTATTTAGGAAAAGGCGTTCCAACCCACCAGATTCTTGATTTTTTCACTCTCAGACTTCGGAGGCCAACGATGGGATGCCAAGCGGGCTATTTTAGCCAAGGAAATTCCATGGAGAAAGTTGGTGGGTGGATATTGCCCCCTGTTCAGGATCTAACCGGGTGTCACATCCATTTCACAGGCTGTCACTGGCTTGGGCAAACCAAATTTAGTCTCATCCTTGACCCAGCTCAGGGGTGCGGGACCTTTGGCTGTCCAGATATTTTGCAGGACTACAACTCCCATCAGCCCCAGCCATCATAGTTGATGGCGACAGATGATGGGAACTTGTAGTCCAGCAGCGTCAGGAATACCAAGGTTTCCCTGCTCGTGACCTCGCTCTTTGGCGGCCCTTCCTCTGGTCTCCTAGCGGCGCACAGATGGACGACTTATGAAGCAGGGCAGAGCGGAAAGGCCACTGCAGAACTCTCATTGACCAGCAATGTAGCAATAATAACATTAGCGCCACGTCTCTGACGTTTGTGGTTGATGAAAGTGGTGGAAAAGGCTGAGAGCTAGCAACACGGCCGAGGCTGCTCCACGACCTTCCAGCTGCGTAGGAGATTTGAACCCAGGTTTTCTTTCCCCCCCGTCTCCAAACCCCACTGTTGGTGTGTTCTGCAATACAGTAGCGCCGCGTAACCATTTTCCTTAGGCCTGTGGTACAGGCGGAACCGCTGTGCCTCCCTGGCCTTGCGACGCGACCGCTTGACCCTCCCCGCTCCACCCCTTCTCCCCCTGCAGGCTCAGTAAGATCACCAACCGCTTGACCCTCCAGAGGAAGAGCCAGTTCATGCAGAGATTGCACAGCTACTGGACCCTGAAGAGGCAGTCCCGCAATGGAGTGCCCTTGCTGCGCCGGCTCCAAACACACCTGCAGTCGCATAGGAACTGCGAGCCCGGGAGGCCGGCCCCTCCTCCTCCCGTGTCCAAGGCTGAGCAGGTACGTCTTCCCTCGAGGTTGGGGGCCAGGGGGAACGTGTGGGGAGGGGGAAGAGTGGGGCGTGACTGCCAGGTGCCTGCAGGGCCAAGAGCAAGGCCTCTGGTGCCTGGCCACCCGCTTGCCATCGTTTGTTGGACTTGAAGGAGCATGGGGTTGTGCGGGAGAAGCTTAGGCTGATTTTGCAGCAAGGCCAGGCAATGCGCTCCCCAGTTTGCATGCAGGAAGGAAGGCCTTGGCTGCCGCAGTGAGATGTGGTGGGTGCGGGGACCTACGGATTTCCTCGGGCCAAGGCCAAAGCCAGCATGAACTTAACCCATGGGTAAGCAAACTAAGGCCTGGGGGTTGGATCCGGCCCAATCGCCTTCTCAATCCGGCCCGCGGACGGTTCGGGAATCAGCATGTTTTTACATGCGTATAATGTGTCCTTTTATTTAAAATGCATCTCTGGGTTATTTGTGGGGCACAGGAATTTATTCAATTTCCCCCCAAAATATAGTCCGGCCCCCCACAAGGTCTGAGGGACAGTGGACCGGCCCCCTCCTGAAAAAGATTTCTTAACCCAAAAGGACCAGCTTTACATGCGAAAAGTCCCAGGCGGGAGGGTGGAAAGCCCTCTTCCATGACCATAGAGTTGCCGCCTGTCAGGGTAGACAGTCCATTCAGGGCGCTCTGACTTTGTGCAAGGCAGCTCCGCGCATCTTCCTTCTGCCAGGAGGGAGAGGGAAGGCACTGGGCCTCCTCTTGCAAACCCGCCAAAGGGGTCTCTGCCCTCGCTGTGCCCCGTTCCGCTCTGGCGTTTGCCTCTGCCCCCCTCCCCTCAGCTCCTGGCAGCAACCCTGGGCGGAGCCAGCTGTCGCTCTTCTTTCGAGAGCCGTGGAAACCTGGCAGGGGGCAGGGATGCCCCTTCCTCTCATAGACTCTGATGTTCCTGCAGCGAGATAACACAGAGGATAAGAACTGGGCCCTGAAAGAGCAGCTGAAATCTTGGCAGCGCCTCCGCCACGACCTGGAACGAGCGCGCTTGCTGGTGGAGTTAATACGCAAGCGGGAGAAGCTCAAGAGAGAGACGGTAACCGCGGCGGGAAAGGGAGATCGGGGCGTCCTCTCCTGGGGAGGGGAGGGAGGGAGGGAGGGAGGGAGACACGCTTAAGGGAAGCGCTCGACCTGTGCAGCATAGCCAAGTGGCATGATAAGAGGGGAGCACTGGGCTTTCCTAGGAGAGTTACGGGATGAGGTGGTAAAACCTTTCCAGAAGGGGTTGTCTGAGGGGTGTTTGGGGAGGTGTCAAGCTTCTCCAGATAATAGTAATAATAATTTTATTATTTATATGCCGCTCATCTTTCTGGGTTGCTCCAGGCACTCTGGGCAGCTCCCAACGAAATATTAAAAAGGCAACGAAACATCAGCCGTTAAAAACTTCCCTGTGCAGATGTGACTTGTTGGCTCTAGTGTGAATTCTGCTCCCCTCTGGTTCGCACTTAGTTCCCGTTGTCCCCAGAGCTCGCTCCCAGGCCGTGTTCCGACACGGCAGGAGCAAAGCAGCACCAGGATTGCCCATGATGCACCCCTGCATTCCCCGGGAGGAGTAGGGGAGGTAAGGGTGTATTACAGCAGCATATTAGGGGCTTCCACAAGATCCATAATGGCAGGCCACCTGCCCCAAGGACGGCTCGGTCGCCCCGTAAGTGAAATTCTCTTACAGCGCAGAGTTTCAGGGGGACTCCCAACTTCCGGCAAGCCCCAACCAGCACAGCCAGTGGTCAGGGACTTGGTGGGGTGGGTGGGGAGTTGTAGCGCCTGGAGGGTCACCGGTTGCCCCTCCCCCCAGCCCCTCTGCCCTGGTGCTTTCTAACCCCATGCTACTTCAGAGGTCCCCGGCTGAGGCGCAGCGGACTGTCCTAGGGACCCGGGAGCTCAATGGCTCCCCCCACTCTGTGTTTCAGATCAAAATGCAGCAGGTGGCCCTCGAGATGCAGCTGACGCCTTTCCTCATCCTCCTGCGCCGGACGCTGGAGCAGCTCCAGGAGAAGGACACGGGCAACATCTTCAGCCAGCCGGTCCCGCTGTCTGAGGTAACAGAACTCTACGAAGTAAGAACCCCTCCACCCCCAATTTATACTTTGCTCTGTTCCCATCCAGCCCTGGCGCTGGGCCTGTCCTGTCCTGTGCCCCCAACAACCCCGACCCTTCCTTCGCACGCCCACAGGGTTGGGCCGTTGTGTGTGCGAAAGGCACCAGAGGCCCCGCTGGCTGGGCAAGTAGCTCGAATGTACTATGGTCCAAAGCTTCCTGACAAAGCTTCCAGGCCTAGCGTCAGTAGATGGCCTCCTTGCACCTCCGTGCTCTGGGACGGCCCGCTGCTGACACCTGCCCTGGGCCCTCTTTTTAAAAACAAAACAAAACCACCCATGCCCACTCCAGTTGGCCGCCATCTTTGTTTTTGGTAACGAATGAGAAGGTAAATTCTAACGCCACCGTGAGGGGGGTGGGTTGCGGTCACTGTCACCACCAAAAATTGCTTCGGGAATTGTCCGTTTTGCAGGGTGAGGAGAGGAGGGAGGCCAATGTGTTGAGTCATGAAGGTCACCAAGATAAAAGCCCCGAGGGTTTCCCGTGAAGGTGCAGGGAGGGGGTTACAGGTTGGCAATTTGACAAGGGCCGTCTAAACTCAAGCTGGACTGGTCTATTCCTTTTGATTTTGTATGGGGTTATGAGAAGAGGATCTGCTTGCCCTACAGGCTGGTCACCACCAGGGGAAATAATGACACCATTGCCCAGCCAGACCGCTTTTAGAGCTTCTGCACACACTCAAACTGGAGATAGAGGTTCGCAAAGTCCTCGTTCTGGTCATGCGGAAGGCAGTGAACGAGTTCAAGTCTCACTGTTGCTTGTTTACGTAGGACCAAGTCATGGTTTAGCGTTACATTCCCAACGTGGCCGGTCCTTCACACTCTTCCTCTGAAAGCCGTGCTGCTATTTAAGGTCAATGCATCATTCGTATTAAGGAACTAAGAAGATCGGAGTACACATCTTTGTTGTTTTTAATTTCAATAAATACAGAAAGTAGAAAAGCTACGAAGAAGCAAAACTCAGCCTTCAAGGGATACCTTGTCTTCATCAGAAAGAGGAAACACTTCAGTCCAGATTTAGATTCTGCTTCTAGGTTGGGCAGTTGGGAAGGCAAAAATACACAAAATCAGCACCACTCCATCAAAGTGAATTGTCTACTCTAAAGCCAAAGTGGTTTTTTGTTGTTGTCGTTTTTAAAGGTTCATTTTACATTTCCCTTCTGACTGTTGATGAAAAACAAATTGTTTGAATAGATCACTGCAGGCCGGGGCAAATAGCTTACTGAAAATGTCTGGTTATCAGCCCCCTTTTTTTGCGGACGCTCTCTTATTTTATTTTTTTGCTGACCCACTTCTTAGCAGTACAAACTTACCATCAGACCAGGCTTGCTCTATTCCGTCCAGTACAGCATAACTATATAAAAAACCCTGTTTTTCTGTCGCACAGCTTTGTTAAATATGGGAGGAGAATGCAGGAACTGTCTTTGGCTAGGAAGAGAAAGAGGTTTGTCCCCAGCCTTTAGTCAGGGTGGTGCCGGGCCTGGCAAGAGGGGTTTTGGAGAACCTCCTGTGACGCAGAGAGAGTTGTGTGTTGAGATTGAGGCCTATTGAGAAAGGAAATTGAGAGGTAATAGGTGGGGTAGCCAGGTATGGCGAGGAAGACTGCAGGCAGACACTTTTAGGGGACTTGCAGCACATGCAGAGGAGCAGAAGTTGGGAGCAAGGTCCCAAACCTCTTCACGAGCAGCCTGCCAGCTTTGCTTTTGCTTCCCCTTGCAAGCCACCCGCCTTTCTGAATGTTCGCTCTTCTTTTTTCGGAAGGTGGGGGTGGGAGAAGGCCGTTCACGGGGCCTTGGGGGAGGGTGCCCGACTTTGTGTGCCCGCGCTGAACGGCAGTGCCCCTTTCTCAGTGGGGAAATTGCTCCAGATTGGGCGAGAGGCTTTCGGGACTGCTTCTAACTTTTGTTTCGTCTTCTCTTGGAGCAGGGATTCCCCACCCCGGGGCGGCGATCTCCCCAATCTCTGAGCCGTGCCGCTCTCTCTCTCTCTCTGCCCGCTGCAGGTCCCCGACTACCTGGACCACATCAAGAAGCCGATGGACTTCTACACCATGAAGCAGAAGCTGGAGGGCTATCGCTACCTGAACCTAGACGAGTTCGAAGAGGACTTCAACCTGATCGTCAGCAACTGCTTGAAGTACAACGCCAAAGACACCATCTTCTACCGGGCAGCCGTCCGCTTGCGGGAGCAAGGGGACGTCGTGCTGCGGCAGGCGCGCCGGCAAGCGGAGAAGATGGGCATCGACTTCGAGACGGGCATGCACTTCCCCATGGCCGCGGACGAGGCGCCTCTGCGAAGCACCGAGAACGGTCAGTATAAGAAACGTCCTCGGCTAATGCCCAGAGATTAGGATGGTGGCTGCCCGGGTAGGGGCAGGAGTGCCAGAGCTGAAAGCTGCCCCAGGTTGCCTGGGCAGCAGCTGGCATTCACTCGGGTTGGATCCACTGGGAAGAAAGGGGTGTCTGAAGAGAAAGCCCCTGCCTTCTCTCCCCAGCGAGATTGCATCCGTTGCCGAGATGCCTTTATCGCAAAGCACAAAAAGGGTTTTGTGGGAGGGCTGGAGCTTCTGGCAGTGTTGGCTGCCTGCCCTAAGGGCACGTAGAGGGAGGGACCCGGCTGGCACCATCTGAGCTGCTGCGATTTTAGAAAGAGGCAGGCCTCCTAGGGAGGAAGTGTGGCGAAAGGAGGGGCTGGGCAAGGAGAGCCTCACGAAGGAAGATGGAGTGGTCCGAATGCGAGAGGAGGAGGTCACGGGGGTGAATTTGGAAAAGAGGAAGGCTAACCAAAGGAGACTTTTCCAGAGCTGCAGGGGCTAAGAAAGTGGGAGCTTGGGCCCAAACTTCCCCATTACAGCAGCCCACCAGCTTTCAAAAATTGCAGTTTGGTATATTGACAAGTTGCCAGAGGTGGCTTGCAGAATTTCAACTACTAGAATCCCTCTTGGCAACTTTCCCCTTCCTCTCCCGTGCAGGAAAAGTCCCAAGACAAGAGGTTGCCTAGTGGCATTTGGCTCACTTCTTTCTTCCTTTTACGGGGCACAAGCATTAAACAATGCTCCAATGTGTATCTAGGCCAACAAATAAGAAGGTGGGGGTGAGGGGTGGGATTCATTTTCCTCCAGGAAGGAAAACGTCATGATGTGCTTTCTTTAAACAAACCATCCTCCGGCGGTCTCTCCTCTCTCCCATCTATCCTCTCACCCAGCAACTTAGAATTACCCTGAGCCTCTACGGTTGTTTGTTTGCTACCTTGGCTTTTAGCCAAAAGGACCCTATGTTGCCTTGAATCCTTTTACCACTGAGCCCTTTGTATTATGGGTTAGACTCAAGAAACTGCCCTCCTCTTTGCTTTATGACGAAGAGGATGCAAAGATGATGATGATAATGATGATAATAATAATAATAATTTATTTATACCCCACCCATCCAGCTAGGTTTCCCCAGCCACTCTGGGTGACTCCCAACAGATTAAAAACAGAATAAAACATCAAACATTAAAAACTTCCCTAAACAGGGCTGCCTTCAGATGTCTTCTAAAAGTCAGATAGTTGTTTATCTCCTTGACACCTGAGGGCTTCTTTAAGAGCTGCTGGTACTGGTCTTGTCCTTCGGTCTTTAACACCCCTGTCTGAAAGATCTCTTTGGTCTGCCCCCTAAAGGAAGTATGCAGACGACCGTGTTTTTCATAAATATCTTCATTGTTTGTTTGTTTTTAAATTGCAATATTTAATTTATTCATTTTTTCAAGAATTACGGACCAGTCTGTTTCCAGTCCATATCAGTCCCAGCCTTTCATAACACCCTGGATGTTGTTGGACTACAACTCCCCTCATCCCTGGCCATTGGCCATGCATGCTGGGACTGTTGGGACTTGGAGCCCAAAACATCTGAAAAGCACCGGGCTGAGTAAGGCTGGTTTGCATGTGTTCAGCAATAAATTCCTTCCTTCCTATCTCCATACAGATCTGCATTTAAAAAAAAAAAATCCATATCAACACGTGTACTCCAGATGTAGCTTTGAATGCATTTTCTCACAAATACACTATTCTAAACATATTTTGTCTCAAAGGGACATATTTCTACATTTATTTTATTCTTTTTTAAAAAAGCACTTTTATCTGTATCTTGGTACTTGGTACACAGTCGAGAACTGTGCTGCAAAATTCAGAAAAGTGCAAAATCTGAAGGATCTAGTCAGATCTGCACATCGGAGAGGTTAACCACCAAAGTCTGGTATATCTGTTTGTTAGAACTTCATATGTTCCTCGCATTTCCACATCATTGAAACTATTGGTGAGGCTTTCACCATGCCTTAAGATATTGGCAGCCAAAAGCCAGATAAGAATTATGTATTGGGCAGTGGTGGGTAGCTACAGTCCACGGCGGCCATCCTTATAGCTAGGCTGTTAACAGTTGGACTCGCTCATGCCAGAGCGCCCCAGACACAGATGGTCCAACAAGCTACTTTTCCATGTGCTTGGCTGCTGGAGAGGAGGAAGAAACCGAACACCTCTTAAGATTTATAATCAGAAATCCGGAACCTAACAAACTTTCAACGAAAGGAAGCGGGGATAGAAGCTACTTGAATTCCCAGGGATGTAAAATGCACCTAAAACTGCATGCATATGGAATTGTGGAAGGCAACCGCCCCCATCCTGATGCTTTCCTGCTCTCCGTTTTGCCCACTTTTAGGGACTGAGATGTTGCGAAACAATGTCAGGCCTGGGGAACCTGTGGTCCTCCGGCTGTTGTCCCATCCCAATTCCCAATATCCCTGGCTGATGGGAGTTGTAGTCCCGTAATGCCCAGAGAGCTACAGGTTCCCCCATCCCTGCCTCCTTTCTTTGCCTCCCGGGTTCCGGTCTCTCCTTGGTCGGTCCATCGGCGGAAGCCTCCTCCTTATACTGGGCTTTGTTTCCTTGTTGGCGCAGACGAGGAGCGGATGCTGCTGTCTGAGAACCAGAAGCACCTGCCCCTGGAAGACCAGCTGGGCCTGCTGGTGGAACGCCTGGCCGAGGTGAGCGCCGGGAAGCAGAGCGTGGGCCGCTGCCGGCGGGCCAAGATGATCAAGAAGGAGATTACGGCCTTGCGGCGCAAACTGGCGCACCAGCGGGAGTCGGGGAGGGATGGGCACGGCCCCCTGACCCGCATCATCCTGCCGGCCCATAACCCCTGCGAGAAGGACACGCAAACCGACAGTGCCGCCGAGGAGAGCAGCAGCCAGGAGACCGGCAAAGGTGGGTGGCGGGGCCTGGGACCGCATGGAGCAGCCAGGTCCCAGCCAGGCAGGGGTTGCTTGTACCACAATCAGAGTCCTCCACGAGTGGGAGGGGCTTGGCCAGGGGAGCAGTGCAGCACCTCCTCCTCGGGAGGATTCCCAGAAAATATTGCACTTCAGTTGATGATCTCTCGGGTCTGTGGAAAGGGGCACAGCAAGCAGACCCGGGCTGAGGTTCAAGGTGTAACACCCAGGGCTGGGTGATACCTGGTTTTCAACATCATGATATTGGGCTTGCCACTTGGAAGGTTGGCGGTTTGAATCCCCGCAGCGGGCTGAGCTCCCATTGCTCTGTCCCAGCTCCTGCCAACCCAGCAGTTCGAAAGCACACCAGTGCAAGTAGATAAATAAGTACCACTGCAGCGGGAAGGTAAACGGCGTTTCCGTGCGTTCTGGTTTCCATCACGGTGTTCCATTGCGCTGGAAGTGGTTTAGTCCTGCTGGCCACATGACCAAGAAAGCTGTCTGTGGACAGACGCCGGCTCCCTTGGCCTGAAAAGCGAGATGAGCGCTGCAACCCCACAGTCGCCTTTGACTGGACTTAACTGTCCAGGGGTCCTTTACCTTTACCTTTATTGTGATATATCACCAGCTAAACATTGTGCTATACTGATATATCACAACATCTGCAATAAGGATGGAGCCATGTAGAGGCATTGGCTGGCTTTGCGGTTTTTCCCACATTGTGATTTTTGCATAGCACACACACACACCATGGTTCATGATTTATTGCCAGGTCAAATAACTATTAAACCGAGATCACAGTATGGTCTTCGAACCAGTTTTGGAAGTTATATCGCCCAGCCCTAACAGACATCACGATTCACGGTATATTGCCTGGTCAAAGATTATGAAACCGATATAACGATAGGGTTTTCAAACCGGCTTTGGATGATATATCAACATATCACCCAGCCTAGTAACGTCTTCCTTGGCATCAGCCCTAATAGATTCCCAGTGTTTACCCAGCGGCTCATAGAGTGGGATCTGCCACTTCCTATTAGCGTTATCCCCTACTCTCCAACTCCTGAGTGAATGAATTTTATTATTTCGGTCACAGACCAGTTCCAGCCCACATACAATATCAAGGAAGTCATAAAACACGATAGGGATGTATTTGAATTTGCAATTAGGTATAACATGGACAATACAGATATAGCAACAGTTAAAAAATATATAAATTAAAACTTAGTCACTAACATATAACCTAAAATTATCATTTAAGGCCTTAATCATGATAGCACAGCTTGTTCCCTAAGTTTTATGGCAATAGCACAGAATTTGGCCACCCTTAACGTGATCTCAGGATCCTTGTCCTATACCAGGGATTTTAGACATTGATGTTTGGATTCAGAACTCCTGAGATCTGTTCAGCGGCTGCTGTGGGTGACTCCCATCACAGGAGAGGGGGCCGCTCAGCGTATAGGGGGAACAATCCCTTCGAATGAACCCGTTCAGCTTCCAAGGATGGGCGGTGGGGATACTGAAGGGAAGTGCTCATGTTCATCCTCTGTGCAATGTCACTGCTTGCCCTTCCAGGCCTTGGCCCCAACTCATCCTCCACGCCTGCGCACGAAGTCGGCAGGAGAACGTCGGTGCTTTTCTCCAAGAAGAACCCCAAAACGGCCGGGCCCCCCAAGCGTCCGGGGCGCCCGCCCAAGAACCGCGACAGCCAGCTGGCTCCGGGTCACGGGAACAGCCCCGTGGGACCCCCTCAGCTGCCAATCATGGTGTCCCGGCGGCCGCGCAAGAGGAGCCCGCGGCCCAGCTCCACCTCAGACAGCGACAGTGACAAATCGGCAGATGAAGCTCCAATTGGTGAGTGAGGAAGGGGGCCAAGCTGAGATAGTGTGTGGTGTTGGGATGCATCCGGGGAGACGGGGGCATTTGGCAGGCCCCCAGCTGGCTCCAGCCACCGGCCGGCAGCCGGTCGAACTCCGGTTTCCCTTGGAACAGCATCAAACAGCGACACAAGCTTCAGAAACCTTTAGAGACTTGAGCACGCTCTAATCAGCAGAGTAAATAACTCTTCACAATGGAAATGGCGGACAGAAGCATATGTAAGCATATTTACAAGCGTTTATTCAGCATTAGAACAGGACAAAGAAAACATGTCTGCTCTCTTTCGTGTCCAAGCAAAAAGCAGCACAGGCAAAAGCTATATACAACAGAAGTTCCCAGCAGACTGTGCTGGAAGTAAACAGACATGTGACATACAACAACTCCACATGCCTGTTCTAAAGGTGGAACTATATCCTAACACATGGACGGTCTTCTTTCCACAACAAGTCCCCTGTTACGAGTGTAGATACTTAGATTGGAAGGGAGGTGGGATTTGCTGCAAACTCGGCATATGTGCAAATAACGCAAGCCATTTTTGTTAGATTGTGCCCAGCAGGTTTAGTTCAGTGCCACATAAAGTGGCAACAGTTTAACACGAGAGCATTGCCTGTGTCAGGTTAAGCATCTTGTCCCGGTTAACAAATTGGTAAAAGTAACGTCAACAGTGAAAAGAAAGGGGCTGGGTCTTCTGGGAAGCCAATGGGGCACAGAGGCTGAAAGTACATTGCTGGGAAGGGCACAGAAAGATGTAAAAAGCATGAGGGGGGAGGAACAGGGGAGGGGACAGAATAGATAGAAAGAAAAGCTTGTAATGCAGTGTTTCCAAACTTAGGTCTCCAGCTGTTTTCGGACTACAGTTCCCATCATCCCTGACCAATGATCTTGCTATGTAGGGATGATGGGAGTTGTAGTCCAAAACCAGCTGGAGACCCAAGTTTGGGAAACACTGTTGTAATGGATCCATCTGTGCTTGAATCCAGCTTTCACAATTTGTAGTGTAACGGTTGGCCCGGTAGAAAGCCATTGCATTTGTCAACTGGAGAATTCAGCTATAGGTATTATATCGGAGCCTGTTGTGATTTGCCCTCCCCTCGCCACCCTCTGCAGACCTGCCAGCCAACGGCTTCAGCAGCGGCAATCAGCCGGTCAAGAAGAGCTTCCTAGTTTATCGCAACGACTACAACCTTCCACGCAGCAGCTCTGAATCTGAGTCCAGCAGCACAACCAGCAGCAGCGCCGCCTCGGACCGTACCAGGTACCAGGAGATCCTTCCCATTGTATTGAGCGGTGAAGCCGGGCCTCTTTTCCCCCCTTAGCCTAGGTGCACAGTGCAGAATAATGGATAGTCCCAGGTCAGGCAATTTCCCAGGTGGCAAGTGTGAACTCTGTAAACTGCCCTTCCAGTTTTGAAGGGAATCTTGTCAGACACACGCACCGCCCTGCCACAAGGTCTTAGCACAACCACTTGCCGGGTATACATTGATATGTTCCGGATAATGGTGGGCCAAAAGCAGAACTGTGCCACAAGGAAATGACTGATTTTGCAAAAGTAGTGGCTTTGACAAGGTGCTAGGCACTGTATCGTGAGTCATGGCCATGCATCAGGCACTGTTCCAGATGAAGCAGTGTACACAACACGCCTTTCAGTGCTGCTTGCATTGTATGCCTCTATAAAAAGAAATTTACACACATTTCTTTCTTTTTTTAATGATATTTATTAAAATTTCAAAGAATACAAGAATTACACAAAAACAAAAAGTAAAAATACAAAAAAATACAAAATACAGAAAAAAGAATACATGAAAAATAAAAAGGAACATACAAAATAAAAACAATTAAAAACACATTAATTTTCCCTAGCATATCCTCCTTACACTTATATCCCCGGACCTCCTCGTACCTCCCTTTTTTGTATTCCAGTTCAGTTTGCTAGTTCAGCAAATCCTTACCATTAAGATTTTACCCATTTGTGAACCTTTTTTTTTCATATCTCTTAAAGCATTACAGCTGGAAACCACTTAGTTTCTGTCCAACATCCTTCTAAAATTCATTAATTTTACAATATTTCTGTAGATAGTCTTTAAATTTCTTCCAGTCCTCTTTCACCGACTCTTCTCCCTGGTCTCGGATTCTGCCAGTCATTTCTGCCAATTCCATATAGTCAATCACCTTCATCTGCCATTCTTCCAGAGTGGGTAGATCTTGTGTCTTCCAATACTTTGCAATGAGTATTCTTGCTGCTGTTGTAGCATAGAAATTTACACACATTTCAAGGCTATGAGTGACTAGTAGTCAAATTACCTGCATGCTGTTTCCAGTATCAGGTTGGCCGCGGCAAGAAACAGGATGTGGGATTAGGTAGGCCTGTGGTCTGCTCCACGAGGGCTTCTCTGATGTATGCCACAATGAGAGCCTGGGGACATTTTCCTCACTTGCCATGCTTGCCCAAACTTCTAGTGGTGAGATCAATCCTGGCATCGAATGCAGGAAGTTCCTGCAGTACATCCTTCTTGGACTTCCCAGGGAACGGGTCTCATTCCTTTCCCTCTTCTGTGTTTAATGCGGAGGTACGATGCGATACGATGTGATAATCTTTATTGTCATTGTCCCATACAGAACAACGAAACTGAAAAATTTACATAAGACATTCAAAACCCAACATGCCTGCTATCCCAGCTATCTCAACCCCTAAAAACTCTGATACCCCATTTTTAAATACAGTATACTCCCATACAGACTCCTTACAATGCGTTTAAAACCAAAATCGCATTTGGGTAGAAACTGTTTCTCTTTTTAAAAATAATAATAATAATAATATTTATTTGGGTAGAAACTGTTTCTCAGGCAGCTAGTCCTAGTCTTTATAACCCTGTACCCTGTAGCAATCTCCCAGGCTTCTGCGGAACGTGGAAAGTTAACACTACTTTTGCTTCCTCCCATTTAGCACAACTCCTTCCAAACAAGGCAGAGGGAAGCCCTCTTTTTCCCGCGTGAATTTCCCGGAGGACAGCAGCGAAGACACGTCGGGAACAGAAAACGAGTCCTACTCGGTGGGAACCGGCCGAGGGGTGGGCCATGGCAGTGAGTATTTGGGGCAGCGTTTCCTCTGCTTTCCTCTCTGGAGATGGGGCTGGTGAGGAGGACGGCATTTACACCCTTTCCCCTCTCGTTCTGTCTTTGTGCAGTGGTGCGGAAGAGCATCAGCCGATCGGCCGGCTGGCTGTCTGAAGACGAGGACTCCCCTCTGGACGCCCTGGACCTGGTGTGGGCCAAGTGCAGGGGTTACCCCTCTTATCCGGCACTGGTGGGTTTGATGAGCACGCCTACATATGCACTGAGGAGGGTTAAGGAGGGTTAGGCCACTGGAAACCTTGGTAGGGGTGATGCACCCTTTGAAACAATAGTAGAAAATGAGGTTATGAACCAAGTGAAAGTTCAAGGACAGTTCTTGCGAGATAGGAAGGTTTATGCAGAATAGAAAATGCTACTTAGTGTAGAAACCAACAGAAACACAGTATTCAGTTGTTGCTTTTTAATGAACTTTTCTAATTCTTGCGGAGAAAAAAGAGGGTAATTTTGTGTGTGTAAGAGAGAGAGAGAAAACTCTGACTCGCATCAGCCCCAGCCGACATGGCCAATAGTCAAGGGCGATGGGAGTTGTAGTCCAGCAACATCTGGATGAGCAAAGGTCCCCAGCTTCTGCCTTACTACCTTGTCAGTGCTTTTTTTGTTGAAAATTGAACTCAGGATTTCAGCCTCCACATCCTTAAACCCTAAGTTGTGCAACCATACAACCAGTCTGTTAGCAACGATATAGATGGACTACTTGCCTAATCAGTACCTTTTAGCATAAGCCTGGTGTTAATGGAAACGTTAAATGGTTGTTGCATTAAGTAATTTATTCTAAACGCAACATTTAAGTTTTAAGATTGCGCACTTCTCTAATGTCTCATCACGTTACTGTGCACGACACAGCCTTTGAAATGCTTCTTCAACACCCATGAAGGACAGAAACCTGTTTTAAGGGGAGAAGGGGCAGGAAGAATCGCAGACAGCAAAGGTTTGGGGGAGAATCCCAATTATGTGACTGCCAGCAGCATACGTGTGCAGTTGCGAGCGGTAAACAACTCAGGCTGTTTAACGTGTAAAGGCCATATTGGTCCTTAAAGCCTCAATGCTGAGGTGCCCAATCTGTTTACTTGTCACATTTCCATCTCCTCTAAGCAGCTCAGGGCAGTCAATTTGCATGCTGTGTGCGTTAAGCTGAAATATACAGATTTGCACAAGGCCAGCTGGTGAGTTTCAGCTAAACTGTGGCTTGAACATGGGAGTTTCCCCATTCCAGCACTCTACATATGAGTGCAGCCTTTCCTTGTCTGGTGTGTGTGTGTGTGTTTTCACGCTCAACGATTTCTCCATTGCAACGTCTGTAGTTGCCCTTCTCTGACGTCCAATCTTCCCCTGTTGGCAGATCATTGACCCCAAGATGCCACGGGAAGGGATTTTCCACCATGGCGTCCCCATCCCCGTACCCCCCTTGGAGGTGCTGAAGCTGGGAGAGCAGATGACTCAGGAAGCCCGGGAGCATCTCTACCTAGTCCTCTTCTTCGACAACAAGCGTACCTGGTAAGGACCTACGACGGAAGTTGGCAGAGATGGGGGGCTGCCATGTCTGGACCGAAACCTGGTGGATAAAGTTGGGGGTGGAGATGCCCCATACCCAGAAAGGATGAGGGGGGCGAGACTTGGGAGAACGCGGAAGCCCTCTCCCTTCACGGGAGGCAAGCACTCCTAGTGAGTTTGGGTCGCTCTGTTTCCTTTGCAGGCAATGGTTGCCCCGCACCAAACTCGTGCCCCTGGGTGTGAACCAGGACCTGGACAAGGAGAAGATGCTGGAGGGGCGCAAGTCCAACATCCGCAAGTCTGTCCAGATCGCCTACCACCGGGCTATGCAGCACCGCAACAAGGTGCAAGGGGAGCAGAGCAGCGACTCCAGCGAGAGCGACTGACCCTCACCGGGGCTCCCGCCAAAGCTGCTCGATCGGTGCAGCTGGACTGTACGGGAGAGGGGAGCGGGGAGCTCCAGCCTCGAGAAGCCCGGGCCCTTGGTGGCCAGGCTGCGGGAGCTTGCGTCGAGCACCCAACGGCCCCTCCAGTGTGCTGAGCACACCCCCAGAGCACTGTGCCCTCCGTGTGGGCAAGCCTACCTCTTGTGCCAGCCTGCCGTTCCTTCTTCCATGCCTGGAATTGCCCTGACCAGCTGCGTGAGCGACAGCCAGCTGCCTGCACAGCTCCCAAGGACAATACCCCACTGTCTGGGTCCTGAGGTCCCCTGGGCCTTTGTAAAATACTGTACAATAGTGGGAGAATGTAAATTATTTGGGCTGCTCCATAAACACTCACCAACACACAGACCCCGGCCCCTCCTTTCCCTGCATCATAGTACCTGCCCTGATCCATTATCCTTTCCTCGGCCCAGTCCTACCGACACTCTGCAGAGCAGGGCCGCTGTCTTCTCACTCGCACATTTTGATACTATAGCTTTTTGGAACCTGGCTCTGCCTGATCCCACCCCCCCTTGCCCTGTAGGCCCCCGGCTCTTCTTTCTGCTGCAGCCGGGTGGGCATTTGTACTTGTATTTATTTTGGAGGAAGAAGATCTCTATCAATTCTTAGAAAATAAAATGGCTCTTTTGGAACCAACGGTGTCTGTTTTCTCTTTCTTTCCTTTCTTTCTTTCTTACCAGAAGAGATGAGGGAAAGTGTTTTGCTTTTTCATGTTCTCCTGCCTTTTCTACACTTTTGTCCATTCTTGGTCTGAAAACATGGAGTTGTGTAGCTGCAGATTCAACTCTACTGCCAGGGTGAAAACATCACTGCTGCCATTATTTTCTGTTCATTTAGCACTAACGATATGTGCCCAAGTGCTGTTGTAGGAGTGATTTTGGTAACCTCATTTGCTTTTAAAAAAGCAACCACCAGAAACAACATATGGATAAGGTACCTTTTTTAACAATCCCTATGTTGCTCTTACTGAGCTCACTCCAGAGAACTCAAAGCAGGCTAAATATGGTTCCCAAGGGGCCTCCCATCCTGGCAGCTCACAGAACCAGGCTTGGTTAGATTCATTCAGCAGCAGAAGTGCATCAGATCATCCTCTGAGCCACATTTTGGGATAATGATGCTGAAAGTCACTACAGCCTTTAAAAAACAGCACTTTTTAAAAACCCACTTTATTCTATGGAGAGCCTTCCAATCATCTCAACTAATTCTTGCACACTGTACATGGCGTGCTTTAGGCATTGAATCTCCACATTTCCAGCAGCAACATAATTTCTCCGTACTTTGTCCCCCATCTCACAACCTGATCTGCATTCTGGTCTGTGGGACCAATAAGCCTGTGGAAGAGACTCGATGCAGAGTGATGCTTCAGAGTGTCTTCTCAGTGTGGAATTGTATCTTGGGTAGTGGCAGCAACGTGGACACAAACTCCTTTCGCAACGTGCTGTGCACCACAGCCTTGATTTGATTTTACAGAGAAAAGAAGCGCAAGCGCCAATTTGCACAAAACGCGCTAGCTTCTCTTTTCGGGTGGGGGATATGAATTTTATTCAATTTTGGCCCAAAGGTGAACCTTTACAAGTATTTCTTGCTTAGAATCAGTAAGGTGTTTGCTTGTTTACTAACCTAGTCAGTGTTTAGGGCAGTTTTTAGCGTTTGATGTTTTATTATCAAGAGCCAGTGTGGTGTAGTGGTTAAGAGCGGTGGACTCGTAATCTGGTGAACTGGGCTCGCTTTCCCGCTCCTCCACACGCTGCTGCTGGGTGACCTTGGGCTAGTCATACTTCTCTGAAGTCTCTCAGCCCCACTCACCTCACAGAGTGTTTGTTGTGGGGGAGGAAGGGAAAAGGAGATTGTTTGCCGCTTGGAGACTCCTTGTTGTTGTTTAGTCGTTTAGTCGTGTCCGACTCTTCGTGACCCCATGTACCAGAGCACGCCAGGCACTTCTGTCTTCCACTGCCTCCCGCAGTTTGGTCAAACTCATGTAGTGATAAAGCGGGATATCAAATCCAAACTCTTCTTATTGTGTTTTGAATATTGTGTTGTGAGTCGCACAGAGATGATGATGATTATCTCCACTGCAGGACTTTCATTTACAGTGGTGCCCCGCAAGATGAATGCCTCGCAAGACGAAAAACTCGCTAGACGAACGTTTTTTGAGTCGTTCCGCAAGACGAATTTCCCTATGGGGAAAACGTCTTGCGAATTCTTGCAAGTTTGTTTCCTTTTTCTTAAAGCCGCTAAGCCGTTAATAGCCGCTAAGCCGCTAATAGCCGTGCTTCGCAAGACGAAAAAACCGCAAGACGAAGAGACTCGCGGAACGGATTAATTTCATCTTGCGAGGCACCACTGTAATAGAATGTATTGAATGGGGTGTGGGACGTGGGTGACGCTGTGGCGAATAGGTCGGCGGTTCGAATCCCGGTGACGGGGTGAGCTCCCTTTGCTCAGTCCCAGCTTCTGCCAACCTAGCAGTTCGAAAGCACGTCAAAGTGCAAGTAGATAAATAGGTACTGCTCCAGCGGGAAGGTAAACGGCGTTTCTGTGCGCTGCTCTGGTTCGCCAGAAGCGGCTTAGTCATGCTGGCCACATAACCCGGAAGCTGTACGCCGGCTCCCTCGGCCAATAAAGCGAGATGAGCGCCGCAACCCCAGAGTCGGCCATGACTGGACCTGATGGTCAGGGGTCCCTTTACCTTTACCTATTGAATGGGGTAAGCAGATAAAGGACTTCCCCAATCATCTGTCCATGTTGTGGCCATATGGATAAAAGATACAGAAAGTACTATCTCAAACTACAGATAAATAGATATAGTGTAACAGGTAGAGTGTAATGTCTATAGGTATTACTATAGGTATTAGATATGTGTATAGTGTTGAACTGGGCGGGGAGGTGTGTGAAAAAAGCAACCTCCCCTC